GAACGGGAGTTACGGCAAATGGCTTAATTGATCTATAAGCCAAAAAAAAAAAAAATACCAAAACAAAACAAATAAAATAAACACCAATATTATAAGTGCACATCGAAAGTTATACTATTAACCCGTGAAATAAAATTGAATTTTTCCCACTTTGTACAATTTGAAATTTATTTTAATTGACTTTTTTCAATTTTTTTTTTTTTGAACACTATTAAAATGCCTTATCTCATACCGCCACACAAATTATGTTCCATAATTCTTCCCTACCCAAGCTTAAAAGTGGAATATTTTGTCAACGGATTGACAGAAATCAAAATTTTTCAACACTGACATTTATTTAAACTAATACTCCATCTATATATATACAAATTGTAATATAACCAATATACAGGTTTCCATTTAAAAATTAAAAGTAGATAGCCGGTTCATCCCCAAAATTAAGAGTGCAAAAAGTATAATGTGACATTTTATAGAGCGACTACTTGTTTCATAGGATGTAAAAAAAAAAATAAGAAAAAAATTATTACTTTCCAAGATATCGCAATGATCATATTTTCGTGGGAAACCTGTATAATATTATTATTATATTATAAAAATGTCAACTTTACCTACTGGAAAAAAAAATGATATTGAAGTTATACGAACGCCTACGCGCGATTTATGTGTATATAAGTTATTTATCCGGCGTGCAGACGGATGTGGAGATCAATCATCCATCGTATTGAAAATAATAATATGTATACAAGTATAATATTAATACTGTTTCAATAACCCTGTAATATGTAACGCGCCTGCCGCCTGTACACCTGCCTATGCAAACGTGAGACGTTCGAATAATACGCGAGTATTGATAAAATTTATCTAATTAAGTAAGTATACATAATATGGTTAGGTTAGGTTATATTATATTATGTGAACCCGTTTGAAATTATTTAAATTCGTCAGTGATCTTTATAAGGTGGAATTGAATAGCTTAACGAAAGTGTTCCGAGACGACGTCATTATGCTAATGATACTGATGAGCTCAAACGAAAACGTATTTAGTGATTTTGCGCCCTGAGTAACCCGGCCCAACCCAAATTTCTTTCAACAAATTATATTTGTAAACAAGTAATTATGACGGAAACAATACATTATTCGCTACACTAAAGATCTAAAAACATATTGATCAATGATATAATTAGTTAGGTGCACAAAAGTCTTCTTTTTTTTCTTCTCCTTCACCTTCATCCCAATTATTTGGAGTCGGCCACTCTGGTTCTAAACTTATATCCTCATATTAATCTCAATCTCATATTTTTCCTCTCCATCTCTTTTCTCCTACATGTATTTTCATTACAATTCTCACCGCGTCAGATTCCTTGTGCTCAGACTCCCCGTGAAATGACCAAACCATCTTAGTCTATTTACTCTCATTTTGTCTACTATCGAAGCCACGCCTAAACTATATCTTGTTCATTACGCAAACTAATGTATTGACTGATACCCATATTGTCGGTGGTATATATACCTGTCGATATATCAATTTAAACAAACAACGGATCACTACTTCTGTGGTATCCGAAAGTAAACAAAAATAGAGTGAAAAAACGGCCAAAAGAATCTTCGAAATTTTATTCCCGCCTTTAACAATATGTATATTTAAAATATGTTCCGTGAACGTCTAAACTTAACGAATTACAATTTTATTACTGTTTTACATAAATTTACAAAAAAAAAAAAAAAATACATATATACAATATGTATATTATACAAATTGTAAATATATACGTCGTGAGTTTTCGACCTGGTATTTATTAACACTTTAGATACCGAGAGAAATTTTTATTTTTTTTTACTATACTCACAACAATATACCAATCGATAATTTATCCAAAACAAATACAATTTCAACGTATTACTTAATACTGTAGGTGTATTATTTTTAAAAAGAGCTGATACTGGAGATGGGAGCGACAACTGTTGTAGGTGATAAGTTGAAAAGGTAGGATACATAAGGTTATTTCATTTATGTAAGTAACGATAAACCATTACTTGACGAAAGACGATTCCGAGCGCATTTTCGTTTAGATTTGATTTCGAAACGCTAATTTAAAAAAAAAAGTAGCTTGATAATTTTGAAAATTTTACCACGTCTATATAGGTTCAATATAAATTTTATAAACAAGTTTTAAGTTTCTCCGTGTATTTATAACCCAATTATAGAAAAAAAAGTCCCAAAATTTTAAATTTCTTAAAGGCTCAAAAGCAGGTCAAAAGTTTTGGCGATATTACCCAAATAAAGTAAATCAAAAGGGCAATAAAAAATATATCTTGTGATTTTTTGATTAAATCATTTTTTCTGGTAGACTGAAAAACGTCGTCCGTGTTTTTATAAAATAACTGTACATTTTCCTACATGTTTTTCCATTTAAGTGCTTTTATTTAAAAAATGCCGTAGAAAATCAAAAAATGACCCTTAGTACCACCTAGACAACTTGAGCTTTCAGAAAAGTTATAACACATAAAAATCGAAGCAAGTTCACTAAGAAAAAACGTGTTCACAGACTAGAATTAAGAAAAAAAAAAGAAATTAATATCTTAGCAAAACCAATAGCTCCCTCGTTACGCTCGGAAAATAAAATTAAAATACGTAAAAAAACCTACGTGAACTATATTTAATCGATATGATAATAAAAACCACTCGGACATACTTCACACTATACATGGCCATTATTATAAGTGGAAAGTTGGAAAATATACTTGCAGGTAATTTAAATTATATACCGATGATAAGCGATGATGAATTATTGCATCTTTTTAGATATTCTCTGCAAAAAATACATCTAGGTAAACCTAATAGTCTATTCTTTAAATCTAATAATACACTGGGAATCTCCATACATCCATTATGTAAAAAAAAAAAGAAAGAAATTATTATAAGATAATATTATTATTATTATTATTATTATTATTATTATATTATTATTATATTATTATCTCAAAGTCACGAACGACTTTGAGATTAAAATTGAAATAATTCTGCAAAAAATAATAACAAAAGTAAATTTAAAACACTAAATTTAGTATTGTAGTATAGTAGTTTGACATTCTGTCAAACCAAAAAAAAGTCAAATTCTAAGTAAAGGAATATTTACATGATAATATTACATTTGTTCACGCGATAAATTTGAATGTATACAGCGATTTATTAAGCATGCTCACCCCCAATTGTGTGATTAAATTAAGGGTGAAATCAAATTCTATACATTTTTTACGATATTTCTGAATACTAAGATTTTTCAAAATATTTAAGGAGTACCCTGTGGTGAGATCAACTTTGGTTTTTAAAACGAGAGTCTACGATTCTACATGTTTTAATGTAAATTTTGAAACAAATAGTTTTTGTGAAAATGTCGACGTATTGTAATCGAAAGTTTCTATAATATTTTACTTTAAATACTAAAGACAGTAGCCTTTTATGGGGATTGGACAACAACCATTTCATAGGAAATGTGTATAGGCAAATTCTAGTTTTAAATTGTGCTGTTATAGAAAAATCAGTTTTATAACATTAATTGAATGTATGTAGAGTAACAGACAATAACACTAATAACCATTTACGTCTAACACGCTGCGTAACGTATAAAAGTAAAATAGCAAAAAATAAATTTGAATTCATGCACAATTAATTTAACCATAAAATTGGTGTACGCATGCTTAAAAAAATAATAATATAAGTACTTAATTTTTTTTGATAAATTGCAGTTATATATTATTATAGCCGACCGACCGTTTAAAAGTTTCAGAATGATGTAGAAATCCTGAACGGGTGATGCTGAGTGATGAACGGCGATCAACAGTTGGTGACCGTCTTGGCAGTCTGCGGCGTAGCGGCCCTAGCCGCGTTCATAAACGGTTACGTCTTGTTAGTCATACTCCTCTCGAAACGGGTAAGAAATATTGTTGATAATAATAATTAAACGTCATGACTTTGATTAATCACATATAATAAAGTATACGACCGCGGAAGCTGATTTTGAAGATTTTAAGTTTTGGCGAGCATCCAATATAACCTTGAAACGGAAGAGTCAATTTTTTGTTCAATCTGGAGATTGGTTTATGCATATTATCAAATAATTTATACCAGTCTGCATTTTATATTTCACTAAAAATATGAATGTGATGGTTTTCTATACTTTCTTTCACATGGTAGTCCAAACCCTATTGCTAGGAAGTGATAACCAAATAGAGTTGGGCATTTACCTTTCCCTTTTCCACCGATTCACTTTCCGCCAAATGAACAAATCTAATTATTTTTTTTTATTATTATATAAATTCAAACTTATTTTTTGTTATTATTTTTTCGTCATAAGATATTAACTTCGTAAAACAAATATCATAATATAACTATAGTAAGTATAAGAATGTATTTACTACTTGTAAATAATATTACGTTTATATCTTATGTGAAATTTGTCAATTTAATTTAATTTAATCACCCCATTTTCACGTTCTCCTCGTCCACTCAGAATCTAAAAATCCGAAAATGTTGAACTTTGTTTTCCTTGTACGATAAGTAGAGACTCCCATAGTTGTATTCTATTCCTTGTCTACAAGTAATTAGGAATTCAAAATATTTTTGTCTTAACCTTTATTTTTTTTTTTTATTTTTTTTTTTTTAAGCGATGTTTTTTTCTAACCGCCAAATAAAAACAAGAGCCATTGTGAAAAGTTGAAAAAATTAAATCCTAAAAAAGGATCATAATTATAATAATAGTTAAAATTCCGAACGTACAAAAAACCATTGCAAACGAAATACTATATGAGTTCTGGTAGGTACATTTTTTTTTTTTTTTTTAACTAAAAGTTTAAATTAAAAACTGTTTTAATTTTCAACAATACAGCTACAAAATAATTAACAATTTATCGTTGTTTTCACATGATTTCTGTCAACATATTTTTAAATCAAAAAGCTCATGGTAAAAAAAATATGATATTACAACGAGATCTCGAATTTCACTAGAAAGCTCCTGTGAAATTTCTGATAATCTTCCGCTAGAAAACTCGTTCACAAACAAAAAAAAACCTAAACAAAATTCTTATAGTAATAATTAGAAAAGAATAGAAAATAATTTGATTTTTCTTCCCCGTAAAAGGACGTCACTATTGTCTCGATCTAATTAACGGGCAACGGGCAACTTAGAACATAAATCGTGACGTTTAGTTTGAAATTAGAGTTTAAAAACCGAATAACTTTAAATAGGAGAATATTTTCGAGGGTTATATGTAGAAGTTTTCTAAAAAATTATAATACAAAAAAGTTATAGATTTTCTAAATAACTGTAATTTTTTTTTTTTGTGTGTGGTTTTTTAGAAAAAAAAACCAATATATAGCCCTCAAAAATATTCTCCTATTTAATTTGTGCTATTTGTGTTTGTGTTTGAACTCTAAAAAAATTTCAACCTAAAGTAACCTAATAAGAAATGTAGTAGTTTTGCTATGTTCGTTCTCGGGTGTGACGTTCTCTTAAAAATATCACTTTGCAAATGGTTTTTTATACATCATATATTATATAATAATAGTATAATATTATAGTTTTCAAATTTAAGAAAATATCGAGACTTTCCGAAGAAACATTAAAAAAAATGGCCATCTACGAAACGCCACAAGGCTTTAAACAATGGGTGAAAAACTCTTTTCGACCAAAATGATAACTACTTTAATATATGTATACAGTAGGTCCTAGTTATTTTTCTACCAATAATATCCTTGACGACCAATACAATAAATATTTAAGGATGCCGATTATTGTTGTATCAATCAAAATAATGCCAAACGTTAAAAAAATATAACATTTTATTGTACAAATAATACAGGTTTTGACAAAAATCAAAATAGTATTTGTTTTGTTTAGTTTTTGATGTGGGTATAACTACGCCTAAAACAAAACAAAAAAAAACGAACGGGGCCTTGTTATTTTTGATAGGCCTTTTTATTTTATGTTTTTGTTTTTTTTACAAAAATTCTTCTACTGCATTCATTTCAAATAATAATACGGCCACTTGTTATCCCGACGCACGCGGTTTTTCACGAGTCATGAAATATTTTAAATTCTTCAGCGTGAACTCGCGATGCCATTGAACACCGCGAAAACTACATTTTCTAAAATTATTATTTTAGCACTGGAAATGTTCATTGTTTTGCCCGAACCATTAAACATTAAAAGCCTTTTATTTTAGATGCGGTGGGTATACCTACAACAGTTGCAGTTATTCGTCAAACGTCGCATACGAAAAAAATCTATCAAAAAAATATTATAAACTTGTAAAAAAAAAATCAGAAAAATAATAATTTTAAAAAGCCAGACAAATTATTTGCTCCGTGGTTGTACTACTGTTGTAGGTGAGAAGGTATAAGATATAGGGTACCTAATTCAATTAATATGTAATAAATCATTACAATCAAAAAATTAATTCTGACCTGAGCTCAATTAATCGATAAAATATTTTCTATAATAGCCGTCATTGTTTTCCCCCTTAGCCAAGATAACCCGAAAATCAACAAAATTATAACCACTATGTTTAAATAAAATACTACCGATCGAAAAATCCGCGTCTTAAATGGTAAAATGTAAATAGTTTGGAGTATATTTCCAAAGCGAAATTAAATACACTTTTCTAAAATAAAAGGGCATACAATCGGTATGGATGTTTTATAAAATAACAATTTTATTTAAACGAACAAACCTCCACTGGAGCGTATAAACACATAAAAATATAGTTGAAATATCGAGTTATCATCCGACCAAAATCTCTACTATCAAATACTCAAATGACGTACTTACGTAGGTAGGTATACCTCTAACCGCGATAATTGAGTTTCGCGCGAGAAATACGAGAGCGTCTCGGTCGGAAATGAGTTTCGTTTTATTGTATTCATTCGTTTCTCGGTCGTTTTATTCCCGGTGGACCACTACCATTTCCTGCACCTGAAACGTGACTTTTATATATTAATAAATTGTTTGGTTGCCTACCACATTTATAACGATCGTTTTTTTTCTCTCTCTTAATTTATATCTATCACCACTAACGTCACCATCATCACCATCGATAGTATTAGCTCTTAAAGGTAAATGTTCTCGGCTTGCAAATCCACTGAGAACCGTAGATACCATCACAATTTCAGACCACCTCACACCCTATCATATACAAGTAGCGTGTAGAAGATCGCCACCTCCTCCGCACTTGTTACATAATTACTTCGAACAATCACACTCGTTATTCGCCACACATAACCGAACCATTCAAAGCGTTTATTTTTTACGAATGGTAAAACATTTGGCCCGTGTAACAGCGCTCTTGATTTTTTTTCGATCACTCGTTTGCAGCTCTTTATCATGGCTATATGAGCATATATATTTTTGTATAGTAAATAACTACGACGTAAAAAAATCAGTGCACTTTAACTAACCGTGAAAGATAAACACATCTTTGTAAAACTAATTGCTTCTTATCGTTGTACCCAGAGTCCAAAATACTAAGTAGAATAGTTGAAATAAAGTTTGAAAGTTGGTTGTCTATTTCGTATTCGTAGGAAATCCGCGATGGTTTTGGTTTCAGTTTTTAAAATTATACTCAGAGTTATGCCTAATATATTATTTGTGTTAAGAGAACGTGATACCCGCATGATTATGCTCCGTACTCCGTCTTATAAACGTCTTATCACGAAATAGCAAAGTTCAGCTGGGACAATTTTCTGCTGTTATTTTATTATTATAGCAAATGACCTATTTTCAAACGTATAGGGGTAAAAAATTAGATCTGTGTTAGCGCATTAGTTTTTTTTTTTTATTTTTTAATTTTCAAAAAAGATACGAGTGTCGAGTACTCACGTAAAATATCACAACTTAAAAACACAGATATAATGTTATCTTACTTTGAATTTTTATTATGAGCAGATTCACTATTACATTACAGCTAACGGTGCACAATAATATTGTCCCTGCTAAACGCAAATTTGCTATTCCGGGCGTTTTGTATGACAGAGACGTGCGTAGGTATCACTGGCCACAATAACGTTTAATGTTCAAAAATTTAAATTATGCGACACATAGACGAGTTCGCCAATCAACGTACTACTCACCCACTTGAGCGCCGTGGATTTGATTGTGTGCGTCGCTGTGCTGGTGTGCATTTTGCCGGAGATATTCGACCAGAAGGAGAAAGTCGCTCCATGGCTATGCCCTGTTCACGGATTTCTGTTCACCTTCCTACACCCGATGGCCATCTGGACAGTTTGCGGCCTGAACTGCGACCGGTCGGTATCCACCTATAACATTATCGTACCTATATTCTTACTTATATTATAGCGCAGTGTATAGATTTAGGCCGGGTAGCACAAACGTACCGTAGACTTACAGAACCTAGAGCACTTACAGAACTTTAAACCAGATTGGGTGGTGCGCGAACACTCTACATTATTTACAAACCTGTATACTAACTTTTTACAGACCTGCAAGTGACCAATAACCAGAACCGAATTCATATCTGTGACTCTACGCCGAACGATTTACAGATTAAACGATAACGATTTATATCATTTTATCAATATTAGAGCCGAAAAAATTTCTGATAGGTTATTTTTTTTTTTACCACTGCTATATTTATATACATGTAACAGAGCCGTTATAATTTACAGACGTCTGTAAAATATTTGTACGGATCGTTTGTGCAACCTGGCCTTAAAGTAATACAAATACGTGTCTGTACAGTAGTGGCGTATTTACGACTAGTTTATTTTTTGAGGAAGAAGGGTGATCTAACGCAATTTATAGACGGCTAGGTTCCCCTGAATCATATTAAGCTCACTAATATTATAGAAATCGTGTCTTAGGAGGGGAGGATGGAAAATATTTAGTATTGTTAATATGCGCAAAAAAAAAAAAATATGCAATACATATTTTATTATGTTCAAAATATGACGGAAAACTGGTTGGCATTTTATAATTTTATTGAACTGAAAAATAGATAAATTAACTTACGATAACATCGATGATAAGATAGTATTTCAGTCATAGACCTTATACTAATAGACGAGCCTTTTGTACACGTAGAACGATCATAGATGGACGGCGATCTTCACGTGTGACTTGTGACTTTTACGTGGTATTATTGTACATTGTACTACACATCCAACGACAACACTGACGTGATTATACTGTACACCATTAAAATATGTCTGACCGGTTACTACCTCAGCTACTCCATAGACAAGGCCAGTCTATTAGTATAAGGTCTATGATTTCAGTATACGGGAACGCTAGATATTAAATACCTATACGCGATGACAATTAATATCTACATTAAATAATGTTGAATTTTATATTCAATATTATTTAAAATGAGTACCTATATTGTATCAACTAAAAAAGAGAAAACTCAATTTTTTTAGAAAATATCAAATAATATGCGTATTAAAATCAATGAAACCAATGCTTTTTGAAATTTCTTTGCTGTTCTACCGAAAGGCTATATGTCGCATTTGTAGGAGGTATTTTATGAATTCCGTTTGGGTATATATACTGAAATATAATATCTTTCTAAAATTACGGGCTTTAAATGATTCTATAAAATATACCGAATCGGATCAAAATATTAAAATATAAGAAATGGCTGCAGTACATGTGATTGTACCGAGGTTATTCTCGTTTTGCATATTACACAGGTACTACGCGATCGCGGCGCCTTTGCATTACGGAACTCTGGTAAACAGCCGCAAAATCATGTTGGGTCTCTGCGGCATATGGATCGTGTGCTTATTGATCTCGATGCCGCCGGCCCTCCGGATGGTTCCCTACACTTATCAGCCGGGCTTGCCCGTCTGCACGACAGACTTCAGCAAAGGCCGGGCCACGATATTTTACAGTATTTTCTACACGACCGTCACCCTGGTGCTGCCCGGCGTCATCATACTCGGATGCAACATAAAGGTCAGTTTCCAGACACTACTGATAACGCTCGCTATCGAATATTTACCGACATTGCATTAATGCGTTTTAAACAATTTATACGATTTGTCAAATCAAATCAACTCTAACTCTCTCATTTCTCAATATACGAATTTCTTAATTCGTATGAACGATATTTGGATTAATATTTTTTGCAGGAATTGAATCAAATAATGTATTATAAATGTACAATTTATATAAGTTCAATCATAGTTGAAATAAAAATAAATCCGCATACCAATACGGATTAACTAAGATTCATAATGGCGTAATAAATTAGTGCATATTAACGACAGCATCACTGTTCAAAAATTGAATGGGTTTTCGTAGACTTTTTTGAAAAATAATATTCTAATATTATAGGTAGGTATCTCATATTTTCCAAGTTCACTTTTATTTACTTCTTTGGGGCGACGAAGAAAATAAGATTTCTCAACTTACGAGGTCATAGTGTATTATTATGTAAATAATAGATATAACTTGTACGCATTTATAATTTCGCTGAAAATAATATAAATGAAAATAATCACATTTCGTAACACCAAAAATGATAAAATAACCACGTAATAAGATTGTTTTTACGATATTTTTATTAAGTATATGAAATTATTATTCAATTCCAAAACTATACTTTGTTCGCCGAAGAAAACGGTTGACATTTACGCATGGGAAGTATAACTTTTGAGACTGCGTTTTAAAATTTTTAATGTACTTTTATATCTGGAAGTTTTAACGTTACATTGTTGTAGCGTGTTGGGTCTATGTTAATTCCGTCTCGTTCAGAAAATATAGTGATTTATAAAAAACAAAATTTATTTAACAACTAAATTTTCTAGCAAGATTAAAGAAAATAAAATCCGATAAAATTAACCATGACCCACACGACCATGGAACCTTTATTGTTAAGCGAATGGAGCGACGATATTAGATTTTAGTTTCTTCTATGAGTAACATTTTCGATGTCCGTGAATTTGGCCCCCCGACATTTTCCGATCGATTCGATAAGTATGTCAGTATTTCACAAATTTATTTTTAAAATTTGCAAATAAATCGTTATAAAAGTTATAACCTAAAAACCAATATTAAATTATTTTCAATTAGTTTACAAAATATTGACATAGTATTCGAATTAATCGGACAATGTCAGGAAGCCAAATTCACGGACATACATTTTCTCTTGCATACATAATTTCTCTTTTAAGGCGGTATCCCAACGAAATCACGAGTCGTGTCGTGTGCTTTTTGTTGTATAATGATTGGCCGTTGTAAACTAGGTAAAATTCAGTAACCGGGAAATTATTATTTGTTATCAAGCATATTATTATGTATCTGTGAACACGACACGTGATGTCCTTGGGAAACGCCTTTATCCTTGGTTTTTTTTTACCACACTGCACTATCAGTCGGCTCTTCCTTATGCACACTCCCACTCAATAATATGCATACTAAATACGATCGAAAAGTTATACTTATCAAGTTATCTTAACTTATTGTGTATAAAAGACCTTTTTTACGACACGATTGAGCAAATTCAAAAGATACAGAAATACAATCTTCTTGATCGAACATAATAAACTTTACGACGGTGCCATGTTAAATAATTCTGAATTATATTGTACAAAAAACATTAATTTAAATAATATTACAACAATACAATCTATATGGTAAGAGTTAAAACTTGTTGACTCACTGACGCATGTGAAGGATTAGATGATTAGATAATTTGGAAACAGTTACTTGATTTTAATAACTTTAATGCGATAAAACGACAAATGGTCAGTATCACAAATAAAACTAATATTTATTGCTTTATCATTGCGAACCAATTTATTAATCGAATACCTTGTGCGCAGCTCGCAGCTAGTCTAAACTTGATATCTTGGCAAGTAACAATAGAGTAGAGCGAGGCTAGTTCATACAGTCTTGACATAATGAATTTGTAAGGTTTTTCTTTTATTATTATGATAATTGATGTTAGGTCATTTTGCAAAGTAACTTAAATAACCTTATTTACGAAAAATAATAAACCAACAATAACAGTACCTTTAAATACATATTCAATAACATTTACAGTCTTTCAAGAGTCTTATTGATGCCATATTTTTTTATTAAATATACACGTTTTATAATAATAAATATAGCTACCTGATTGTAAAACAAAATAAATGGTAACAAATGATAAACAATTTTTCATTTTATAACGAAAAATGATTTTAACATTAATAAAATATTTATAATTGACCTTCTGCCATTCGTACCTATTTCTTATTTTATTAAATGTAGATAACTAGGTAGTAATCATCAAATTTTGAGACAAGACATAACAGTGGAAAAATGTGCCCCTGGCAAAGTGTTACAACTAGCCTCATATGGTTTATTCCTTACAGTTTCTATTTATCGGAAAATTAATTGACGCCATTGAATTCTATTACTAGAATTTAATGTAGTACATTTTATATTGCATTTTATTATAGTATATTATAATAAACAGATATTAAGTATCAAAATAATCTTACCCCAAATCGGTTAGAATAAATTAAAAATAAAAATCGAACAAACGAGTTTACTTTAACAGCAATAGTTCTTTACACTAATAAAATATACTGGATACTATTACAAAACACACGGACATGATAATAATTTAATGTATTTCTACAGTCATTACAGTGTCACCATAATTGGCGATACAAATTATCTCTAATGCAACAACTAGCCCCGCTCTCCCATAAGTGAAAACAATAAATTACAAAATATCACTTTAAATGTGGCAACGTCGCCTAAAATGCTCAATCGTGTTGCCAAAAAGGTGTGATCGCGTTTCACCGACTTATCACACCGGTATGCGCGTTTGCTTTGGTTGCAGGTGTTCACCATCGCCCGGTATCACAGGCACCGGATAGCTTCAGCGATATTCGAAGTGACCCTGTCGGCCCAGGTGACCATAACCCACCAGCGGAACCCGTTCTTCCTACCCACGGCCATGGCCAACAAGCTGCGCCGGAACAACGCGTTCTCCGCCGTGTTCCAGATACTCGGATCGCTGGCCGCGTTCTACTTGCCATACTATGGGATATCGCTGTACGAGTCGTTGTGCGCCGCAATCGGCAAGCAGCCCCGCACGTACGCGGCCATCAAGACGCTGGCATTCGCCCTCATCACCGGGTCGGCTCTTTGCAACGGGCTCCTGTATGGCATCAAAAACAAGCTGCTGAAAAAGACGTACCAAAACTACAGACGGAAGATGATGACCAAGTGCGAGGTGAACCAGGAAATCCAGGCCAGGACGCCGTCGGCGTGCGGGTCCCGTAGACCGTCACTGACACCCGTGGCCGCGGCCGCCACCGGCGGTGCCGGCTGCGGCGGATGCAAGATCGGCCCGACGGCCGTGGCGCTACTCCGCCGGCGGTCATCCGATATGAGCTTAATGATGGAGCCCCTCGACATCCGGCGGCAGTACAGCGGCGAGGGCGACGACGCGGACTATGGCGGCGTCGGCAACTACCACAACAACGGACCGATGATCAGACGGTCGTACTCGACCAATACTACGGCGGCCGGTGGCGGAGACGCGGCTGCCACGGAAAGGCTGATCGCTGCGAACCGGAACGCGTTCGTCCGGCGGATATTGCAAGACTCGCGGCCCGGCCGGTCGCCCCGGATACTCATCACCAGGGCCATGTCCGAGGAGAACGAGTCGTACGCGTTCGAGCCCGGCACGCCAGTCAGAAAGGACCTGCTGGCCCAAAAACTGTCGTCGTCCAGCGTCACGCTGTTCATCGACGACCGCGGCAGCCGGTCCGGCACCGGCGCCGGCACGCCGTGCCTGGACGACGAAGACGATACCTCATTGCCGGCCTACAGCAGCCTGTCGTCCAGCAACGACGACGGCGGCAGCTGTTGCGGCAGCGGCCCGGCACGCGTTTCGTCCATGTGATGAACTGCAGACCAACGCCGACATATCCTCCGCCCCCTCCACGGGCATCCCGAACCGCCCACTACACAATGTATTATTCAAATAATATTACGGCGTCGAGGATATTTTTTTTTTTTCTAATTTTAAATTTTAATTTTTTGTTATTATTATATTTTATTTCCGCGCTCATTTCATCAGATCGTGTCGCAGAATTGAGCTTAATATTACGTTTCCCACGAATTATTTAATTTCAACGAATGATCGTTTTTTTTTTTTTTTTTTTTTTTTTTTTTTTTTTTTTTTTTTATTTATGTATTTTTTACTTGATTTTTTTTTTATCGAATAATAATATTAATACGATACGCAATTATTGCATTGACCGTTTTTTTTAACGTTCAGACGGTTTTTTTTTTAAAAGTTTCTCATTTGTATTTATAATATTATACATTGTTTATTGTTGTTATCAGGTCGTTTCCATAAGATTTCGAAAAACGTATAACTTTAGCTGTAGGTAGTAGGTAGTCATTCGAAATAATAATTATACGAGAGAACAGTGTAACTACACACACGCGCATACATATATATTATAACTAGCTGCCTGCCTGTCCCGTCCAGCGCTAACCGGGCCACTTTTTTTGTTGGACCAAATATTTTAATATAAAAATATATTTTGTAGTATAAAATATAGCTGTATTGCCCGTGTTACTTTGTCCGCTGCTTCGCATGTGTGTAAATTTACATGCAGTCTTGTAAAGTATTTGAGAAAAAATATTTAAGTAAATGTATTTAAATACTTTTATAGTTTTCAGAAGAATTTTTAAATACTTTTTGAATCAAGTGCTTTGAAAGCATTTTAAATACTGTCTTGGACGTAGTTTTGAATTTAAAATACTTTTCTTAATTCAAGAATTATTATAAGAAAATTCCGAGTTGTTATTTAATATTTTAAGTTGGAAAATAATATATTATAATTTATGTTTGTTATAAACCGAGAAGAACAAAATCAGACAAAGGAGGCTCACCACAAACATTTACATATTACTATTTTGAAAAAACTATGCTGCTTAAGTGCAATACAAAATTTTGGGAATGATTTCGGCGCATGATAAATTTATAATTCCTATTATTCCATTACATTTGTTTAATTCATTCAAAGTATTAAATTATTTCAAAGTTTATATTCAACACATTTTATTTATTTGATTTTTCAGTATTGAATGAATTAGGTGGTACAAAGTTCTAATAGTCGATTTTTAAATTAAATAGCTGAATAAAGAATTTCGTATTAAAAATTTTAAAATTAATTTTGCAAACCTACTTGAAATAACTATTAAATCAAATTGAAAAAATACTTGTAAAATATTTAAATACATTTGAAATAATTTACAGAATAAATTTATTTGTATCTGTACTTAAATACAATTTTAAAAGTATCTTTATAAGACTGTTTACATTTCTGTATGGTTTAATGTGTGTGTATACTCCTATCTTGGTCCGAATCAATGTCTATCGGGAACCTCCCGTCGAAAAACTTCCTAGGAATGACTTCTCAGGAATATCGCATTTTGGTCCTCGAATCACCCCATTTACTCCCCTTTCTGTTAGAAATAAGCATTTCTACCTACCTGGGAATATTTACCCTATTTACCCCGCTCGATGTTTGTAAAGCGTGTCCCGCACGGTTTTTCTCGTGTTAATATTGAACCAAGATATTTATTTTCGTATTTTTTTTAAATTGTGTTTCCTCATGATCCCTACCGCCCCCCTCCAGGTCTGTCCTTATCACTATTACAGTTGACCATCGTCGCCCGTTATTATAACAATGTAAATAGTAGTAATAATATGAAATATGACAATTTCAAATTTCTAACCCCAATGTAAATCGCTGTACATTGATTCTCTGTCAGTCGTTCAGGACAAAGCCGCTTATATATTATATAGAGAGATATTAAGATATCGGTAGATTAAATTTTAAAGAAACAGTTTCGTTTATGAACAGAATTAAGATTGTACGGATGCGTGTTTTGGCAAATTTCGATGCATTCAGAATTTCGCACGATATGATATACCCGGTGAAAAATGTGTTTTTAAACATGTAATCTAATCGGCGGAATTAATAAACCAAAGGTATCGAGTTAGAATCCGGTCTTTTGTTTAATTTGTTTGCGGGTTTTTTTTTTTCGTTCTTTTTCCTCGTTACCTACCCGGCGTGGTTTTGTTAACAGAGCGGGGTTAATTTTAATGCCACACTATACCGGGTGTATCATATCGAGTGATATGCACCGACATTCGCAAAATATACACAGTACGGATGCCCGATGAACTGTTGGGATCTGAATTCCAGGGGATTTGCAATCTGGTGGCAATTTAATTTACTAAAACAAGCGGACTAGCTTCGGTGCAATATTCGGACCGTACAGAATCATTATGTCGTGGTGTACCAAAAAGAACGCGGCAACGCACTCGGTTATAGCATCATCTCGCTTAAAAATTAAAATATCGAACCATTTAACGTACAAACGCAAATAAATGTTCTTTACTTTAAATTCGATAATAATTCATTTCACTATAATGTTAAAACTGACAGCGCAAAATTGGTTCGGATCAACGCAAATTTGTTGTGTCGTACGCACGTATGTACTACGGAAACGGCACGTCATGCAGTCAAGCGACGTCTCCTCTTAATCCTTTTAATCTATGCCGTATAAAACACGGTTGGAAATGCACATTTACGATGTACAATACAGAGTGTCCCATCCTGGTCGACGGATTTTTCTAGACCTATTAATATTCGATTTTTACATTTTTTTTTTTTTTCAATTTTTTCTTTGAGGACGGCATCTATTTAGAGAAAAATCAAATTTGTATTTTCATCCTCTAACCAAAGCACTAAATAAAAATATGAATAATAATAAACTTTATTCATTCACTTAAAATGGTCATTTTGTAAAATATATTACACAAATTTGAATATATCGTACATTCATATCAGATCATTAGGTACAGTTTCTTAGTAACAGCTACTTTAATTTATAACATTTTCACATTTACAACACAGAACAGTTTAAAAACAAGTAAACTGTTACCGTCATTTTTTTGTCACTGTCAGTTTTGGGGATGAAACCATTACAAAATTCTGATTTTTAAATGCCAACCTATGTTAAAAATTCCACATATAATTGACGTTTTATAAAAAAATGGATACTGATTTGACCTCATAATAAAAGGGTGACAAAAAAATATCGATCATTTAACAATGTAGAGTTACTTGTTTCCAGAGCGTTCCAAAAATAAAATTCCCAAAAAAAGTCGATAATTTTTTAAATATGTAATATTAGACTATTTACCCTGTATACATTCGAAATAATTACGAATAATCATTGTTACAAACATATTATACGAATAGTTGGTAGGCACCGCATATCAATAGTGGAAATGAGATTCCGTTATATTTTGTAAAATCAAACCGAATGTTTTTACTGCAGCCGACAAGTCCACGGCTAAAACGATAATATTATTAAATCATGATGCACTTTCGTCTCGCCGTTTCCTCTCGTGTAATATTAATAACTGGAGTTCTGCAGAAATTTCAGAGAAAAGTGAAAGTATTCAATGCCGCAGCTTGTTTAATAAAAATAATACAGCCGGATCTCTACAAATAAAAATTGGATAACCATAATGACATTATAATGTAATTCAATTTCTCTTTCGGACCCACAGCACGTACATTTCTTTACTTGTACACTTGCATATATTTTTTTATTTTTTTTTTTTTAATCTATTAGTATTTCATTTGAATTTGGTGGAAAAAATGCTCGGCTTCCTAATAACCCTGCAGTATAGACGAGTTAATACTATAATAAACTATTAAACGCGTTTAATTTAACTTGATAATAGGGATGGAGGGGGAATGGCGCGTATAAATTTTAATAACATTTTTCAAACAAAACGCATAAAACTCGTAAAAATGTCTCGGTAAAATACAAAAATATGTAAAACTATATAATAAATATACATATATTTTTCTTTTTTAAAATTAAATCAGTTCGAATATACAACGATACAAATTTATTTTTCATCACATCGACTGTAAAAAGTATTTTATACAGGTATCTATCACGTAGGTGGGTAGAACAGATTTTTTTTTCGAAAAAAAACCCTAACTCATCGCGCTTAATCCAGGTGTAAAGCACGTGTAAACTCGTTTTCAAAACGCATTCAATGTTGATTCGCGTATAATATTCAACCTTTACTCTATAATGGGAATTGATATTTTTGACGAATATATCCCAAAAATAGAAAACATTCGCATTGTCGATGATCCGGAACTATATGATAATAATAGCTACCAGTGCGTATAAACAGTCGGTGGCAAACGCATTAACTCAAAGCGCAATAAGTTAAGTTGCACCACTACGCGTACAAATTTCTATCGGAAAAGAGAATTATTATAGGAAACCTACTTATATGTTTTCTAAAATTAAAATAATCAAAATGATATTCATACAAGTCATTCATTTCTCGTATTTTACTATACAGACAAATTATTATAATATTATCTTAACCGTATTTATTTTTTTAATTTCGAAAATTAATTAATACACTAATGTCGTTGTATTGCTGCTAAATAGTCCCGATTCTTATAAACCTGCAGACTTATAACAAATTGAAACTGGAAAACTTTTGAATAACAAAAACGTTGCCACCTATTAATATTTATTCTTTACTGTCATTGAAAAAAAAAGATCAGTAATTCTTTAAAATAAAAAATATTTTTTCCCTCAACTTATTGAAACTTTTCATCGTTTTTAAATTATGTATAAATACACAAGACGATATCATTATTTCAAAAAGCGACAATATAAATATTATTATAACGTTTATGATCCCCGTTCATATTTATTATTTTATCGATTATTTACGATTATTATTTATATAGTTTATACTGCGTATACGAATTGACTTTCTTTTTTTCATCACGAACCAGTGATTTTCTTGGAGTATTTTGAAGGCAATTTGATTTAAGTTTGTTTTTTTTTTTTCAATCATAATGATTGAAATGGAAGCTTTATTTTTAAATTTCTACCCCTGTTCGCCGTATACCTCGAAACGAGTATTTATAATTTTCAATTTCAAATGGCACGAATAAATTTCATATCTATTACGATTGCACGCTTCTCTAGTCTAAATTTGTTAACTCGTAAATAATAACGGTAAATCCAGTTGCCAATTCACACCAAAAGAAAAATATCCTCGTTTCGAATCCTATTTGAAAATGTTCGAGAACAGAGAGGCAAAATCGTTTTTTGATATGAAAAATTGATAAGCGTTTATAGTGAAATTTCGAAAACATTTTCAATATGGTATGTATAGAATCTGCATATTAAAAGATTCTATAATAATAGGTGAAGACCGGCAAAAACCAAAATCGATTTTGGGTACTCAAAATGTTCGTAGATCGTGATTAAAAAAAAAAAACAAAACAAAACAAAACACCATGTATATTATTATTCTATAGTTTCCTACAACTAAATTGACTTATATTGTTAATTATTATTACTCTATATTATAAATGTCTAGTCATTATACGTTTAAAAGATCATTTTAAAATTATTTTTATCGGTTTCGAATTATAGAAGAGATTGTGCCACAACCACAAATCTCATAATATTATAATGTATGAAACAACTAGATACCCACGACTCCCGTGAGTAAATCTGAAGCTTTGCAACCATTTATACTAAAGGGCATATTGCATTCATTAAACTATTAGTTTATGTTATGAATTTATCTGATGAATATATTAGTGTGATAACACAAAAAATAGTTAATATTAATCGCAGATTGTTTCTGTGTCGTCAAACAATTCGAGACATAAACATAAACATGGACCTGAAGTTAGGAAAAGCTAAACTCATTTTTGGTGAAAATGTTTTGATATAGAACCTAACATATAACATTTAATTTGTATTTTAATATGTTGGCGGGGCGCGTCTCGATCACTAAAATTCCAAGAAATAAAAACAAAAATATTTTTAAAAATTGTCCAATTTGTCATAAACCAATTGAAATAATTGAGTTTGGTCCTTCTTGATCAAATTACCAGAAATATTTTGTGAATCAATCAATACAGTTGACCTTTTTAATATATGACTGCTGACTTCATTGCTCTTCTGGGACTATAATACATTCGGAGGTAATTTTGTTTTATATAATATAAACCACAAGAAATGATCGTCAATATTTAAATAAATATCAGTTAAATATTATTATGTTACGGGTAAATACGAAAAACCTGCACATTCTATAAGCCGGGTAAATTCAAAAATAACTATAATGAGTAACCCAAAAAAAAGAAGAAAAAACTTCATATTTAAAAAAAAAAAATGTATTCTACTCGAGTTGTTTCTGAAGAGATTTAACAGTTTCAACAATTAACACAGACAATGTAAATACGAAAATTAAACAAGTCATGGTCACGTTTAGTATAACCGTACACAAACATGTACGGTAGAAAATATAGTTTACTTATTATCTTTATGTAAAACTAAAAGAAAACTTTTTATTTATTTTCCACTTGTTAATTGAATTGGCAGTTATTCACGGTGTATTCAAAATTTCAGCACTTACCCGTAACATAATACACAATACGTTATTGCAGATATATTTAATATATTATTAATAACATAGTAGTGTTAAGGAATATTTTTAAAATATTTTCTTTAATCGAATTTGAAGTGCTTAAAATTGATTTTTTTTTTTGTTTTTATATAACATTTAAGATTCAATTATTATCGTATGCATTGTTAATACATTTAGATATTTTATAATTTTTTTTTTTGTCAAATTTAGCTATCCCATTTTTGGTCGTAGAATTTTAAATAATATTTCTATCGATTGTTTTAAACGATGTACGCAACAATTTCCACAATTTAACTATTGACATTTTTGAGTCGATTAGAATACATTACAAAATATAATACGCTCGTAATTAAAAAAAAAAAATGAACCTACATTAAAATCAACAAAACTACATAGGTCCTATAGATTCCTACATTTAAAACGAGAGACAAATTTGTATTGTTCGTAGGAATAGATACCAGTTAAAGTTCAAAAACTATTCATAAATTAATCCATAATTAATTAACCATAAAGTTTTAAAAATTATAATTTCCAGACATTTTCAAAAATGCATATCATAACTGTTCACACAATAGTTTATTTGTTTTATATTTTTATTATTTCTAATATTACAAAATATCGTTCGAAATGAACAAACAGTTCAGAAAATAATATTATAATAAACGCGTAATTTTTGTTATGTTTTAAATTGAAATTAAATTAATAACTAAATTGAAAATAATAAGTCCAAAAACAAAAAACTGATCAATAAAAAAAAAAAATGTACGGTATTTTACTATTATGCATAATACCTATACAAATTTTGAACGTTAATTTTGACACCACGCGTTTTCTCCGAGAAACTATAATCCAAATATAATTTATGTTTTTTCTATTTGATCTTGTAGACACAACATAGCAAGAAAGTTTCTATAATATAATACTCGTCTAATGAAATTAACATCACGCGCGCCAATTTGAACCCCCGAAATTTAAGTTAGCGTATACGGGTAAAGTTTTCAAATGTATCTACACATTTTTAGCTAGACAGTGCATGCACTATAATTATTACTTGAACTATTACTTTCAACGCTGACGAAAGGTTCTAAACAAAAGTCAAATTAATTAAATAATGTATATTATAACAATTATATTATTATACGTCTTTACGTAAAATGAGTAAAACTCGCTTAATTTTAGTTTTACAGTAAAAGCGTCCATTATAATATTAAAAGAAGAAAAAATTTCGTAGAGCAATATGCCATATTTTTATAAAAAAAATTAATTTCTTGAAAATTTACAATAATTTTAAAAACGTTGAAATGATCGTTGTTTCAAAACAACATTTTTTCGAACCTTAGATTGGTATGGTAATTTCAATGGGCCTCCACTCGTCCCTATCTACCAAAGCTACTTTTAAAAAGTTGTTTTCCCTATTTCTACTAACATCAGTTTTATAAAAGGAGTTTTTATTGATCTTTCTCTTCCAGCTTTTTCCTCTTTTATTATCGTCACTATTAACCATTCATTGTGTCCAATACATTTTTCTCCCTTTCCCTGATCCCTTTTCAAAATATATTTAAGTGTATTAAATGAACTTGAAATAATGGGAAAAGAAAAACGCAACGTCTCGCACTCCGAAATGTTATAATTTTTATAATACGTGCTTTTACTCTAAAACCAAAATTAAACTAATTCTATACTCAGTCTGCGTAAAAGTGTTTTTGCTGTGTCGCGATACATTTAGTAATACGGAGACAACCACGTATGCTGGTATAGCATCCTATTAAATTCACGACCGATCATTTTAAACACCGAAGAATAAAACGACCCATACTTTGAGGTTTCGGTATTATATTAATTTTGTATTTTAAAACGAAATATGTTAATAATATTATGCTACTTATAATAAATACAACCAATCATATTATATTATTGTATAATGGTACATATAGTATACGATACGAATATATTATTGTTAAATATTTTATAGGCTATACTCGTGTACATTCGGTACATAAAAAAAAAACCACCCCGCCAAATGCGATATTATAATGTTCATTAATGTATTACCTATACCTACTTTACGCTGTATTTTTGTGCGTCTTAAACAAACTATATCAATACCTATAATATTTGTCATTTTTCTCCTCCTATATATATATATATACTTTAAGGTATTAATAATATTATCCAAATACCAATGTTGTTATAATTATTATTTTAGTTTACACCGAAACGCTTGTAACAAGTGTGTACTTGAAAAGTTACCATAATATGTGAAAATATTATAATATATTAAATTTATTGTGTTTATTAGTTATTATAAATAATATCATAATTCACTAGTGACCTATATATATTATATATATAGACATATATCAATTATTTGTAAAAATCAAATTTTGTTTTTATCCCGCACTCCTACTTTAGAAAAAAATCTCGAATTTGTATTCCATATACCTACCTATATAAGCCTATTAGCTATTTACAAAGGGCTGTGTAATATGATATAGCTAATCAGCTCCAAATAAATAAGAGACATCTCAGAAAACTGTCGGATAATTTGAAAGCGATATTGCAAACACAAAAAAAAAACTATTTAAAAATTAATCGAGTAAAAATGTCTGTGTTTTTTAGGACTGTTTATAACGTCTCTTTTAGAAAAATTAGAACTCCTCAGAATGGGTCAGCAGTCCTGAACCACTAAAATCGTTAATCTGGATCAATCACATCAAAATCGAATTGATCGAAAAGATGTAACGTGGAAATATTTATGAAAACGTATAAATAAAAATATTATGACAACCGATATTAAATTAGCATGTTACATGTGAATACCTTTCTACAAAAAAAATAAGAGGTAACAAAAAAATTCGTGGTAAAAATTATTCGATTACAAACATTATTATTTCGAAATTGAATTGCTTTGATGGAAACATGTAATGGTATTATAAAGGTATCTACAAAGTAGAATACCAATCGATGAGATGAGAAGACATATAGGTATCCATTTAAATTGTTTAGAAGGGTTTGTTATTGCACAATGAAAAATTAATAGACATCATTATTATATTTATACGGCTGGAACCGAATAAAAATAAAATCTGACAATTAAACTGATAATTCGCAGTTTGCATTCTGAAGTATTTATATTAATTAATTTGATAAAACGTTGCATATATACATATTATGGAATTTAATTTTAATAAATGGGTATTTTATCTGACAGACACTGTCTATTTCATAATGAACAATTTTTTTTGAACCACTTTAAGATCCTTTTAGCCGCTCCCAATGGACTTCTTGAGCTCAACTCGGGAATTATATTTGTTTTATATGTGGATTTAAATGATAAAATTTTGGTTGTTTCAATATGAATTTCATATTGTTACAGACGAAGGTATTTTTTAACTTTACATCCATACAACCAAGAGAATTAAATTTTATTTCATTTTGTTCATGGTACAAATATCAATGATATGCCTTTTAAGGATTTCAAACTAACCTAACCTCCACAGGAAATGCCAACTCTTAAATATCCCTACAGACTCATCAAAGTAAAGGGGTGAAGATATATACAGGGTTTTCCACGAAGATATACTCATTATAAAATATCCAAGAATAATGAAGATATTCAGATTCTGTTTTTTTTTTATTTTTTTTTTTTTTTTTTTTTTTTGACTCACAGGGATAAAGAATACAAATATTAAGGTTTAAAATTCAAAGAAAAATACCTATAATTTATTATGCAGCAGGCTGTAATCGCACTAATTGATTATTATTGTTATAGCTAATTGATTGTACACTTTTTTTCTCTGAACTTTAAAAAATTATAATAAATTATGAATTTAATGAACATAAAAATATTAGTAGTTCTTAACCTTGGGAGTAATATAAAAAAAAATTTAATTATCTATATTATCTCAAGAGATATTTCAATGGGTAACTTCGTGAAGCACCATGTATACATAAATAGCATCTTTTTAGAGGATATCCCTTTAGAGTTTAAAAAGTTTCAACTTCCGACCCTATCGACTGTTGACCGTTCTTATATTAAAAATCAAATTAAATTGGGAAAAAATGAATAATATACAAAAAATGTAATAAAACTCTAAAAGCATAACTATTTAAGGTTAATTATGAAAAAAAAATAATAACATATAATATAATGGCAATAAAGCAGTAGGGAAAAAATTAAACTCTAATAACGGAGCTCTTTACGATAACGAAGGGTGTTTTTTTATTTAAACACTACGAAAATAATCGGCCTTCAAATCATATATACAATTCGATCGCCATATCTTTAAGTACGTTTTAAACCTTAAAGTGACATTCATACATGCAAGAGCGTTTGCTAATGAAGATAATATTATACAAGCTTCTGAAAGTTAAACCGGAAAGTAAACCCCCCCAACCCCCCCCCCCCCCCGGTCGACCGTACGCGTTGAGTTTTGGCTCAGATTTATAGAGGAGTTGAGTTTTGTTGTTGTTTAGATTTTATACCGAATTATTATCAAACTTTTGCACCGAATAATGTAACAATAATATATATACGACACTTCAAACCTACGATAAACAATAAAACCTAACCTTGCCCAACCATATATAATATATATATTAGTATGTTACGGCTAATGTTTAAAATTGGATAATGTCAAATTTTCGTTCAGTAAAACAATTTTGTGCTATTAGTTTTCATATTAGAATAAATTGGCTTATTATCAAAATTAAAGGTATAATTATATTATATATATATATTATAAAAGTTAACTGAGATACGAGCATGTGAAATATTACAATAAAAAAATCCTTATATTCACTTAAATATTTAAAATATCGAAAAAAACAACGTACAAACACAGATAATATTACAATCTTATCTGTAAGATTAATAACAAACTGATTCTCTTTAATATTAAAATTAACAGCATAGAATTAGTTTTACTGAAAAAAAATTTGTCACCAAATTGTCTATTTTAGATATAACATGTATATTGGGCACACTTAATCTCGGAAAATATTAACTTTTTTCGGAATTTGTTTCATAAAACATTTAAGAAATAAATAGCTCTATAACTTTACATTCATGTTATTTTTTGTCACTCTTATTTATATGTTTGAAACTACTATTATTGATTTTCAAATGACAACCTTTATTAAAATTCCATAAATATATGAAGTATTAATTAAAATAAATTTCGGTGTTGAAAATTTTAATTTCCGCCAATCCGTTGATGAGATATTCTATTTTAAGTTTTTGATCGGAGGAGAGTAGTGGAGCATCATTTGTGTAACAACACGACGTTTTAATAATACCTTATTATCAGTATACATTATATTTCAATTTGGGCGTTTCAATCAATCCCTGCAATATTGTTTAATACGATTTTGGGCGAAAAAAACAGAATATACTCGTTGGTGCAAATGTTGATCAATTAAATGTTTAACTCTATGGCCATTTTTCAAACTCACTAAAAATATGAGAGCTGGCGCTGATGAATGTAAATTTGTAAACTTCCTGTTCGAAATTAGAAATTATCAAAACCCTGTTAATGATGATAGTTTAGTGATATTATTTTCCTCCCTGATTTTAGAATTAGATATTGTTACCGAAATATATGGACGAAATTCATTACCTACCTCTTATTGAAACTTCATATCTTTCGAGATTTATAATTCTGACACCAAAGAATGAGTACTGTGATGAAATCAACAAGAGGGTTTTAGATCTCTTTCCGGACTTATCCAAAATTTACACAAGTGTGAACATACTAATTATAGAAGATAAAAGTAAACTGCTGCAATTTCCTGCTGAATACCTGAACAGCCTTGAGATGAATGATTTTCCAAGCAACGAGCTGATCTTAAAAGAAGGTGCTATTGTTATGCTCTTGAGGAATTTGAATACAGATGTAGGATTACAAAACAGCACGAAACTAATTGTAAGAAAAGTGTTCGAGAACAGTTTAAATTTAGAGATTATAACTGGTAGACATTTTGGACAAAGAGCACTGTACCCCGCATTGATTTACCTCCATCGAAAACTACTGTTTCATTTTCATTTAAGCGAAAAAAATTTCCTATAAAAGTGGCATTTTATACAACATTAATGAGACGTAGAGACAAATTATTAATTATTAATTAATTATTAATGACGCACTGCCAATATTGTTTGGAAGAAAGTAGTAAGAAATTATTTTTCTTTCGTGTTTATAGCTATTAATTTTACGTTAGGTTAGAAATAAATAATAACAAAGTTAAAAAGAACTAAACTACCAACTTTGTTTCCGTAAATTTATATTATAAATAAATAAATAGGTACCTAAATATGGGGGTGAATATTATTTCTAAATGTAAGTTTGTATGTATATGATCCATTTATCTTTACCATTTGTACTTAACCAAAATTAATAGATGATGTATCGTTTTAAAAATCAAATTCCTCTTTTCTGACGAATTGTTAATTTAGAACTGTAAAATCAGTTATTTGTTTAAAATATCACAATTAAAAATTTATGTTTGAATGCGAACTTTTCGCACGAGTCAACTAGTTTAATATTTAATGATCAAAATATGATAAGTAGTACAATTAGCAGTTCCATCGTTATTAATATCATAGTATGTACCTACCTATAATATATTTTTTTTAATTCAACTCGAAATCGATACCACAACGGGAAAAAAAAACATGTTTAAATATTATACGACACGGATACGAGCGAATAAATCAATATTATTAATATTATGAACCTATTTTCCTTTTCGTCCAAACTGAACACAGCAGCAAATCGTTTGTTTTTTTGACTTCCTAAAACCGAGTACGTTATTATTTATTTATATGTACAACAGTCTAAGCAGTTGTGATTAAAATAGCCAATTGTTTTCGAGTCAATAGTTTTTTCTATCGAATTATCCAATTTAATGTCTTTTATTGTTTCCATTGCAGTAACGGGTTCTCGAGGAGACTTTTTTTAGCATATGATAATAATGCGCTTAACTTATCGATAGTATTTTCTTACCTATACTTGTAGGTCAATTTGTTTTCAATTATAGGTAGGTACCTCTACCTACTTAATAATATTTCTATATTATGTATTTAGTGTGTACATATACGAGATAACCAAATTATTTTTACACAATTTGAAAACGTAAAATCTTATTATTTCTCCTCTCTCTCCCCCATTTAACTTCAGGACCGCAACTGTACTTGTAACGGTGTGTCGTAAACTGCATAGTATTAAACTCAAAAATAATAAGATTTTCATAATTTATTGAATACTATATGTTGCAACACTAATAAGCCAAAATAAGTGGAAGATACCTAATCGGAGATGATTTCGGTAAAAATTAGTTAATTGCGATTTAACTACAATGTGAGTTTTATAAAATGTCCATTTTTTTCTATTTTTCAGTCTAAAATACATGTAAAGGAAACTTTCGATTATCCGAGGTCCTCCACGAAACTGAGTTATTTTAAAAAGTACAAATTATATATTATGATTTTTCTGTAAGAAAATCTAATGATAATAATAATAATTCATGTAATAATTAATTTAATAAAACATGTTAAAAGCATTTTTGTGTTAATTTTCGGTCTATTTCGTCTTATTTCGGATTATCCACGGTTGCCGCGCCACCTAATTTCGCGGATAATCGAGAATTTACTGCATTTATAAAATAAAAGTAATATAAAAGTAAACAGTGCCATGTGGAAGGAAGGGAGGAATTAGGAGTTATACATCCCCATTAGTTTGGAAATATTCGTATAACAACTATGAATATTTATTTGGTAATTTAATCTTGGAATGTACTGAAATGTATTAAGCTAGTTTACAAGGAAAAACTTAATTTATTGATTAAAATCCGAATTGATCGGATTTTATGTTGTCATAATCAAGACAGTTTTACGATTTATTCATGATTATTATTTCCTATATTCGCTCTTATTGAAAATTCCTGGATACACCACTGAGGAGAAGTTCGTAAATTCGAGTAAAACAGACGCGCATTTGACATCTATCATATTATTTTATAAAAATATACTATCGATAATACAATGAATATTTATAAATTGGTAAATATATCATCTGAGGTATTTCAAACGAATAATACATTACTAAAACCAAGAAAACAATGCATACTGCGAGAGAGTGACAGTGTAGACATATGTATACAGCGTTTATTCTGTAATATTGTTCTAATAGCAACGGGCGGAAAAATTTGGATTAAATTCAATAAAAGATTGGATACATATATATATATAATAATAATAATATTATATTACTACGAGTAAATTGTATTGAATGTCGTGCTGTCGTCCTTAGTTTAAACATCGCACAACTCGCAACAGCTATAATTTACTCGGTTAGGAAATTTCGTGACAACGACGACCATTTGTATATCATAAAACTAATATTATTTCGAATTTTTAGGCAAATACAGCGCAAATATATAAATCCCCAATTTCAGAAAGGGGACGTGGCCATAAAACTAAATTCTACAAAAGGCACAAAAAACTGAGACACGTCATGAAATTGTCATCTTTCTATACACATAACACTAACTTTAGAGGCTGATATTTCCATAACGGTTTGATGGACTGGCCCTATTCTTACACAAATTATCTATTTAAGGTAGATAAGTGATAAGTTGATAATTAAATGTCGTCAAAACGTGGAAATGTCCTCATTTTACAAATATTAGTGATTCATAATACACCTACAGTATCTATAGTTTATACATACAAAAATATACAAACATAGAAAATCATTGATATATAATTTACATCACAGCTAAATAAATAAACATGTCAGCAAGATAACGTCACACAAATTAAATCGTGGTCAAAGAGTTATTTTATGGGAAAATAAACTATACCAAGTTGAATATCAATATTATTGTAATGTCAAACAATTGGCGGAAAAATGACGACACCCAAACTAAATGCTCTGTAAGAGTGAGTTTTGGTTATCTTGCTGGCATGCCTTTTTTTATTTATTTGCGATTTAAATAGAAAAATCATAATTTGAATACCGCCATTTATCTTTTAGATTGGATTTACTATGTTGTTTATTTTTTCTTTGTTCTAATCTGTGGACACGTTTTTCCTAGTAAACTTGCTCCGATTTCTACGTAGGAGTACGGTACAGTTAATTATTATGATTATATTCTCACACTTATACAGACACTATTCACATAGATACAATTTTATGAGTAATTTTTATTAATTAAATATAGACATTCTCAGTTCGGTAATTTAGTGGAAAATAAAATCAAAATTAATTAGCTCATTATAAGACTTAGGCACTATTCGGACTATTATTTTCCGATTAGTTACGTATTTTATTCTTATTGCTAAAGGGTACATGAAAAATAGATTTATTTCTTGATTCAAAAACCGGGATTTTAAAACTAATTTTTGACAGTAATTCAGGACAATCTAAAAATTTAAATTAATTTATTGTAGATAAAATTGTTTTGCTGGACAGAAATGCTTAAAACTTTAATACGAGTTCATTATAAGTTATACTTGGTGGTAACTTAATGTAGTAGTTTTTTTTTATTAGAGTTTAAAGTTCAGATTTTAATTAAAATAATAAAAATTACGGATTTCCAGACATGTTTAATCAACCTTCACTCAGAATCTTCGTTAGCAATAATTTATCATAGCGTACAGGTAAAAATTAAATAGGTACTTTTATATATTCTACCTTACCAACTTTATTTTACTATACTTTTCCATTTCGCTTTCTGGTCCTTTCATAAGTAGGTCTTTCGCTCCACCGTTTTTATTACCTCATACTCTTATACTAATTTTTATTGATTTATAGGTAAGTACTCTATATATAGGATTATATATTAAATCATCTTCTCATTCAATTCTCTTTTCTACTTCCTCCCCTCCCCTCTCATTTCATTTATTACAACAGTTATCATAAAATATACATTTTTTCACAATATAATCGAAAAACTCTTATTACGATTATTATTTATTTATTTTATGGTCACAAAAAGTAAAAACAAAATAAAATGTTTTCTGAATAAATTATGTGAATGCCTCATGTCCGAAGTCGGGACGGGACGCTTTATCGATGTGTACAGATACAAGGAAATTCATTTTTTAAAAATGTACAGTTTCCATTTCTTCTTTATTCATTTTTTTTTTTTTCTAAATTATATCTAATTTAAGTTCTTCGCATTGATAAATATTTTTAAAAATAGACATTGTTTGAACATTTAATATACTGCATGTAGCAAATGGAAAACTTCATCTACCGTATTTTGAATTTAAAAAACCAAAAAATAAACCTACGATTCGTCTGGACACTTTTATCCAGATAAATTTATGTTTGGGTATAAATAATCGCTCGTATATTTTATACACCACCACCGTTCGTTCGTCCGGACACGAAGGAAATATTATACTGTTTATATTATCCGGGTGTTACGAAAAAAATTTCCGCAGTATTTTTTTTTTTTTATCAATGTAAGTTTTATTATTACAATATTATTATGTTTAAATCGAGTTACGACGTCGTATAGAACGAAAACCATCTTTACAACTAACCCAGAATTTGCATTTTGGCTGTGTATAGTAGCTAGTCAGTAATAAAACATTAATTGAAACATCAAAAAAATCATTACATCAAATTGTAAAACGAGACAAATTCTCATTATATGTATTCAATGTACATTATACAGAGTGGGCATAGGAATAGGGCCAAAAAAAGACGGGTTTTCTCTACGCAGGATAAGAGTGGAGGTCTGGAAAAACGCATACAAACCGTCAGAAAATACCGTCTAGTTACTACTATAATGCGGTGGAGCAATGGTATTTTAGTGACCGATCTTACACCACAATATCAGTATCTGACAACAGATGTATCTGAAACCTCTAGCAGTCTAATTCGGAACAAGTTTCTACGTTTTTTTCTAAGTTTTTCCGAATTATTAAAAAAAAAACCAAATAGAAAATCAAAAAACGACCATCTCAATGCACCTTCTGGATCAAAAATAAAATTCAACAAAAAAGGACCATCATTTTTTGATTGACTTAATTAGCAGAGATCCGAACAGGAAAAAAACAATAGAGGCAGTGTTGGGATAAACTATAGATAAAATTATTTAAACGATAATCTTAAATAATAGATAGGTACTATTATAATAAGTCAATTATAACATCAGTCTTCTTCTCCTTGGCTTATTAAAACAGACCATTGAGGTCTTTTTCCACTTCTAATATTCCTTTTCATGGATTTCTATTGATTGCCAGGTTGATTTTACAAATCGAGATTTATACTTAACATGTCTCTTTTCAGTTTTCACCACATATCAAACCATCTCTGTTGCGGTCTTCCCAGTGGTATTTTACCACTGGGTATTCCAATCATAGCATTTGCTTTTTTTATGAGACGTTTTTCTACGCACCACACGTACCCTGCCCATTATAATCTTATGCTTCCAAGAAAATGGTAAATATTTGATTTATTTAAATAGGCTTTATATTTCGTCATTTTTTCTTCTTTTGAAAATGCCCGAATGTGTATTATACACCGGTCCATGTTTCTTAATATTTTCCTTTCAAAACAGCGAACTGTCCTTCGTCACCAGGTTTCACACACGTACATCAATATGGAGCACAGATATGTTGTATATAACCCCCCTTTCGTTCGTCGTGACAGTAACTTTGACGAAAGCATCACTTTCATCGCATAGTAGCTTTTATTAACTACTCTCATTCTGCGCTTAATATATCTCATGGTGCATATTTGTTGAAGCGCGCAGTCATAACATCGCACCGCCGAGCATTATCAAAGGCGATTGCGCGATGAGCTTATCGGAAGTCGTTAACCGCCGCCGCTCTCTAATCTGCCGTCCACTCTTTGCCCAGCCCGGGCTTATTTTTATTCGCCGTCGTCGTATACGGCTAGTTCTTGACCGTCGTCTTCAATCCATCGTTCGTGTCGTGGATGATCGTGGTCACCACGCACCCTTTGTTTGCCGTTGCTCTTTTCGCGAAAGAAAATCGGACCGTGAGGATACTGTATAGAAGTAATAAACCAAAAAAAATGGTCATTAATGTTATCACGGGTCGCCAAAATTTAAACTATTCCCGAAACGAGCCGTGCCGTAAAAAGTTTGGAAACCTTTACGTTAGAATTATTGATGTGACCTACCGCTGTCAACACATACTTAACAACTTTCGCTTTTGTACGGTAACGCGCGGTGTGCGGCAATACCGGCGAATTGTGCCTGTAAAGGTATCGTCCTGATTTTCGCGGTCGTGCCCACGGCTTGCAGCCGCGCCGTCACGTCTCCTTCACCTGATTCGTTGTGAGTAGCCGCCTCAGTACCGTTGCTATCGCGACTTATCAGCCGCGCACTATGCTTTTTAATTTGTATTGTGGGTTATCGCTTTCGATCTCGCAGCTGGTTTATTAGCCAGTAGTCATAAGTCCTTTTTGTATATAAAACACCATTACTGCTGTTGTTACTGTGTGTCGGAAAAAAGTTTCCACCACGGTTCGTATAATATCATACATTTGTTTTTTAATCACTTTATAATAATCGGCCTTGCGCGCCTTTTACCTTTTTAAACCACACATGCGCGCAGTTTTAAATTTCCAACACTTTAAATTAATATTGCCACCTCACCACCCGGTTGTCTACGCGGCACAAGTCGTCAGGTTAACCGTCATACCGTAGGAATCTGTCGGCGCAACAGTGTTACATTTATTTCCAAATGTTTAAATTTTTCTACTTGTTCAAACGAATGTCCGTTCACCTTGAGATTATTCTTTGTGCGATTAAACGCACGTTGGTAGTATTTACAAATGTATCATCTTATGTATTGTACTATACAAATTTATTTTACATCTTCAAAAACAAGTAAGGAGAGCCTAGTGCAAGCATACGAGTTCTCGGTTTCTACACGTATTTTAAACAATAAACTTCTCTATCTTCAAACTATTATTATAATTTTCTTAATATATCGTTTCTATTATTTGTTTATGGTATCTATAAGTAAATAACTGTAAATTATTTTTATCTGTATCCAAAATCAATATTTAGTCATCGTTTTCACCTTTTACCTAGATAAAATCGGTGTATTGGTTATCTTGTCTGACTCAGCAGAATATTGAGAAGGATGGACATCTTTTAGTGTGAGATGGACCATAGTGTTTAGTGACCTACAAACCAGAGAAGAAGATATATATTGTGTAGATTTCTTGCTTTCTTAAATGTACGATGTACATACAATGAAAATGGTTCCAATTTTATAGGACAATATATTATTCTATAGCACAAAACTCTGAGTGTAACTTATTATAGTGAACGCGTGTCGAACTATCTTGTGGAGTATCGATATCGTGTCAGAAGAATATCACCGATCGAAACTAACTAAAACCAGAACTTAGTCAAGATGACACATTTCAAAGCAAATTTTCACGTGTAACGTGTATTCCAGTTTTGAGTAGTTTACTAAACATTATAATTTACATTATTGCGCATTTCCTAATAATTTATGCGTATTCTAATCGAAATGTTCGATTTCTAGAATAATATACATATCATATAAATGATTTGCATCCAAAGGACAATTAAACGATACATATGTGTGGTGCATAGAAGCTGTGAGGACAAAGGGAAAAAACGGATGGTTTTAGTTCATTTTCTTGTCGAGTAACGGCAAAATTACCAAACTTTAAAATAATTCAATGATTACGTGCGATAAAAGTAAAATGTTTAAAAAAACAACAAAAATAATCAACATAATATCATATCATTTTTTATTTTACTCACGAATAAACAGGACAGCAAAACAATGAGAACAATAAAATTTCACTATGTCAAATTTTAATAGGTATCCATTTCACAAAAATATCATGAGTTTAATGAAATGTTTACAGATTTCATGAAGTATAAAAAAAAATTATTGCTAACAAAAAACGATTCTGAATAAATTCGGATAACATTTACCGTGAATTGAACATTTTTATGAAACCAAAAGTTTACGTAACATTTTCATTTACGCAAAATGCCGTGATTTTTATAAAATTTGAACTTTGCACGCTTATAAAAGAAAATCGTGACTTCAGATTTTTAACTTCATTGCGTTCAATGCCATATTAATACAATCTATGATGAACATTATGTCAAATAATAACTGAAAACTTGAAAAATTTAAATGGCTATAAATAGCCCGAAATTCGTCAGAATGTTTTAAAAATTCAACCACGTCTATAAAAGGGTAATATAAAAAGTATCGATAAGATGTTATAAGAAAATAAATACCTAATCAAAAATAACTAAAACCATTATTGCGTATAAATATTCCAAGTTTTTCGACACGTTTTCCAAGTTTTCTTAAAAAAACAACACCTTCGCAGTCCAAAAACCAACCCTGAAGTCTATGATCGATACAAAATTTCTGGTATGAAAGTTGTATACAAACGGTTTCTATTTCGGTCTCGTAAAATTAACAGTTTTACCGTGTGATGAATCCGTTTTATTAATTAATAATATATGTATATATATACAGATGAATATTATTATTTGTTCAATGGGCACAAAATAAACGATCAAAAGAACGGCTCCGTCTACATTCTATTCAGTCTTCGAGATTACGAATCGTGTATTTCTTTGAAAAAATAAGAACTTGAAAGAAACTCGGAAGAATTCAAGTATACAATGAACATTTAAAAAACCGTGATGTATTTAATTATTGTATCATTACAGGAAGTGTCATGTCTCGTGTGTGTTTAACCGTAAAATAATTTCCTAAAACGACAAAGATCGACATCGTGCGAGAATAATCTCACGAGTATACCCATTACAGTAATAAAAAAAAAGTACCTGATTAAAAAAAAAAAAGAATTACCTAATCTTCACTTTTAGGATAAATTTTTCATACTATGAAAAATAAATCTACCTACATATTTACAATATAAATTGATTAAATTTCTCAACTTCTATTAACAAAAATTAATTTACAGCTCAATACTAATCAAAAATAATATGTATAATTGATTTTTAAATAAACTATAATTTTTAAACAACTCAGTTTTTAAAAAACTACATGCAATACAAGTAGAAAATATTAATAATACAGTAAATATCAATTATGAGTACTTATAAAAATATTAAACAATTCAATATAAAATAATTTGTCTGTTTTTATGATTTTCTGAAAACAATTATACAAAAATATCTAAATCAAGGTTCTTGGAAATTTTTTTTTTAAGCTTATTGAAACCAAATTACTTAAACAATCATTTGTCATTTAATTCCTCATGTAATTTTTCAGTTGTCTCAGACATGAAAAAGTTCTTTGGCAGCACTAAATACTGGACAAGTTATTATAATAATGGCTAGTCTATAGGTTTCATTGAACCCAAACTTATACTTTTCAAGTAATTCAATTAAATTCATCAAGTTGTTTACTTTAATGTTATAATTAATTTTTAGTTCTGCCCTTATATAGAACTAGTCTAAGTATATTATTGTCTATAAAACAAGTATTTTTATCAAGACTCTATTATTTATCTTTTTCTGATGATGTTATCCACGAATATACTAATTGCATTACCTAGTAGTAATCACAATAGATCTATTTCAATGTGCATAATCACATTTTTAATAATGTGGTAAAAATAATTATATTTTGAATTTGGGAGGGCAACCATGGCCTAGAGTAAATTAAAGATGGGCTCTGCCCACCTAGGTCCCCCTGGCTACATGCCTGATTACAGGTCTTCTACATATTCAGTCCCATCAGGCACACCTCAAGGTGGAAGGGGTTATTAGGGGAAAAACGGAAAAATGACATTCATCTAAATAAATAAACACATGTTTTTATGGGAAGAATAAAGAATTATTTTATTGAATCATTAATCATCAAATAAAAGTAAAGTTACGTTAATGTAATAGAAAAGCCCATGGGCATAAAAACTGTCAACTGTTTATTATTAGAAGATCACCTTCATTGAATTACCAGCCATTAACACATCATCTACATACAACAATAAATACAAATTATTGTCATCATTCAATTTTACATACAAACATTGATCGGATTTGCTTCTTGCTAAATCTTGTTGACATATGAAATTATTAAAACGTTTATTCCAACAATTTGAAGATTGTTTAAGACCATAGAGTAATTTATGTAGTTTGCAAACCAAACTATTTTCTTGGTCATCAGGTTGTATCATGTAAAGCTCTTCCTCTAAAATACCATTGAGAAAAGCTGTAGTCATATTCATCTGAATGAGGCGTATATTCCTTTGATTTACTATTGCAAGTAAAGTTTGTATTGTAATGATATTAACTACAGGTAAGTAGGTATCAGAATAATCAAAACCTTTTATTTGGGTATATCCTTTAGCTACTAATCTAGCTTTGTACTTTAATGGATTTCCTTCTTCGTCCAACTTTAATTTGAATATCCATTTATTATTTATGATCTGTTTATTTTGGGGTTTTGGAACCGGTGACCATGTATTGTTCTCTATTAAGGCGTCCATTTCTTCTTGCATTGCTTTCTTTTAACAATTTTTATCTGGGTGAACTTGAACTTCATCAGTATCTTTGGGTAAATTTTGTACATAATTTTCTGCTGATAAAGCTAACATTGCCATATGCATAATCTTTAAATTTTTCTGGTTATGTTACTTTTCTTTTAGGTTGTGTAGTTTTGTTATCTTCCAGTCTTCTTATCTTCATGATGATATCTTTGGTCTCTTCTTTATGCTCATCTTTTCTGTCATTTTCTGCTTCTTGAGATTCATCTTCTTTGTAGTTTTCGTCTTCTTCAGGTTCATCTTCTCTTATATTTACTTCAGATATTTTACTGATATTTTGATTACCTTGCATTCTGTTTTCATTAAAAATTACATCTTGACTTACAAAAATTGCCCTGGTTTCAAGATCCCATAGTCTATAACCAGATTCAACAAAACCAAGCATAACGCTCTTTCTTAATTTGGAATCTAATTTACTTCTTAGTTGTTTAGGTATATGAGCAAACGTAGCACACCCAAAAACACGAATGTTTGATAAATTTAGTTTACAACCATTCCAAAATTCAGTTGGTGTCTTACTTGAATTTTTAGATGTTGGTAATCTATTTAGTAAATATGTGACCATGAGAGCTGCTTCACTCCACATTTCTTTAGATAACCCTGATTGAAATAGTAACGATCGGGTACTTTCTATAATTGTACGATTAGTTCTTTCAGCTAAACCATTCTGCTCAGGAGTGTATGGAGCAGTGTAGTTCACAACAATTCCCTTTTGTGCACAAAAATTCTTGAAATTGTGAGATATGTATTCGCCTCCATTATCACATCTTAATGATTGAATAGTTTGTCTAAAATGTACACTTACAACTGCTTCATATTTCTTAAAGTAGTTAAGTACTTCACTTTTATTCTCAAGCAAATAAATTACATTAAATTGTGTATAGTCATCAATAAATGTTAAATTGTATTTCATACCGTTCCAGGATATTGGACTGATTGCTCCACATATTTATCACTGTGTATCAGTTCTAGTGACGTGTTGTTCTATTTTTTCTTAGAATGAAGGGCCGTCTAGTCTGTTTGTTGTCTAGTCTCTCCATAAACTCCACAAATTGTAGGTACTTCCTTTGTATTGAATTGAACTCCAAAAACAATATTCTTCAGTTTGTTCAAATAATCTCTATTTGGAAGCCCCATTCGTTTATGCCATAATACTTCATCAATATTTACCTTGACAAGGCTGTTGTATTAATGCTATTATCTCGAGTATTGTCTAGAAAAAAAGTTAAATTGTATAGTGTTTGGGTTCTTTTAGCTATTGCTATAACATTTCGATTTGAATTCACCACACTTGCTTGTCCCTTTTCAAAAAATATTTTAAAACCAAGTTCTTCAACTTTACCAACAGATAACAGACTATATCTTAAATGTGGAACATAATATACATTTTTAAATTAACATAAAATAGGAAAACTTTCTACTCGACTATATGCATTCATTGTACCTATTTTTTTTGAGGTTAGATTTTTTCAATTTTTAGCGCACCTATGATCATTGTACTTTCTAGTACTTTCAGATGAAAAATATCTCTCGTTATAATATAAAACTATTATAACCGGGAAGGGTAGCTAAACGCTCTTATTCCAAGTTGATTGGTCCGTGATTGTGGTGGCCCTACAGGTTAACCTGCGGGGTGCGTCCGAATACGGATCGCGAAGTGGGGAAATCGATCAATATTATATATTCTTTTTTAGATACGCACACACACGTGGTTGCAAAGCTTAGAATAAAAAAAAAAAAAATAAGAAACAAAATTGGGGGGAGTTTGGTCTATTGCACATAGGATGTGGAACGCGGGGATTATTACAACGAGACTGACGCACAAACCTAATAGACGCTGGTTGATCCCCGTAGGTATAACGGAAGAATTTAACATACGAGAGAAAGAAAAAAGGAAAAAAAATTATTTTAGACGAAACATTTAAACGGGGGACCTTAACTAACTTAAAACTACCTAACTAACGGGGTATCGGCCAATTATTAAATTACATGTATATTACCTGTCATCTCGCCCGAAGATATCCGCCCAGCGGACCAGATCGGGACTCACTTCATCAGTTCGTTTGAGGCACAATCAGGAGAAATGCCAAGGTATAGGACCTTTCTTAATGGCAAAAAAAAAGCGAACCCGTACGGTACGGGAGTGTTTTTAGCAAAAGACCGTCTGGTGACAGTCTCGAGACGACGTCTGGACGCGAAGAGAGAAAGGAACGAACAGAAAGACCAGGCAGCGGAGCGCGGAGACGTTCGTGACACACGTCACCGCGGGCCGACGTTTTTAGCGATAAAGGGAAACGTGATCTGATTGGCCGTTAACCCGTAGTCAGGAATATATTATTATTGTAAATTACGAAATACTGCGATCGCGTAAACCTTTTCGCGGGAGGTCGACGAGGGAGTAATCGATTAACCGGTCGATCATATCGATTGCAGGTATGCTTGTCCTCCGATAACGGAAAACGGTCGTTTTTGGACGCTACAAGCTACTATCAATTTCGATTATGCATTACATAATAACGTGCTTGACTCTCGTTTCTTCTGTGAAAGACTTAGTCATTACCTTTTCACATGATTTATCATTCTGTGAACATATCAAATCTATAATAAAGAAAGCTTCCGAACCACTTGGTTTCATCAAGCATCATTTCTTCGAGTTTAGCAACCAGAGGTTATTTAAAGCTCGTTATTCTGCTCTAATCCGATCAATTTTGGAGTATGGTTCTATTATTTGGAATCCAAACAACAATTTAGAACGTCATTCAATAGAAACAGTCCAGGATCGTTTCCTAAAATATGCCGTCTTTAAATTAAAATACCCATTATAACCTCACATTTATCAACCAGTACACGTTTATTAAGACCTCCCCACACTGGCCACTGGACGTGACGCTACAGATATGACCTTCATTTTCAATCTCATCAATGGTTTTATTAATTCCTCCTTATTAAACTTAATTCAATTTTATGTCCCTCATCAGCAATGGTACCCCACACTATTCTATATTCCAACTCACACTACAAATTTTGCCAAAAACTTAACTCCCTCAAAAGTGGGCAGTGTCCCTATGTAATAACCACCACAATCTCGATTTTTTCCATGACCCCATATTTATCATTAATAAATCCCCATTACACTAATCACCATACATACCACACTAACTATTATTATACTTATATTCATTATTTTTATTTAAGATTTACCTGTTTATTGAATTACTTTCAAAAATATTTAAATCTGTCAATATTGAGCTTTCATCCGTAATTATTTATTTATTTATTATAGATAAATAAATTATTATTATTATTAAATAAAAATTCTAAAATGTATTATTTTGGCCCATTATAAATACAAATTAAACAAATAGATTTCACAAAATTATAAACAATCAAATACAATGTATGTAAAATATATATACATTATAAAAGATAAGATAAATAAGAAGTAATTAGAAGTAAATGATACTTTGCAAACAATGCATACATAAGGTTTCTCACTGATATGAAATTCTTAAGTGTTTCGTCAAATTCATTATTAAGTAAATGATTTATTACAAACAATGCATTTGTGAGGCTTTTTCTCATTTATGAATTAACTTATGCCACTTTAAACTGAACAATTAAGTACATGATTCTTTACTTTTGTATAAGTCATAATGTGATTTTTCAAATCAGATGTTGTCAAACATGATTTTTCACAAAAATTGTATTTAAAACGTTGTTATTCATCAATATGAATCTAATTGTGAATTGCCAAATCAGATTTTTGTACAAATGATTTAGTACACATATCAGACTGGAAAGGTTTCATAAGGTTTAAAAGGTATGAATTATCTTCAGTGTGAGTTTTCATATGTTGTTTTAAAGCATTTGCCTGAGTATATGATGTTAAATTTGATTTTGATTTAAAAGTGTTACGGCAATTATTACATATATAAAACTTTTTTCTAAGTTATGATATTGTATGTAAAATTAATTCCATAGGATCATTTTCAATAGTTATTATATTTTCAAACATACAACCATTTATTAAATCAAATTCTTTTTTTATTTCAATTGTTTGGTTATTTGATTGTTGTACTTCTTCTTTAGAATTGTGTATGTATCTAAAAATATTATAATCACAATGTATATTAATTACCTTAAACTTAAAACTAAATAAAATGGAATTATCAGATAATATAATAATAGATTGAAATATTATTATACAATTATTTTATAATATATCTTGTAACAATTACAATAAGATATTCCACTTATAAGTTTGGGTTGGAGGAGAATAGTAATACAAAATTAATTTAAATGTCTTTAGATTCTGAGTGGAGCGAAATAGAGAGATAATTTAGAGAGGCAATTTTTCGATTTTCTAAAGTTTTCTCATCAAATGGAAAAATTTACAAAATATAATAAATATAATTTTAACATTTTTTTTTCTGTTAACAACTTTTCTACCATCAATTTTGCTCAAACTTTTAATTAAAGCAACGCTTTTAAAAGAAACTTTTACTAAGGAGGTAATTTTTGTAATTTTCTAGGGAGTTTTCTTATCAAATTAGAATTTGGGCTTTCATTTGGGTTTCATTTAATTTAAATTGATGCTATTAAAATAATCAATTTTAAAAAAAAAACTTACTTTGATGGTTGGTATTCATTTTTAAGTAATAAACTTTCAAACTCGCAATCGTTTAATAAATCAATTTCTGTTTTTACTTCAATTGTTCGTATATTTAAATATTGTATTTCTTCTTCAGAGTTAATTTTAAATCTAAAAAGTTATAAAATCATAGTTGTATGAACAAGACACCTTAAATTTAGAATTAAATAAAATATCAAAAATTATATCTTATGTAGGATAGTACACTAAAAACTCTAACCAAATTGACCTTTTGAAAAAGATACAATAGGAAAGCTTTAAAACATTTTTAATTATCAATTATACAGTGTTCTACAAGGTATACCCATTATAATATCTCCAGAGATAATAAAGATAATCAAATTCTGATGTTTCTTTTTTTAATATATATAATAAGTCACTGGAATGAGAAGTACTACAAATAATTATATTGCAAATAATGTTTTATTTAATAAAATTTAGAGAAAAGTACCTATAATTATGCAGCAGACATTAATCTTACTATCTAATTGATTATTATTATGATTAATTGACTGTATACTTCTTTTCAAAAAGTTATTATCAAGTCATAAAAAATGAATTGCAATACAAAAATATTTATAGTTCTAATCCCTGAGAGTAATATAAAAAAAAAAAACAAACTTTGACTATCAAAATTAGCTTCAGAAATATTCCAATGGCTATAACTTTGTGGAACACCCTTTATACTATACTACATATGTTATATGAAATAATAAAATTTACAAATTAAATTGTTTTTATTTTATTTAAGTTGAAAAAAATAATTTTAAAATACTTACTGCAGATGTTAGTTGTCATTGTTCATTTCTGCTTCAAAGTAAATAGTATATCTGAAACATTTTAAAATCATAATAATCAGTTAGGTATCCACTATTGGTAGAGGAGATCATTATATTATGATATATAGCAAACTTATAAAATTGTCCTAATTTTTGTTTAAGAATAAAAAATTATAAGGCCAAACAAATCGTAAAAAGGGCTTTTGACAATATTCTCACAAAACAGAGAGGAACAAGAATTGAAGAGTACTGAAACTTATGGTTTTCATCATGGCAAAATAAAGAGATAAACCGATATTAGTGAATTATTTGAATTTCAAATAACAAACAATACCTAAATTCATTTTAGATTCAGAGTTTATCGAAGAATGTATTGGAGAGGTCATTTTTTGAAATTCTCACTAATATTTGTGATAATAAGGAAAACCTGGTTCTTTAGGTTAAAAAACATTTAAAGATTAAAAATAAGGTTTTTATTGACAACCGTTTTTAGTATCTAAGTACTATAATTATAGTTATTTTTACTTATCCTATCTACCTACATTAAAATAATGAATACTCACTTTGAATTTATTGAAGAATTGTTGATTCTTTGATTAACTTCCATGACAGATATTACATTATATAATAATATATCACTTTAGTTTTGTCATTAATAATACACAATAAGAATAATCTTAAAAAACTAATTATATTATAAAAGAAAAATACACTATAAATGTAATATTTCTGTATCAATGTAATATTGAATAATTCAGTCATAAATTCTAAAAAGGTTCAACAATCGATGTACCTATCACCTAAACAATAAGATAAAAATTGAAAAATTGAAAAATGTATACGACCAACATCAATGTACTAGAAGTCTACATTAGAAACCGAAAATTGTACAGAAAATAAGCATCAAGCAATATCCATAACATGTGGAAAAATAGGCGTCAGCAAAACAGTACCGTCAGATGACAATTATTAAAATTCCCAATGGCCAACTCAGAACTGTATTATTTTTTAAGATGGTATTCTGTACGAATCTGTCATTGTTTTTTTGAATAATATACCGAATCACGATTCATGTTGAACTATACATGTTGAACACACTACGGTTAAACGGAGTTTACTGTAGTTTGCCATAATAGTTGTGATAATTGGTACATAACCGACAAAATCGTGTTATTGTTTACATCACAACCAACCTGACAAAATTATCAGACAGAACAGTGTATTAAACGATAGTAGATAATCAGCGAAGGTTATAAACTCGTAACACGTACCTAGCCGTGCCTTAGTTCGTGGTTTTAACTTATGAAGCCCCCGCTCAAAAGACTCGGAAAGGAATTTACGAATAATTACGACCAACAATCGCCGTGTAATTATTATTGTATTTACGATAAAACCGATGATCCGCCCGATTCGGTTGTCTCTCTTCCCGTCGCGAAAAACCGCTTAATACGTGCGAGTTTTTCGTCATTTCGTATTAGACAAAAGAAATGGACTAGTTAAATACGATAAATTAAATTAAATTTAAAAAAAAACTGCGGTTCCGGTGCGGGATAACTTTAAATTGGCATTAGGACTTGGTGCGACAAAACTTCGTTTGATCGCGTCGCCGACCGGCTGTAGGGACCACGCGCTATTCGTCAATATTCCCCCGTAATACTATTCTCCTTTCACAGAATCCCGGTGCCGGATTCAAATTTTCAAACGGTGAAAAAAGATGAAAAAGATTACTCAATATTTAAATCGGTACAAACGACACTCGTCATAATATGATACGTTGTGTTATAACGTTTACAGCGTAATCCAGTGGCGTGCCCAGGGACGGTTAGCTTCGGAAGGTAAGACCTTTCCCTTTGAAATTTTAAATTTTTTTGTAAACTTGTGTTCTACATTTTTACACAATCTCCATCATGATTTTAAATACTTCTGTTTAATTGTATACACTTCAACTGTTCCTTCGCCATATTCCTAAGTCCTGGTTGTGCAATCATTTTTTTTTCAAATAGCAGTAAATACCTATTCCGGCTAAATAATTATGAATTTAAATTCGGTTTTTGGAAGATCATATAGGCTCATACTGACGCCGAAGAGAGAGACAAACACCATCCTCCTCTTTTAATTGATTGGGCACCCGAAAAACTAGGTAATTATTAAAGATAATTCAGAAACACGAGTAGATAAGGCTGTAAATAGATATTCGATCCAACGCATTTGATAACTGTTACAAATAATTTAAAAATGTTTAACAATTTGACATTTTAATCTTGTCTTTTAATTTTCTTACGTAAATAGGTACATAATTATGTACGGCACACGACAGTACATAATTATGTTATCAGTAAGTTTTAATCTTATTTTAAAATATGTGTTTTATTTTTCTTCTTAAGTGTTTGTCAAAAAATTCTGTCCAGTGTTTCACATTACCAACTAATTTATTATAATACCTATACATACATAGTACTTATTGTCAACAAACTTTTAAGCTTATTTAATAACACATCAAAAACAATTTCATGTTTAAAAATTAAAAATGGACAATTCAAATGAAGATCCGAAGATGTCATTTCCATTGAAATCTTTATTTAAAAACATTGTAAAATGAAAATGGACCCGATTATGGGTCAAAAACTGGAAATATTGGTAGTCTGGTACCCAATGTTGAACCCGGACAATTTTTTTAGGGGGGAGGAGGGGGGCATTACTAATATTACAGTCAAATTTGCTTAATTTTTTAATTAATTTTTAATTTACCCACTTTTAACAGGGGAGAAAGCAAACAAAATTTCATATACCTGGATTCAACACTGCTGGTTGTTCGAAAAATTATAAGAATATGATAATAATTATTGTTCTGAAATGTTATTCTGCATTATTACTATTTTCAACACAATATAATTATTTTCTTAAAATATACAATAATTTGACATTTAAAATAAGTGTTGCAATTAGCAGTTAATTACAGTTTAAATTAGCTGTACACTATACTTGCATCATTGGTTTTATAAAATAAATGCTAGTCGCTTGAGTATATCGTATTATACAGGATGTCACACGAAGATTCGTCTATTGTAATAGCTCCCGAGATAATAAAGATGATCAGTAAACAAACGATTAGACTGTAGGTGTCGTTTAACCAATGGTAAATATTTCTGACTTGCATATTGTAATATTATGATAGTGTTTGAATTAGGGGGGAGAGCAGAGTCTTTTTTTTTAAAAAAAATATACCAGCATATCGCGTACCTATCTCTGTTAATTCATAGCATTATACTTATAAATCATTCAGGGGCGTCATTTCATATTTTTCTACGGAACGCGAAATGAATACATTTCCATATAAAATTCTATTTTTCTATTGTCACATGAAACACATTAATATTGTTTATTGATAATATCCACGATATCATACTATTTCAATATATTCGAATATACTATGTATTTTACATAGACAATGGACATTGGACAATCTACACGTTTTCCGCGTGACGTGATACCACACGGTAGCACGTGAGCTCACGTGACGTAACAATGGTCTGTTCGGTTGCCTATACAAATGCGCGAACTTGGACCAATAGCGTATAGTATCGATCATACGTTTTATTCGTTATAGTGTACAAGTATTTTATTTATTTTTTTTTTTTTTTTTTAACCGTTATGGACTGCTATTTCCCATGACAAGTTGACAAAATTAGTATTTACCCAAGTGTTGGTAGTTATTTTTGTTTAACATCAATACACAGTGTTCGAATACTTCCTGTACAGAACACGGTAAATGTAACAGTGAAAGTAAGTAAATGTTAATTAATTTAAAAAAAAATCACCATTAAATGTAATCCAGTAGATAGGCGATGTAGTTTGTTACCATCTTTCACTCTAATTAAACGAGATTACTATTATTACTGATTGGTAATTTTGCTTTGACTATCAATTATATTTAGTTTACATTTCCCATGAACTGTGCGTCTTCAGCACTGTAAGTCTAAATTAATAAATATAAAAAATATGGCGTAGATACAAATAAGCACAAATACATATATTTATTAAATAACTTATGCCAATTACTATACTTTATAGTAGTTTCTTAAGTATACTTAATACTTCATGAAGACTTTATTTGGTGAGTATAATGTGTAGCAATAGGTACTGTGATACTTAGGGCTTCTACATACATTGCGATATTCGACAAAAACTTTGTTTAGTGGATTTTTTTTTCATGTAAATAAACCCGATTATACTATGATACTGTAGTAACTTGTTTTTATACTATACCCTTATTGAGAAAGAATTTTCCACGTGAAATTTAATGTGTATAACCAGACTGAATGGCAATATTTGTCATGTATGTGGGGGCTCTGAATGTGCACCAACAATACCACACACTAAGCAAAAGTTTATTCTGTACGTACATTTCAATAATTATGTACTTTAGTATTATTTCTGATTAGATATTATTTTATTATAGAATCATGAATACATTTGAGATCACTCAGTCACCAAACCAATACAAATCCAATGCAATAACTTTGGATAAATATGGAAAACTCATGGCATATGGCTCAAAATCTATTGTTGTACTAGTTAAAGGATTAGAAAGTAATAGTGTTTTTGATTTTCAATACAATCGTCTCAAATATAACACACAAAAGGCTCATGGACGCATCGCAGCTGTATCATTTTCTCATGAAACTGACAATTACAAAGATGCATATTATTTGGCTTCTATAGATGAAGTTAATATTTATGTTTGGGAAGTTCAAAGTTTGGCCTGTAAACATTTAAATTCATTTGCAGTAAGTTATTTTATTTTGTTTATATATTGTAAGTAGATATGCATAACATTTCTAATATATCAAATATATTATATTTAATATATTTTTTAATATTTATAATAATATATAAAAAAATAATAAAATCCTAAATACCTATTTATAGATATATGTGTATATAAATATAATACATTTGTATAAACTATTAAATAACAACATATAGAATTTTTAAAAAGTTAAATATTTCTATACACAAATAATATAAGTACAATATAATATATGTTTTACATATTGTTTTATATTATATTTTTATGTGGCCAATTAATTAATTTTATCAAAGTAGATATCTACATAAATGTATATTAATAAATATTTTTTTTTTTTAAGAATGAAACTACAAAAATAGTTTTATTAGATGTAGCTTGGCTATATAAGTGTTTAACATTAGTAGCAATATCTGATTCTGGAACTTTGCATAAATGGAATATTCAAACACTAGACATGCATAAATATACATTTGATTTAAAAATGCAACCTTTAACACTAGTAGCTTGTCCTCATAAAAGCAACATAATTGCTATTGGTTGTAAACATGGCAATTTAATTATTTATGACTTGATTGGTAAGTTCAGTGTTTTTGAAAATTTGATACTAAAAACATAATATATATATATATATATAACTTATGTTTAGGCGATGGACAAATATTACATAAATTATGTTGCCACGAAAGAAATATATATTCATTAGCTTGGTGCCCAGTTCCTTTCAGTCCACTTGGTTGTGATCGGTTAACTCAACCTTTATTGTTAGCATCCACAGCTTCTGATAGTACAGGTTTAAATATATGGCGTGCTGGTCTGGACATGGGTAATGAAGCTAAAATTGTATTACCTGATAAACCACTGAGGGAAACTGTTTTCAAGTACATATAATATACAATTTTGCTTACTTTGTGGTATATTTTTAAATAACACATTTATGCTGTTGGGCTAACAATGATTTTATTAGAGTTTGAATTGATTAAAAATAACTTTTATTTTCCCCTACACAGTATGAAATTGTAGTATTGTGTAATGTCCTTATATATGAAATATTATAATCAGTATAATAATTCAAATATATTAATATAAATAATTTAAAAAGTATTGGTAGATGGAGGTTTTATCATGTTTTTTTTTTAACATACAAAAACATTATGTTTTGTAAACCATGGGTAGTAAAAGTGTACATTTACAGTAGACTGCATAATATAAAAATACAAATTTTTGTTAATTTTTTTTAATCAATTCTTTATTTCTAGAAACAACATAAATATTATTTGGAGCTGCATCAGATGGGCAAAACCTACTTTGATTATTATTACAACACCATTTGGTGAAATTCTTAAAGTAAAATTTAAACCAAAACCGAATTTTGAAGCAGTTGTGTCATTAATTAGTGATTCTCATAAGGATGTAATTTTTACTATAGCATGTTCTTTGTATGTTAAATATAAACATTAAAATTTAAAACATACATCTATCAATTTGTATATTTGTATATTTTTAATTAGTGAATCAGCTAAACCATATTTATGGTCATCCTGTATGAGTAGAAAATTGATTCGTACACCTTTATTTGATACTGCTAAATCTGGTGACTTACCATTAGAAATACCAACACTTAATGGCTTTGTATATTGTTTTGCTCTTTCTTTGGTCAATGCATCTAAGTGAGTTAACTACAATTATATTTTATTTATTTATTTATAGTGCTGTAATAATTTTATTTACTATAATAATATATTTTTAACTTTATTCCAACATTGATAGTTTTGCATTTAGTGTGGGTGATGGAAAAATTTATTATTGGAATGTATTTAATGAGGTACAATTAGAATTGTTTACATTAAATTCAGTAAGCTCAAAAGTGTTATCTGTAAGTTAAACAAATTAATTTTTTTAACTCTTAGGTTCAAATCTATGTTTTTTTTTTAGTTGGCATATCATCCGAAAAATGATAATTTATTAGCATTTGGTACTGATGATGGACGTGTTGGTATCATTAATTTAAGAAGAAAACAAAATAATGTAAACTTGTTGAAAACAGTTCTCTCTCATCCAGTTTATCGTTTATGTTGGGCACCACTGCCAAATCAAATAGTTGATGTTGATACCAAATTTTCTCTATATGCTGTGGGTAATGGTCAAATTTTAATATACAATGACAGCAATATTTGGAAAGGTAGGTAATTAATATAAATAAAAATAAATCTTAGATTATTATACTTAGTACATAGTGTGAATAATATCAGTATCAAGTACCTTATATTTCAGATCCACATAATTTAAAAGAATATATACAATTCAATGAAATTGAAGACAGTATTATGACTCCTGTTAAACACATTGATATGGCATGGAAAATGGATTATAGTGTAGCTGCAATAGGCAATTCTAATGGGTATTTTTGTGTATTCTAAATATATTTATTTTAATTTTTGTTAAAAATTATTTTGTCTAGGACAATTTATTTATTGGAAGGAGATACGTTAAAACTTAAACATGTAGTATATGGTCATGTTCAATCTGTAGAATGTATTATTTGGCATCCGACATATGTTACTTGTGATTACAGTAAAGAATCAAAGTATAAAAATTATTTTGCATCAAGTTCACATACTATTCGAGTATATCAATTCAATGATGGTAATTACATTATTTAAAACCATTATTTATCTGGAAATTACGATTAACTTTTTTCAGATAGTAAACCATTGTTAGTAGTAGAATTTAAGGGACATACAGAAAAAATTAATGAGTTAGCATGGAGTCCTCATCGAAATTTATGGCTTTTGAGTTGCTCAAGTGATATGACTGCTAAAGTGTGTTCAATATAAATATATAAACCTTCTATTTATAATATTCATGTTACATGTTATTTTTTCAAATAGCTTACTTAGGAAAACACTATAGTTCAACAATAATATAAATTTATACCTAGTCACTTATTTTACATACAAATACATTTACTTAATTGTTTTTATTATTCATAATTGCTTTAATAGAATTATTAGTTATTGAAGTTAAGTATTTTTTTTATATTATTTGTATAATTTATTCTTCAGGTTTGGGATGTGCAACAATCTTCTCTTATTGGAGTTTATTCAAAACACTTGTCTGCTGTTTTATGTGGAATATTTTCTCCATTAGATTGTGATATAGTATTTACTGGTTCTGCTGATAGTTCGGTACATTCATGGCGGATCTCAAACAATTTACCCAATGAAATAATAGATTGCCAAAGTAAACTAATTCATATTTCATATTAATATTATAAGTATAAATATAAAGGTAGTATTATTAAAAATGCAACATTTCTAAAATTGCAGAAAACAATGATATCATATTATTGTTAAAGAAAAAGCTTGTAATAACAAAAAATTAAATATATAACTGGCATTTATTTTTGTTTGTTATTTTATAACCTGGGATTTTTTCTGTGACAACTTTTCTACCAATAATCTTACTCTAACTTTTAATGATAGCAATGTTTTTAAAAGGAAATTTCATTAGCAAGGGTAACAGCGAGGTACTTTTATGTTTTTTAATAATGTATTTAATTTGATATTTATAGGAGACACTAATTTAAAGCAAATACAACAGTTTCCATTCTTAAGTCATTATCTTCATGGAGAAAACCATTTGGAAGAAGCTGTACATACATTTATTAATGATTATTTTAATGATAAAAAAGTACATGTAGCCAAACCATCCAAATTTCAAATTAATAATTTGGCATTTTTTGGTAAAATTGAAGACATGAAACAGTTATTAATAAATGAAAGTAAGTTAATCAATTATTTGTAGTAGTATTTAATTATAATACAAAACCATAGTTCTTAGATTATAAATTTGACTCAATCTTATTTATTTCTAAAAGTTACTGTAGCATTATTTATAGTCTCTTCAGTAAGATATTTGAAAGAAAAAAATCATCTCAATAGGTAGGTATGTATTATTATTATACAGTTTCAGATTTGTATAGGTTTAATAAAATAATTATCCATACATTCAAAATTAAAATTAAAATATTGAGTAAAAGAGTATTTTTCATATTATTTGTGCACAATAAAAAATATCAGCATGGTATCCTATTAGTTAGTATTTTAAACATATAAAATGTAGAAAGAAAATTAAATATATTACTTTAATTTATTATTATTTCCATTATAGTAAATATTTTTTTTAATAATAATCTATTATTTATGTACTAAAATGTGTAAAATTTTCTGATTACATTATGTAGGAATGTATGGGCTATAATGTTAATATTTTTATAAGGATTCATATTAATACAAATCAAGTTTAGGTAAAATTTACTATTTTTTATTTGATAATTAATATTATTTTATTGTATAGAGAATGTGTTATTAAAAACTAATCTATCAAATAAAATAACTTCTTGTGCCAAAAATATAAGTTTATGGAGACAAAATTTAGAAGGTCATTTAAAAAATGCAATTGAAACTAATACTATAAACGAATGGATGGTAGCTGTTTCTCCAACTATTAGTTTTGAGTATGTGTTAATTGGCAATTGACAAATATTTAGCTATTATACAAATAAATATATTTATTTGTGTATTTATATTTAGATTTTGGAAAAGTATGTGTGATGCATATGTAAGACAACTAGAAGAAGCTGGAGAATTTTCCAAAGCTTCAACGTATTTGGTAGGATTAAAAAAGTTTAAAGAAGCCACAATGATGTTAATTAAAAATCATTGTTTCTGTGAAGCTTTATTGATTACTTTGAGCCAAGAAAAACCGGATCAAGAAATTATAATAGAAATAACTACAAAGTGGGCTCAATATAATATTCTTCATGAAAATTTTATAGAAGCTGCTCATCGGTTAGTATAATTTAATTTATATTTATTTAATACTTAACATTTTTCATTTTATAAGTACATAGTTCTTAATTTTATTTTTATTTTAGGTATTTGAGCATAAATGATGGACTAAATGCTATGTATTGTCTCATGAAAGTCAAACAAATTAGAGAACTTTCATTAGCTGCCAAGTTAGCTAGATATCTAAATGAAGATATTGAAAAGTTATTAGTGGTTGATATACTCAATACAGAATATTTTAAGTATAATAAATGGAATAGGGCTAAAGAATTTTTGGAAAATCATCCTAAACTTGTTGTATGTTTATAAGACTTCATTTACCTATTATAAACAATAAATATTATTTTGACATGTTTTAATTACAATTGGTTTTTTGTTTGTAGTATTTGAATATGTGGGTAAGTGTTCATCAAGCAATGTTTGAACTAGATCCTAATGTCACTCCAAAAATAATTAAAAATTGGATTTGTACTACAGATAGTGAAAACAAATTTACAATATTAGATTATATTCTTGAGCATATTGATTGTAAACCTGATTATTATGAAAAGTTAGTGTGTTTAGTGGAGTCTGAATTCATATCGGACATTGCCCATTCGTTGCCAAAGGTGAAATAAACAATTTATATCTGTTTTAATAAATCATCAAATTTTATATTTTTCTATAATAATCCATTCTTATAAATTTAATATTTAACTAAATAAAAAAAACACTCGACCATCAATTTATATTATACATTTGTAATCAAATTATTTGAATTCATTATAAACAATAATTTACTGTTCATTTTCAAATAAATTGAATTTATTTTACTTATTTATTATATCACAATATATAGTTGTTGAATGTTAAAGTAAAATTAAAATATTTATATTTATATTGATTAATTTTAGACATTTGTCTAATTAAATAATTAATATGCACTTATTAAATCTATTTTGTTTTATAGAGTACTGTATATATAGCAGGACAATTGTGTTTAATAGCATTACAATATCAAAAAACTAGATTATTGACCATTGATTCTCAAAAGCGCTTAATAAAATGCTTTACAGTTGCGTACAATTATGAAATGATATATTCAGATTTGTATAAGCTTCTTTCAAGGTTGATGATATGGATATTCCCTAAAGGTTATCTAATCTATATAAATTGTAATGCAATTAAATTATATTTATACTTACTTATTTATTTTTGTAGGACCATTAGCATTAGATTTGTGTACATTTGAATTGAATAATACACTAATAAAAACTATTAGAGCTTATTTGTGCTATAATTGTTTTTTGTGGTTAAAACTCCTATACACTGATTTAAATAAACAAATTAAAGAAATTGATACAGATGACAGAAACAACGTAAACACTATTTATGATGAAATTATTATTTTAACACATCAATTTCAACAGTTATTTAACAACTACATACATGATATATTGGACTTGAAAACTTTAAATTATTTTAATGCAAAAAACGAAATAGAACGCATAAATAAATTACTGGCTTCAGATTCTTTTGCAGATTATGTTGGTGGTAAGTTTTTAATTAGTTAATAATAGTGTTAATATATATATATATTCTTTTGTAACTAAATACTTAAATATAATTTAGATACAATAAATGAACAGTGGAAAGAATGCAACAAGACTCCTAATAGCATAGATGAAGTAAAGTATATTAAGGTTTTTCAACGTAGAAAAAAATTATCAGTTGTCAATGAAATTGTTTTGGAATCATTAAAGAATTATGGAAGCATTAATAATACTGTTAATAATCCCAATCACAAACTATATGCACTCAAGAATCAAGAAGAATCTAGCTATTTTTGTAAATCACTTCAAGAAATGGATATAAATAACTGTGATTTAGTTTATACATGTGATAGATCAACAAAAACGCAACACCATACAACACATTTAATTAATTCACCAGAACAAAATTTTGATTATTTAAATTCAAATAATTTTGTTAGGATCAAAAGTGAAAAATGCAAAAAAAAGATGTACACTTTTTTCCAAAATATTAAATCGGAGTTAGACAAATATAATTGTTTGTTAAATGATCAACCAATTGTTCAACGCGTTACTAATTTAGAGATAGAAGCATCAAAGAAAAAAAAACTGGAAAAATTTATGATAGAATTTGAAAATGAAAGGATAAATTCCCCCGATCCATTTTTATTTATAGCAGTATTGAAAAACTATATTAATACATTTGAATTATAAACTAATTGTAAACTTGTTTAAAAAAGTATCAATGTTACTTACAGTGTTGTATATTATTTTATTGCTTTAACTACTATTATTTTCTTATGTACTAAACATTATTCTTTAATATTTTTATTTAAGATTCTTTTTTCGAGTTTTATAACTATAACTATATGTATTGTATGTGCATATACAAATTTGTATTTTTAAACTAAAAAAACAGGTGTAATATTTATTTTTAATCATTAATTATTATTATACTTGAGGAAATTCTAATGGTTATGATGGATTTTATTAATTACAATTATTTAATTATGTTATTTTTGGTTTGAATTTAAAGTTAATATATAAAATAACATGTTTTTTTTTTTTATTAAATTAGTTTTATTATTTTATAGAATTTTTAAATTCTAAGTGTGAAAAACTTACTGTCTTACTACTATAATATGAAGTGTGAATTTGTCTGTCTAATAACAGCTTTTTTATTAGAAATCAATCTTACTCGAATTAATGAATACTACAAGAAAGTTTTTTTATTTTTTTGAAGCATTTCAGATTTAGTTGGAAAATAAGAAAGTTTGTGTGATATATCCCAAGTAGTTTTCATAATTAGAAATTTTGAAAATGACTTATAGAAAAATTGATGATGATCAATAAGTATTTAAATTCCAAGTTATCAATCCGACATCAATTTTTATCAATTAACAACGAAAAAGATTTTTTAATGTAAATCTATAGGTAAAAAAACGTCCTAGAATAGGAGAAGGTGCAACCACTGTTATAGAATTTAATCAATAATGTGAGCAATAATAAACCATTGATTACAAAAAAACGATTTTGAGTGTTATTCAGTTGATAGTGATGCTTTGTCAACAGTATGTATGTCATTTTACAGTAAAATAATTAAATAGATTTTATATATTTTCTTTATATTTGTTTAATGTTGTACAGATTTTCCTAAGTTATTCCCAATTTTTATCTCGGTTTTTCGCATTTGCTGATAAAACTGAGAATTATCGAAAAATTACCTCTCTAAAGTACCTCCCTAATAAAATTTTCTTTTAGAAACATTGTTATCATTAAAGGTTGAAGCAAAATTGCTGGTTGAAAATTTGGAAAAAACAGGGAAAAAAAATATTTTAGTAATATATTTTGAACATTTTACCGTTTTTTTATTTTTGGTTTTTCAAATTTTATGAGAAAATCGAAAAATGATCTCTTTAAAGTACCTCCCCACCCGGATTTCTTTTTAAAAAATGTACTACACTTAGAAATTCAACAAATCTTCTGGTAGAAAAATTGTTAACGCATAAAAATAATAAATATCTTAGTAAAACCATAAGCTTCTTTACTCCACTCGGAATATAAAATTATGAAAAAAAGATTTAATTATTAAATCAAAAAGGTCGTGCTAATGATGAATACATTGAAATTGTATTACTAGATTTGGTCTTGTTTTCTTATTATATACGTGAATATTACTTTATTTATGATGCTATTAATGACAAGGAATTTATCCTAATACTAATGTTGGATTTAGCTAGTACAAGTATACTAGGTCATAATTTAATTAGAAAGCAAGATATCCATGAAACTAATAAAACCTTTAACAAAATTATTAAATTTAACTTTTAAAAATGGATCAGAAATTTTAAATTACACAAAACAAATCTTAAATGAAATTCAAAGGCAGATAGTTGATATACTACATTTAATAAATAAAATATTTGTTAGGAAACTCAAATAAAAGAAAACAACACGCAGATTCAGGATATTTTAAAAACTGAATAATTCAGAGGAATTAAAGATGTTAAAAATACAACTGAATAAAATAATAAAAGAATACAATTATATTATAAAAAATATTAAATAGACAGATAGTCAAAAAACCTAGTTCAACTTTTATTACTGAAAGTATTCAACTTATATTGGTGTCAAAAGTTATTTTAAACATTTCTTCAACGTTTCAGACATTTTGGAGGGGTGACAGATAAAATATGGGCTCTATTTGAATTTCAAAGAATGTCAATCATAAGCGAACGCAGGTTGAAATCACGTTGAGGCGGTTAATTTTTAATTTAGCTGGTGATCAAGGAAGTCGTTTTTTTTTATTTTCTTTGTAGTTTTTTCAATAATAAAACCGAAAAATACGTAGAAAGTAAGTACGGTAAAATTTACCAAAATAATTATTTTATTATTTTAAATTTTGTTTTTTTTTTTTAATGTAATTCAATTAAAAATATTCGTAAATACTTGAAATTTTGACAGAAAACTTATATTTGTTTTTTCTGGTCGTAGTAAATGCTTAAAAAACATTCGATTCAGTTTTAAGCTGTTTATAGACATTTTAATTTTTCGAGTTTTCAGCGTAATTTTTATTTGGTGAGCACTAAAACACTTGGATTTTTTTTTTTTATATGAACTTTAAAATCAGATTTTGACGAAAATTATAAATATTATGGCCTTTCAAAACACATATAATCGAACTTTCGTTCTAAATCGTTTTTCGTTATCAATAGTATCAATGCGTATCTTTATATTTTATTACCATCGAATCTTGTTTACGGGAAAATAATATGCCAGTTTACGAGCAGTAATTTCAGCTCCAAGTATTTCATTTCTTTTATAGTTTACAAATTATCGCTGAACAAAATGCAGCAAGAAGATATATAAAAAAAATCAAAATGCAATAAGGAACAAATTCGATCGTATGACGTATTGTTACATCTAAAAACCTGTAAGTAAGTACCTACAGTCTATACACATAAAATATAAAGATACGCTCCCGAAAAACGTTCTCGTTCCACCCAATTATGTAGGGTACACATATAGTAAAAAAACCTAAATTTTAAAATATCATTAAGTTCTTTACCAAATGGAGCACCACCGTAAAGAAAAACATTAAAATCGCATAATTATTCTCGTAAAACTAATTAAGAGATAAAAATAAAAATTTATTTAAAACTATGAATAATGGATGTTACATACAGTCGCCGACGTATGGAGCTGTTGGTAATGATAAAATCTCAAATAAAAGCAACAACTCACATGGGTATGGATGTTCATTTTTTGGATGAAAATGATTTAAACAGAAAATCCTCCGTCTTCAATTTTCTCATTTTTATTCAGAAAATGGTACGTGTTTGTGTAATGTTCGTACGCAATTATTATGTTAAAATAATCATAAATAATGGAAGTTGTAGATTAATTGAATAATCTTCTTTCTATAACTAATATTAATGTTTCTGTCCAGTTTTATTGTAATTAAATCGTTGTAAGTATTTTTTGTTATTTTATTTGTTACTATTGTCCAAGGGCTTCTGACCGTTTATTTATTTAAAATAAAATAATTATTTTAATTTTCGGAAAGCATTAAGAGTTTACCATTATATTCCTAAAAATATTATGGACATTGCTACTATACCAAGTACCGATTCCTTTGATTTTCGCAAGCAAGACGATTATTTATGAAGAAAATAGTCTGTTACGCAGGTATCTACTATTTAAAAAGTAATTTAAAGTAGATACTTAGATTATTTTTACACTTATATTGTTATATTTAAGTATTTAGATATTTAGTATTAAAGTATTTTCACTGTACAAAACCAAACAATTATCACGACATATCATCTTATCGTAGTACAGTTAGAAGTCCATGGGTTTTATTGTTATCTAATTTTTGGATATGCGTTTTAATGTTATTTTTTTTTTATTTTGGTGTTTATTTTTCAAATACATTTTTATTCACTTTCTGCAGTCACCGTTCGACATATATAAGATTAGATTAGGTTACAATGGTGATTGTAAACTAATCTAAACACCACTGTATCATACTTTAATTCAAATAAGTTTGTTAAACTTTATGATTTTATCTGAAATTCACAAGTTGACAAATATTAGCATATACATATAATGTTTATTATTTATTTTTTTGAATTTAATACTGGACACGCCCAGTTTACATTGAGTTTATTCTTATGCGTGTACAATTATAGGTACTTTTATTATTTAATCAAATTTTATTTATTAATTTATTTATTTAGACATTTATTCAAGTATTTTTATTTCCAATTTCAAAACGTACCTATAAAGAAAGAATCAATAGGTACCTACATTTCAATAATTAGCTATATCTACTATTTAGTAGACCATACCTATAATTTCTATAACATGTGAACCCTCACTCTCAGTTATGAGGCAAATAAAGAATTGGCTTACAAAACTTGTCAATACTTGATATTGAAAGAGATTTGTCACGTGCAATTAATTTAGGAAATGTATTTAATATTTATGTAGAAAAAGACAGATATTTAGTTTAATTATTTAATGTATTATTTTAAAATTTCAAATGTTTAGAATTACAATTAAATTGGTACAAATTATTTATTTTTTTTTCAAACACGAGTATTTAGATATGTACAAATGTCTGCACAACAGCCACCCCAGATAATTATATCTATAAGTATTATAGTGCAGTACAGTACAGTACCTACAGCGACAGCTATATAGTCTTTTATCAAACTTCAAACAATTCAATTAAAAAAACAAAATTAATTTAATATAGGTATCAGAAATATAGTTTAAACAAAATCTAATAAAGCAATTTTCTCTATTATATAAAATGTTTTCATATTTATAGCTGCCAAATATTATATGCAAATAATAAATTATGGAGGTTGGTGATCGAAGTGAAAACAGAGCAGAGCCCTATAGTCGTTTTATACCAAAGTAAAAAAAAAATTGAATATTAATAAAGTAATTAATTTTAACTAATTTTATTAAATTATACATTCATCTTTATAGGACTAGATAACAGTAAATTTATTTATTTGTCATATATAATATTTAACATTTTGTTTACCTATATTTTTAATTATTAAGTATAATTTTTTTTTCTGCATTTTTGTTTCATTTGAGATATTTTGATATGTTTAGTGTATATCTGTGCTTTTGTATAATATTAATCAAACATTAATGTTACATTATATTAAACCTCTTAATCAAATAAATTTCAGAATAATAAGTCAAACAAATTCTTAACAACTTTCAAAGAACATCTAACAAGTCTCAAATAAAGTTATTAAAGATGTTTTAGTCAAATATGTTTCACATGTGGTATCTACTTCACTTTCATTATTCCATGTTCATATTTTTTAAAAACAAATGTTTTGTATATTAATAGAAAATTTTTAATGTGAATTCATTATAAATTTATTGGTAAACTAAACAATTATTAGAATTTAATAATATCATAATTCATAATATTATCAATAGTTTATTTAGATATGCAAATATTGTAAATCAAAATAATATTTTCACAATTGGGTTAACTTCTCCTTTTTTTTTTTTTTTATTAAAATAATGTAGGTACAAACATAAATAATACAAATATATTAAAAACAATACATATAAATAGGTTCATAACCTAGGTATATGTCATGTAAATGGGTTATTATTTAATTAATTACATAATTGGTAAAATAAATTAAATTGATCTCTATGTTAAAGAATCATAATAATAATGATGATAATAGTTAAGTACAAAACAAATAAATAGATACATAAATATTATGCACAAGCTCATGGTCCAATAATATAATGGATTATGTACGCGATGCGTTTAAAACTGTTTAAATGTTGTCACAAGCGACACAACCATTAATGAGACTCTTATGGCTCTTATTGAAATTACAACAAAAATATTTAATAATATAAAATTAACAAATAACTTCAGATATAATATACACAACATTTTAATAACTATTAAAGTGATTAAAAAAAAAAAAATTATAAAATTTACTTTTGACAACATTTGACAAGCAACAGAACAATATCAACATTATGAGTATTATTTTATCAGGTGCTTGATAATATAAATAAATGTAGAAATTAATAAATTACAAAAACATTTTATATCAAAACACATGGATAATCCTAAGTGGACTTTGGTCTAAGGAGTTTCTTGGATGAGTGTCCTAGAGTCATAAATTTTTTTAGTGTGCCTTTGCTTTGTGACGAGGAATTTGACGGTGATTGAGATGGCGACAACGAGTTATCATGTTTGTCTTTTTTTGATTTAACCTTTTTGATATTCTTCAACAGTCTTTTGGAAAAGTTCTTTTTGCCACTCACTACTGACATATTATCTGCTGCTGGCTTATTGCATGGCAACGTTTCGTCTAGAACAATTAATCAAAATATTATTTTACACAAAAAAAAAAAATTAACACTATTATGTATAGTTACAAACAAAAAAAATATGCTGCACTGTATATCAATCAGACAATACACATTTTCAAACTAATCAAATTGTAATAATAAAGCACAATTCAATTTTTTTTTATATTATTTCTGGTAAAAAAACAAAAAAAATTAAATATGCAGTAACATTTGCACTAATCAAAATTAATAATGCCAATTACATTAAGAATACAATAGCATGCAAATCAAAATTTTAATATGTGTCAACTTTGTAAAGTTCATAGCAGTTAAGTGGAAAATCTAAAATCAATTTTCTCAGATTCTAAATACATATTAGTTTATTGAACAAAATAAATAGATAATTTAAGTGAACTATTAAGTATTTATATTTTATGATTAATAAAAAAAAATGAATACTAAGAAACTTAGCAACTAAGAAATAAAGATAAATTTCTTTTTGTGATAAATGAGTAATTAAATATAAATTTTTAATAATGTTAAAATATATTATTTAAGTAAAATAATTTTGGAAACCTAAAAAATGTTTCAATTTTAGAATAGTCACATATAAATATTATATCTGTTTGATTTTTTTTTTTAATATTATGTAAGTATTAAATTTATAATTTTAAATTCAGTTTGGCTGTATTTCAAATTGCGATACATTCTACTGCCAACACTACACTTTAAACGACATACTACAAACAAATTGTATAGCACTTCACCATATTATCTTAAATATTTTCTGGGAACAAATATTATGGTTAGTATAAAAGCAATGCATTTCTCATTTATTGAAAATATAATATAATTTTTTTCTAAGATACTTCTTTTATTACATTAAAAGAATAATGCAAATATATACAGAACATTACAACTCATTTTAAGTGTAATAATTTTAAATAATTGTATAGAAATAATAGGATTCAGTAAATCAATAGATATAAATTGTATAATTTAATGGAATTAATATGAGTGATATTTTACTAGTTTCAAAGTATTTGTGAACATGAATTATTAAGAACTAAGATTACAAAAATGTTATGCATTCATTGATTTTAATATAACAAAAGATTGTTATTTTTTTTAAAGTAGCAACAATCCCAAGCACGATTACAATAAAAACATACAATAAAAATTAATCACAAACCACAAATGCAGTTCCACGTCTAAGGTAAAAAAAGAATTGAAATAATAAAATTAGAATTATAGAATAACTTTTTTAAGTTTAAATTATTAACAAAAAACTATAAAACTTCAAACATAGTGCTTCATTTAACGGGTACATAAATATATCAATATTTTTATGGCTTTGTTTGTATACATGTTACGATAAATGTTGTAATTTTAATATTAGAGTATGTTGGCCTGTTATCAAACTCAAAGGTGAGAATATTGTTTGTGTTTATACGTTGGTTTTTTTCGATATTTTAATTTTTAAGTGAGATAAGCTGATTTTAAAATTATAATATTTTATATAATCATAACTGGCTTAAAAATTAAAATATCGAGAAAAAACTAAAGTTCAAATATAGACAATGTTCTTATCTTTAGGTTTAATAATATACAAATACACCCTAATGTTAAAATTAACAGCACACGAATAGTTTTCATATACAAAAAAATATAAATATAATATAACATAACATATAATATATAGTATATAACATTTATTATAATATATATATAATTTTAAATACTTCTATATATATATATAAAACATTTTTTTGAAACCATCAATAAATAAATATTGAATTGAAATATTATTTAATATATCTTGTTTTAGTATATACAAGTATTAAAACCAACAAATTCATAATCAAATAAATGAAAAAAAAAACTTAGATTTTTCGTTTCATAAAATATAGTTATTTTTATAAATATACTGAGAAAATTTGGGCTTTAGTTTATTTCTTATTAAGTTAAATGAAACAACTTATGTACCATAGATTTTTTATCTCTGTTTGAAAATCAAGCAACACAAAAAGCAAATTGTCGTACACATGCAATCACCTTAAAAACGATTAAAACATCATTCAGCAAACCACTAACGATGTCAAACATATTTTTATATTAGTAAACTATACGATGGATATTTTTTGAACCTTGAGCAAAAGTTCCAATTTGATTAAACACGCTACGGTCTTCTTCAGCTTCTCGCAACCTATCTTTTTCTAGATTTTCAACAATTTCATTACGTTTTTCCACGACTTCAACCAATCTATTAAAAAAAATAAATATTCAAATACAATTTCATTTATATGTGTTTTAACCATTCTATAACATAATGATTAATTCTATTCATAATGATAACATGTTTATTATATACCTTTGGATGAGTTCTTCTTCTCGTGCTTTTTCTGTATCAGTTTTAGTGTGATCAGGTCTAGTCATCAATACACGTATCTGGTATTCTAATTCTGCATGTTCTTCTTCTAGGTTATGTTGTCTTCGTCTACAATTATTAACAGTTTAAGCAAATTGCATGGTAAAATAATGTAATATATTGAATTGGTAGTGAATACATACAAATACATGAGTTCAGCGTGTTTTCTAAACAGTTCATTTTTTTCGTTGACTAGTTCAAATAATTGTAACACCATTTCTTCAACATCAACGTTGTTTAAATCTAAAAGAAAATTCTATTAATAAATTTAATCAATTAAAGTAATCAAACATATTTTTATGACCCTATAAACACACCTTCATTACACTTTAATCGAATATCTTTTTCTAACTTCACTCCTTGTCTTTCAAGCTCTTGCTGTTTTATTTCTATATCTAACAACTCTTGTTTGATATCTTCTATGGGCATGGGTTTAATTCGTCTCCTTTGCGGTATTGGACATTGAGGAGCTGGACCTTTTTTTCGTTTCCATTTGCCATGTGTACTCTTATGTAACCTATAATGTTCTTGACTAGTAACTGACGACGGATCGCTACCACTACAACTATCCTCTAGACTATTGGGGGATGAAATCACTTGTGTATTATTGGAATATTCTATATTTCCAAGAGATTGTCTAGGTTTTGGTGGTAGTGGAGCAGGTTTTTTCTTGCGGGGAGAGTTCGAATAAGAAGATATACTAGAGACACTACTTAGTTTACGATGTGTTTGGTGTCTAGGTTTCATTATAGGAGATAACATTGTTCTGAAATTAAAAAAATTTATTACATAATAAAATTATGTTATATTTTAGATTCTGGGCACAACAACAAATGTATGTTTTACTATGTCCCTTTTTTTTTCTGTCTGAACCACTTTTCTACCAAAAATCTTTAAGTGTAATATCTCTTTTCTATAAAGAAATTCTTTCTAGTAGGTCCATTGTACAGATACAAATTGAATTAATCTGTATAATATCCTATTTCCTAACTTCCCATCAATAAAAATGACACACCCATCAGCAATATTTTTAATTTTAATAACAATTATCGCAATTTAAAAACGATTTCAAACTAGTTTATAATTCCATTTGAAACATGCATTTTTAAATTAATTTAGTTATTTGAAGACAATATAATATTATAAAAACGTTTTTCTCTATCCTGAACACATAACATAATTGTTGTCTAGTTGTAAACATATTAAATTGTTTATATTTTCTTTTAGTTACATTTATTTTGTATAGAAACCCCAATGGCCAACCACCCTTTGGCGAAAATAGTAATACCTAGTCAATAGTCATAAAGAAGAACTATAACAATAAATCCAATTAGAACACTAAGCCAAAATATAGTAAAATATTAAATTGGCTATACATGAAATATATGAATTTATGGTCAAAAAATTCCTAGTTCAAAAATAAACAATTTTAAATAATTTCTTACCTAGGTTTAGGTAATGGAGGTTGTGATACAACTTCATTTTCATCCTCATCGCTTGAAAATGGATTCAAACTAACATTTGTTTTCGTTGGGACTTTTGGGAGTTCTTCTTCGTCTTCTAAATCCGATCCAAACGGATTCGTGCTATTATGTTTGTCTTTATCGTCATCATCATCGTCTTCATCCTCGAAAGGATTTAAACTTTTAGGATAATCGATTTTTACTGGAGATTTGATTTTTTTTCTAGGGCTAGGAACCGGTACCTCTTTATTACTTTCATAATAATCCATTTTAAGTAGCTTATTCGCGAGAGTTTTGATCTCCAAATCCTCAGGAGATTCCGCTGACGGCTCTTCCGCATCTTTACTCAAAGGGCATTCTAAAACTTGCTGTTTCAAATCGTCCGATAATGGAATTTGAATTTTATTCGGTGATTCGACGGTTTCTTTAATCGCAACATCATGCAATTCAGATTCCGTAATCGGATCTTCGGTTTTCGCGTCTTCGACGGGTTCTCCGTTGAATTGTTTCAGTTCGGCCGGCAGTAAGACGGGGCTACTAATTTGTTTTATTTCCGTCAGACCGTCAGGCTCGACGCTTTCAATAGAGTTGTTACTGTCCAATTCGGTGTTGGAGAGAACAATTATTTGGTCCTCCGGTACGATTAGAGCGTCTTCTTTGGGTTCGTCCACGATCACGTCCGAGAGAGTTTCGCGACTTCCACTAGCGCTCGTGGACGTTTTCATATCACTAGACTCTTTTTTATCGCTGACAATGACACCGCTGTCGTTGTCGTCGCTAATAATTTTTTCTTCGGTTATCGAATCAGTCATTTTAAGCGAGGCCGGCCGCTGCGCTTTTTTCGACGCTTTCACGTCATCTGTACAATCGGCAGCAGCCAGCGTTTCGAATAGTGCCCTACGATTACCGACTAATGAACCGTGTCCGTTTTCGACCGGCGACGGCGACACGATTATTCGCTCTTCGTCCGGACACGTTTCACAACAGTACTTGCCGTCTTGTGTCTCGTAGTAGTTGGCCACACTTAGCAGAGCACCGCATCGGGCGCATTTAAAACACGTCCGATGGAACAGGTGGCCAGAAATAAGCAGACGTTGGGCTAAAAACACGGAATGGTTGCAAATTTTACAACCGCCAACGCCTGCACCTAACTGAAACAAAACAAAACAAAACAAATTCGTAAATCGCTGTAAATATAATACGACGACGATGATTATAATGTAGGTGGATTTAATTGTACAGCGGACGATTTGGTAATATCGTGTTAATTTTATTTTTCTGGAAGACTTATTATATTATTACCGTGGACGGTCTAATTATAAAAACGCATGCATTACATAGGTGAAACTTAAACGCAAGAATTCTACGAAGGAATATTATTATTATTATTATTATTATTATTATTATTATTATTATTATCATTATCATTGTCATTGCACGGATACAGGGGTGGATCCAAGATAATGGGGGAGGCGATTTTGAAAATGTAAATTAAAAGGTACGCATTTATGATGGGCTCAATAAAGAATCAAGCCAAGAGTATAACGCAGGTAAGTATAATTGAAGGGTGAATGGGAGGGATCACCCCCCCCCCTGGATTCGCCACTGTATAGATAAAATCTAAATCACTATGGCGTTTGAAATATTCGTTTAAAGACGCGTTTAGCACATTTCCGCGGAATACCAACGAATAAAATAATAATATATTAAACTTCCATAATGAATTATACTATAAACAATTTGTCGAATAAACAAACAAACCGACGATTGACTGTAAGGTTTATTATAGCTTAAATCTTAGAAAATGTACGTACTAGAAATAATATTTTCGGTGGACTACGAATTCATAAGAATCAAAATAATATTTAATATAAAAGACAAAATTCTGCTACCTGAACTATCTACTACGAAAATAAATATTAGGAAACCGGACATCATAATAAGTATGAGCAAATTCAATATAATTATAAAATAATATTTTTAGCGATAAGTAGAAATACCGAAATACAGTGCGTACAGAAATAGGTAATAATATCAAGGGCTATTAAAATGAAAAATGCATAACCGATAATGATAATAATGTTGTTTTATTACCTATTCGTATCGACTTACTTCTTGTCGATGTTTTATCAACTTTATCGAACATAAAACGACTATGTTATTATTTATTAAACATCGTAAATGTAGTAAATGAATAATGCAAAATTTACAAATACTTGACGGCATAGAATATAGAAAATAATATTTTTGTTTTGTGCGGCTGACATTAGATGTATCAGGTTAAATTGTACCTACTATAACTAAACAGGCAAATACACAAAATGAACTGAAATACTAAATAGGTACAATAGGTAAGTGCAATATAGAGTGCAAAACTAATCATATAGGTACCTAATTTGTGTCGTGTTAAAACCTACGTAATTCCCCTTAACTAAACACAAGTCCGTAGCTAATTAATGATTTGATAATTTTGTGAATCGTTCGTTTTAACCTAAACGCGCAGTAGTTTGTCATAGTAACGATGCACGTAAAAACGTAAAATCGTCAAGGTCAAAAACTCAACGACGACAAGAAACCGCAAAAAATGTATACCTATAACGATGACGTTTAATGTTGTAGTAATAATATTTTAATTTTAAAATAAATCGGTTACCTGAGCAGCAGTCGATTGTATGTTGAAATATACAAAATAACAAATATTTAATATTATCTACACTAAAGACTGTCAAATATTAAGTTGACAATTTTTATAGGCACAACGAAATCGAATCAAACAAAAATTATAGAAATATTCGGTTTTTTATTATATATTATGTATAAAAAATTAAACACCTTATTTGTTAAATATTCGCAAACGAACTGAAAATAAAACTAAAATGTAATAATAATAATAATAATAAAAAAAAAAAAAAAACAACTTTTCTACATGAGTCATTTGACAATAAGTGAACTAGGTGTGTGAAATCACCAACGCACCTCATCCGTTGTTTGTTGCCGTATTATCTTTTTATTATTTGACTATTATAACACGCGACCATCGTTTATTATCTAAAATTTAGCGTACGCTAAATGACGATGAACATTGAATATAGTAGGACTGTGGGTATTACATTATCTGTATTATCTGATTTACCGATTGTGACAAAAGTATTGTACGGTTTGAATTTAATAATAATATTTAAACAACGAACGCACCATCAGACAATATTGTAATATCGATCGTGTCGGTTGCAAACCATAATAATAATACTAATAATAATATCATACACAATTTTAAACTTGTTAAGAGCACCGCATGTGCTATCCGTTTTCACCGATCCATCGGTAAACGACACGGACTAAAAACATACAGGACTGGACAGGTTTACAAAAAAATATTTCGAGGAAAGGGGAGGGGTTAATGTTGTACACTTTCATACACTTATAACAAAGGAGTTAACATACTTTCAATTGTAGGATTATTTATTTTTTTATTAAAAATGTCAAAATTTTATAGCATTCATTTTTAGCCTTTTAGATACCCATTACTTAATTTTATATTTTATATTTTTTAGAGAATACAGCCTAAATGATAACGTAATTCATATTATTGTGATGATAATGGCGGACAATGCAATATCGCCGTATCAGTTATTATTTTCTAAGAGCAGGAAAACCATAAAAAATAGAAATGACTATATACCTACTATCTAGTACCAAATAAAATAAAAATAAAACTAAGATGTATTTATCTTCCTCATTGACAGAAACCACTTTTAAGACTTTTAAAAATCTTCTTTCATCATAATTTTTATGAAATTTCAGTGTCCCCTCTTGTACACGCGCCTGGAACTGGAAACGAATCTGTTTGCGGAATGCGGGGTCGAGACCGAATGTGCAACGCTTTGCGATACGACGTATGTTGAGGCATCTATTAGCCATCTCTACCATAAGTTGCATACTTGTATACATAATGTGTATACTTTTAAGATCTAGTCCTCATAAGTTTTTTTTTTCAAAATGCCTAGGTGAAATAGCGTATATAAATGTATTTCAAAAAGTACTTTATTCAAAGCTTCAAATGAAAATTAAAATTTGTTAGCTTGGAACCTTGATACCTTTTCATTTTATTTGGTTTAATTTTAATGCACGTATATTATTTTGTAAATTAAATTATAGCAAGTATTTATATGGGTAATATATTATATTATGTATGTTTGTATGAAATTGATTAGTGATTACCTACATGGCTACTTAGAATTTTTGAAGTAGGTATAAGTTTAAAATATACTATCTATAAGATATATATACAGACAGAGTGATTCAATAAACGTGCTCACTGCTCACCCATTATTTTGGTTAAATTTTGTGTATATATTCAAATTCTGATTTTTGTAATTTTTAAGTGTAGTTAAAGCCGATATTTTCGAAAACTTAGATTTTGCACAACATTTAAGGAGTATTCTGTTTCCCCAGGCCTGTGTATCTTAGTCCGAGGTAACCGATGAAAACGGATACGTTAGCTGATAAAAACGAAACACATTGATATGAATATAAACGTATAAATATATACACAACGTTCTGTTGTCTGTCAATCGGCAATGCAACATTCTGCATTAATAACAGATACCAGATAATGTTTTTTTTTTTATTTCAAAACACGTCATTGTTTTTAGTGGCAGTGGACACATTCGCTTTTAACGCATTCCACGCGAATCGAAGCTTTTAGGCCACACACACACATATATATATAAATATATAAATTATTATTTTTTAATTGTTCTCTAAGTACAGTTAATTTATTTGTAATACTTTAACGTATTCGTTCCAATAATTCATCAAGTCTTAATCCTTATACGAACATATTTGAAAAACGTTTTGTGGTAATGGTGTATGTTCATATGAAAATATTGAAATTATGTTTCGCGATTTTTGATTAATGGAATCACTCAATATCGTCCGTTCATTGTATACTTCATGTCATCCGAAAAAATTTTGCAATTCCAAATATATTAATTCAATTTGTTAATTTAAAGCAACTAGAAAATTTAAAACAATATGAACTTCAATAAAAAAAAAAAAAAAAAAACGATTGTAAGTATAAGTAAACGTGAAGCACAAATGTTCTATGTAATGTGATATAACACTATAACATAACCTTACATGGCGGGAATGTTTTGAAATTTGGCGGGAAAATTGTACGTTAAAAACGGATGGTCTGGCCACCAACACAATCCGGTAAAAATGCATCTGTTACACCGGTTAACGACGGAGTGGTGAAAATAAATTATGTGGACCGACCATTACAAATGTACGATATATATTAATATTAATAATAAACAATTTGTCACCAGGAAGAACTTTGTGCTGTTAGTTTTAATAATAGAGTGAGTTAACCAATGATCAAACTTAAATATTATAACAACAATTATAATCTGTGCAATTTTCGGATATTTTAATTTTCAAGCGAGATAAACACTGTAAAATTATAATATTTGACATATTCAAATGTCTCTTGAAAATTAAAACATCAAAAAAATAGCATCATCGTTGAACAGATAATATTCTTATCTTTAAGTATGTTAAAAGGTCAATTCACTCTAATATTAAAACTAACACTACAATGTTGTTCCTGCTGCACGCAAATTTAACACGTACGACAACACATGAGACGCCCTCTTGATTGAATTGTATCCTTATCATTTATCAATATAGGACGTTTCAATAATATTTCCATAATTTTAAACTTAATATTATTACAGTATAACTGATACATAAAAGAACGCGTATCTATTATATACCTACGCAAAAATCCCCGATTTTTTTTTAAATTTGTTCGTTTTGTTTACGTATGTTATACGTAATACTGCAAATTTAAAGTTTTTATTTTATGGGCAGATTTCGGGATCCAATTTGTTTCAAAACGAATTTAATAATCCAAATATTAAATGTTTTATACCTGTGTAATATATTTACAATTTATTACAACTATAGACTATTTTAAAACATTATAAAAAAAACGAAACCATATGATATAGCCCCCAATGAGAAAACTAGTATAAATATACAAATATTAAATAATTTAAATTTAACAAAAACCAAGAGGCTATAACTCGAATAAATTGTACGGAAATTGTTGATGATTTTTTTTGAAACAATACACTACAGTGTAATAATTTACACGGAATCGATAAACTATTGTCGATAAAATGCCTAGATCATGTATTGCAGACTGCTGTACACGAATATGCCCAGAAAATAAAAAGTAGACGGTTTATTTCAAAAGAAAATGATTAATATATTTCTTGTAAATGCATTATCAAACATTTAAAAAGAAAAAAAAAACCCTATAATATTGGAAATAACATCAAGTGTTCACAATAATAATAGTAATAATAACAATAAATGTATTTTAATACACTAGGCACTGTTTTATTTAAAAATACACAATATATTGTAAGGATTTATTATGTATACGGATGGATTTGTCAGAAATGTATTAAAGGTGATGTACAGAATACATACTTTAACATTATAATAGTACATAACAGCAAATATATTATATTATGTTAGTGTACCTAACTATTTGGAAAAAGATTAGAAAATAGTATAGTAACATTTCTAATGTTATAATGTAGGTACGGTATATGACTAATTTTATTGTATAGAAGCTGTGTAATATTATTATAATAATAGTCATGCATTAATAATATCTATCTATGAAAACTTTCACCACACAACCCAAAGCATAGTTTTATTTATTTTAATAACTATATACATTATTATACATGTACATATATAATAAATAATAGTATATATATATATATATATATATACACGTACAATATGTATGTGATATATTTTACCTTCTAGCAGTAGATCTCAGGCTTATAAGATCCCATAAGATCCAAGCTGTCCTCCTGGACAATACAAATAAATAAACATAAAAATAAAGTGTAGGTTATAAATAAAAAAAAAAAATAAATAAATATGATAAATTTTGACGTGGTATATAAATAATAATTTTACCGCTGATGCGCATTTTTTTTCAAATGTTAGTCTAAAGTACCTCGCCGATCGTCAACCGTAATAGTTGTTAAAAGTTGTGAAAATTACGTTAAACTAATAAATTTAAAAGTCTATACACAGATCGGTACATTAAATCGGTGATTCATAACTGGGTAATTTCGGTTTCCGTAGGTTGAAGAATTTGTTTTAATATAAATTTGTATTATACGTGCGATGTTAAATGACGTAAAGTTGACACATTAAATTGTTAGCAGAACTTTTCAAAACATATTCAAAAATATTTAAAGAGACTAGTTTGAATTTGTTGACGTCCCCTCCCCCTTTATCAACTAGCATACGTTAAATTATGTAGGTACTTCTAACTTTATACCTATAAAATTACACTTTTATTAAAACCGTTCAAAAACCAACAATGTTCAAATAGAATTATTAGGCATCGTTGGAAACTTGTTAGAATTTATTAAAGCCCCAACCTAATTATTCATTCCGCATTTAACATTGTTGTACAACACATCTATAGCATAAATAATCTAATAAAAATGTAATGCTAGATGTGTTTGCACTACAAAGTTTTGGATAGTTAAAAATAGGGACTCCAATAAGTTTCCAACACGTCTATCTATACATTGTTGGATATGCTTCTGCTAATTATGTAATGCCAACTCCACGCCCCTGATGTTAAACAGAACTAGAATCTCATTTCGAATATTTTCGTTATCGTCAAATTTGTCTGAAATTACCAAGTGTAATGCATATGTCACTTTTTTGCAGAATCGAATTCAAATTTAAAACAACCGGGATAATAATAATTATATGGATTGGTATTTTGTCGCAACGAAAATATCTTTTTACATAACGAATAATAATATAGCGTAATAAAATTATTTAATTTGGTCGTAATACATCAGAGTGTCAGTATCTCTCTAATGGGGAAAAAAAAACAACAATAATTGTTTTGTGTGTTCAGGAGGTGCAGCCTCTATCAATTTTTCGGCTACGCCTAATATTATTTTGTTATGTGTAGAGATAGATGAATTAAAAATGATTATATCGTTCATAGAAAGCCGATAAGAAAACTGCAGTTGATATACATGTGTATTATACGAAATTAACACATTTTTAGCTGGTATAAAATAAAAATCATAAATGGCAAAAGTACTGTACATATATAAGTATAAAAAAAAAACTAGAAAGTATAATATAATATGTAACGCAATAATTATTGAAAAACACACACAAAAAAAAAAAAAAAAAAACAGACAGTATTAGGTATATTATAAAAAAAATCGCATTCGGAGAAATACCCTACACAATCAAAAAATAACAAAAATATTTAACTGCAAAAGCGAATGATGAATGGGTTAAATATTAAAAAAAAAAAAAAAAAAATGACGTATCGAGCACACCTCTGTGTCTCTACACGAGATGTTAAAATAATAATAATAAAAAAATAATGATAAAAAACAAATAACTCTATAATAATAATATGTTCTTTTGAATACCTTTGTCGGAGGATTTTGACCGGATCCCGCGTTATTGGTCCTGGGCCGTTCGACCGTGGTCGGCGATTCCGGCGATGTTTTTACGGGAGTTGTGGCTGTAAAAATGAAAACAAATTTAAAAACCCGAGAAAATAACATGTACAAAAACGAAATTATCGTCGGGAGAGACACAAACAAAATAGATACGTAACCACAACTGAAAGGCGTTGGCAGAGAAAATTAACGGTAGCTATATAATACCTACTGTAATGTATATTATATTATACTGTATACAGCTTTGCTAGGCAATAGGCGAGTGTGCGGGCATATTAATGAATAAAGAAGATGCGTGGAATACTGCACCGCACAATTATTATATAGGTAGAGATGTAAGCCACGAAAAAGGAAATTTTTTATTATTCTATGAGCATCGCGCGACGCACATATTTGATGAAATAATTGACTGCATCCTGGATTCGCCAACGAAATGCAATGTATTTACAATACATACGCCGAGCGGCAGTTACAAGACGTAAAAGACAATATTGAAAAACCAGTTAAAACCGAAAACAACCAAAAAAAAAAAACTCAAATCTAACAGCACAGTTGTGAACTTTATTACACACATTTAAAAATAAGGAATCGCGGATTAATATGGTCTAAACACGCGGTGGAGTGATAGTTCTGATCGTAAGAGGTGATAGTGTGATTGGGGATAGAGAAAAGAAACTAGGATCACTATAGTCACTATAGTCACTTAATCACTATAATCACACCACCCGAAAATTCCGTATTTTTTAGGGTACTGAGTGAAGAAATTGTAACGTTTGCCTAACTAAAAATATGGTTTCAAATGCACAAAATAATAATTTTTTTAAAAAAATTACCGGGAATTTCGAAATATTAGTGAAATAAAGTACTATCAGACGAAAGATCCGCATAAAGGTATGACATGAAAAATGAATTACTTTATCAGAAAATGTCACTGCACCGGCGCACCCAGAATATATGTTTACACTTATCGTCATACAAGAAGAATTTTGGCAAAATTATAATATTAATTATTATGGCTAAAAATTGAATGCATTAAAAACCGAGAAGTGTAAACGCCATAATATATCAAATAAAATGCACTCTACTAAACGAGTAAAAAAATTACAAAAAAAAAAAACCTATACGCACACCAATTTTATTAAGTCGATTTTCAGAAAACAATATTTACACTGCGTGTTCCGGTAAGAAAATACAAATTAAATCGCCATCGAATATCATACTTTTAGGCATTTTTTTTATTCGAACAAATTATTATTGAATAATAGACAACTGCATGTTGTCACTCAACAATAATAACCGTGACTGAGAACCAACAGATATGCTTCTTTATTAGGTCGCGGTGTTTTTTTACTTTATTTTTTTTTTACAATAAATAGTTGAGTTAAACCCATAAAGATAAAAAAAACAGGAGTACACAGACTATACAGTGTGATATTGAAATTTATCTTGAACTACCTGTACAAATACGGTAGCGTAAAAACTAAAACGAAATATCATGTAAAAATGTCGATATTTTTATAGTATACATACTATATTAATTGTCATTAGAAATGCCTAATATAAAGGTAAAAATATCCATAAAACTATGCTAAATTGTTTATGTAATCATAAAAGAATATATGTTACGAGTGCATATATTATAATAGAACGGTCGTTTTGTAACTTATAAAAAGAAAAGGAAATATTTCAATTTATCTACTGTTTATTATACAATAATATATTTTTTCTAAAAAGCATACATAGAAATAAGAGAGAACTTTAATTTATCATTTTTTGTCGTACAGGGTTTTCGTTTTACGCGCATATCATTTTAATAACGGTTAAAAAAAAAAATGAGCATTTCTTATTTAAATATTATATTGTTCTATTTCTTTTGTTTTATACAAATTATAATTAATTTTCACGAATAATAGTAGTAAGTCGTCACGAAGTAAACCTCGCCTTACTCATTTACTATACAAATATTCTTTTCTTTGTTTTGTGTTAAATTTTGAAATTTAAAATACAAGTATACATCGTAGATATATATATATATATTATGTTGCCTATAGGTATATATAAACTGAATGGCTGCTGTCCAGTATAAACGGTTTTTTTTATAGTGATATTATACGTGTCGTTATAAGGTCGTACAAATACGTATACAAACAGAGAAAGTCAACTTTGACGATGTGGAAAAATTTGTATTTTGAAAAACAGTAATATGGTAGTGGGGGGGGGAGTTTCACGAACAAAACTATTGCGAACTACAATAGTGGCATAACATGTCGATTGCATTTTAGATAATCGTTATAGAGCGGAGAATAATAATATAAGGGCTGAATATAAAAACAAACGGACATACTTCGCCTGATGGGTGGGCCGTGGACCACTATTGTAGATGAGAAGTTTGGAAGGTAGAGAGGAAATTTAATGTTTATCTATGCAACGATTAACCATTGTTAACGAAAAACAATTCTGAGTGAAGTTCGGTTAAACATGTTTTGAAAAGCCGTAATATTTACGATTTGAAAATAATACATTTCGTAAATTTTCCCGTTTTTTCCAGGTTTTTCCCATTTATATGAAAACCCCAAAGAAAATAAAAAAAAACCTCCTTAAAGTACCACCTAATCTAATTTCCTTTCGAAAAAAGTGCTACACACTTGAAAATTGGAGCAAAATTTCGGGTAGAAAAATTATTCACGGATAAAAAAAAATAAACAGCGTTGTAAAACCAATACATTTATCACTCCGCTCAAAATCTAAAATTTGTAAACATACATCTACCAAGATATTATAAGGGATGTCAAAAATACACTATAGTTCATTATTTTTAGTACTTCTAAAATATAGACTGTATGATAGACGTATAATAATTATTAATAATTAAATAATTACATTTTTGATATCGTGATTATTTGTTTCGCTATAAAGACAACCAGAACTACCAGAATTAATGTCTTTAATATCATACAAACCATGTCAACAGATGCAGTTATAGATTTAAATATCAATTAATAATTATTGTATTGATATAAATGATGAATATGTACGTGTAAACCTAGCGTTGAAATTATATAAAAAAAAAAAAAATGCTGATACGCTGTTGATGGTTGTGCCAATTAAGCTAATTGACAGTTTTCTCCATTTAAAAAAATTAAAAAATGACATCTCTAATACACAAACTAGATAAAAAATTGTATACAAAGTTCCTATAAAGTTTTTGATTGGAGACAGATTTCTAGTAAAAAAAAAATGGTTACACACACACACATACACACACACAAAAAAAATAATAACACAGTAAAATTAATTCATTCCTAGCTTTGATCAGAATCTAAAATTGTACTGTAAACATTTAAACCGACTATAGTCTTGTTTATTTTGGCACTAAAATGAATTTTACACGAACAACAAAACCTGAGTATATTATGGGAAATACAAAAACACATTTTTGCCATATTATATTGCTCGTTAGGCGGATAGAAGCAATAAATGCAGGTATCAAACTATTAAATATTAATATTTGTATACACTACATCGAAAATTACTAAAAAAAACTAATAACATTATTGCCAGATTTCATAAAAATTGTTATTTATGGTTATAAGTTATAATCAATTGTTCAGATAGACTACGTTGTATATAAGTTTTTTATTATTTAAATAAGCATGTCTTACCTATATTTATTTGTTATTTATAGTTATAAAAAATTGCTCGGTTATCAGTGTATATATTTTATCCATATCAAATTATAATGTGATAGTTCAATTTCATTTTTTCTATAAACAACATAAGAGTTGTTAGTATTGTTACTTCCTATAGTTAGACATTTAATTAAAGTTTACCAAAAGTGTACCAAAAGGGAAACAATTTCAACGAGACTGAAAAGTGCCTATTGATTAACTTGGTTTTATCGCACAAAAGTATTTGAAATTTAAATCATTATAATTTTCGAGGGTATTTGATTGATCCTTAAATTACCTCGGCCTTGGTAGATTCATAATAATTTCAAATATCATATTATCATGAAGATTATGAAGATAAGACTAATGATACTGACATTTTTATAACGTATTGAAGAAAAATATTACGATATTTAACACAAAGCAGTCTCTCAATGACAGTAGGTACAAAATAACGTCACAATAACTAGAAAATATAACGGTTTTTCGTGATAGCAAAATTATGATTCAATAATGATGTTTTTGATGAGAATTATTAAATTTACAGAATAGTTTTTAATTTTTTGTATTTTACGGAACCGATAGCCAGTTATCGGTTCTGTATAGTTTCATGCAACCCAGCATAATATGAGTAATATAAAAATTGACACCATCGTTGCTAAATTAGTATTCGTCTGTACTCTTTAAACATATGTGAAATCAATATCTACAAACAGCAGTTCACAATACTTAATCAATTTGCTAGTTACTAACAAACAACACTACGTAATTTTTGGTTTTTGTTTTTATGTAATTGAGATAATAATAAAAAAATTTCATTGTGTAAAACATTATAAAAAATTACAAATGTACTACAATACCTATAAGGATACCGTACCACAAGAAATAATGTTCAAAAGGGTAATTTAATTCGAAATTGTTTGTTTGTATATTATCTCTACCCATTAACAACAATCAGTAGTTTTGATAATAATAATATTATATTAATGAAAAAACAGTGATACTACACTATTGTTACTAATGTGGTGTAATAAACCGCTTAATTCTTTTGAACTCTACGATTGTTGTACGCGAATAGCAATTATAAAATTTGCATAGTATTAGTGATTAACAGGTCGAACGCGCTGCAGAAAAGTTTAACCTCGCGCACGGGTCAAATGTTTAAGGAACCTACCGGACCGAAAATGAAGAGAATGGTTTTCTTATTTTATCATACCGACCTGCAGTACGCGAGTAGTACGGCGAATATTATTGGAATGTAGCCAAAAATTCAAATTTTGGTGTACCGAAAACCAGTTTCCCTTCGGAAGGACACACGCTGGTGATCATCGCTGTACGCGAGGACCGTAATGTTATCTGCGGTAAACGATGATTTAGCAGTAGGTGTATTATGTATTATAACGGAGGATTTTATCACTGAACAATGTTTATAGAAAATGAATCATGATACTTGTACCATGTTTTTCATTATTTTGACTTATTTTCTCTTACGTGCATCTACCTACCTCTATGTATTCGTTTTCAAAAGAATACAAATATACGGTTTTGCCAAAGTCATTGCAATATAGTATGATAATAATATATGAAGGGGCTAAATCTAATAATCACCATCAGTGAAAGTTTCCCATTGGGATCAACACGGACATGTGACCTTAATAAATTACAAACTGTGTTGCGAGAACCGGTTTTCATATTATATCTCTATCACATTCGGTGTCTTTCTCTTGTATTATTATGTTGAATTGCCAAACAGCACCGCCAATGCAGTCTGCAAAGTTAATAAGCGCCGTATTATACACATACGCACTGCCCCAATTGTAGAAACGGTTCCGACTCTGTCTATTCAAAACTGGGTTCAGCGGTTTTCACAAAGGTTGAGGCTATTGACCTAGTGTGATAGTGAAGATCACGATCAATTACAACACAATATATTTGTATGGATTTTATCGTCTCGTTGCGAATTTAATATTTATTATAAATTTTATTCAATAATAATTTGTACAACATACAAATATTGTGATTGAATACATTATAATGCTATTTTTATTGCATTATAACCGTATCCGCTCAAGAATAACGAATAGGGAAGCAGCCTTATAAGGAACTGTTCCATTTCCACGATTAAGATATCTAATCAACTTTAGTATCGAATTTTAAAATACATTTTTTAACGAAAATAATATTACTAACAATGATAGTTTTGTATTTTTTATCATTAAATAGATAATATGTTACCTAATTATTTTCACAGTCTTTGGAAAATTAAGGGACTTTTTCAATCAGATAGTAATGAATTGCGTATATAATATCTCTTTGGTGGTCTTCTTTAGACTCTTCTATTCGACCAAGTCGATCACACGCACTCGATAGAAACAGGTTTCCTGCCACCATTTCCGGCAAACCGAACATAGTACGTGCACGCATGCACTGACTTCAAATTACTATCTTGGCGCAGAGGAGTATACTTAAGAAAGTCACGGAAGAAGTCACGAACATGATTTTTTTCCACGGGAAAATAATATTACTGGCGCGTGTTTAACAAAAAAAAAAATAAATATTACTTAACATTTTAAAAGAAGTTTATGTAAACACATATTGTATAGCCAATAATTACAAATTGTGTGGGTATATATTAGTAGCTAGCTACTCGTATATAAGGTATAGTAAATGTTAAAAAAATATAAAAATTTCAAATGAATAGTATAATACAATATCAAATATTTAAAAACAACTGAAATATTTTGCACTTAATAAGTCCTAGGACACTGTGACTTGAGATTTTAAAACAAAATTTTCGAGAAACCAGTATTTACACAATAATTATTTTAAATATTAAAAAAAAAAAAACGATGAACCATTTTCAATTGAAAAATGTCTAAATAAAACTGAAAAACGTCGAAATTGTTCAAATTATTGACCACGTCTTTAATAAATATTAAAGTTCGATGTTATAATTGTAACGCTCCAGAATAATAATTAATGCTCGAGTTATAATAATAAATTAGCGTTGATCGTAACGAACCCCGTACCCGTAATTTGTTGATCATATACTAGTATATATTATATATACACTTTGGAAAACTATTACGAAAACTGCATCTATAAAATACCATACGGGTTTATTATTCGTAAGTATTTTAAAGTCTATGTACCACAGTTTATGAGTAATTTTACTATCCTTGTAATAAAACAGGTTTACAACAAGAGAAAAAAATCATTGTAAAACAGTATAACAACTTCTTTATTGCGTTCAGAATCGACATTAGGATGGGATATTCAAATTATGTTCACTAGTAGTTAGTAATTAATCCGGGGATTTTAAACGTGTAAAACGATGTTTTCTGATCTAAACAAAAATTAACGTCTTCGCAAAACATTAGAAATTATTAATTTGACTCACAAACATACCTAATCATTAATATTAATAAAATATATTTCATCAATAATGAGGTACATAATATTATAAAAATTAAAAAAACAATCTCCATACACTTATTCAATAATACTTATATTATGAAACAACTTAGTGATACATTTTCAACATACCTTGTGATGAGAAAGTTTGGTAAAATTGCGATAGATAAGTCAATATCGATAATCTATCTGGTATATCGACACAAACCATGTCTTCGGGATCCAAAAGCGCAGGAATGCCTAGATGATTTTCGGCCACTCGAAAAGCTAACTCGTTGTTCGCGTAAATATCATTCTTGTCCAGAATATCATAATCGCTGAAAATATTACATGATTAAATATTAATATAATATATTATAAAACGTGATTTTTTTTTTTTTTTACGAACAACGAAAAGTTTAAATGTTAAATAGAATAGTATCTATATATTTTTTTTCACGGTCATGATCTTCCATGACGTGTGCGCTTCGTTTTTCAATGTATTGAAAAATTGCTTTTTCCTCGGGCAATTTTGTCATCTATTTTATTTCAAACCTCCCCGATGTTTTTGTTACGTTACACGCGTGTTTTATTATTATTATTATTTATTATTATTTATTATTATTATCTTTTTTAGTTATTATTATTTAATAGGAGATGAGAAAAATACTCATTTCATGGGCTGCACGAAAAATATTATGCTACAATAACCGAAGCGAATTGTAGATTTGAAACATATATGGTAGTGTAGGTACCTAGGCTATATATAATATACGTGATACTGAAGTCAAGTGACCTTGACTTGGTCGTAACTTACAAAGATGGTAAAAATATTGGCAGCTGTATCAGGAAAAAGGTTATTAATCTTTATTTATAAAAATAAATCTATACAGAATTAAATGCGATAATCTTTCGAAATTCTCAACAAATTACTTTTGCAATTGATATATTACTATATTAGATTATAAAAACGTAAATACCTATTAATGTTCGAGAGAATATAATATATTTTATGAAACGCCAGAAAAATGACAGCTATAGTATACTATACTATATTTTATAATATCCCAAGTGTTTTGATACTCTTTTATTTTCAAACACATTTTAACTCATATATTATATTATTATTTATTATAATATATAGTAGTAAACTTTTAATGTCTCCCAAGCGGTATCGCACACCTCATAAAAAAAAAAAAAAAAAAAACAAAATTAAACAAATAATAAATAATGCTCTAACGTTGGTTAGATTGGTACCTGAGAGAAATGACGTACAAATATTGATAAAAACGTATATAGGTACTATTCGATCGGTATATATGGGACATACGTTTATGTTTTATAATAAATCTAACCAACTATATTTTGTTCCATATTTCTATACAAATTTATTGTAAAAATAACCGCTATATTATAAGGATATATACTGAGGAAACCAACTATATTTTTCCATTATCGGTGAAACCTAAACAAATAGGTACCTATAAACTTTATTATATAATATGTTTATTACGCTAGAAACACAAAAAAAAGCATCCGTAATAAAGCAAATTTCCGGTTTTTGGTGATGTTTGTACTGACTATTAAGGACATTACAAACAAAATATTTGACAAGACCGTCCATATAATTGGCGGACAGGAAACCACGTGATTGTATTATTGCTATAGATACACGTCATTAGCATATTCAAACAATTGAACACTTATAACTATTTTAATTGTATGTAAACCATCATTTACTACCGGACTGTGCCTTCTATGAGACCCCGGTCTAACGAACAAATCAGAAACGTTTGATGATCTGTTCGTTAGGCCAGGTCAGATACAGAGAAAAAAATTAATTTGACTCGTTTTTTATCGAAGAAACCCATTAATTTATCATAAATAATACCGTTATTTAGTAATAAAATTATAGAGGACGCATTACGCGTATACTGGTCTATATATTGAGTGAAGCAAATTTCAACGCTATAAAACCTAGTTGACAACTTATTTTACTGCTAGATTGCAGTTTAATATAAAATTTTTTTTTACTGCCATTAGATAATACTCGTTACAAACTACACAATTTATTGTTGTACCTACTATATATTTTAATATTTGGAACAATTTTTGTGAATATCACGATTAGGTAATGTATTCTTTAATAGTTACTACTCATTGTTTTGTGGTTTTTATGCTAGTGTTACCATGCTATCTTACGAGCTTGTAATCTGTTTCTGTTATTTTTCAATAATGATTTAATTGAAATTGAAACGCAATTTTATGGTGTCCATAATTTTAGACAGGGCCGGTGGAAGGCACGTGCGACTCGTGCGATCGCACAGGGTGGCTAATTTTTTTGGAATTTTAGGGGCGGCATTGTTTATAAATAACAATAATGCATATTATATTATTACTGTGTTATATTATGTAGTACTAAATAAGTACCTATTAATAAACAATATAATATGGGCTAGCCGTTAGTATTTTGACTCCGGGCGTTTATCTTTACGGTTTCTAGTTAGCAAATATGAGTCGAATCAAATCAGAGGCACTTAAACCGTTTCGATATTATATAAGAGAAATGTATGATGCTTTATTTGAAATATCAGAAAACATAAATTTAGATCCAATGGTTAAACATGAAGCTATGTTTATGTAATTTAATAAAAACGTTAAAATTTATTTGTTCTGTTGTTATTTGGTTGTCACTTATCATATAAATCCAATCAGTAAATTAATGCAAAAACCAAATTTTGATACATCTTTAAATTTGAGCATTTTAGAAACTTTATTGAAACATTTAAAGGAACTAAGATTAGAAAAATCTTTTGAGGAAATTATTATAGATTCAACAGCACTTGCAACGGAAATGGGAGTAGAGCCTACAAGACTTAATAAACTTAACAAACTTTTGAGAAAAAGCCATTATTTCGGTACTGTTATTTTTATTTGACCAGATAACTAGAATTTAAAAAAGTTATTAATTTGAAGTTTAAGTATAACTAATAATGTAAATAAATAAATTGATTATTTCTATTTTAGATTCTGAGTGGAGCGAAGAAGCTTATGGTCTTACAAAGATATTTGTTTTTTTGTGAACAACTTTTCTACCAGAAATTTTGCTCAAAATTATAATGATGGCAAATTTTTTGAAAGGAAATTTCTTTTCATTACAGGGAAGTACTTTAAAGAAGCCATTTTCTGATTTTCTCAACAGTTTTCCCAGTAAATATGAAAAACCAGGAAAAACATGGAAAAACCGGGAAAATCAGGATCCATTTTAGTTTTGGAATTGAAATAATTGAAATTTTACCATGACATATTTATTGTTGACAAAGCAGCACTATCAACTGAACTCCGCTTAAAATGGTTTTTTCGTTAGCACTGGTTTAACGTTGTTTACAAATGTATATTAAATTATTTATAACAGTGGCCGCTCCCGCACCTGACCCCATTATACTAGGACGTCTCTTTTTTTTTTATTATTATTATTAAATAAAGGTATTGTGCCTTAATTCAACCTACTTATAATTAATTAAATTTTCGGAAGACAAAATTGCACTGTTTGATCTCCTACAATATAACTCAGTTTTTAATTAATTTTGTTCATTTTGTAAACATAACTATGTACTAATTATGTTTACAACAGTTTATTATAAAGAACGGCATTTTTCTTAATTGCGCAAGGCGGCAAAATACTTAGCGCCGGCTCTGATTTTAGATTTTTTTGGTACATACCAGTGGCGGTACCAGGGTGAACCCCGGTCCAACCTAAAATCTCGTCAGACTACGGCTAACTAACCCTGTGTCAGTTCATATTATTTTTATTTTGTATCACATTATATTTTAAAATACATAGAAATACGAAGAAATAGATATGTAATATAATATAGAAATCATTGTTGAATTATGCAGAATATTGTTATCTTGATTATTTCCAAAATTATGAGAACATTCCAACTAAAAAAATAACAACTAGATACACAAATGATATCATGAAACTTTTAGAGCAGCACGGCACACCAACATCGATGTGGGTAATAGGGTATAATAATGATTGTATTTTAGATTTCTTATCAAATATTTCATAATCTAATATAAACTATAACTTTTTTTGGTTAATATGTAATTATAATAATCAACTGATATGCGAAAGGTAAAGCGATTATCTTTTTTACCACACTGGCACTCCCTGTAAATCAGTGGCTCCAGCTTGGTTAACCCAGGTAAAAAATCCTAACAGTAAAAAACCTAGTACCATCCGCTTCACAACCGTGACAGGGGGGGGAATTTATTTTATCAAAACCGTATTTCATTGGAAACGATATTTATCGGAAACGTAATTTGTTGCGGGCGTATTTTACCGGAAACGTATTTTGTCAGAACCATATTTTATTAGCCACCCGTTTGATTAACATGTTAATTCATATTATTAATTAGCAATAGTATTATTTATGACTAACTAAAGTTATTTATGAAAAAAAAAAAAACAAGAAAAATGTGTTCTTTTCTTCCCGTTGTCCACTCTTTGCTTATCAGATGTTCTCTGATTTATTATTACTCAAGATACATTCCCTAATTAATAGGTATATGGTATAAACGTATCTATTATAATTAATAAATAAATTGTTGTCTAATGCACCTAATTAAGTATTATGTCAGTTTAATTTGCCATGTCTACCAAGGGAGCTGTTAAATTTAATCAAGAGATAAAATGCATATAGATAATGAAAGATGATTGCAACTTGTTTTTTTCACTTTATTTAAAAGCAGAGTAGAAATCGACATTTATTACCAATGTGTATATTTTAAGAATAAATATAAAAGTAAATCTACATTAGTTTATATATACCCAGTGACTTTTATGGAGAAGTAAAATTACACACAAGAAGAAAGTTTTATATCAAATGTATTTTTTAGCGATTTTAAATGAGTAATTCGTAAAAGGCAATAAAAGATATTGATCAAAAAAATAATATTCACTCAGCTCTTCTCTCCATGTGAAAAACATACATGTTTACGTTAACACAAATATACGCGCACTACTCAAAACTAATCCAATTATTTCAAAGTGTTTTTAGAAAATGATCCTGTAATGTTTAAAATATTTTCATAAAATTGTTTGAAAATAACTTATAAATGCGCACTAAAGAAATTGTGACGACGACCTTTGTAATTTCTGCATTGTAATACAAATTACTCGAATATAACGTTATAAAATATAACAAGTGCAGAGATCTCATGGTTAACATTTTTTATATTATTCATATTTCAGTATTGTCCCGCCGATATAATCTACAGTATTTAACACTGAATGTGATACATAAACCTGTAGAAACCAATATACAGCTAGAGAATACAGAGTACACAAAAGGTACTTCCTTGAAAGTACAAGTATGGTATATAATAATTATACATTATACATTAAGTATATTTTGTTTGCACTCGGTTTTTATTCTTGACAACGCGTACATGGTATCATCGAATGTAGATTTACATTTGCCTATATATTATTACTATACATTTTTTTTATTGTTTATGCTTAGGTTTTTAAGGTAAATCAATATATTTTTCTTGTCATATAAAAATGATTTGTTTCATATATTGTTAAATGAGGTAGTTATTATTGAAATGTCAAAACACTTACATCAAATCCGGTCTGAAATGATGAATAAGAGCACAAAAGGCGAGTCCATCTTTCCACGAAGTAGACATATTTTCGATAGACACTCCATCGTATCCTTGGGTCACTCGTTTACACCACAGTTCCAGGGCTTTAGTTCCACGTCGCTCACCCATTATAATATGATATGTCGATGATATGTTATAAAATCTAAAATCAAATACAAAAATAATTTCATTATTGGACGAAAAAAAATGTTGACAAATTTGAATTCTTTAAGCTTCCGTTAAAGCGCAGATCACTAATTGTATAGGTACAACAAATTATTATATAATATTTTTCAAATATTAAAAACGCAAAAATGAACTGTTAGAAAAATCAATTTCATAGATTTCGTTCGATTATAGATAATATGAAGAAATTCAGTAATATTACAGAGGAATTTTATGTTTTTGATATAAGTACCTCCAAATCAACAAATTAGTAAAATCAACTAAAGTGGTGAGTATAGGCAATAGAAAAATTGCGCTTATTAATATTTTGTCTTTAATGTTTAAATATATAATTTTCAATATGTAAAGTATTCTATGATAATCATAAAATTAACGACTACCTATGTATCATTTGATTAAAAAAATAATAATACAAATTAGTGGTACCAATTGCCTTACACGGTGACGTATTTACAACTTGTTTTTTTTTTTTTTGGCGGGGGAAGCGCATTAATACAAAACTCACTAACATTATAGAAGTTGTGTGCTTTTGAGATAGAATTGGAACCACCTTCATCCTCCTGTTAATACAACACTGACAGTACAACTAATAGTTTGCCGTGATAAAGAAGTAATAAAAAAAATAAAATATCTAAAAGTTTACAAACCTACAATTCAAAAATTGAATATACATATAATATATTATATTTAAATAGATGCTCCTGTATAAGCTAAAAATTACGTACTACACACCGGACCTATAACAAACATAATTTCCAACCAACAAAAAAAAAAAAGGCGATACTATATCATTATATGATATAGCTCATTAGCAATTTTCCGTTTTTTTTTCCCAACGGTACTTGATTATTATATACTGTGAATATAATAGATCTAAAACGATTGTTGTCTTGCGGTCAATACACACACACACACACACACATGAAAAATATAGAGACTAGATTATATTATATTATTATATATTGTTGTGAATCTCGCCAGACTTATTTATTTTTTGTCGAAGTCGAACCCGTTTGACGACACAATGTAACCGTATACCCACCGCTATTGTTTGATAACGGATTATTTTTTTTAGTTACAAAAAATTATGTACCTGCATGTGCGTCTTAAAACACTGAGATTGTAACTTTTTTCGGTGTATGTGTGTGTTAATAGACATCATAAGGAGAAAAAATAATATAGAGGTCAATAACATTATTAAACATTAAACAAGGGTTTATCGCATACAATCTATAGGTAATTAACTTTTTTTCTTTTTTGTGTAGATTGTTTAACCTATATATTACCTATCTATAAAACATATATAAAAAATTAAGCAAAAAATGATAGTTGTCAATATTATAATAAGTATAAATATTTATCTACAAACAAAAGACAAAATTAAAATATTATAATTTATAAAGACGCCTGTAGATGCCTCTTATGCAGCATAAAACGCTTTTCATTGACGTAATAAAACAAATTTAAATAATAATAAATTTAAAAATAACTTATAATCGTCATTATTACATAATTTTTTTAAGGTGAATATATTTATAAATTATTATATTTGAATTGAGTTCAAAGCGAAAAAAATATACTTTCGAGTGAATTAAAAAAAAATCGTATGAATCACAAACATAATAATATATTATACCTTCTCATCATTACACCTTACTGAAATATGATTAGTATCTATTATAATATCATAATCTACATTACAACGAATTTCAAATGTCATTCTAAAAAAAAAGGTATCTCCAAGTGTATATAGCGAAATATATGTATATAACTATAAATAGAACTATACAAATGTGTTCATATATATTATATTTGAATCGGTAGTCAATAATTAATGTTTATTCTAGATCAGATTAACACGTATAGAATATTTTTTATTCTATACAAAACGCTAAAAATGGCCTATAATTTTTAATAACTCCAATGAATCAGTTTTTTTATTTTATATTTATTTGTTCTATAAATAATAATAAATATTTAAAAAAATATATATATTATATTACGTAATCGTTATCTGTCATTATTCTTTAAATACGCTAATATACATTTTTTTTTTTTTTAATACAAAAATTTACTCAAATAATAATAATTAGAATAAATGTATATATATTTATATTTAAATACTGCAGAAAAATTATATTCAAGTGTCTAAAACATCCGCTACTTTAGTAAACATATATATTTTTAATGGGTGCACTACAATGACATCTTATAGTCATTCATTTAGTTCATTAACTAGTAATTTTTCATTCTTCTAATTGCATTTCAAAAAAAATTTTGAAAAACAATATCTAATTAACCATGACCATAGGCGCGAATAGGATAGCTGGAAGTACTTCGCCCACTCTCAAAACTCATCCAAACCTCTCATATCAAGTCCTTATTAAACATACTTAATGAATATTAATGAATATTAAAGGGACTTAAGCTTTCTTCCCAACCCCAAAAATATAATATTTGGGCTTTTTATGTCTATGATGTATACGTAAAAATTATTTTGATTTGGATACTTATAAATTGATTAAACTTAATTTAACATTTTACAAAAATTAAGATTTATTAAGATAAATATTATTTTTTATTGTTTAATCAATACCACATAAAAATAAAAAAAACCTTGTAAAAACATTTTTGAAAAAATAATACGTTGAGATACATATATATCCTATATACATATATATGTATATATGCACACTCATTGTATGTTCAATGTGATTTTTTTGGAAAACGATGAGTTTACATTTCTATAAAATTTATAATGACATTGAACAATAAATATCGATATATATATATATATTATATATTATAAATACGGTATATTATTATAAATATACACGTATAATGTATAAAGGTAATAGGTTATATTATACAGTATTTTAAACTTTTCTGTATAGTGATGTCCACTTTTTGGATTCTAAGCGGATCTCTATCCTATTCCTATGAATGTATTGATTTATGGTTTTTGTCAATGTTTATTTATTTATTTATTTATTTATTGTTTTTTTTTTTTTTTTAATCTATGAGCAAGCACGTTTTCTGAAAGGAAATTGGACTGGGGAGTTTTCCTAATAAATAGAAAAAATCTGGAAAAAAAAAGAAAAGCCCTAAAAAAATGTAGGAAAAACGGGAAAATAGGTATAATATTAAACAAATATTGTTAAAGAAAATCATATAATGCAATTATTTTACCATATGATATGTATTGTATATTGTTGATAAAGCAACATTATCAACCGAACTCCGCTCAAAATCGTTATTTCGTTAGCAATGGTTAATCGTAATTGCGTACAGATATACATTAAATTACCCCTCTACTACCTTCTTAATTTCTCACCTACAACAGTGGCCCACCTACGTGTGAAATGTGTCTGTCTTTTTATCTCTCGTTATTATTATTTGAGTATTAGAAGAGTAATAATAATTAAATATTATAATGTACACGATGTTTATTGGTTTAAATTGATAACCTCAAATAATTGAATATGAGACCCCGGCATCTGAACGTAATACAATATCTCACAAATTACTGTACGGAAATTAACATTATTCTAATATGTCTCCAAAAATGTAATTTCACGATAAATAATTGATTACAAGGCTACGGCAACCATCGTGCGCGGGTTGGTTCCCATATACAGGCTTAACGGATATCATAGAATGAGTCCTTGAATTTTCTTTATAAAGGTACAAAAAAAAAAAAACAATCAAACACTCATCTCGGTGTTTTTTTTTTTTAATACCGATTATGCGTATTGATAAAATCTATAAAAAAATTCCCCGTCACAATATTACCGAGAATTGATAAAAATCGAACGAACCCAATTCATTTGTACTCGTATATTACGATAAATGCGGCATACGGCAGTATATCTCAAAGAAAAACATTTTAATAAACGCGTAGGTGTGATAAGTATACGGTAGTACTTTGGTTAATTTTTAGGTTTATATTATACTTTATAAATATCTTTACAAAACAAAACCCACTTTTATAACGTTAACATAATGGCGTTTTAAAAATATAATAACTGTAAAACGATTATTGCAAAAAAAAAAAAAACCGAATAAATTATTTAAACGTACATTGCTGTAGGCATACTCGGTTATCACTATAGCGATCGGAATAGCATTTGCATGTTTATTTTCAGTAATGCGTGTTTACTTTCAGTAAATTCATCCCAGGGATTTAATATAATGCGTTTCACATAAAATAATATTTTGCCAGCAACAAACATTGTATTTTACATTGTAACGCTTAGTGCATTGTAGTTATATGTTTAGAATCGAATTCAGGGTTATAGATAATAGAGCACAATAATATTATATTATTGATTTGTACACATTTATAATTATATAATATTATCGCCAAAATGTTTAATTAGACTTCGATTCTACAAATTATAATACAATTTTAAATAGAAAAGGGATTAATATGCCCTTAAAATCCATAAAAACGTCTTAAAAAAGACGGATATACTTCGCATGTGCAGCCACTGTTATAGGTGGGAAGTAAAGAAGGTAGAATACAAAAAAAGGAAATTTAATGTATATATGCAAGCAACAATAAACCATTGTTAACGAGAAAACGATTCCAATCGGAGTTTAGTTGATAGTATTGCTTTGTCAAAAATATAAATGTCATATTATGGTAAAATAATTAAATAGGCATTATACATTTTCTTCAATAACATTTGTTTAATATTGTACTGATTTTCCCGTTTTACTTAAGTTTTCCCCGATTTTTCCCATTTGTTGAGAAAACTTCTTGTAGAATCAAAAAATGACCTTCCTAAAGTACCTTTTCAGTCAGATTTCCTTTTAAAAGAAGTTCTATCATTGTAAATCGGAGCAAGATTTCTGATGTTGTCCATAGATAAAAAAAAAAATTAAACATTTTTGTAAACCCATTAGATTCTTCGATCCACTCAGAATCTAAAAGATGTACATTTCACACAATGGGTGGGACACTGTTGTAGTTGAAAATTGTGAAGGTAGGATATAGAAGGGAATTTAATATATATCTGTATGTAAAGATGAATTATTGCTAACGAAAAACGATTCTGAGCGGTATTCAATTATGCATGTTTTAACTGGCCGTCAAAATTTAATATTACAATTCTTATGTAAAAAATAAATACTACATTAAACTCAACTTTTGCTTGTTGACCATTATGTACAACTTATCATTATTAATGAGCCTTCTGTTAAATATTCAAATATTTCTGTTCGGTCTAACAATTTTATCCACACCTACCAAATACCTACCAAATATTGGGTAATAATAGAAGAATTAGGTAAAAAACTCGTAAAATTAAAATGTCTATAAATAGCTCACAAAAAATGGCTCACATATTTTTAAAATTGTACCACGTCAAAAAAAAGCACATTTAAGTTTTTTCTTCAAATTTCAAATCTACGAATATTCTGAACTGAATTACAACAAAATAACAAAATTGAAGGTTAAAAAAAAAATATATAAAAAAATGCACTTTGGTTTAAAAGTACCTTCTCATAAAACCCCTCTATCATTTTTTCTTTTTAAATATTTTAAAGTACTTCTTTCAGAACTTGTTTTAACGCTTTTAAGCGCTTAAAGTGACTTAAACCACTTATAGTGCGCATAAATTCGTTCTCTACTTGTGAATATTAAACAATAGCAAATCAACAGGATAACGCACTGTTTACAAAAAAATGCATATCCAACGATGAAAAAATAATATATTACGAAAACAAACGCAGAAGAAAATGTATAAAATAGTTTTTCAACTCAATGAAAATATCTATAAGAATATTGTCAATTATTATTTATTGTTATAATTTTTACTCGGATATTTACCTAATTTATATTTAATAACTTAAACTTTTAAATTAAAGTTTTTTTTTTTAATATTTAATTTACTTATCACCTATCGATTAAATATAACAATATTAGATTTTACTTGATTGTATTATTTTAAAATAATTAAAATCGATTTCTTCTCCTTCTTCTTCACCTTTATTCCTCATCTTAAAATTCAATAGACCCGATTTTCGACCTCAGAAATATCAAACATATCCAACCCCTTTTCTTTTTTCCTTTTTTTTTTTTATATATATATTAAATTCCCCATTTCCGCGGTTATAACTCTTTGAGGCGTTACATCGTGGAAACTCTTAGAGACGTTTGAGTTTAAGGCAAAGGAACTTATTATGATTTTTTTATCATATTTTAATTTCTCAATCAGTTGTTAATGATTATAATCGAGAAAAATCAAGTAAAATTAAAACATGTATATCATGATAAAAAATGAAACTATTAATACCATTTGTAGGACATAAAATGGTAAATAATCTCCTTTATAAATTATAATTTAAAATAATTATAAATGTAATCTTTATAACTATATATCCTTTTGTCCTACTTTATTCAGTCACGATCATGAAAATGTCTATGTTGACAGAAAAAACAAACGACAGTGTTTGCGACAAGGCCTCATAACAGAATATAGATAACTTTTGAAAATGTTCATAAGGTTAGGCTAACCTTACCCTAATCAAACAGAATTAGCACGTTAAACACGTAAATTTAAAAGTAAATTATAATACTGTTTACAAGCAATTATTATTATTATTGACATTTTACGATGGCTTTACGAGTCGAATGTCTGCGTGAAATTGCCGGTGTGACTACAGAGAAAACACGAATAACGTATCAAGATCATATAAACGACCGGTTCCGAGTGCATATATTATTATTATAATAGGCGACTGGTTAACGGTTAAAAATATTGCGACTTTCTAGATGATGGGCAATTACTATTGGATTTTGCACAGCACATGTATAATATATGTATAATAACACATGTATAATAACATTTTACTACTGTATATTATAAATTTCAACCGAATAATAAAAATATACCTATTGAAAATGATATCGTAACATCCGAAAACCCGTAACTGCAGGCGTAACAATATTTTATCGAGTATTTTATTTCTAATATAATATGAATATTTATCGATGGTAAGAGAACGTGATACCAGAAATATTGTACTGTCTCCGTCTAACAAACGTAGTGTGACACAGGAAATTTGCGTTCGGCAGGAACAGCATTGTGCTGTTAATTTTAATATTAGAGTGAATTGTGTTCAAGATTGCTTGCAGCTTATGTAATTGTTACTCGTAATTGCCCGTATATTATTTAGATGAGTATTTATCTTTTTTTAATGACTAATTAATTTTATATTTGTTTGATTTTTTTTTTATAATCAATGACAACAATGATTAGCAATTACAACTGATCGCGTGTAATAATAATTTATACACTTTATCAGTCAAAACAAATTTATTAAACCTTTATCAGATGTAAATCTATTCACGATAGATCATACGGACCTATGTCAAACTTGACATTCATAAGACGAAAAAGAGCTGATACTGGGGATGGGAACAGCCACTATTGTAGGTCAGAAATTGGGAAGGTAGGATACATAAGGTTATTTTATTCATATCTGTTAGCAACGATAAATCATTGCTTGAGGAAAAACGATTCCGAGCGCAGTTCGGTAATACATAATTTGAAGTGGCGTAATTTTTTTTGCAATTTTAGTTTAAATTTGATTTCAAAACACGCTTATTAAAAAAAAAATCCAACAAAAATATGATCTCGTGTTGTTGAGGAGAGTAAGATACTATGATATATCATCCCATCAAACTTTTCACCTTGAACAGTATCAACTTTTTTTAATACTTGTGATGGTTTTATAATAAATACAAAAACTTAAAAAAAAGGAAAAAAAGTCGTCCGATGATTTTGGAAGTTTTATCACGTCTAGGTAAGTCCAATATAAGTGTTAATACCAAGTTTCAAGTCTCTACTTGTATTTATAACCGAATCACAGTAAAAACTCCCAAAAATTAAAATTCCTTAAAAGCCCAAGAGTGACTAAACATTTTTAGCAATGATACCGTAAGAAAGCAAATCAAAAGGGCAACAAAAAAGGTGTCTTGTGACTTTTCGATTAAGTTATTTTTTCTGGTAGAAAATGTCGTCCGTGTTTTTATAAAGTAATGAAATCGTGGAAATTATACTTTTTCCTACGTTTTTTCTCACTGAAGTGCTTTTATTTAAAAAATGGCGTCGAAAATCAAAAAATGACCTCTTTGAGTACCATCTAAACAACTTGAGCTTTCAGAATAGGTGCTACACTTATCGGAACAAGTTAACTAGGAAAAAACGTGTCCACAAACTAGAACAAAGAAAAAATAAACATCATTGTAAATCCAATAACTCCCTCGCTTCGCTCGGAATCTAAAACTAATAATCTTAAATTATCTTATATGGGCATCATCTTTAAAGATAAGAATACAATCTGTTTTGATATTTTAGCTGTCAAACGAAATATAAGACATTGATAAACACAATTGTGATATCTCGCATACTCAAATCTTTTTTATAAATTAATTTTTTAAAAAAATAGTGCGAACTTGGCATAGATAATGTTCTTATGCCTTTGAGTTGCATAATAAGTCAATTCACTCTAATATTAAAACAAACAATTTGTCCCTGCTAAACGCAAATTTCCAATACGAAATTTCTTACGTTCGTAAGAATGAGACAACGCATGCGGGTATCACACCTTCTTAAAACGATTCGATTTCAATGTGGGTATAATATTTCCAGCCACGGTATGTTGTTATTATTATCTATACGAGATACGAAAAGTCAAATAATATATTAACAATTGTTTTATCCGAAACATTCATGACAAGCATATTACTTATTTGAAGACAACTACAGAAAAAAAAAAATTGTATTGGTATGTTTACAGAATTTGTAGTTTGTAATTTCAAAGGCCCCTGTCAAATAAACAAATACATATAATAGGATGTAGATAACGTTTTTCCAAAGTATAATATATGAATAAAAATAAAATACAACTCTTAAAATCCTATCACATGGTATAGATATTTCAGCGGTTTATTTTTTTTTTTTTGTTTCCTGAATACTAACGACGCGATGCCATCGTACACGTAATGAATAATAATTTGTAAAACGAATCGTCGTTATATTGTTATACTCATACATACATATTACTATCACCGTAATATATGGAAAATAAACAATGCTACGCACAATCGCTGATAATGGGGTTAAGTTTTACCGCGAGACATAAAACCACATAATTATTATTGTTATATTATGTCAATGGAATAATATACGGACTACGGCACGTGTACAGAATTAGCGAATAAACGTTAAAAAACACTACATATATCTATAAAATAAAGATAAAAACTATATATTTGTAAAAGAAAATCAATTATATAGACGTTAAAAAAATAGTTTTATAATTATTTTCGGGAATTTTCGTTTTGTTTTACAACACATTACACGTCATGCTTTCGCTATCTCCGTCTTACAAACGAGCCACATATCAAATAATGATTTACGTTTAACCGAACCAATTTTGGACTTTTAGTTTTAATATTAGAATGAGTTGACTTATTATCAAACTAAGAGACTAAAAGACTATTATTTATTGTGTGTAGGCATTTGAATTTTTTCGTTATTTTAATTTTTAAGCGAAATAGGTAAGGGTACGTAAAATAGTTTATCACAATTTATCTCGCTTGAAAATTAAAAGATCGAAAAAAAACCAAAATATACACAAATAATGTTCTTATCTTTAAGTTTGATGATAAATCAATTCACTCTAATATTAAAACTAAAGGCATAACATTGGTTTTGCTGAATACAAATTTCACCAATTTGCTTTGTCGTGAGTTTGTAAAACACAGACAACAAAATCCATGTGAAACGTGTCTCTGAATAATACCTAGTGAACAAGCCAAAACCCACTTCTACTACTGGAACAGAACCCAATAAAGAAAAGTACTTCGGGAAAGCCGGGTTTAAGGTGGGGAGACGTAGTAAAAAACTGGTCGATTGAGGGTCGGAGCTTGCGCGATGAGCGTTTCGCACTATGGAAAACTTTAGAAAGTACAAAGTAAGAAATTATCCTCAATCGGGTCTTTAATCTCACGAAACAATAAACATTTGCATGAGTAATATTATGTGTATTTTTATCCGTCAGAACTTTATATACGATACGAGATCCCGAAAATTACCAAAATCTTTAGGAGGCAGGTTTTAGAACCCTAGAGGCCGAATAAACACTTCAAAATACATTTATTACGATATTTATAACTGGAGTACACAATAAACCGGTATACGCGAGAGTTACTTAAAAAATATATAGGTAACAAAAATTATATATAATAGGTAATATAAAAAATAATTATTATTAAGTATAGTAGGTAGTCGTATTATAAGTACGGTACACATCAATATGTCAATGGACTCGCGGCGGATAGTGATAGACACACACACGCACATGTCTACCTGTCTTTGACTTCCTGTGCGGAAGTAAATGCCACTATATATGTCTACGAGTCATACTCGTAAAAATATCCCATTACCTATATATAGGTACTTTTTCCCACACCGAACAAGTTCATTTGTGTTTCCGGATCGGCGAGCACAGGCCACTGTTGCTGTTGCTGCACGACAGACAGATGCACATCGCAGCCCCGTCCGGTTTAACGTTCGGGTTTACATAATAAGAAAACCAGTTTTGCCGCACGAATAATAATAATAATAATGGTTAACTTGCACGGGCGATCGGATTGTGCGAATAGATACTCGAATTACAATAATATTTTGTTACCAAAGTATAGATGGACAAAAAAATAAAAACACAAACAAAATGACAAATAAGTATAGCTAACACACAAGTGTCAAAAAAAAAGTATTAAATAACACCGTACTCGTCTAGTGAAAACACTTCGAAGATGCAAATATACAAGGTACAACAAGTATTATACTTGTATAACTGTGCATATCTAATCTAAATCTTTTATATAAGTTTATTATCGATATAGGTTTAAACTACACAAACATTTTCCCTTTCAAAATAGCAATTGATAATAATAATTATCGAGATAATTATTCAAATATGTTTTTACAATAATATTATGCGATTTAAGGACTACATAATATGAATAACTACTTTTTTTTAGTTAGATATAATGATGTGCCATTACTTTATACGTGAATGAAAACTTAAACAAATACTTATTACCCCTATAACGTACAATATACAGTTTCTAGTTACGGTCGACACGACAATTTATCATAGATGAAAAAATGAAAGATATTTTCATTTTCTAGATTTTTTTTTTTTTTTACTAAATTGAACGAATAAATAGACATATGTATATATAGTATAATTATAACGATATTACCTCAACAATAAATGTATATTGGTCAAATGATACGCTCCATTTAAAACGCAGGATTATTTTTTTACAAACCGCACACATCAAAAGAAAGTGCCTTAAACTACATATTATATAGATGACGTTGACAAAAAGAAAGTTAAATTTTACTGTTTCTTAAACTTTATTATATCTAATGTTGTACAATTATGTATTACCAACTATAGTTACTACGGGAATCATCACTAACTACTTTCAACAGTCAGTGTATACCTAGTACTTGCCTACTTTCATACCGTTATAATATATAGTGACAGCCAGCCGTGTTGCATGAATCGTATACACAAATAAAAAAAATATTATAAATGGTTATATCAATAATTCTAAAATATTATGATTTGCAAGCGACTTGGATGAGTTACTTTTCTGATTATTTTAAATTATTATGGGTCTTAAAAAAATGAACTATTTATAGGAATTTTCTCGAAAATTTGCGATCAAACATCTAACCGACTAGCATGCTTAACAAAATGATATTACATAAATCTTATTAAAAATAATATTTTATTAGCTGATTAATTCGAATGCCGATGTACGTTACAAGTTATACCTACATAGATATTATGTTATTCATCAGAGCGAAGTAAAATTCATTATTACCACAATTTTGTCTTCGTCAGTTAAGATACGAATATTTTTTAACAAACAAATGCATTTACACACGCGTTCATGTTTATGCACATGTTAGCATTAATCATAGACACATGTTGTTTAATATTATGTTACAATTATGTTATTTGTGATGTAGAACAATATTATTTATTCGTTATTTCATTGTCCTAAAAGCTAAAATATGTACAATCGATTTGCGCAGAGTTGACGACATACTAAAGGTAACTAAACGAAACTAGTAGGTATTATAGGCACCATAAATATTTATAGATATGCACGGTAGCAAAAAGAGTGACAACTGTCAACCATGCATAATATTATGATAATACGATTAATTGTTTGTTTCGTAATTACGTAAAAATGCAAAATTTAACATACGTAGTAGATATATCAAAGGAGGAAGTCCGGAAGAGTATTTCCAGATCTTATCAGAGTTGTTTGGAAATTTTACAAAAATTAGGTTGAGTTTTACAAAACATAACGTACTTTTAGTCCAAAGCCGATAAATACTGCTTTATGGAAAATAATTTCCCTTTTTGATTTCCCTAAACCCTATTCGTACCCAAACGAAAATCGACTACTGGTTTATATAAAACACAAGGTAATTAAAAACATAACCTACCAGTTGGTCCGAACCTGATGTTCCAAGGAAGTTAATGACCTTGATGTAAACAAAACCTAGGTCTTATTCGATGAAAAACTACCGTCGTAGTACATACCGTTTGGGCTATAAACTCGGACTGTGTGATTAGATATGTTTAGGAAACAATGTGCTATGGTACATGATGATAAGCGCCTTAAGCAGTGTCGAACGATGTCAAATACTCGGATGGATGATTATTTGCTGATTAGTCAAGAATTATAACTACGTGTCATTCGGCATTTCCCCAGTAAATAATAAACAGTGATCTCCGACGAGCCCAAAAAAAAGCAATAACGAATAAAATTGTAAGTTCAACAAACATAATATACAATATGAATAGTAAATACTGCAGTGGTTTTTAATGAGCTTAACCAAAAAAAAAAAAATTCTAAAATACGAAATAGAATACATATTGTATTTAAGACAAGTTACTACATAAAATTTAGTCAGGGATTTAGTTTAAGTATGTATTTTCTTAATTACGAGGACATTTTTTTTTTAATAACATTATAGTTATTTTTTTAAGTAAAAATCAAAAATTAGTATAGTCTATAGTTGTATATAACACGTATCTGTAGAATTAATTTTTTTTTTCAGTTTGAAAAGAATAAAAAAAAACTAGATGTCTATGGCATTTACCTTGGAAATTACAGTTAAGAGATGTGATTATGTGTTAGTAGGACATAGTTTTTTTTTCTTTGATACGTGTACATTGTACAATGTATATACATCGAATGCCGGAAGAAATGTCCAAGGAAAAAACCAACGGAAAAAAAAATCAAAAAATAATAGTATAAATGTAGAGGTTGCGCAGAATGTCTGCAGGTTTACAGTATGATTTGCATTTATTTTCGACTATCTATAACGACGATCTTTCAATTTTTCTTTTCATCACAAATCACACAATGTGCGATGGTTAAATTTTACCAAATGACGTATTGTAAGTTTAATATAACTGTAGGAAAATGAAATAATGTTTATACCCTATTTCTCATTACCTACATCCATATGGATCTCAGGCGCAATTCCGAAAAATAAAATCATTATTGGTAGGTTTTTTTTAGGAGGGGGAGGGGAGAATAAATCCTAGAAATTTATAAAAATCATGTTTGATTGAGCGAAACATGTTTTATCTATGTTGTGATAAAAATTCTTAAATTCGTTAAAAATACAGAAAAATCGACCGAATTTTAATTATTATACCCGTCACATAATTATATGTTTGAAAAGATATTATGTATTTTTTACTAGATAGATTAATTGGTAAGATTGAACCGAAAAAATCACTATTTCTCTCTCTCTCTCTCTTGTATTCACGATATTTCTTTCGTTTTCCCCGTTTACAAATAGCGTTTGATTTATCCGACAACCACCACAGGGGTCCCGCCAGCAGACGTCTATTATTATTATTATTATCCGGTCGGCTTTGAAGAAAGAAAAATAAATTCAAAAAAAATAAATAAATCGTATTTTTAAGAACAAGTATACCTACGTACCTACTGGTACACTAAAATGTACAATACAAATTAAAAGGCTCATTTTTTTTTTTTTCTAAGCTCGAGGTACCGAAAAAAAAACCTGTTATGATTTAATCTAGCCTCCGGGGACAATGGCTTTTATTTTATTATTATTATTATTCTATATCGTACCTAGTGGTTATTTACCAGTCCGATGTTAATGTTGTTTTGTTGATCAAACGAACTGCTTGCCGCCACTCGGCAACGAGAATTTTATTATTATTGTGACCTAATAATCATATTTTGATTTTCTGACCGATACCGATACATACAATCTCTTATCAGCTCCCTACCATTAAATTATAGGTAAGTACAGGGGGGTTTTACTGCGTTATAAACAAAAGTCAATGAGTTATTTTTTTTTTTTTTTTCTAAAAAACGTTTAAAACTACTTATTAACGTACCTATATAAGTAATCGGTATGACGCTTTAATATTAAAAAAATTCAATATAACCAGCGTTCCATAAAATATAAGTATATGGATTTTATTATTATAACTATACAGTCACATTAAAGATATGCATGAACCTACAGTAGCGTATCTAGGAATTTTCAATGGATGGTGAAAAGGAACATGGTAAATAACAATTAGAATAGAAAAAATCGAAGAATCGTCTTCTGTTATACTTAACTAGAAGCAAATTTAAAAAAAAGATATCAATTTGTATTCAATAAATCAAACTTTTTACTTTACAACTCGGCTGAAATACCTCGAAACACACTATTTCAAGATAAAATTATCAACAAAATATTCAGTTATCGTAAATTATTGGATGGGTGAGAAAACCCCTAACCACTCTCCTCTGCTCACAGCGCTAAATACCTACTCACACCATTTTGATGATTTTTGGTTAAATTTATAATTAAAAATACTATAATATTGTATCTGCGTTTAAATAACAATATTAATTTTTTTTTTTCATTTATCTTTACTAATATTTGTCTTATTCTTGAATGATTTAAAACAAATACTACCTAAACTGCCATTTCCTTCTTTTCGTCAACGACCTCAAATTATTTCGGGAAATAACATCCATAAATGATTGTCACTTACTCCAATCTAATGTGGACAATTTGGGTTCCCTACTTATATTCTCTAGGGCTAAGTCTCAATATGATAGTGCCAAATTATGTCGTTCACTAGATGTCGATCTGTTATTCCTTTTAAATACAAGATCCACAATTTTACCCTTGTTTCAGTGAAGAGTGCAAAATACCTGGGTATTCTTTACATCCCCACACTTGATTTTTACCACCACATTGAATCATCATCTTGCAGAGTTCTCAAAGTATTAGGAATTGTCAAGCGAATAGCATTTGGATTTAAGCTTAAGTCTTCTATAAAACTACTTTATTGCTCCTTAGTTCGTTCTATTGTAGAATATGGTTCCGTTTCCGTGTAATGGGACCCTGATACAGCTTCAAGCTCCCTCCAACTTGAGCATGTCCAGAAACGTTTCTTTTCATTCGCTTCCTATGTCCGAAAAATTGGTCATACCCCACATGATTAATTTCCTGAGCCCACCGAATTAACACTTACTTCACTAGCTGACAGAAAATCAGCTGAAAATCTATAATTTCCACACAAACTCTTAGATGGTTCTATGGATGCCCCACTCTCCTCTCAAGTATCAAATTTAGAGTGCCTCAGCATTCTTTCCGTTTCCATACTCCTTTTTCAACGCCGATAATTTGTCTACAAACTACGGTCGCAATTACCTTATCCATGATAGTATGATGCGCATGGCTAATAAACAACCAGTTTTCTATCGTAACCACCATTTTGTCTTACTGTTATCTATTAACTGTAATTTACTATACATTTCTATTATGTAATTTGGCTTCGCCCATACTGTTTTAAATAAATATGCTTGTACCGCAGAATTCTTTAAGCAATTGTATTTCATAAAAGAACAAAACCTGGGAAAATTACACCTGCAATAATGTCGAGTAAGAAAAAAAAAAAAAAACTCCGTAGAATAATTACACGTATTAAGTATTAAACACGCAAAGCGGTACAATGGCCCGCGAGGTGGCTTTATTTTCAATTAATAATATTAGAGGGATGTTTTAATAATTTGGTGTTGAAAACGCCTCTCCCGTTACGAACACGTCGTTCCCTCAACACTCGAAAACGCTTCGAGACACTAATAAAAAAAATATATATACATACATATATACACATTAGACAATTGGTCGTTATTATGACCGATTTCGAACGTACAAACTACAGGTTAAAAAACAGGTATAGAAACACAATAAACGCCGTTCATCAAGTTATAACGAAAATCCCCAACGTATTATTCGTCTGGAGTTTTTACGTTACAATTGGAATTATATAAGGGAGAAAACTGACGAAGGTCGACATGGATAACCCAAAAATGAGAGAGGGATGAAGTCTGGTTAAATATATTACAGATTAATTGTATACGTGCAATGTGTGTAGCAGGTATTAGACACCGTATACTCGACCCATCTACACATATTATTTCTCAACACGCTTCAGAGCGCACAGGCCCCCCCTAATATAAAACCTAATAAAAAACCGACGTCTATATAATGGGTTGGGTCTTGGGTTTGATTTTTATACGATTACCTAGGTATAACTCGAGGTATAACTCAACGATATTATTGTATTTGTAAATAACTCTCAGATGTCTAAAACCGTACATTATCTAGAAAAAAAAAGAAAAAAAATACATAGTACAGAAGACCGAACCACCATTATTATTATTATTATTATTATTATTATTAGACTGCGGGTAGGTAGTAAAAGAAATAACGACTATGACATAGAGCAACCCTCATTTGAATACTCTTTAAATCTTAATTTATTATACACGAAAATATCAAATGACCTCGGAAGAAGTTGGGGACAAAAATACAAAAAAAACTCAGTGAAAAATATCATAACAACGTAGGCACCTAGGTAAGTATGTATCTAGTATTTACTTATACCCTACTTATAAATACAAATCACGTTGCTTTGCATTAATCATTTCAAACGGACTCGTATTTATAAGCAGGTGCGTACATTAATGTTGACCACTCAGTTATAACATTGTGTTGAATAATATAGGTAATATAAACGGAAAATGTCGTGCATGCCTATTTATAGTTTTTTAAAGAATTAATAGAAAAAAAAAACCGACGACAAACACCCGCTGCAGTAGAGGTAAACAATGCACACACACACACACACTTCACGCTATTATCGACTGTACACGAATAATATCTGCTAGAAAAGAAAAAAGAAAACAAATAAACCATCACGATTGTTTTACATTATTACAGGCGTAAAACGGACGACATTGAAATCACGGCCGTCGAAATATAGGAAAAAGAAATACATAAATAAATATTACAGTGGTCGAATACATTTTGTCCCCGATTCCAATGTTATTGGGTGCGCGCAAAGAGAACCAGAGACGCGAAAATTACAGGTAAGCGGGTTTTTTTTTTTTTCTCTCTTTCGTTACCCACGGATGTACACAATGTTATGTTGACCGAGACGGCAATTTTTACGTCAACCTGCTACACAATAAACACGACGGCGCGTCGTGTCAATCATTTTGAAAAAACACAATGATTTCATAAAGAATTTTACAACAAGTAGGTGGGTAGGTACGCGTGGTACAGAAGAGAAAGATGTGCGTGCGCGCGCCCAAACGATATATAACGTTCGTCGATCTTCTTCTCTCTCTCTCTCACGTCAACGCGAATCCTTACCCCCGCCCCCACTCCGCCGCCGTTCGGATCTTAAATTATAAATCAAAAATAAATTATTATTATGTTTCGTGGAAAATCTAATTGTTTACCCGCTCACTAGAGCGATTTCCAAACCGATAATAAAGCGACAATCCGATTACGTCCATATTATGTTATTGGTACGCGTCCATAAATATTAACATACCTAATATAATGTAATATTTATTTATTCCGGCAACGGTAATTACCGTCTATTGCAGAGGTTCCCAAAGTGATCTATGCAGAGCCCGAGCGTCTGTCATTTCGACGTGCCAGGAGTCTGTACCGTCGACAAAGAAATTGGTGGTGACTGAAATATAAATAGAGGGAGATAAACGATATTGAGGGGGGGGGAGGCTACAGAAAAACAGGATAAATTATCAAATGGTCTACAGNGGGGGGGGGGGGGGGGGGGTGAGAAGTTTGGGAACCTCTGGTCAATTGTATAGATTATAGGTTTACATTTCCCGACAACTCCGAAACGTACCAGCGATGCGTAAAATACGAAATTGGAATTTCCAAAACCCACCAAAAGCTTAGAAACGTGCAGATCCAATTCAGATTTTTATTTTTCCCGAACGTTTTACACAATTCACCACATACGGCAGTGTTCAATTCATCTCAATATTGCGTCCGTCGTCCATTCCGAGGTTATCCGTACGAACTTAGGGGAAATTAAGACGAAACAATACGCGACGGGCTTCATTAAAAATACCGGTATCCGCGACCGGTCGGAAAAAAACAAAAAAACAAAAAAAAAACTTAATATTGAGTAGTGCCCGACTGTTATTTCATCTTTTTTTAACAACTTCGCGCGAAACATTCGCACTGGTTAGTAAATGAAAAATATCCCGCGCGCTAATATAGGTGCCGATTCGCCATCGCACAACCAATTATTTCAGTACAGTAACGATACTCGGATTACACTGCGGTGTCCTAGAAAAATTTAGGCGAGTACTCATCGAAAATGATGAAATAACGTGCCCGTCCAATCTACATTGCCCACGCCACTATGTTCGCAATCGTACGAAGGAGACACCATTTATTATATCAGACACTCGAATAAATTAATTATCGTATTATATATATATATATTTTTTTTTTTTTTTTTTTTGTTCGCGACATCAACAATTTTCAGAACCCAATTCACACGTATGCATTTCGTAAGTGTACGGGGCGTTGTGATTATATCTATGCACCTACCTAATTCCCAGGCCAAAACAAAACTAAATTACCAGGTACAGTACGGACAGTACAATGATATCATATCACCCGGGTGCTAGGTAGTGGGTATGCCAAAAACAATTCCGAAAATAATAATAATATTATAATTTATTAGCATATTATTTGACCAAACTCAAAAACGAAACACGCGACAAAAACCAATGTATTGCGTTATTATTAGATGGATAAGCGTGAATACTGCGGCAAAACAATTCGAATCCAAACCGATATCGGTACTGAAATTATTGTAAATAATATTTTATATTTATAACGCAATGTTTTTTTTTTCCTTTTAATTGACCGCGATAATTGTTAACGATTTAACACGTCCAATAATAAAATTATCATGTATCAAAAATTATGATAATTAAAAAAAATAAAAAACCAAAAATAATAAGCATATAATAAATATTATAGTACTGACCTGATTCGAAAAATTTAGCTTGAAAATTTATCTCGGTTTCCCGGTCAACTGGAAATCGATATTTGGGCGTAATAAGGTAGTGCACGCGGACGAATAATATTATTATAGTCCAGGTACTGTTCGGTATATTTGTCGGCGACTACGGTCCGGAATCGAAGTTTAAAATTTTTGATTAAAAAAAAAAATAATAAATATACGTAACTTTGAACGGTTAATGTTTTTTTTTGGGAAATTTCGCAAATTATATTTGTACACGAAACACGACGGCGCGACTGACGGCAACACAATAATACCGACAGAACGTGCACAGCTTACGGATTGAACGCGGAAACGTTACTACGTTAGCAGCGTTAGCGACCGAGGAGTTAACACGCAACGCATGTGTGTGCAAGTCGATTACCAACACGCGAAATCAAAACGGCTGTTTAACAGCAACAGTTTTACAGTGGTGCCGCGTGTATCGACCAAAATTTATCGTAGCGACCGCGGATATGGGTCAGTCAGATAATGGGTATCATTATTGTTATCCGGCGGGCTTGCGGGACTCCGGGACCACGTCGTCGTATCGAAATATTGGACGCGGCCCGTGCGACGCAATTTTCGACGTAAACGGTTTGCTGCGTTGTTCGTTACTCGCCCACTCGGTTACGATAACATCGCGCCAAACCGTTTTGTTTACCGTGCATAGTACTCGGCCGGTAAACGTAGTAGGTATTTAAATGTTTGCTATTCGCGGCACCCTGGTTGTCGAAAAGTGCGTTCGGTTATCAAACAATTGGCAGAAAAACAATATCGCCAAAAGAGTTTGTTCGTAAAACTACAGTTACCACAAACCGGATTGCTCAAAACTCGTCTATTGTGAGCGTTGCCTAGATTTGTATCATACTGACGAATCGTAATAAGGGAAGGGGGATCAATGGCAAACAATTTCTTTGTGGGGAAAGTTTTTTATTAAATAATCATACATAATTATGTACATTATGTAACAATAAAAAGGCGACGATTGAGATCATAAATCCCTCCTACATGTATACGCCCCTGGTTCGGACAATTGGAGACAATTTTTCTGTCGTAAATTTCGTTTGGTAGGTTTGGTAGGTCCGATAGAAAAAAAATATAACTCGTACGCCTCATAGGTATTTCGTAAAGTGTTGCGATTTCGATTTTTTTTTTTTTTTTTTTTTTTTTTTTATGAAAGAGGAAAAAGTAAAACAACGAGTCGTGCGTAGGCTTATTAATCGACTGGAGAAGTTTACCACAGGATTCTCATTTAGCTTCTATTTTATTTATATTATTTTTAAATGATTTACATGTCATAAACTCGTAAGAGAATATTCTATTGGTCATTCTAGCTTATCAACTAGATGGCAAAATTACGACCTAACAGTTTTGTTTACTCTCCTAAGTGAACTGGTCCAGTGTCCCGAACTATTATGTTTTTTTTTCTTAAATTTCTATTCTCCAGATTTATATCAACAAAATGATGATCATTGCTTATTTATTTACTTTATTTTCAAACGGAGCTAATGATGTACTAAGTTCTTTTTTATGTAATTTTAATTCCGTTAAATTATTCAATGTTTATTTAAAATATTTTAGTAAACTTTAATTTGTATTATTTTTTTATATGTGTATTCATTTAAACTATAATGCAGTTAAGTATACTAAATATCGTTTTTTTTTTTTTTTTATATATTCATATACAATTATGTATACCTATTTATAATATTTCTATGCACGCAAAAAAACGTCTTGTAATTGGATTTTAAGTGTGAATTATATTAACTTAAGTGTTAAGTTAATTATTAAAGTGTTAAAATAATAATTGGTGATTGGATTCGTGGCTAAATATTATTATTTAACCAACGATTTTATTAAAATAATTGTAGGTACCTATTTTAATATTATTATTTTACTCGTACCAGTTGTTTTAAGTATACACAACGTAAAGTATCTGATAGCTGTTCAACGTATCTATAAAAATAGTACGTACTATAATGTTATCTCTTTCCTATAGTCATAACATCCCGAGTGATAATATTGTAGTGTATTTAGTATTTACTACTTACCGATGTACAATTTGGGTATTATTATATTTTGGAATCAATACGAGCATTTATTTATGAGTTTTGTCATTTAAAACAAATAAGTAAATAGGTACCTAGGTACTCGTAGGTGGGTACCTAGATGCTCGTGAAATCACTGCAGTGTAAAAATCATAAATCGGTTTCTTTTATTATCTACCTACCTGATAAATTGCTATAACAATATAAACATATGTTTATTATTACGTACCAAACATACTTAATATCTATGTATGCGTTTTTAACAATAATCATTCCTAGCATTTGAGTGGGAGCTGCGGTTAGCAAGTATGTGACTTACCCATGACTTTTTCTAGTAAACCATGTGACCTACCTACTTATTGTTTATTATACTAAACAATAAGAAGTTTCAACATACTATTATACTATGTACCTACGTAACTATAGACCTACAACTTATTTATTATTTTATATCTAAATAAAAAAATTAAAATATTTGTTTGCAGGTACTTAATCTATTAAGAAAATCTAAAGATTTTCAGGTTGTCGATTTGTTAAATATTTACATTTTATAGACATACATAGTAATGTTATTCTTTATAGACTACACATTTGTAAAATTAAAGTTTTTAAGTAATATTCTATTGGTAGGTATAGGTCGCAAACATTTTTGGTAGGTCGAACACTGGCACACTTCACCAAAAAAGCGTTGGTAGGTCGCACACCTTAACCGCAACCTGCAGGGTATGCTATAAATCGAGAGTCGTGATTATGGCGAGACATTGCAGGTGTTTTCAAGGACCTATATCAATAATTTGATTTCTTTTTTATTATGCACGACAAATAATTATAATATTCTAAACCAGAATAAACAAATTTAAAATACCTAAAACATTTTTACTTATACATAATAGAATATAATTTTATTTACTTGTATATTAAATAGGTGCCCATTCAATTCTAAAATATTAGAATGTACTTTATTTGTTTGTTTTAAAAATTGCAAATATTTAAAACAGGTATTTTAAAAAATTAGTATAGTATATAAGTTTTCCAAAAATAAAATGAACTACCATTTTTAGATGAATAGCCCACTAAATAATAATATACCTAATATTATGCAGTTTATGGGTTATTAGGTATTAAAAGATTTTTTTTTTTTGCTTTATGCGCCATCAAGGACTTTCAGAACTTCGTCTCCTCTATTAAAAGCTTACCAATGAATATTTCTGCTTCTGGTTATTTGATTCCCCATTAATTGTTATCTCGATTCTGCGAAGGGTAAAATGGTATTTTACTTTTAACAGTATTTATTAATTTCGAGTCAAGGAATAATATAATTGTTTTTGTTACTTTGGACTAATATGTTTAAAACTTTACAATACAACTTCTAAATAGCTATATTACCTAAGATTACGAAAATTGCAACAATGTTACTACAAATATATACCTACCTTTAAAATGAATAATTATTTATATTAGTCAATAGTTCAACTATTTTCGTATATTAACGCATCATATTATTCTAAACTTTAAAGTCTATATTATTGGGATTTCATAATCTATTTTTATTGGTATTAAAGTAGATATTATTATTGTAATAGGTATACATTGGTATGAAACATAATATTAAAACCATCGGTCGTATTAAATCTAGAAATAGGTAATAAAAAAGATCAAAATATGGACAAAGTTCAAAATACACAATTTATTACAATATAAAAACATTATTATGATCTAATTACCGATAGTTGAACTCAATAACGACTTTGAACTTAAATATAAGTATAGTGCATTTCGATTTAGTTTTAAACTATTTAAATATATTACCTATTGCAGTATCAGTGCATATATAAGTAAGTAACAATGATTCATAAATTAATTTGATATAAATGATATAATTATAAATAATAATTCATTAAGACAATTATTTTTTAAGACATTTATTAAGACAATATGGTCCATATAAAATTCGTTACCAAACCACATAAAGAGCAAGACAATATTTTCCCGTACGCCGTATAAATATGTGTTCGTTTTTCTTATATTTTAAATTCTGAGCGAATCGAGGAATGTATCTATTGGTTTTGCAATGATGCTTTTTTTTTTATCTGTGAACAATTTTTCTACTATAAACTTTGTTCCAATTTATAAATGTAGAACTTTTTCTGAAAGGAAATCTAACTGGGATGGTACTAGGGAAGTGATTTTTTGATTTTTCCAGAAGTTTTTATAATAAATGAGAAAAACCGGAAAAACCATGAGAAAAACGGGAAAATAAGTACAGTATTAAACAAATATTATTGAAGAAAATATTTAATGCATATGTAATTATTTTACTAAAATATGACATATATGTTGTTGAAAAAGCAACACAATTAACCAAACGCCCAAAAACGTTTTTTTTTAGCAATGAGTAATCATTGCGTACAGACATACATTAAATTCCCTCTCTATCTTTCCAACTAATCACCTACAACAGTGCCCCCCCCCACATGCAAAGTATATCCGTCTTTTTTTCTGTTTGCCCTAATTATTATGAAAGATCTATAGAAAATCAAAAAATGACCTCCCAATGCACCAACTAGATCAGAAATGCAACAAAAAAGATACTTGGGATTTTTTGATTGGATCAAGTTTTCTGGTAGAATAGTTGTTTAATATGCAGATAAAGAGAAATAAAAGGAAAAATATTATAGTAAAACCAATACATTCTTCCGCAATTCATTCCACTCAGAATCTAAAAAAGGATTATATTTCATATTGAAACATGATATTAGATATAATGATATCAGCTTATACCTACAACTAGTTTAGTATTGTTTGAAAGTATCAGTGAAATCCGTTTCATCTAGTAGTTATATTTTCTATAATTACTATTATATAGATAATCAATGGAATCTATTACCTACCGTGAAAACTCATATATAAAAAATAATACAAATATTAATCGATAAATAATATTGATTAATAGAATAGCTAAATATTTATTTTGTTACATTCAACGATGGAGAAATCCTTAAAAATCCAAATCTTTATAAAAAAAAATTAGTAAGTAAAAGTAGTTATACTAATTATAAGGATTTATAGTATCTAATTCAGTATTTAGATAAAAAACAAACCATTTAAAAATCTAAAAAATGACGAACATACTTCGCATGTGGTTGCAGCCACTGATATTGTTATTGATGTTTTGTCAACAATATGTATGTCATATTATGGTAAAATAATTAAACGGGTATTATTATTTATTTTCTTTAATAATATTTGTTTAATATTGTACCGATTTTCTAGTTTTTTCTACGGTTTTCCCGTGTTTATTCACAGGTTTTCACATTTGTTGAGAAAACTCCTGAGAAAATCAAAAAATTACCTCCCAATTCCCTCTAAAATTATTAGAAAATTATTAAATTATTAAAGTACCTTCTCAGTCAGATTCCCTTTCAGAAGTTTGAGTTAGAGGAGAGTGATAGTGCATTATTAACACGCCGCGTGTAGTACCGCCGCACAAATGATTTTCCATTATTCCCCTTCAAACCAAACTTAAAAGTGGAATATCTCATCAACGGATTGATGGAAATCAAAAACGTAAACACCAGAATTTATTTGAACTAATACTCCATCTATTTATATAATTTATAATTATGTTTTAAAATGACAAAAAATAACATAAATTTAAAATTGTAGAGCAGCTTATTTCTTTATGTTTTAGAAAACAAATTCCAAACAAGTTAATACATTCCGAGATAATGAGTGTCTTATGATAGATTAATCATGCCGTATATAAGATTTATGAATTATTCATGTATAATTTATAATTTTTCGGAAAACTTTTTATAGTCGCCATGAAAATTTAGCGCACACTAACATATACCAGGGGGGCTACTGCCCCTCCGTACTACCCTTTTAATACGGCCCTGAATATGGTCATTAATTGGTTAATTGGTTAAATGGTTAATTATTTTATCACCTAATGTTTTTGTACATTAATTGTAAGTATTATTGCAGGTGTACAGTATATTCATAGGCCATAAAATATTCGTATTAATATTAGTTTCGAGAATTAGTTTTTATGAATCCGTACAAGTATATTATTATGATTAATTCGTCCATGATGTTATGTACAATAACTTTTGTTAAAGTTATAGTAATAGGTACATGGTACATAACTCTATAAAAATTGTGTATTACTGCGAGACGGTAAAAGCGTGAAAAATCCAACAGTGAGGCGGCCTCTAATACAAGTATATTATTATACCATATACGACGCCGGTCGTATTGTCGTTGGGTTCCTCTCCGTAAAATATCCGTTTTTGCCATTGTCTAAATATACAGTAAACAGCCTAAAATAATAATAATTTCGTGTTCTATTCGTTTCTGTATAATTCTGCAGTTTTGTTTTCAGTAACGGCTGGCGTTGTACGTTTTCTGTTCAGCTTGACCTTTCGAAGTGTACATACGTGTTATTCTTTAACGAATTGTTATATTAAAAACGTTTCAGATCATTAAACGTAATAACGAAATAATTTTACATCTAAACTACATAATTTGTAACATTGTCTACAGGAAACCAACGAATAATTTATGTCAAACGAGGGAGATTGAAGGATTTTTTGAAATATTAATAAATGGACTCTTATACAAACAACAAACATAAATTTAGGTCAATGTTCAAGCATTGATAAATTTAAATTTATACTAGAATTAATTAGAGAAACATGTAACATTATCTGCATCAGCATTTTATTATAATTAATGTTTGGAAAGAACGCGTTCAATTATTACATTAATATTAACGACTTTTTTTTATTCATTCAACGTTAATTTGATAAAAAAAAAAATCATAATAATATTAACAATGATACCTAATAATAATAATAATTTTGAATTACAATCACAATCTAAGATAATATGGACTGCCAACGAAATGGTAATTTCTGAATGTAATCGTTATTTTGAAACATCGTTCCACTAAATAATTCATGCCAAACAAATATTATTTTGAATAATACTATTCTAAAAAAATCTTTTTTAGATTTGTATGCGACCTCATCTTAAATTGTGGTTTCGATTATACGACACGCACGGCTAACGCGGCGTGATTTGAATTTTGGCCACGTGGTCATTTATTTAATCACGCGATCCAATACTGATTCCTTGTTTAATAATATACCGATTTTTCCGTTTTTTCTTACGTTCTATCCCGGTCTTTTCCATTTGATGAAAAAAACTCATGAGAAAATCGAAAAATGACCTAATAAGGTAACTCCCCAGTCCGATTTTCTTTCAGAAAAGGTGCTACACTTAAAAATCAGAGTAAGATTTTTGGTACCTAGTAAAGTTGTCCAACAGAAAAAAAATAAAATAAATATCTTTGTAAAACTATAAGCTTCTTCGCTCCACTCAGAATCTAAAATTGTCATCATTTTTTAGCTGGTCATCAATAAAATACAAATTCTTAAGAATTCTAACAGACAGAGGCGGTTCAAAAATTGTTTTTGACGACTATAATTGGCATTTACTATATTATAATATAATATGTATACGAAATAAAAAAAAAATCTTACCAACAACAAAATTATGTGGAAAAAAATGTAATTGTAAATATTACAGTCAAAAATATTGGCTGTGGTGAAATAGTTAGTATAATTAGATTTACTAAAAAGCTATAAAAGACCTAAATCAAAATACTACCTTAACTTACTTTATATTGATACGAGCTGCTGGTTAAAGTTCGTCGGGGGTGTTTGAAAGAATAGAACCCGGATCATTTAGATCCCAACCATACCTTTGGTGGCAGTGTGGATCAAGTTATCTCGGGATCAAATTATCATGTCTCACTTCTTGATCTAAAAGTCCATATATCCGAATGTTATCAGTATACATAATTACCATAATAGCTTAAATAATTTTTGAACTCTCAAATAATATACCCCTTCATAATAATTTTAACAATATGAACCTCGTACTCGCCAGAATCCCGAACCCAGTATTATTTAAGTGCCACAATGTATTATATTGTCATGAAGTTAGAAATAAATGGTAAATTGGATATTAATTGTTTGTATATTCTATTATTTAGAAAAAATATTCTCTTTTCGAACTTGTGTAAAAAGGTAGGGAACCAATCAAATTTTTATTTACAAACCATAAACTGAGATAGGTAAGTAGATAAGTAGATAATTATATTTTTTTAATATAATATATCTTATAGAATATTACTTAATATAAATAAATACGAAATTTTGTAAATACCACCAATAATAATTGGATCCATATGTTTCTATATGGCCGAGATCTAAAAATGTCATGGATCCAAATGACTCGGGACCATATTGTAGAGATCTGAATGTCTCTGACCCAATATAAATCCTTATCAGAATATTTATCGGGATCTTGATGACGCGGGATTTATTTGTTACGTTACCCTCGTCGGGTAGGATACAGGAGTAAGTAATATACAGAATGGAAGTTATAGGAGAAGGGAAAATATATCGAATGTCTAGAAGTCAGTTTTTTAAGCTCGGGGCGTACTTCCTATACATAATAAATATCCGGTACTCGATAAGCACCCCAAGACTAATTGGCCGCCTTGGTTTTAACCATAGATAATATATTTTATTATCTATAGTTTTATCAATTAACAATATCAGCAAATATCATTGTTGATACGCTTGCGCTTGCGCTTGCGCCATGAGCCTGGCATTTACCATAACGGTAAAAATTAAATTCAATTTTTTAATTCATTTTCAAAATTATCTTATAATTTTTAAACAATATTCGTTTACTTTTTTTGCAGTGTTTATATACGTTAAGATAACTGTAGTTGTACCTACATATTTAAATAGAATTGAATTATGTCATTACAATGTTCGTGTTGTGTAGAATGGTTAAATGTCCAAGGCACTGTGTTAAAACGTTTTAAGTCAGCGACAGTCAAACTCACATTGACCCGAAATGATTTTCGAGATATTTTCATTGATTTAACAACAGATAAAGGAATAGCTCACAAATTTGCGGTGAAAGATATTGCAGTACATAAACGTTTTCTTAGTGATGGCAAAACGACAATTAATTTTAAATCAGATAAAATCATGATGATGATATCAAATGCTCCTGTTGCACAACTCACTGATTTTCTAAAGGTACTTTTTATTAAGGTGACAGGACGCAAAGAATCTCCTCAGGTTTGTGTTATATAGTATAATAAATTATTACCTAGGTATATATACCTATTCTTTTGTATTTATTATTATTAATTAGGTAAAAATCAGGGAACGTCTTTTAGCTGTTAAAAGTAGTGCAACAGAAGAAATCAGTCCTATAAATCAAAAGGATGTTGGACGTCTTGATGGAAAATTAGAAGGTCCAATTAAGAAAAGGAGAAAATTAGAAACTGATCTGATAAAACATGGAGTTGACAAAAAGAGCCCAATGACTAATTTGAAAGATAAACTTACTGGTGAACAACAAGAAGTAATTAATGCTGTTAAAGCCAATAATAACATATTTTTTACTGGTAAGTAAGTTAATTAAAAAATTACTTTAGTTATGAGAATAAATAATTGATAAATTGTTCTCTAATTAAATTTGAGAATCCCAGATTATAGAAATGTATCATTGCATATTAGTTATTATATTAATTTATTTCCATAACAAATTGGAAGTACTTATTTAAATATGTATTGTATGTTTCTTATAATGCTGTGTAATATTTTTAGGTAGTGCTGGAACGGGTAAATCATTCTTATTACGTTACATTGTGAATACTTTACCACCCGATACAACAATGGTAACTGCAAGTACTGGTGCATCAGCATGTCTTATTAATGGAGTTACGTTGCATTCCTTTGCTGGTATTGGTAATGGAGATTGTACCGTTAAACGTGGTATTGAAATGGCTTCCAAATCACCAAATGTACAAGTTTGGCGAAAATGTAAAATACTAATTATTGATGAAATATCCATGATAGATGGAGAATACTTTGAAGTTATTATTATTTAATTACTCTTAAAGTTCCCATTAAAAATTTTGCAATCAATAAAATGTATACAATTGTGGTTTTTTTTTTTTTAGAAACTTAATAAAGTAGCAAAAGCTGTTCGTAATCGAGATGAACCATTTGGTGGAATAAAGTTAGTGTTATGTGGTGATTTTCTACAATTACCTCCCGTAAAGCAAGGCAAAAATAGATTCTGCTTTCAAACTTCAACATGGTCAGAATGTCGTTTTCGTTGTTTCAATTTGAGATTTGTACACAGACAATCTGATAATGAATTTATAAAAATTCTGAATCATGCGCGATTAGGAAAGTAAGTAACTTAATTTAAATAATATATTCATTCTACACATAAAATAAGTATTTATTTTTAGTATAGATCCAAACACAGCTATAAAATTAAAATCTACATCATTTAATTTACTGGAAAAAGATGGAATTGCACCTACACGTCTCTGTTGTCGGACAGCTGAAGCTTTAATGATTAATCGGAAGAAGTTATTTGATTTACCAGGCAAAGAATATAAATTTGAAGCTTTTGACAGTGGTTCAACAAAAACATTAGATGATCATACTCCAGTTGAAAAAATGTTTGTTCTTAAACCTGGTGCTCAAGTAATGTTGTTAAAAAACATAAGTGTCTCATCAGGACTAGTAAATGGTGCTAGAGGAGTGGTGAAGAGTTTTGATAAAAATGGTAAATTGTATAGCAATTTAATTTTGATATTAGTTTTGTTAGAAGAAAAGCTATTATTTATTTTTAGTATATATTAGATTAATGTATAAAATTGATTTAATTTTAAAAAAAGGATTCGTAGTAAAATATTTTAAACTTAAAATATCATTAGTTTGTAACACATTTTACTTTTAATTTTTAAAGAAATGTGTAACTTTTATTAAAGCCTCTCTGAAAAAGAAAAATGGCTTCCAGCAAAAAACCACTCTTTAATAAATAAATCTACCCCGAAAATGTACTGATATCAAAATTTAGCCATATTAAACTATACTTCACCCATTTCTCCATTTTTCCAGGCTAATTCACAATTATTATAACTCCACATTGATATTTTTTCAAGGTAGATAAAAAAACCGGATACATAATAACATTATAGTATTTATTCATACTAATTAATTGATTTCATGGAAAAATAATTGTCTAATAATAGTGGATATTTTTTTCTAATAGTTAGTTGTAATAATCTCAAAATCACATTTTTAGAGTTTTGACAATTGCGAATTAAGCCAACAATATTTTCAAATTTTTACTTTTGTACCAGTGTTAAAAAAATCATAGCAAATACGTAATAGATGTCAATAAAATAATAATACTAATAAACAAATAATGTACCTTAGAAGTTATTTCTTTAAGTATCTTAATGTTACAAAGAAAAAAACAATACATTTAAAATCAATAATGTTTTTAATCTAACTTTTATACTGTAGTGTTTTTTTTTCAACTACATAATTGTAATAAACATTCTAGGTTGTCCTGTTGTCCAGTTTAAATGTGGAAATACAGTTCCTATTAAAACTGAAAAGTGGATAGTTAAAACTCCTACTGGACAATTTATTTCAAGGCAACAAATACCTTTGAAACTAGCTTGGGCATTTTCTATTCATAAGTCACAGGTTATAATATTATGTTGTATATCATAAAATAATAAATATTAGGAATTGGAATAGGAATATATATATATATATATATTTTTTTTACAGGGTTTAACATTGGATTGTGTTGAAATATCTTTAGGACAAGTATTCGAAGCAGGACAAGCTTATGTAGCTTTATCTAGAGCAAAGAGTTTAGAAACTTTAAGAATTTTAGATTTTGATAAAAAACACGTGTGGGCAAATCCTGATGTAATTTCATTTTATAATAAATTAGACAGAATAATAAAATGTAATGAAATATATACTTTGGGTAAATAAGACATTTAAAATTATTATGTTATAAAATAATTATAATAGTTAAATGTATATTAAGAAATGTTCATTTATAAGCAATATTAATTTATTTATAAATACATTCTTAAACAACCAAGTGTCCAATACCCATGTTAGAAATTGATAACGCATATGGCCGGGGTAATGCTAGATTGTCTATAATATACTCTATTGGATATTTATGAAACCTGTGCCCTGTTTAGGCACCTACTACGAATTTCTTCTATGACTATTAATGTTTGTATTGAACAGTTATTCTACAATATTATATCTATATTTTATGAACCTAACTTGACTAAATTTCTATTTCGAATAATTTTAGCAGTAATAAATTTGATCAGTTTGCAGATTAGGTTTTCATAAAATCACAAAATGGATGATATCAATAATTATGACCATAATTGGTGTCAAGTCTGATAGAGTAATCATTTTTTATTTTAAATATTTAATAAGACTGCTTATTCCATTGTACTAAATGTCGTGTCATTAATTGGAAAAAATGGGTATCAGTTTATTAAGTTATACGATTTTGTAATATAAATTGTATTCACAAAAATAAGGAACACTATAACTATGTACCTTGTGTATATTTTTGAATTGTGTTTTCGGAAAATTAGATTACTGACCCATTCATTTTTCTTGTATTTTTTTTTAATAAAATCATGTATTTTGTGTGTACGCGACAAAATTTGTTTTAAAAACTAAGAATCCATGTATGGATTTACTGAATTTTGTGAATTGGTTTTTTAAATTAAAAACTGACCAAATGAAAGTTTTATGATGTTTAAAAAATTTGGCCTGCATACAAATCGAAAACCTATTTTCATTGTAAGCAATAGCTGATAGCATGCATTCAAATAGAATTTTCGGTTTTTACGCAGATCGAATCTTTTAAACTTCAAGTAGTTATAGTGTTCCTTGTATCCATGGATACACTAGAATAAATCTAATAGATTTATTTTTTTAAATTGAAATCATGTTTATTATTACATATTTGTATATTACATATGAATAACTATTCACAAAATACAAAATATTACAAAATGTTACAAAATATTTATTATGTCATGTTGAATTTTGAATTAAGTTTTATGTATCTAAATGTTTTTGGATTTGGAACATAGCGAGGGATTTATTTTTAAAATACTTTTTCTATTTTTATGAAAAAACAAAATATATTTTTAATTATTTCATTTCTATTTATCCACTTTTATATTATATGTATTCAGAGAAACAATACTATATTGTTAAACCAGGTTACTTGGAGATACTTTTTTTTTGAAAAAAAAATGTAGGCAAAAATATAATATTAGTCTCAAAACTAAAAAGATGATTTAATATGCATATTGATTTATTTAAGATAATCCAATTATTAAAACTAAAAAATTATATACTTGGTCATTTAAATAAAAAAACATTGTACTAGATACATTTGATTGGGCATTATTTAAGACAATAATTGTATTTAAGAATGTCAAGAAATTATTTTCTATTATACAATCATTAATGTATTATTTGGATATATTCTACTGGACTTCAGTAGTAGTGATTGATAGTGTACATAGCTCGCATATGGCTCAATTCAAAATTGTTTAAATATGGCCCAAATAGTCTAATAGTTACATAATAAAAATATTTTAATTTGTTTCTTTTTTTTTCTTCTTAATAGTATTATAATTTTATTCGTGTTTGTATTATTTAGAATATTTAAATAGTATTTTCTTTTATTTCATAAGCAATATAAATGTGTTAGTAACTAAGATATAAATTAAAATGATAAAAATTGATGTGATATTTAGAAAATAAGTATATGTCAAACAAATGTAATGTGACAAATTATAAATTATTGTAATTGATTGTACTTAATTATAATTACATTATATAGAAATTAACCTACAAATTTTAAATGTTTTCTTCAGAGTTGGTCTATAACTAATAAAAAAAAAATCAAAATAAAAGAAAATAGTCTTCCTATCAATTTGTCTTATCTATTTATCAGAAAGAGGTCACTAGCGACTGCACTGGATCGTATGTTATTATATTGATAACAAATCTTAAACATCGAAAAACGTAAATTAAATATTTTCCATTCAAATTGAAATTACCTATGTATTTATTGTGAACGAATAGAAGATGTTTACTTTGAAGAAGTCGCTGTTTCCACCGGTTGTCCGCCGGTTATGTATGGTGAGGTCGTTTTTGACGGACGCGTATAGATGTAACGAGGTATGGCAAGAACGACTTAATTGTTCAGTCTTAAAGAAAGTCAATCCCGAAGAGTTGTACTATAAGCTGTCTTCTATGTTGGATAACGGTTCAAAACAGATTAATGCCGTTGACTTGGACATATTCGTCAACTCGTTGACAGATAATTCGTTTTTGGACGAATTAGAAGATTTAACCCATAAGTTTCGTTTGTCGGCCCAGGCCGGCACGCTATTGCCATCCACGCATCACGCTTTTATCAGACTGTTTCTCGAATCAGGTAAAATAAACGATCTCATTAAAATTCTGAAAAATAGGCTGGATTATGGAATTTTTCCCGATTACTATTTATGCAATCTACTGATGGACAAATTCCTGAAAGAAAATAATTTCCGAAATGCAGCAGTGATTGCATCTAACCAAATGTTACAAGAAGAACTTGATAATGATATTACAAAAAACATAGGACTATATTCATGTTTGAAATATATCACCAATCCTACTGACTGGGAAGACACCATAATTTCGAAGGAGGAAGAAAAAGAAAATACAGGTAGCGACGATGAGGACGAAGTAAAACGAGTGCGTGTGAACTTTATTAGAAATCCTTATTTTGATGATCACTTTGATCTTACTGATGGTGACCATCTGGTTGGAAAAACTATGCTAGCAATCAGTAAAACTGATAATACTATGTTGAGTAATAGTTTTAAAGCCATTGGATTAGCTTATTTTAACCGATGGAATGAGTTAGAAAGTTATTTAGAAAAATTTGTTGGGACTGTACATAGTGAAGCTGTGGATTTGTCAGTTGCTTCTATAGACAAACGAGCACCTGAAAATGCTGAGAAACTTAAAAATGCTTTTGCTAAAATAGAAATTGATAACAAAAGTCTGACTGAAGAAACCAAAAATGCTGTAAATGAGGCAGTAGAGAAAAATGAAAAAAATGAAATAAAACTTCAACAAAAGGTAAATAGAAATAATTTATAGGTATAACAGTTTTTAAAAATGATATCTTTATTATTAAATTTGTTTACTAGATTTACAAAGACTGGGAATCCTTTAGACGAGATGAGTTACAAAGGTACATGAAATATTTGGACAAATTGAAACGATTACAAAAAGTCCAACAGGTTAAACAGGAGCTAAAAGATAAAGAACAATTATTATTCTTCTTTGATAATGAACATAAATATGACTTAATTAAAGAAGAAAAATTGAAGAAAATGAAAAAGCCTAAAGTTATATCTAAGGGTCCTAAAGATGATTTAACATATATACCACCAGAAATAAAACATCCCGGTTTTAAACACAGTTAAATTATATATAATATAAATGTAAATTTAAAAAAATGTATGATATAGTGATAAATATTCCCATGATATAATACAAATTTCGGGTTTAATTTTTTTTTATTTATTGTATTATAATGACTAATAAAAATAAGTGTTCTACTAATGATGTATTATTTATTAAGAGTAGATAACTGCTTACTAATCAATTTAAATGAAATGACAATTTGACCATTACTTTGAAAACTACAATTTTTAAATTTTAAATTAGCCAAAAATTACACTTAAAATATTCTTGTAGGCATATAAATTTATATTAAATTAAATTTATTAATTAATTAAAATTAAACTGAATTTAAATCTTAAAACCACTAAATTTGTATAGCTTCAAATGCTGACGGTTAGAGTTTTAGATCAATTTGATAAGGATGTATTATAAATGTCATACTTTATTTATTTTATCTGATTTCACAATATTATCACACATTTTAAATGTTTCCATGCAAGATACCACAAAAACTAAAAAGTTAAAATGTTTAATATGTGTTCAATTACTCTGGATTTTAGAAGTCTGGCAATTTTATGATTGATAGTTAATGATATTTAACTGGTTTAAATGTAAACAAATAATACAGATTCACAGATAATATTTTAAAATAAATAAAATATTTAAATATATATTAATTTGAATTTTCAAATTCCTGATAAACCTTTTTTTAAATTTGTATTGTTCAATTTTTATGTAGATATTTTAAAATGTTAGTTAGATAAGTTCATACGGTTGATTCGATAAATAATTAATTTTTTAAAATATAATGGTCAATTTAAAGACCAAAACTTCTGGTTCATTTATGAAACCCATGTCCATGAATTTGTACAGGGAAAAGAGAGAATGTACCAATTAAGAAATGTAAAATTGGCTTCTTTACCAACTTGACTATGGGAATTGGTAATTTAAAAGCCAGATCCTATAAAAATCCAATTTTTATTCATTGAAATTGCATTTTGATATTAAATTACTTTTATTTATTTGTACTTTTAAGCCAATAGGCTGAATAAACCCTGTGTATGCCACTATATGAAACTAGTAAATTTATATTATTTTTTTTTGTATTATTCATATTTCAAGTCACCTTTAATGAATTCAATGGCTTCAATTTTGAGTAACTGTCTTACAAGGAGAAGCTATTTTATAATATTTTCATTTGTAAGAATATCAATTATTAAATTAAACTTTTATAATATAATATTTAGACAAAACAATGAAATTAATATTTTCTTTGTCTAAATATTATGATTTTCATCATAACAGAAATAATACAATTTTTATGATTTAAATTTGCATATTACCTATTCACTTTGATTTGGAATTATGGATGTAATAGCATAACCTATAACCAGTGATGCTGAAATAAATTTGTTATTTAATCATCACCGCCAATTTTTTGATACAACTCATGTCATTATCTCATACACTACCCTACAATTAAACTCTTTGATTTTAAATTAAGTCATTATAGAAACATTATATTTAATTCATAGTTGTCAATAATTTAATCAATATAAAATACAAATAATGTATATGTACCTTTATATCATCTTCAGTTTACCTACTTAAGTTGTATTTTTCTTTCACTAATTTGTTCTATTATAATATTACCTATATAAATACTGGAAAAAACATAAAAAGTTAACCAAAATTAAATTGTTAAAATAAATAGTTCAAAGTTCAAATTATTTTTATTAAAAATTTTAATTAAATATATAAATAAATGAATGTGTTGCTAGGAGTTTTATGAAATGTGTATTGTACGGCCGGTTTCGAATTAAAAATTCATCATCAGGTAAGATCAAAAAGTTCGAATTGGTCGTTTTAAAAAAAAATAATTTATTTTAATAAGAAAGATTATTTAAAATGATTTATTATTAGATATAGATATGTTAAGAAATATAAATTATTTGGTTATCATTTATTATCTAAAATTTATTGAAAAAAGATATTATTTTTAAAATCAGTTTGAACATTTATAATATTATTAAAATTATTTTTCTTTATTTCACTGTGTATGTGTAATTCTTAAAATTAAATTAAAATTGTATACAAACTATGAGTATATTCATTTAAAGTTATACAAAAGAACTATATTATTCAAACATTAAAAGTTATGAATTATAACTATGACTTACTGGCTTGCTGGATTATTATTAATGTCATCTCCGTTAGTTTCTATTTCATTGTTATAGTCAAAATCCAAACCCTCAATGTCTGTTGAACTATCCGACAAGTAACTTTCATTTGAAATACTTGTATGAAATTATTCTGGAAGAGTTGATTTTTTTTAAATTTAATAAAGTTGTTTGAAGTTAATTGTTTGAATTATCATAAAAAGTCGTTAGCTCGGTGAAGCCAATAATTCTTTTGCTGCTGCATGAGTGCACGACAGAACTTTGAATGAAAAATAACATAATATCTCCAATCAACTATTTAATTTTATTTGTAATATTATAATTTACATGTCGTTTTCAAATATTTGGCATAAAAAATATTGAACAATAAAAGAAGGGATTTTAAAATCGACAATATTCTCTTATCATTAGAATATATTAGTGCTAAAATCGTACCGGTGTCTTAAAGAAAATTATGAAAACTTTTTCATATTTCTCAAATAGGTACTAAATAGGTTAGATTCATAATGCTTTTCCTGAAACAATAAAAATAATATTAAACGAAAGATTTTTCTCATCTCTTAAAAGAATAAAAAATTATTTAAGGTTAACCATGGGAGATGATAGGTTAAGTGACTTTTTGCCTTTTAGTTATTAATATAGAAAGCACTGAAGCTTCTAAAATAAATATAGATAAAGCTGTTAATAAATTTGCACATTTAAAACAATACAGTTATCCTTTAATAGTTTAATCAAATGATAGTTAAAAATGTTAGTTATAGTTATTTATTCATAAAAATAAAAATACGATTGTGTTATTTTTGAAAAATAAATAATTTATCTACAATTAAATACCTTTATTATAGTTTATATTGTTAATTTTTGTGATGTACTTATTAAAAAAATATATTATTAGAATATAATCAAGGTGTAACTCAAAATTGTCCGTTTTAGATGTTTTTTTAGTGTGATTTTAGATCAGGAAAATAATGTTTGGTAGTTATTTCATATTTCAATATTTGTGTGACATTGAAATAGGTAATAATGTCATTGAGTAATATTTTTCAAGAAAGGAAACATTATAAAATAGAAATCATATTTTATCAAAAAGACACCTATTTCCGAGAATTCTTTTAACTAGACATATAAATCAATAACATGTCCAAAACAATAGTTTCCAGTGAAATTATGTCCCGATTCATACAGTTTCAGACATTTTATCGTTTCAACAAAACATTATTTATTGGTATGTAACATTATTGATTACATTATAATTTAATCAATGATAATATAAATTTAGAATATTATCGTTATAACTAAGGAGGTACTATAAGTATATAGTGCTCTAGTTATAAGCTAAAGACCGGATTTAATTGATATTGCAAATTTTTTCACAATAAAGATAAATCAGATCTGAATAAATATACAACCGATATGTGCTAAAAATATTCTGCTTATTTAATTTTATAATGCAATTTTTTGCAAATTTCTCACGTTTTTAAATCATAGGCGTTTATCGTTCGTTTGAAATTTTCTAGAAGCTTGGAGAGCCCAGCATCTATACATACGTATATATGGTGGTAATTAAATTCAACGTAGTAGTATAGCGATTCGTGTGCGTACACCTGTTGGTACCTCAGTACCTATTTCTTTGATCAGTTTGACCGCACAGTGAACCTATTCGACGTAATACCTAAAATAACATCGATTTTAAAAAGTAAAATTTCGAATTGAATCGCTCCTCAAAATAAAAATAAAGAGTTATTTGCATCAGATGGAAAGGTTATATATTGTCTCGTATGTAACAAATCTGTGTCAGTTTGTTAATTCCTCATTAAAAATATTTCCTGGTATTGAACAAAAAGTATTACTTTTTATTAGTGATGTTGGTACTTATATGATTAAAGCAGCAAAAACATTAAAAATATTTTTCCAAAAATTAATTCATATTGCATGTATGGCGCACGCAGTTAATAGAGTTATAGAGAAAATTCGAGAATTGTATCCCGACATTAGTAAATTGATTAACAATGGTAATATATTAAGTACCTTTTTAAAATTTAAATACATATGTAACTTATTTCGTTTATTCCATGAAAAAAAGCTTTCCTAAAAGCACCATCGAGAATAAATAAATACAGAAAAGAAATGCCGGGTATACCTTTACCACTCAAACCTATTATTACAAGATGGGGAACACGGTTAAATGCTGAACTTTTCTATGTAAATAATTTTGAAGAGTTTGAAAACGTGATGAAAAGTTTAACAGATGATGCTACAAGTGTCGAAAAGCTGAAACAGCTTGTACGAAATAATTCATTAATAATGCATGTGGTTTAGCATTTATAAAATTACACTTATCCGAGTTATCCATGAATCTTAAAAATTTGGAAGAATCTAATAGTAAACTATTGAAAAGCATGGATATTTTTAGAAAAATTGAAGATATTTTAACAAATATTCCTGATCCAAATTGGAAAATTTAAAGAAAAATGTATGTATGTAATTGAAAAAATGAATGGATATACAACTTTAAAGTCTTACTATGAAGTCATGTCAGGTAAAGCAAATGTTAATATAGATATAGCGCCTACTTTATTAAATTATTTTAAATATGTACCAATAATTAGTGTAGACGTAGAACGTAGTTTTTCTTTGTAAAAACAAATTCTAAGTTATAGAAGATTTAATTTTAATTTTAATAATTAAGAAATGTTTCTAATTATCAATTTTAATTTAAAAAAGTAACATTTATCTAATTTTTTTTTATATAACTTTTGCATTTTTATAGCGCAATTTATTATGCAATTTTTACGTATTTTTTGGTGTAATTATATAATTTTAATATGTAATTTTAATGTGTTTTAAATGCAATTGAATCTGGTCTTAAGTTATAACTAAAGATCGGATATTACATTAAAATGCATACTGATCATTTCCGCATCAGACATTTTTACACATACATGCTGTCCATGAATAATTACTTGAATGATTAAATAAATAACAACATTTTACATTGCATATTTTTGCATATTCCGACGTTAGTGCATGTTAGTTACTATGAACAGAGGTGAGTAAAAAAACAGTTCTAGGATAATGAGGTCAGGTGCAGCCACTGTTATAAGTAATTTAATGTATGCCTGTAACTCGTAAGCAATGATAAACCATTGCTAACGAACAATTATTCTGAGCGGAGTTCAGTTGATCAACAATACATGTCATATTATAATTAAGGAATAAATAATTAAGTAGGCGTTATATATTTTATTTTTATTTTCTTTTTTGTTTAATGTATCGATTTTCCTACGTTTTTCCAAGTATTTTCCCATTTGATGAAAACACGCATGAAAATATCGAAAAATGACCTAATAAAGTAACTTCTCAGTATGATTTTCTTTCAGAAAGGTGTTATCATTATAACTCGGAGCAAAATTGCTGGTAGAAAAATTGGCCACAGAAAAAATTTATAAATAATTCTAGTTAGGTGAAATAATTTTCAGAATATTAATAATTTATTAAAAAAAAAAAAAAACAGATAGTGAAAGTGAGTTTTTCTACTAGATACATATCGTGGGGAAGATGGGTCTCAGGAAATATAGATGGTGTATCCATAGTTACACCATCTATATTTTTGTCCCTTCCTTCCATATGAATAATAGCTAATATTTAAAAATTCAAATACAAAAATAGTCTATACACAAAAATGTGTATATGTGTATATAGACTTGTGAATATTGATTATCAATTTTGGTTTTTGCTGCTTGGAAAAAAAAAAAAAAAAAAAAAAAACGCTGACCACCACATTAAAAAAATAAGTTTTGCGACTCAATACCTGAATGTATTATAGACCGGTGTCACTGACGAAACCTCTTTAATTTTTTGGCGATTCCGTCTTTGACGAAAAATTTATCGATGGCGACCGCGGACATTTCATTTTCATTCGAATATTTCTTATATAATAGCTGATTATCGTTTTTCAAATTTTCCATCAAGTAGACAAATCGATATTGGCTCGTCCTTGAACACGATTATATCAGCGTTACAGTTTTTATTTTTTTTTTTTTTGAAATATAATGTCGTCTCGTACACGACTGAAAGGATGTATACAATAAGGCATAGGTATAGATGATTTATAAATATATATTCATACATGTATATTATTGTTATAACATTTGATATGATACTTTGACAACAGCTATGTCCAAGGTTGATTCCAATTATGCGGTGGATCCAGAATCGAGGTCATTTACTTCATCAAGTACCCCGCATGTGTATCTACTGTGTAGGGGAGTCAAAATATTTTTTCATTTGTTATAATATTTTGTTTGTAATACAAGCGGTTAAAGTGGGAAACCTTCTAAGGGGGCGACTGCGGCTACTATAAAATGAAAGGTGTTTCCTACAAGAATTAACTGAACCCAACCAAACTTCAGTGATGACTTTCAAAATATTTTTCTCCCACATAATATGTGTATTAATCATCAAAATGGCACCTTCATTAATATTAGAGTTTAAACATGAATTGTACACCCAATATATTATTCTACACGTCATTAATACGCATGTTCAGTAAGAATGAAGTAAAACAGTCCGATTTATGGTAGGCACCTAAATAATAAGCCAGTGTTAAAGATTTCATTTATATGTATACATATAACATGTCCTGACTGACTAACTGATTCATCATCGCACAGCCCAAACGGATCGGACTGAAATTCGGCATATAGATAGCTAGGTATTATGAAATCTTTAATGATACGTTAAGTAGGTTTTTTGAAAACTCAACCCCTAAGTGGAGAAAATAGGGGTTTTCTTGTCACGGACAAGGAAACTATTGTTATTATTATTATTTACACTATAATCTAGCAATAGCAAAGCGTGGCCGTGTCAGCTAGTTTTTGATAAAATGTATTCGAGTTTTTATTATATATATATAAATAAATAAATAAATAAATGCGTCGCCTGGAGTTTTATGATATGTGTGCTGTACAATGTAATTTTTTTATTATATGCCATTAAAGAAAAACTCCAATGACAATAAAAGAGCGTACACTCCGAACTTGATCTAAAGGTGATGGATAATTTTACCTTAAACAAAAAGGCACCCATCATCCTTCCACTCTAACAATTGAATTTAACGGTATGTTCAATATATTCATTGTATTTTCCCTCCCGTCGTTTTTTATTGCAATTTTATTCACACTGCGTCGCAAACGTGTGGAATACAAAATGCTATCGTTTTGTTTCGCGTACGGAGATTGTTTTAATTATAATATTCGCTCACAAACGACGTGATAGTTGTCGAAATCAAACAATACGAATATTTCAAACCTAAAGGTTCCTATACGGCCGTACGAGAAAATCGCACGAAACGCGTTGTTTCATCAATTGCGAAATTATTTTCACCGTAGCAGATTCGGTATCGTTATAATAATCCGAGTAATAATTGGTCGATTGGTTTCTCTTTTGGGCCGCTGACCAAAACTGGTGTCTAGGTAATCACGGCTATTGAACATCGAATATTCTATCCAATATAAAACACTGCGGGTATGGGGATTAATGATTAATGGTTGGGATACTAAAATACTGACCGATTGCACTACACGGGCGCGATGGAAGTTCAAAAAAAAGTTGTGACGTCACGTCACATCCCGGACTGCGGTCACCGGTGACAAATGACCCAACCGATTAAAGTGTATTGGACACACTGGTTAGAAACGAAACCAAGGAGGATAGACACCGGCAGCCGCCGTCTTGTGTGTGTGTGTGTGCCGAACAACGACAATTACCGGCTTACCGCGTCGCTGGACGCCGATGTGCGACGTTCGCGAAAAAGGGCTGTACATTGGCTGTACGTACACTATACAGAGTGACACAACAGAAGCGAAACTATTCGAGTAGAGTGCGTTCACCCTCGTTTTTTCGCACGCCTATTATTTCGTTTATGAGTTTATAATAATACAATATGACAAAACGCAATTATTTGCGACACTCGTCCGATTTATTTAACGTTATCTTTTTTATATTTAACATCAGTACTAATATTTAACACGCATTACACGGACGATTCGATAATTCGTTGGTATTGGGTGTACGGCACGCGTTCGACGGATCGATTTTCGAATTACCGTGTATCCGCATACACCGATTTCTCGAATCGAATAATAATCAATACGATGTACCGCGTATGATTTTCCGAAAAACAACACGTTGAATACGTGCTATCTATGCGGTATCTGTAGCGTGTCTATGGTGCGATACCGCGCGAAAAGAACATTCTGGAATATCGACTAAAGCGCGGCGGGGGAGCGGGGAGGGCGCGTCTGTAACGCGCACCACTCTGTATGCCGGAGGAAGACGCAACGGTACGCCGCCGCCGCCGCCGCCACCGAACGCTTAAATAGCGAAAACCAGCAGGCGGGTGTTCCCAGTCTGTCGAACGCGCACCACCGACGTGCTTGTTCGTGCGTTTGTTCACGTTCAGAAAAAAAAAAAAAATAATAAAAATACCAACAATCTCATTTTCTTCTTTTTCACATTTATATTTATGTATATATAACGAACTTATATATAAGTAAATGTAAAATTACAAATACACGCGTGCATGTTCGATAGTTTTCTTTAATAATAATATCGCAATAATTAACGCGCGCGCGAAATCTCACGCCGTTATACCGCCGTAGAAAAAAATTATAATACACTCGGTTCCAACAAGTTCGCATCGTTCGCCAAAGGTTACGAAAGGAAGGAAACCATTGTGAGTAACTTTTACGATATTATTGAACATTGTTAATTTATTTGATTGTTTTTTTTTTTTTTTATATATTTTTTATATCCGCCGGTCAGTGACCGCCGCCGAGTAACGGGCAGTACGGTTAACCCTTCCCGGTAGCATGCCGTCCGTGTCCGGGCAACGGATAAGCGGTTTTTTTTTCTCTCTCTAATATTTCTTGGTTAGGTTCGTTTTCCGAGTATGCGGTCCGGCGGCGGCGGCGGCGACGGCCGTCGCTGTCCGACACTGGCCGTCGCGTGTGCACGCGTCGTAAATGTCATTTTTGTAAATCGATACGGTCGGCGCGCCGCCGCCGCCGGGACCCCGTCGGACCCGCGCCCCGTCGCGTCCGCAGCTGCCGCCGTCGTGCGCGGGGTGGTGTAACGAAAATAATAACGTCGTCGTCGTCGTCGCCGCCGGTAAAATAATTCTGCCTGGCGGACGGAATAATTTTACCGTACACGGTTGTGTGGTATTTTTAACGACGCCCTTGTCGGACGGTAACGTTGTTAGAACAGTTTGTTTTCCAAAAAAAAAAAAAACCATCGCCCTCCCCCCCCCACCATCACGGTTAGTACGCGTTTTCACGCAGAGGATAACTGCTCTCTTTTTTTTTTTTCTGTGCGGTCTCTCGGTCACCGCGATCTTTGTTTCCTGCGGACGTTTCTCCACCGCCGCCCCTCCTGCCCTCCCGTCAGTTTAGGAGTCGTTGACACCTCTACCGCCCCGCGCCTCCACACGAACCACTCTCCCGTGCCGGTGACCTCTGCGCGCGTGATACCGTTCCTACCTTTGTTGTAAAACAGTCCCGTGTCTGCGGTCGTAAATTGATAGGAACGAGTTTTTTTTTTTTTCATCTCATCATCTAACTAACCGCCGTAACGGTTTTTTACAGTAGTCCCCGAAATGGCAACTTTTTTTTTTTTATCGTTATTATTACGGCGGACGATTTATCCGATAACAATCGGCGGCAGGCACTTGTTTTTTCATTGCGGTTTAAACCCGTTTTGGACCTAACCTAACATTCGGTCCACCGAAGCATCCCGCGCCGAAGAAACGTCGTCTCATTCTCCCGTAAATAATTCCGTTATCTATGCGTCCGCGCACGCACGTCTGCCGGCCGTGGACTTTTATTTATTTATTTATTTTTTTATTTTTTTATTCACTGAAATTATCGATTTTTTTCAAAACGGTTAGGTGGTTTATTTCTTCTCGTTGTTGCGCAGTACAATAATGAGCGCGTGCCCACGTGCTCGAATAAACGGTCAAATCGAGAATGTTACTCCGCGCACTCGTGTGCCGGTTCAAACGTTATCGGGGAACGATTAATATCGTCCGATGATACGTCGGCCGCGACCTTTGCCCTCCGAAGCGTCGTGGTCCGATCCGATTCCCTATTCCCCACCGCCCCCTCCCCCCATATAATCTACGCGACGGAAGGATTGTCGTAACGGGTATTGCTATTAACAAAGTTACGTCGAACAATGTGCCGGGATTGGGTGCCATTTAGTCCGTCGATACGAAATAATATTCGCCGTTAAGTAATGCGAAAACGTTTCAATGTGGTAATTATTATTGCGCGTAAACTCGGTAGGAAACTGCCGTTACGATGAATTCCAACAAGAATTAATTAATTAAATAAAAAACTAACGAATACATACCGTTTTTACGTATGTTATAATGTACGGATATTTTTGACATTGTATCACTGATGAATAACGACATTTTTTGCCGATTGATTTGCCTATAACAATAATAATTATTATTATTATTATTATTATTATTACGCTTATGAGTGATAATATTAAACTCTCCTCCCCCCTCATACGGCCCTACCTATTAGTATAATTTGTCACGATCCATAAACAAAACACCTAAACTAATATTGAAATATGCCGTAGGTAGTAGTTATGTGTACGATAGAAAGATACGCAGAGAATATTATTGTATCGATTTTTTTTGTGTTGTGCCAGTTACCTGCCGGTAACTAATATGTTATAAATTACAGAAAAAAGTATGGGTTATAGATACCCAAAAAAAAAAAAAAAATTAACAAAAAGACAAAAGAGCTTCAGGGGTCCTCATTGTGCTTTATTATATTTTTTAATAAATTATTAACATTAAAAAGTCTTAACAATCTTATCAAAAATTCAATCATTCAGTCAGTATTCTATTCAAAGTCTTGTACATCACTTGTTTTTTTTTTTTTTTTTTGCTTAAAACATTGTTTATAAGATTAATAATTTACCTGGTTTTTAGAGATGTCTGATTTTGACCTTTTTTTATTTTTTGACTGACAAAAGAACAATTTCCCAAAGAGCGAATCGAACCAAATCCACCAAAAAAATTTTAAAAAAATTAGTTACATTAAAACTCAAATTAGATATATATATTTTGGAAGTATAATATTCAAAATCCAATTGCTATGTGCCTTATAAGAACTTTCCTTATTTCCGATTTGATTGAGTAGTCCAAATTAAAAATCTGACTACTTAAGGGTTAACATACTCGCTGTGGACACACTCGCTTTATATTGTTCATCTTGAACTCAATAAAAGAGTAGTGTGTTCATTTTTAATTTGATAAATTGATGTAGCCAAAATAGTATTCCAATGAAGTGATTGAGAATTTAAACATTAACTTGTACCTATATATTGTTTCAGTATTTAGTAATTTAGTTAACTGAGCGATTTTAAAATTACTGTTTAGGATTTATCATGTAGGTATGCTTGTGTTGCTTTAAAATTGATTACTGTTTTTATAAGTGCTTTTCCAGATACTTACTTATAATTATTGTTCTAAATAAAATTGGTATTAATATAAAATAAGGGATACATAACATTATTTGGTCTCTTAGTCCAATCAGAAGTATTTAAATAAAGTTTGATCTGTAACAATTGAGTTAATTTAACTGTTATACTACTATCAAACTTTATTTAAATTCTGTGTTTCATTTACTTAAATAAGTTATTAAAATTAATTTTGATAACACTGGGTACTTTTAATAATCAACCCAGTATCAGCTGTTAAAAGTTTATACAAATAATGTGTGCTAAAATATGTATATTAGGTAGATTAGTTGTATACATATTCACTACTCATTATATATGCTAATATAGCATGTCTCATAACTCATAACTCATGGAATTATTAATATTTGAATGAGGTCTTTTGTCTTAAGACCATGTATTATTTAAATAGTTACCTAGTAGGTTGCCGATAATTACCTGTGATCGATTGGAGAAATTATCAATTGAACCTTTGGTTGTTTTTTTTATTTATAAATTTATAGTTAATAACACCACTGTTCTTTATATAAAGGTATGCAAACAATGTCCTTCTTAGTATTGATTAAAAGGTCAACACAAAGTATTCTTCGAAATAGTTATTTAAATAAGAAAGTAGGTGCCAAGATTTTGAATAAAACAAAGCGAAGAACAATTTTATTAAGAATTTTAGTAATAGGAGTTGTTATTGGTATTTTTAAAAGCTTCTTTTTAGAAGAAATTAGAAATTAGACTTACATTTGATATGTAGAAACCTATATATTACCTAGTCATTTTTTATTGAATTTTCCTGTTCAGAAAAAATGATTTAATATGTTGATGTTTTTTAATTGTTAAATGATAATTTAAAAAAAAGTATTATGAATTATAAAAATATTATTATTATTATTATTATTATTTTTTTAAATATACCCACTTATAAGTGTATTCATACATTTTTGGTACATTGCTACACGATAATATTGTTGTTATGTACCTAATTGAATATTCAGTTTAAAATATATGTAAACAGTAAATCAAAATAAGGTACATATTGACAGTTCATAAATAAATACAAATTATAAATTATAATATTATATAATCTACAATGGTTTTATATTTATAAAACTAAAATAAATCTACTTAAGTAATTAAATGGGTCATAAGGTTTTTAAATACCTATTTATAAATGATAATTGATATTATTAGTAATAATATTGATTTTCTTTGGCCACAGAATTTTTTTTTTCTACAAAGCTATATGCATGCCAAATATCAACTGATTTTGAGAAAAAATTTAATTTAAAAGAGCTGCTGTTTATTTCATGAGTACTGCTAGTACCTTTTATAATTGTGTTTAAATAATACATATCATCACATGTTTTAAATTACAGTAATCTTTTATGTTAATTTTATATTTACAAGTTTTTCCTTCAAAATACAGAGATTTGAATAGGGTAAATCGCTGGTTTATACACCAGATTCCAGAATATCATGGTTTTCCCAATGTGATTATCAAGATATATCCTGTTGGATCATCAAATTACTAGATTTGTACACTGATTTCTGTCAATAATTTAACTTCTGGAGATTTTTGTATACTTACAATGTAAATAGCACAAAAGAAAAAAATGTACATCTTCCATTAGTAAATATTTGCTTATATTAACTTGCTGGTAAAGAAAGAGTAGGTTTTTTCCAAATTGTGTTTGATTTTAAATTCACTTCCTGTGGTATGGTTTACTTGAAATTATGTATGCGCAATTATTTTTGATGACAAATAACAAAAATCTGATTTTCTATTTTCACTTCTTTCATCCCATTCATCTCTTTATTTTACATTCCTTGTATTCAGTGTTAAATACAACGATGACCTCAAGTTTCTGAAACTATTCGATAAACTAACAATAGAAATTCAAAAGAATACAACAACGAACCAAAAACGTTTTTCATATTGATATTGATTTTGTAATATACAATGTGTTCAGGGTGGTTTTTTTATTATGAACCAGCAATTTTATAGAAATATTTTAAGTGAATTTGATTTCTATTTTTTTTAATCATTGTGTTAACATTTAAACTTTTTTCAAAACGTTTTATATATTTTTACCTCTACTTCATATGCCTTAAATAAGTATATAATTAATAAGAACCCTCTTTTTTGAATACAGATTCAAATAGAGAACATTTTTTTTTAGAAATTTTAATGTGCATATTGCATAACACTAGTTATAACCATTTAAAGTTTAGACCGGAGGAGTAGGAAAGGGTAATAAATTGCATATTTATTTTTAATGATAAATTGATAACTATTCCCTACTGCTCCGGTCTAAATTTCAAATGGTTATACTCACAAATAAATCTGATATTTTAGTGTTATGCATATCAACATTCTAGAAAAATATATTCCATTCAAATCTGTGTTCAAAAAGGGTTTATTCCTGTTTGAAAAACAAAAGTATAGACTAAATTCAGGTATATGGAGTAGGAGTAAACAATTTAAAATGGTTTTAAAATAAAGATTCCACAATGATTTAAAAAAAAATATTTAAATCAGATTCATTTAAAATACTCAAAGATAATTGCTAGTTCATGATAAAAAAAAAAAAAAAAAACCACTTTGAATAATTTACTAGTACACTATAAAGTCAACGGTATCGGGTAGTTTAAACGTTTCCTCAGTAGTGTTGGTCAAATGATTTTATCACGGGAGGGTGATAAGGATAATTTTATAGATAATTAATTTTACAACTCAAGATGTAATGTAATGTAGATGTCATTATACCCACAAATTGGGAAATTCCTTGTCTGACGGTCCCTGTTCCCTAGGATCGTACTTAAGATCACACGGTTCCTTAAAACAAAAATCGATCAACTGATCCAGTGTCACCTACTATGTAATTGGCGGCTGATGTTCTTGTTGCCTATATCAGGCCTACAAAATATTCGCTTCGAACCGGGCAATTTTTCGAACGTTTTCGATCAAAATATCATCGTTAGTATCGAAATACTATATTTCTCGTCTAAACGTGTAAAATTTATTGTATGTGTTTTATAAACGAGACCATTGATTTCGAACGCTCGCTGTAATAATAATAATAATAATAATAGGAGGCCAGTTTTTAATTATTATTATTACCCGTATAATAATAATGATTTTTTTTCTTTTATTGCGGCTATATTACTTTAATGTCAATATTATAATAATTTTATTATACACCGATGTAATACGAGTACATACGTGCCGAGGACGAACAAAGTAATATTATCGCGTATTATGCGATTAAAAATTTAACACGGATTAATAACAACATTATAATAATATTGCGCGGTCGGAAAATTATTCGAAAATTAAAAAAAATTGCTCTGTGAACAATAGTAAACCGATCTATTACACGCGAACGAGATTTTTTATTTTCTTTTTAATCGCTTGTTATCAATTAACAAAGCGTAGGTAATTATTACAAATAATAATCGTATTCCGTATTATCGATTATTGTTTTTAAAGGACGTTTAGGACGACGCATAACGCGATCCTTAATTTCCGAAGAATAACGATAATTACTATTGTCTGTATAATTTATCAGATTCACACGAAACTACGCCGTTTCAGTGTTTCCCAAATGTCGCGCCGATACTGCCGACGGGGCGTGCCGCTGTGCGAGGGTTAATTCGACTCGTAATTCTGATCATTCACATTGTCAGCTATTTTGAAAAAGGGCCTTTATGTTTGGAAGCGAGTTCTAAGCCATTTTTTCTACCTCACGGGAACACGGGAATTGAATTTCTACCCGGGCTCTTGGTTTAGATACAATTAAGCGGCGTTTTTCATATTCTCGTGTATTTTGTTGTGCGGTTTTCATTGAATTTCGACATTTTGTCTCTTGATTTATTTAATCCCATCAGCCTTTTTTTTTTTTTATACTAACGCTTTTATTAACGCGACGTTTAGTAAATAATTAGACCGTCTCGATTGGTTATTGCCGTCTTTGTAGTTATTTTAGAGCGTCACATAATATACCCTTTTATTTTGTCGACAAGTCCTTGCGTTTGCGGAGAGTAACGCCGGTTGATAATATTTGTTTTATTTCCAAGTTATCGCATACTACTTGGTTCACTATAAATCGGTTTTTAAACTGATTTATCGTACCTCTGTCAGATAAAAGCTATCGAAAACAGTCGAATTGTGATGTTGTTTGAATAATAAAATTGACAGCAAATGGCTGACTCGACGGTTTTTTTTAAAAATAAATTTTGCGTTATTGCACGGCTGCTGCTAAAATTTATTTTCATTACTGCTCGATGTTAGAGGTCCCAAATAATCAGAATTTTATTTGTCCAAAGGTCGGTTTAACAGCGGTATTGACTGTAGTTGACCTATGGGGTTTCAATTTTATTTTTTGTTTATTTAGCAATTGTGCCACGATTATTAAATAAATTATTATTGAGTTGTGTCTTTAACAAGTGTGAGCCAACAGTATTTCATTCCGTATTTTGTTAATGGTGCATGATCTCAAATGGGCGATTCGTTATATAACTTCATATTTTTTTGTTTATGAGCGATTGTGAAATTATTAATAGATAACTGATGTTGCTTGGGGTTCTTGCTTGGATTTATGATAGTAAATCGTCTTGATTTTCATTGAATATTAATTGGAATTTGACCAACTTGAATATTATCGATTGTTTTGTTGATTTTTCATATCTGTAAAGTCAATAATCAAATTATCATTATAATTTTAACATTTTATTTTATTATGTTAGACACATCATTAGATTTTATTAGTTTTCAAGTCAATTTTAATATGAGGATAATATATGATATTGACGACCGGACGACAACACACGCACACGTGCGTTGCTATTCTCCTCGTGTGCGTTTTTCTCTACGTCAAGAAAATCGGTATAATTCCTTAATAACATAAAATCTTAATTCTGTGTATTATTTTCTTTATTCATATTATTATTAACGATCGTAAATATACTAGTGTAACGTGTTCTATTTCAACATCCATATTATAGAAGCACCGTGCTTTACCTACAGTATCAAATATAAACTAAAAATGTGAAATGCTTATTAAATTCTGAGAATCGATAGAATTTTTTGTATATTTTATCACGTCACAAGAAAATGCTCATAGTGATAATTTTTAACCGAATAATTGCATAAATTACCCCGTTTTTTCGCGGTTTAGCGCTGAAATTATTGAGAAAATACGAGGAAAAACTATATCGAATCACTATTATTAACATGGGAGTGTCTGGCCTTGAAATTTGAAAGTTTGGAAACACTGGTTCCGTTTTAATCGATTTTCCAACGTTTTATTGCGAAAAAAAAATATTAATAATTAAGTAATGATATTGCCCATAAAAAAAAAAAATTATTGTTCGATTAGCGATAAAAAATATATTGTATAAGAGAATTGATTATGAAAAATAAAAAAAAAAAAATTGGTTATTGGCTTAGAAGTTTAGTGTAGTAGTAGTAGTAGTAGTAGTAGTAGTAGTAGTAGTAGTAGTAGTAGTAGTAGCAGTAGTAATAATAGTAGTAATAGTAGTAATTTATTCCTGCATTATTTAATGTATTATTTTCGTTTTGAATTTGCACATGTTATCTAAAAATATTCAAATTTTCATATTACGCGATTGGGTTTTTTTTTTTTTTTTTTTTAACATAAGTTTAAAAGATAGTCGGTTTTAAATAATTCAAATATTACTATAGTTGAAATATAAATTGTTATAAAATTAATTGCACAATTACTTAACGTCCGGACGATATCGAGTCCAAATAAGTACCTAAGCATAATATATACAATGATAATTTATAATAATTATATTATTAATTCGTGTATATGATAAGTAATTACCTAACCGTCGAAAATGATCAGTAGGGTATTAGTCACCAAAATCTGCAATACTATTATAATTTATTATTTTAAACATACTTTTTTTTAATTTGTATGATTAGGATTATTTAATATTTAGTGAGCAATGAACTGATTTATCATTGTCAACGATTTTGACCAGAGTATTATTATTAGTTTTATTTTTTCATTGTTATCATCGTGGTGACCCAGAAATTCAACTAACATTTTACAATAAGTTGCTAGTTTTTTCTGCTTATTAAGAAAATTAGAGAGACTAAACTTTGGGATATTATTGTTCCACTATTTTTTTTATTTTTTTTTTCATAAGGGATAATATGGGAACAAATTGTCCCCGTGGAACAAAATGACACTTTATCCCTGGTCATCAACTACTCAATTTTGTCAACAAACTTTTATGACACGATTGATGGTCTTCCACTTTGTTCCTCGTCATGAATATTCGTACGGCCTGCTGTACGTACTGCTGTGCAGTTGTTGGGATTTATTTACATTTTTCTGTTGTAATTTCTTTATAATTAACTTTCGACTTGTTTTTTTTTTCTGAATCGTACCTATCAGACAACTGACTATTGGTCACTTCTGTATAGTACATAGTTATAACCCCGGTTCGTTTTGAGTGTAATGACGTAATATTATTATTGTGTTTATTTTTAGACGCCTACTATTTAAAAGGTTTGAAGTCTGTTTTTATAATCGTCTCGAATTGTATACAATTTGAAAATTTGTATTTATGTTTTAATGACTACATTGATAATAATAAGACTTTCGCCAGTCTACTGTTCAATACCCATTTAAAGGGAGGAAGTACGTACGGTCACTTTTGGACGAATACGATGTTGTTGTTTTAGATGGAAAACCCAGACAAAAGTATGAGAATCGAGGTTTGAGCAATTATAAAATAATTGTTTTACGCGTTTATGAGGCTATGGCGGAGGCGAGTTTTAATATCTATTTGGTTAGTTGTGATATTGACGAACATCTGATTTCTTGTCGAGTCTTGTTTTGTTATTAGATAGCTATTTATACAACGGACACTCCACGTGCATAGATAGTTGTAGTTAATTTGTTTTCCCTTCAAAATTGCCGATTGCATCTAAATCATTAAAAAATTAAATGAGTATTCGAATTATTCAATTAGCGCATCGAATGATATTGAATTAATCGCAATACAATTAATTTTCGTACCTATATACTGTATAAATTGGAATAAATAAAAATATGGTCCACGTGCAGAAAAATCATTATTATAATATTATAAGAAAATCATGCAAATGGCACTTAAAATGTTATATTGTGTACTTATGATTTATAATATTTGCGAGTATTTAATACTTATTCGGTCCAGTGGCGTATGTATACGCCTATGTATCCATCATTAGGTTGATTCATCTCCCCGTGACTTTTTAACATTTTTCGACATTCAATTATTTGTCCCTTTATCTATTGTTAAATTAAATTTCTTTACTTTTTGGTGAAAAAATCAGAACCTAAATGACTAAGTGACTAAATTTCAAATTTGATATTTCTTGCCTGCCGTGGCTAGATCTTGAATTGCCACTGATACGGTCATACCTACCATATTTTAAACGCAGCGAGAAATATTTCGGTTTTACTATAATGTGTGCTTTTTTATTTTCCCGTAGGTATTAACGAATTGTCTATCAAAAATCTTGTTTTGATTTTCATGCGCAGCATGACTATTTTTAAATCGAATTTAATCCGGTTGTTTGTAGCAGTCATAATTTAAATACCGCGGTTACACCTCTACCTCGTACAGTGTGTACAATATAATAGATATTATGCGTACAAAATGTCCAAACGCCGTTAAATCACATACTGAATTCTCCAATATAATTATAACGTTGAACACTACGATACTGCATTATAACATTTGTGTAACAAATGTTATTATGCAATGATGATAGCACGTTGTGTTGTAAACGAATTATTAATGGTATCGACGAGAACGCGAGTATAGTTTTGTACCGTAGTAGTAATTGTCTCCGAAGTCTGTTCAAGTAGTTGTTTGTTTATGTGTCGTGTAGTATTGGTACTTGCCTAATATTATTTCAGGTATTCGTTTTGTGTATGCGTATGTTACGCGCGAACGTGAAAAACGAATTCAGAACGGGTAGGCGTAATATTTACATTAAAAAAAAAAAAAAAAAACAGTTTTATTCATTGATTATTTTCGAGTGGCTCTAGCGCGAGGCGTACGACGCGTGTCGTCGGTCTGCCCGCAACTCGGATCAATAATCCGCGAGCAGTGGTGTGGCCTGATGGCCTGCAGGTATTTTGTTATTGCGTTATTGACAAGTTTCGTGGTAATATTTTTAATGCCACGCGCCGGGGAAGAAAGAGAAGAAGAAAAAAAACGGTCGGTATGGTACATCCGTGGGGCAGGCCACTTTTGTACAGGCGGGTGTGTACAGTGATGGTAAGGGGCGTGGGGTGAACGGCGTGTGGTGGGGTATTTCGGTTTATACACACGAAGCGGCGTGCGGGGGGGTCAAACGTTCGTCGCAAACGGAGGAAAAAAAAAAACCTATTCTGAGCGCAGCGTAGTAAAAATAACAAATCGTTATCGCGGGTTACCCCGTTCAAAAAGTGGATTGGTAACAAACAATTCAGCAAAAAACTGTTGACGTTCATTTTTTATAATATCTCTGTTCCATTCTTAGCCTAACGAGTGTAATACAGAATATGACACAATTGCACGCGAAACGAATTCGGATACTACAAATTGCTATACACAAATAACGGATGGTGTCGAATTCGACGAGACTGAGTCTTTTCCGTGTTAGCTTGTGTATATTTCAGTTATTTTGTCACGGCGATCGTCAATTTGGTTGAAAATTATATCGTATCTGGATCATACAGGCATATATTATATTTTGTAATATGTAGTAACTGCGTAGTATAACACCGTTTTGTGGGTAAAGCGTGTTTTTTAACGCGAGACGGCGTGCCCAATGAAAATTAATTGTCGTCTGCGTTTACTGCAGCGCGGCGACGGCGTCGGCGTCCAAGGCGTTGAAACCATTAAAAGCAATACGAAGCATAATAATAGTAATAATATTATACAAGTCAACGTTTATTGTGCGTGGACGAAGCTCGGAGCGCGTCTTTTATGAATATTCACCGTTTTTGTATTATTATATTGTGATTTGTGTGTCCAGTGGCGTACTCAGGATTATTTAATCTAGGATGAGGAGAGGGGGGGAGGGAGCGTGTTAAATGCCAGCAAATGTACGTCGTATGTAGGAGGTCCCTTTAAACGATATTATAGAGCCTTTTTTCTCGAGGTTATATCGCCGAGTTATCCTAATGGCATTATGATATAGAGTACGATTATTACTGTTTAATCAGTAGCAAATACGTGTTCAATGCCGAACGGTAAAGTTAATAATGTCATTGATATTTTGTTGTATTTCGACACGGCCAATAGAGAAGTCTGGAGTCTTCAACCTCCGCCTCCCCAAGTACGCCACTATTTTACAACCTCCGCATGCGCCCGTCCGATTTTCAATATTCCCTCGTTTTTTTTTTTTTTAAAAAAAAAAACAAAACCAAAACGATTGTTGTAGGTGCACAATTGCGTTTGTTTTAACTGTTGGCAAATTATTAATGGGTTTACACAAACATATTTCATACCGTGTTGAAGCAAGTGTATCATAGTAGACGATAGTGAGAAAAATGTTATAGGCCAATGTGCGTGTTATACTACGTACGTTCAACTTTACATTAATAATATTCGGTTTAAAGTTCGTTGTGTTGTTGCGACGAACACGTGATAATTATTATTATACGCCATTAAATGGTTCCGGATTTTTATTTTTATCGTTTTTATTATTATTATTTTTTTGTTAGAATTACAGAATGCGCGTATACCCATAAAACGCCCATCGTCGAACCATTGTTGGTGTATAATTCTGCGTACGCTAGAATGGTGTGACGTCATATTATTATGCGATAACAATATTTATCGAATACGATTGGATCCAAAGAAATCTATATAAAAAAAATACACGTATACACATTAAAATATGCAGCATGTAAATCGCTGATTAATATCGTGTACGTCAGATTCCAGAATATCACGATTTTCCCACTGATTACGAAACATTAATTTTTCACTGATTTCCGTTGGTTATTTATTACTGTGTATAAATGTGACATAATATGTAACTCTAAAATTCTCATATTCCATGTTTGAAGTACTTCGGGCACTTGATTTTGTTACGAAAAACCTCGTTTGTGTAACGTAACTTGTGTTCAACGACAATCAAATGTCAGTGTGTAACTAATCGTATATTATAATAAAAGCGTTAAAAAAAAATTAATTGTCATTCAAGTTTCTTCTAACGACACAATTGCTTGGATCTAAGCGATCCAAATATTACCGATTGAGTGGTGATACCAGCTGTCTTATTAGAAGAACCACGCGTATTTCTTTCGTTGTAATACGTTCGCCCGTTTCGCATCATACCGCTGTTGTAATCTTCTCGGTTTATAAAATAAATCTAAAATTGGGTACGTATATACGAGTATAAACTATAAACTATAATAATTATAGTATTTAATTAAAATCGGATGCTTCCCTAAAGATGTGTTTTAACGTTTTACTTAGATTAAATTTACAGTATAAATGTTTCTAAATAGCATAATTTAAATTGTATAAATAATACAAATCAAAATTATACGCTATACATTTTAAATAGTTTAAACAGTTCATATGTATAAATTGTCTTGTTCTAATTGAAAACGTCTTCCGTATTATTTAAAATAATGAAACCGTTCGTTTTTCCCGCTTAATCGCTTTTATTTTGAATACCGCTTTGAAAATCAAAAAATGATTATTTTAAAGTATAAACTAGAGAAAATTTCCTGAGGATGCACCTTATAAAACAATTGAATAGCCGATTTGTTTAATCATATTGAAGTTTACCATCCGCATAGCGTTGAATATTAATATTTGTTTGGGTGATCATGTTGTTATCAATTTATCAAATAATCCATGGTGTAATTAAATATTTTACGGATTAATCAATCGTATTTTGCCCTTTATCATGTCAGCCATCATAGGTCTTATAAGACTTTAATACAGATATCTATTTTGTTTTATATATCTGTGGTCGACTCGTTATCAAAGTTAACGGAACGAAATCGGCGCTGCTGTACGGAAATTCGGCGTGTCTCATGCGTCTATAATAATACGGAAATAGCGCATAATATACGTGGGTGTGGCGTCTACAAACAAAAGCTAATGAACTAATATTAATTAGCGGAGACCGGATTTATATTCTCTTATAATCCACAAAAAGGAGCTTTAAAACCTTCAAAATATCCTTGAAAAAAGCACTTACAAATATTTTATAAAGCAAAAATGATAGAGGACATCAAAAGTATCCTCCTCCCCCACCAATTGGTTTAACTTATTAAGTTATATTTCCCAACGCTACAAAAATAATTCACATAAAATATTTTCTTTAAAATAAAATCGTACGCCCATAAAAAAGAATTACTTTTTATCAATCATTTTTGTGCCGTTAGAAAATGTTATTTGTATGTTGAATCCGTTAAAAGAAGAGTACCTTTTAACCGATCAATTTTTGTGGATTTTTATAGCACATAAATCCGGTCTCTAGTGGTAAGTATTGTTGAAATTTAATTACTCGTCGGTATAGGTATGTTCGTTTTTAGGAAATCGGACAGCAACATTGTTTTATTTCGCGGTATTCGTGCGTGTTTCCAACATGGCTTATAATTAATATATATTCGGCGATTTGTTATAAATAATACAGAAGTTAATACTTATAATTTTATTGTGTTAATAATAATAGGTGGTATGTGTATTCGTTTTGGGCGGATAAATGCGAGTAGTTTTTTTTTTTTTTTATTAACGTTCAAGGTCTCGGTGTGTAGGTTTTGTTGTAATACGCACTCCATACCTAAGCGTAAAAAAGTTCTTCAACGCGTGAAAAAACGTTTTAATCGAATGCAGGCCTACTGCCTTAACAAGATTATAACATGTAACAACAATTACAACAATATAATAACATGAATTTTTTTTTTTTTTTACACAAATCGGAAAGACAAAAAATCCTTTAAAATTTAACTATGCGATAATATAATAATAATAATAATAATAAAAAACCCTGCCAGTATTTTGCGTTTTGGAATTGTACCGATTTTGAAAACGTTTTTTTGATAAGTGTTCGGGGGAAAATTTCAAGTCTCTCTACGTAGATTTTTAAGCGGAATCGCATAAAAAAAAAAAAAAAATTAAATACCGGAAATCACTTCTGAAGTCAATGATCGGAATAAGAATTCTGATAGAAAAGTTGTTAACAGTAAAAAAAAAAAAAAATAAAAACAAATAAACAAACAAACGCACACCTAGTAAACGCAAGAAAACGTTCAAAATCTAAAATTATTTAGACAGTTACTCGAGGTGGCGGCGGAGTGTATGTATTGATTTTTGAGTAAATATTTAAATTGTAATCGAGTTTATAGTTTATCTAGTTTATCTATACCTAAAATGTGTTTTTTTTTTTATTTATTTTTCGGAGTGAAATTGTAATAAAAACTTAAAAGATTGCTACCGCAGACGTACTTCCTGTGTCGTTTTTTTTTTTTTTTAAACTACGATGTTTGTTTAGCCCAGCATAATATAATAAATTGCATAGTCATATTTTTTGTGCGTGGGCTGGCTTATAGGTAATTTTTATTACTTAAATAGTCTTCTTGGCCTTCTCCTTAATAGTATTGTTATACCTACTGACGAGTATTATTCAAATTCCGAATCGAGAGAGGATTTTCGACCGTCGTGATGATTTCCCATTTTCAAAAGCATCGTATTTTGTTAGCTTTTAGTACGTTTCGTGTTGTAATATTTTTTTGAATGCGTTTACAAATTAAGTACAGTTCACTCGCGAAACGTCAAACTCCTAAACGATCGGTTTTCTAAGGAGCTCATTTGTTTATTTAACATTTATTATTTTAGCTGTCCGTCGTTATTCTAATCGCGTCAAAGTTAAAACTAAATTCGAATAATTATAAAGACTATCGTTTCCCATTGTTTTTTTTTTTTTAATCGGGTAGTCTAATTAAATTTTCCATTTCGACAAGTAGTCATCGAGTATATATAGAAAAAAAAAAATAACATACAATATTAATTATTTATTTATAGCTGTTGAGTTTCGAATCGGGCAAAAACTCTGTAAACAAAATAACAGCGGTTTGTCTATAATATTATCGGAATTTTTTCGTATCGAATTCGTCTCACATTATTAATTGTAAATATTGTAAAATATAAAATGTGTACATCACATACGTATAAAACATTAATAATAACAGTGTTACGTACGCGAATGAATGTCACACACACGCACGCACGCATATCGCGTGTTGACGACAAAACGTGTTGACGGTCGATAAAATAATATTTATTGACTTTCGCGCCGTACGTAATGATATCGTAAAAAACACAACGGGGCCCCCGTGACGGCTTGGTGGTGTGATGTGTACCCGTCGTTGTCGTGTGTATAGGGCGATGATTTTTTTTTTTTGTTTCCCCCGTCGTACACGGAGAGTTTTCGAGCGTTTTACTTCGGGGTTTTTTTTTTTTTTTACGCCGTTGCAGTCGTCCGCCAGCTCGTGTGTATCGTGTTAATTGTTTCATCCGGCTGATAATATCATATCCCATCCGAAACAGTAATATAATGCCATCCGATATATGCGATTTCGATTTGTCGATATATAAAAAAAAAAAAAAAAAACATTAATCGAATGCCCTTAATTTCGGGATGCTTTTGATTATTACCGCGAATTAATTACTTCGCTTGTAATTTAATCCGGATCTGCAGTCATTGTCTATTGTAGAATCGTTGGTAGTATTTTAACCCTTATTATTCGTTCACCGCATAAACGTATAGATAATATCGACTCATAATTTTCAACCCTCCCTACCTTTTACAAAACAAATTCGAAAAGATAATTTTTTTTTTTTTGTGATGTGCTTTACGCCCGTTTTACTATCGTTTGTGAGTTATAACAGTTTGAAATTTATACCGGTGGTGTACGGGAGGGTTATCGTTCGGGAAAATTATTGGGTTCTCCTTAAAAGGATATTGATTATTGAAGTAGGGGTAAAAATTATTTGATTACAGCGTTGAAATAACGCTTATACACTTCCATAATGAGAGTGACATAAATCAAATTCGTTTAAAAATCTTCCGAGGAAATATTGGAAAAAAAAAAAAAAAAACCACGCTGTAAAATTGTATTATTATATTATGGTACCTACATCGGTGTCCAATTAACGTATTACGAATCGATAAAATACTAATCTCGTCGACTCGCGAACGGTCTTCTTCCTATTCGCGGTTCACCTGTCAAGGACATTGGTAACGTTTTACAACACGGGGCCGGTCGGTATTTTTAGACCTACGACCTACAGTCTGGACTGCATTCAAATAAGTGTAGCTGACTAGAAACGGTTTGTTAAGTAGTTTCGTGTACTCGTGTGTGCGTGTTCCCGTACATTTTTTTTTTATCGCGTGTAGGACGAGACGGCACAATAATTATTATTAAATGCACCCGATCGTATTGTATGTTGCTTATCGGCGGTGTCTGTCGGTTTTCAGCTCGGTCCCGAGGCCCTTTAAAAATAATTGTTATATAGTAGTGGCAGTACAATAATTATTATAAGGTCGAAGGAACGTTGCGCAAAACCAACTATACCGTTTTTCCCGGTCGCGTATTTACATACCGTGTACGAGTTCGGCCCGTCGTCGTGGTTTACCAGGTTAATATACACTACTCACAAATTCTTCGGACCGGCGTACCGGGTTTGGACCATCAGCAGGTTGGTTCACAGTTTTTCCATTACCCCCGGTAGCTGCCCTCCGCCGATTTTAATGGGCATAATATCGGCCACGGCTGGATTTAGGGTCGCGGGTGCCAGGGGGCGATGATTCCTATAATATTCGTATAAAAGACCGTTGTGCAAAAATACATAAAGGTCATCGACAATAACACATTGTGCGTGGCCCCTTTCAACTCGAGGCCCGGGGGTCAAACTCTCCCCTGGTCCACCCCCCTTGAGCCGGCCCTGATAGCAGCGTAGACTTTCGGCGATTGTTCGCACTCGTACCAAGAGTAATTTAACCATGTCGATGATAGTTGTGTACCTAATAGTTCCCGGGGGGGGGGTTATTTTTCTAGAGAAATATAAAAACACATTTGTAGAAACCGTCATCGAGAAGACCCGCACAGGAATTGGACGCAACGCGCGCGTTCAGCGTGACGACGTCGTGTTTATCCGATAGCAACGTTTATCAAGCGCGATTGCGGGATCCGAATGAAAAAAACAAAAAAAAAAAAAAAACATTAAAATATGATGTTAGTGTGCGCGTGGTGCAGAGCGTAACGCGAATAAACGAATAAACGCACGGACGGCTTGCCGCCCCGCGGTCCGGTCAACCCTCTCCAGGGCGTTTACCCCTACGGTTCCGGCGGCGGTGCCGAACGCGTAACGCGACGCCCGGGCCGTCGGGGATGGGGGGGGGCCGTTACGGAACGTACCGGCGGCGGCCCCCTAATGATTTCGCGGTCGAAAGCAACGACCCCGGGGGGTCCGCGGGGCAACGCGAGAACGGGGTACGGGCGATCATCGTTCGAAACGATATGTTTTGGGCGGCACGAGCGGTGCGCACTCTCTCGCGTGCTTCACAACAACGAGTGAGGTACTCGAGGTTTTTGTTTGCCGCGTTCGAAAACGTTGTACAGTGAACAATGTGCACACACTCCTCGCGGTAGTCGCGACAAACATCGTCGGCATGTGTGTTGTATGTACTTACGCGGGCGGTAATGATCGTGCCGTTGGTTTTGCGATAAAAATACGATTTCCCTCGTTCAGAGTCTCGCGTTATGTACGATAAGCACGCCGGGGAGGAGGCGGGGGCGGGGGGTTCGTGTTAATTTGGAGGGAGGGAGAGAGAGAGAGAGAGAGAGAGAACAAAAAATATACGGCGTCTCCGGTGTTTTTTTTTTTTTTTTCTAAATATTTAAATAATTCATTACCCGTTTGTTTTGCGCGCACTAATATTATTATATTGTACGTGCGTACGTGTACGCAACGACAAACTTCTTGAAAATTGATTTTTTTTTCCCTCCCAACAACAAGAATAATAATAATTCTGCAGACCGGTCCCCGGAACACTACACACACGTAACGACAAAAACTATATTTATTCGCGTAGAACTTGATGTGTCGGTTTTAAACGACACGTTCGACTTATCTAGTCTTTTTTTCTTTTTTTTTTTACTCATTATCGGTTGTTTTTTATATAATTATTTATGTTTCGCAGTCAACGGATCGCACTTGGGTATTTATGTGAAATTGAATGAAATCGTGTATCGCGCGCGCGTGCTGCTGTTAAAAGAAAGAATATTATTGTCGGGTAACTCGGATGTACAATTTGTTTTGTTTTTCGTTATTATATTCTCAGACATGCGCCCGCTTACCTTATTTTTAATTTTTAACATAATTTCTGGGTTATAAATTTCACCGAAACAAAGTTGAAACGATATTCAGTGTCATTTTCGATTTACCCGAAGTAATGCGCATTAAGTACTGAAAACCGAGCGAATTGTTATTACGATTTTTTCGTTTTCTAATCGCGCGTTTATCGAATTTCATCTCGGCTATTTGATATCATAAATCGTATATTTTTATTTTTATCGAATTTACGGTCGAACCGTCGTCTGGTATTATACACAATAAGCCATTTTTTTTTTTTTTTTTTATATCTTATCAATGGTATAATAGTTCTTATTGAACCTTTATACGCTACAGTTTGATTGGAAAAACTCTTTGATATTACATTTTTTTTTCTATCGGCATCAAAAACGACTGCAATATATATTATATTGGACATTGACGGTAACATATTTTACGATTATAGGTTACCGTGTGTTGTACACATTCGCTATTATATATTTTATAATCGCATTTGTATTGATTAAATTTTAATTATGATTTAATTAAATTAATACGCGGACAACGATTTAATGATTATTAATTATATAATATAACGATATATGTTGGTTTTTTTTTTTTTTTAACAATCGGAAGGGATAATTTCCGCGGGGTTTCGTCGTCTTATAAAAATATCGAAATTTATAATTCCGTAAAACCAATCGTGTTACTAAATTTTTCATATTAGGTTTTCGGGCAAAAATCTTATAGGCTGGGCAAATTTTACTACGAGTTTTTTTTCTAGCCGTTAGTTCACAAATTTTACACCAGAAATAATGCTACGATCGTCAACTTCAGTGTTGGGTTTCTGGTTGTAATTATTCATGTGTGCAGTTAGTGCGTCGGGAAGGTCGTTTTACGGTCATCTTTGATCTCTTCGATCTTGGTCAATATTCAATAATTATGATTAAGTTTTACTGTGTATTACATATACAGAGTGAGTTTTTTTTTTTTTATCATGAACCAGCAATTGTCTCTGAGGATTTTAAATGAATTTGATTTGTTGTTTTTTTTTTTTTTTTTTTTTTTTTTTTTTTTTATCATCGTGGAATTGGTTGAGCTTTATTTTTAAAACCATTTTTAATTTTTACTTCTACTCCATATACCTTAAATAAATAAATATAAGTGAAGTCGACTACTTATTATTTGTGTCGTTCACTTCTATGGACAGATTTGCACTGCAGTATTATTAAAAATATACGGGACCTCTTATTTTCTTCCGAGTCTATAAAATATGGTTAACGGTGTAGTATAGCCTCTGTTGTAGCACGTGAGAATCTTATTAATTATGGGTACCTATAGTGGGTATATAAAAGTAACATTTCGTTAAAACCAAAAATAACGTGTTCAAATTAATAAATAGATTAATAGATAACGAGTTTCAATATAAAAACTATGTTTTCGATGAGATCGTGTTTTGTTATTTCACTGAAATTTAACATTTTTAATACGTTCATACATCACCTATTTCATTTAGTTAAACATACTTAAACATAATTAATGATTAATTGCAATAAAAGTTGTTGAGATGTATACAGGAACAGGATTAGAAATTTTAATGACATTTGGAGCCGTATTTTTATTTATTTTTTCATTTTTATTATACTAATCACTAAGTATTGTGGATTAAATAAACCTTGAACTGGGTTTGTTTCTTTAATTTAGTTATCTTATAATCCCGCCGTTTCTGTCCGATTTTTAACTAATTTAGGTTTATTTAGACCCTACAAATAAGTATAATATACTTAATATAGGTTACTGCGATTTTTTTTTCAAAATTGTGTATATGCAAAACTATTCAATTGTATAGGTACGTTTAGTAACCAGGAACTTGGCTCTCTCGCTCGTATTAGTGGACTTTCTTAACTTTTTATTTCATAGTTTTATAATTTTTGTAAGGAAATATTGAAATACTATTTACCCATATTATCTAATGGTGTTTACGCATTTGTAACTTGAGTTTTTAGTATTTAGTCAACGTTATACATTTATTAATAATTATCTGTAAAAAAGTACACTTTTATCCTTCGCGAGGTGTTATGTACATATATAATATATTCTCAATAAACTATGTTAATATCAGCTGGCTGACGAAATAAAAACGAATAAATAACGGTATGCGTAAATAATATATAATAATATGATACGACATTTTAACATAACAAAATACCGTATCGAAATATTTTTATAACGTTGCAAAATATTATTATTATTCGTTCTGTAATTGGCCACGGAGGAACGATGGACTCTGAATTTAAAAAAAATACCCCGCAAATGAATGATAATAAAAAAAAATTCTTCTCTCAACAACCTTCGTCTCTCTTGTTAATACTCTCTTGCAAACACTGCATTGTATTATAGTATATCTCGGTCCTACGAATCTCCACCATATACGGTCGCCCTCGACCCCGCGTCGTCTATTTAATCTATTGCATACGAACACCCCAATAGTTATAGAGCAAAACGAATACAGTTGTATGAGTTTCGTGTTACGCATGATTCACTTCATTTATACTGTGTAAAACACTGAGAACGGAAAAAAAAAACTATTTTGAACGGAGAAGTCGTGTTTTTCCTTTGTTGTACACGCGGAATCTAAAAATCCACGAACAAACGCGACATGTCTTAGTATAAATAATGTTCACTTTGTTAATCGATAGGTATTCTGAAGTATTTTGATTATTAGGCTAAGCGATCGACGAGGTTAATTCAATTACATACAGCGGAACCGCCGTGTGTTTTAACATCGTATAATAAAGCCGATAAAAATGCCATATAATTTTCAAAAGGTCGGGGTGTCGGGCACTTGTCTCGCTTCGCTCACCTTGCACCCCCTCCCCTTTTCAGTCCGTATATTACGTTTATGCGCCACTAAATTATAATCCGATGGCCGCGATCATCGAAATCGGATCAATCATTCGTCGAATCCGGAACACCGCGCCAATTATTTCAATTTTAAAACGTGTCCATTTAACAATGCCGTATGTCGCATTCGGCAACATTGATATATCGTGCGTTGGTAGTTTTTTTAAGATTTCGTAGAAATAAAAAAAAAACATTCAGAGGTCATAAAAAGAGGTCTTTTTTTTTTTCGGGACATTAGATTTTCAAATTCCACGAGCATTAATTAAAACGGTTTAGAACAATAATAATGTATATATTTTTTTTTAAGAAACAACTGATACAATTTCGCGGTTTTCACCTGATACAGTATTAGCGGAATGCCATTCTATGACGGCCGAAATTTTGACTATAAACGGACTGCAAAGTCAAGTGGATGCGCTGCCAGTATTTCAGATAATATACGTTTGGAAAAAAAAAAAAGCCACTTTTTTTATATCCACAGGGTATCCCCGGTGTTTTGGGCTATTGTGTGCGGGTATAATTATAGTTTCGGAGAACATATTTTATTTTCGACCTCTGTTATTTAAAAATAAAACTCTTTTTTTTTTTTTGAACTAAAAATCGGAGGCACGTATTCGTTCATAATCAACGAACAGGTTAGGCTGGCCAACACCGCCGTGTTTCGCCCATTATTCAGCTATTCTTAGTTTTCGTAACTTTTTTTTTTTCTAATAATCATATTTTCGACACATAGTAAACTGGTTTTCTTTTTTTTCTTACGTAACAAAATTATGGACAATTCCAGTATATTTTTATTTCTTTTTATGCAACATGACGAAATTTATAATAGTGTATAGCGTAGATCGCGCTTTTAACGTTCTTTTTTTTCTTCTCATTAACGAAATATTTAATTATTAATTAGGTATAATTTTATAGTGTACTTGATACTCTACGTGTTCGTTTCAACATAAACGAATGATTATTTTTTTAAATTTTATAACTGCGATTTCGAAAGTGTCCCGCCCCCTCTCCCTACCGCCTAAAATTTTTCCCACTTTGGCTACAGTCTTGTACGACACACAGTTTATCATTTTAAACGCGTCGCACGCTCATTATTTCGATATTAAATATCGAATCACGCCTATGTTACGCACATTTTATGTAACATAGCCGTATTTCACCTTTCTATTATATTAAAATATTATTTCATATATAAATAGACTAGATGCGCGTGCGGATCGGATGAGACGTTCCAAGTCCGAAACTGAACGATTTGGGCCGAATCACAAAAACGCGTTTTCCTAACAATCGTGTAGCGTTCAGTAATTACTGGCCGGTCCAAATAATATTATTATTATTGCTATTATATTATGATCTCGGATTTGGATTTCGATCCGGTTATGAGTTTGGCCAAAAATCCACGAGTTCGGCGAGTACAAATCCGGTGTACTGTGTGTAAATCTATTGCGAAAAATACGATTGGGCGACTTTTATTGTAGACTCGTAAAAAAAATAAAAAAAAATAAATTTCTCGGTTCGCCGGTTCAAACCGGTAGGTAACGGAATTGTGGCACGTAATACCGAAACTAAACGTCCGGCCGTGTACGATGTGTTGCATTTACAAAGCGATTTTACGATACAATGAACTCTGTTGAACTAACACTCGAAACGGTAAACCGGTATTGTGAAAACCCCGAAACGTTCCATGTTGACGGTTTATTAAAACTTTTCGCACTGTCACACAACCGTTGTTATTAGTGTAAAACAATAAGCACCGCTATCTAACCGCTAAAATTTTTACAATATACAATTTATACTATTCTTGAACAGTTCGAGACTGTTCTCAATATTGATGGCATAGTTTTATTAAATTTGCACACTGAAATATTCGGCCGTATTTGGAATGACATCACTGTCGTAGTAATTATGGATTTGACTGAAAATCCAGCATCACTCATGTGATCGAATAAATATTGTATTTACGAAAAATGTACAAGAGCTATTTCTGGAATCCTGATAACGATTTGTCCTAATAATATTATTGAGACATAATTGGACATTAATTTGGTCCGAATACGATAACACCATTATAAACGGTACTTTAACAGCAGTTATTCCTTTTTTATAACTTCTGAATGCATAACTGCTATTAGCAGTCACTGCCCTTCTATAGCAATCACTGTCCGTCAACGTGTTAAAAAAAAATAAATGCAATTTTCAATTTTTCAATGTATGATAAATTTATTATAATTGTGTACTTTGTTGTGATAGGAAAATAATAGGCAATAACAATAATAATCAATGAAAAAAAAAAACTATTAGATAATATAAATATTAATCTTAATCAGTGTGGGGATTGACAAATAAACAAAATTGCATATTATATATATTATAATATATAACCTCTAATTGAGGACTAAACATGAATTTATGCTTAATCTATTTGTTAATAATTTCACAGATATCTTAATAGAATCTCATTCGTTCTTAAGATGGGAGTACAAATGAGAACTAAGACCGAAGAGACAGTCGAAGAACCTCTGATTGAAAATAACAACAAAGAAAGCTTACAAGAACCTGTGAAGCCAGAACCTCTACCAAAACGTCAAATTATATGGTCCACAGCTATATATCTGACCACTTGGCACGTGTTGGCTGTCATTTGTACGGTACTTTACTGGAAGAATGTAAAATTGGTGACCATTTTATGGAGTGAGTACAGCATATTATAATATTCTTTAAATTTATATTATTGATGATTTATTAGATAAGTAGTTCTTTTCAGATTCAATTTGTATTGTAATTTTCTTAATTTATTCTTTTGTTTTTTTTTTTTTTTGTTTTTTTACCCTCAGGTTTGCTCGTCGGATTTACTGGACAATTTGGTGTGACAGCTGGTGTGCACAGATATTACACACACAGATCTTATAAAGCAAAAACCCCCATGCAAGTTATACTTCTAGCTTGCTATTCAGTTGCTGGTCAGGTATGAAAATCAATAATTGATATTTTCTTAAACATAATTATATAATTGTAGCATTATTTACTATTATAATTATTCTTTTGATTTATAGTACAGAGTAACAGATTGGGTTCATGACCACAGGTTGCATCACAAATTCAGTGACACTGATGGAGATCCTCACAACGCTAACCGAGGTTTGTTCTTCTCGCACATTGGATGGTTGATGCAACGTGGACATCCAGAAGTATTCCGTCGTAGTAAGACCATTGATATGTCCGACATTGACAAAGATCCCTTAGTCCAATTCCATACCAAGTATAATTTACTCTTAATCATTTTTTATAATAATTTGTTCAGTTATTAAAAATCAAAAAAAACATTTTACAGATATTATTGGTTTTTCAAAATCGGTCTTTGTTTTGTGTTGCCCGTTCTTGTACCTGTATACTTCTGGAATGAAAGCTGGATGGAAGCTATTGGAATCAGTGGTGTATTGCGATTTGTCATTTTCACTAACATGACATTCTCTATCAACAGTTTGGCTCACTTTTGGGGAACAAAACCATACGACCAGTAATTATTAATTTCTTTGGCACAAAATGATTGTATTTTTTACACAATTTTTTTGTTTTTTTGATAGGCGCATAAGACCTGTTCAAAACATGGCTTTGGCTATACTAACTACTGGCGAAGGTTGGCACAATTATCATCATGCATTCCCATGGGACTACAGAGCAGAGGAATATGGTGGAAACATGACCAACCCAACAACCTATTTATTAGACCAGTTTGCTAAAATTGGGTGGGTGTATGACCGCAAGACACCATCAGTAGACCTCGTCAGACAAGTGGCCAACAAACATGGTGATGGTAGTTGGCAAGAAGTTGCGGAACCAACTAAAAGCGATTAGATTATTATCATTACTAATACATTTTTTCTAAATATTATAAGACTTCATAAACTTTTAAATGCCTTCATAGAATGTTATTTAATATCTAATAATAATTTTGAAGAATAGAATATTTTCATCTATGTTCACCCATGAAATGATAATGATATAATAATTGCAATTGGCATACAACATTTCAATAGTTTTGTTTTAATTCAAATTATGGTGTAATAATTTGATAGAATTTTGTTATTTTGTGTACTAGCAAAACACGATTGGGTAATAAATCCCACATATTATACAAAATCCACACACACATATATATTAAAGTTCTTCTGGTCTGTATGTCTGTTAGGTATTTATTATAATATTATTATATAAAGTAACTGATAATTTATCATTATGATTGTATATTTCCAAAAGTTTGTTCGAATATTTGAATAAATATTATGGTGGTTAATGAAACTATATAGCACATAATGTGTTTATAATGCTCAAATGTAGTGCCCAATCGTGTTGCATTGGCTAAAATGTTTAGTTAGTATAATAATAATTATTAATTTTAAAAGTTTGGTTAATTTGCTGTGCACCCGTCCAACACATTATAATATGTGAATGGATTCAAAATGAGCTTATGGCATTGTAAGTTGTGCCACAATGAATTCAGTGTGTTGTGTATGTGTATGCGTGAATTTTGTGAACGTATTTATTTCTATGTTCGATCAACAGATAGTGACTTGTTGAAATGATTATTACACTGGTTTTTAATATTTATTTCAAAAGTCTGAACAGAAAATGTTTTTTCTAGTCATTCAAAAATAAATCCAGAAGTCCTGAAAATGGATCATGTTTACTGACAAATATGTCTGCGTGAATGACGAGGCAAGACTATATATTTTAGTTTGATTTTATGTCTAAATCTGAAATAATTATTCCATGCATTTTTATAGCTAATTATAAATTGTGTATAAAAATGCGTTCACTTAACACACAGACACCAATATACATATAATATACACATAGTGTTAGGCTCTAAATATAATATGATATGTAGGTGTAGGACATTTTGTTTGTGATTTTCTATTGTTTTTTTCATTTAATATAATTATTAATAATAATTATAAATATTATTAATGATTAGAATGTAAAAAAACAAAGAACTGAAATAAACAACATATTATAATTATTTATATTATTATTATTATTTAAACATAATATACATAGAAAATAAGGGGAAAAAAATCATAGAATTGTTTTTTAACAAATATATTATTATTAATAAACAATAAATAATTATTGCTAGTGTAAAGTATAATATTCATGTTGTAGCGACTATTAGGATGTTTAGTTTTATAATATATACAATTAATGGATTGGCATGATCTAATATTCATAATTTAGAATTAACGTGTTTAAAATCTTAGACAACTAAAACAAATATATGTTTCATAAAAATGATTTTAAATAGACACTGGGTAATAACATGAACTTAGTACAACATTTTTAAATGATATGGAAATTATAGATGTCAGTAAACTTTGTTTATGGAGTTTAGATCTTGTTAAACTGACCAAATAATATTTATTATTAGCTGCTTTCATGTCCGAAAATAATAAAACTAATTAATATATTTTTCTCTTAAGTATACTATAAAATACATTTTATTAAATGTTCGAGTATAATATCCATTTGTGAATTGTCGTTTGAGTTCACTCACAATTATCTTCAAAAAACAAATTAATTTACAACTTATGTAGCAAATATTATGTAATAATATTTGTTACATACTTTTAAATCAATCGTTAGTACTATCACAAATAGTAGGTATATATTTAAAGTAATATACTTATAGTTAATAACATTACTGTTATTGTATTTTGTTTTGTTTTTTTTTATATCTATAAATCCCTTATCTTATAACTTGTAGTACAACAAATTATTTTACATCATTACAAATTTTTTACTGTAAATTTATATTAGAAGAAAAAATATTGATTTATTATATACTTTTATAATTAATTATTATTATATTGTATATTAAATATTTCAATGATTTAAATGCATATTTTATTGGTGCGCGGTTAAATATTAGTAGAGTAGTTTAAATACATATTTTGATACAATTAAAAATAAATTAGTATCTTAGAATTGTTTGATTTAATGCTTTAAATAAATGCATTTGACCGCGCACTCGAGTGTTGTTTTTCATGTGTGCATTTTTGTCTCCATTTTTATCGTGCCAATTTTCTCCTATACATTTCTCTGCCCTATTAAGTAACATACACATTACACATTCTTAGTTTGTTTACTAGATCTGTTATTAATACATTTATAATATATTAACATAATACAATGTGTAATTATTATAACTTGTATGGTTATGTAGGAATCAATATAGTATTGTTTTAAAATTGACGATTTTGTGTTGATTTTGATCTAACAACTCATTTTAAAATAACTGTTATTCAATAAGTACAAAAATATGAGCATAAATACTTCTAAAAGGAATTTTGTTTTAAGCAGTCCAATATTAAAGGAGTTACATATAGGCAATTTGTTGTTCTGGTTTGGTGTTTTTCAAGTTGTCTCGTTAAATTAGAATTAATTATGTCAGTTTATGAGGACTTATGAGCTCTGATGTAGTTGACATAACTGGTATTCATTCGTCTATGAATTCAATTTTGATTAAATTAAAAAGTTGGATATTTCGGCTAACTCATTCAATGACATTCTGTTCTAATAAAATTGAAGACTTCAATATAATAAGTTAATTTGGTGTCTAAAGTTAATAAAAATAATAGGAAATTAATTGAAATTAAAAATAAATTTATAAAGATGTAAGAAGGATTAGACTCTTTAATAATGAACCATAATGTAAATGAACAATTTAAACTTTTAAATAGTTTGATAATTGTTGGCATTCCGAAAAATTTAAAATATCAATAGTTTTAAAAAGCTGTCTTAGGATAATGAGGACGGGTGCAGCCACTATTGTAGATGGAAAGTTGGGAAGGTAAGATATAGACGGGAATTGAATGCATATCAGTACGCAACGATTAACCGTTACTAACGAAAAAGACGATTCTGAGCGGAGTTCGGATTATAATGTAGTATTGTCAACAATATATGTCATAGACAGTGTATCCTAGCGTGTTCAACGGTTTTCAATGTTTTTAGGGCTGTTAATATTACATTTTTTCGATTTTTTTTTTTCAACCGGTTTGTTTTCAAGGGGAACATCGATTTGAAGAAAAATTTAATTTTGATTTTCATTCCCTAAACATAAAAATATAAAATTTTATTCACTGTAAAAAATTTTCAAAGTTGCCATTTTGTAGAAAATATTATTCTAAACATTTTAATGTATCATACATTCATATCCGATAAATAATTTCTTAGTTACATAGGCGTGCGTACAGGGGGGGGAGGGTGGCAGGCTAAATATTTCTTCCGAATACTGTGAAATTTCAATTATTAAAATAAATTTGTAATTAAATCAATGATACATAAAATTAAAATACTTCGATATCTAATACTAATTGAACTAACTAATAAAGTAATGAAAAAAATAATATTTAATTAAATTACATATAATACGAGTATATACTGCTCCCTACCAGCAAGGTCTGCGCAAGCCTAAGCTTAGTTATAGCCGTTTTATTAGGCGTGAAAACAATTAATATTCAATAAAATAACACGTTATGCAATAAGGAATTACAATCAGCACGGTGATTCTTTACCTTCTATTGAATATAAATTTTTTTCACATCTATTTTCTAGAAATACAAATTAAATTATAATTAAAAAACTATTAATCGAATATATATGTATGATACAGTAAAATTTTTAGAATAATAATTTTTAAAAAATGGTTACTTTGAAAATTTTCTAAATGAATAGTTATTTTTTTTTTTATGTCAAGAATGAAAATAAAAATTGTAATTTTCTTCAAATCGATGCCCCCCTTGAAAACAAACCGATGAAAAAAAAAAAATTGAAAAAATTGAATATTGATAGCGCTAGAAGAATCTGTCGAACATGGTGGGGCTCACTGTAATATTGTAAAATAATTTACCTGTTTTCCCGTTTTTCCTCCGTTTTTCGGGTTTTCACATTAGATGAGAAAATTGAAAAATTATCTCCCTAAAGTATTCCTCCCCAGTGAGATTTACTATCACATGTAAAAACGCTAATAGTACACTTTATATTTTTAACAATGTTAATAATTTCTTCGGGAATCGTCGATCATAATAATCCTTATAATTTATGACTATGCCAGTCTTACTTTATTGCTTTCGTAATTTTTATTTGCGCACTGCACCTCCGATAGTAGTACTTGTTGGGCTCGTTGTGATTTGACGCTGGCGGTTATATAGGTAAACATTTTTTTTTATGCTTAATTTATTTATGTTTATCGTTGGTTTTACAGTGACGTTTATTTATTTATGTATTAATTTTATAATTTTATAATATTATCGTTAAAAATACTGGGCATTGCGCAAATAAATCAATTTCGTTGAAAATCTATGATAAAAAAAAAAAAAAAGCATCAAATCTTACTGGACTTGTCGTGATACACAAAAAAGATTAACTGTTTTTGTATTATTCCGCCGTAATTTATTTATTGTTGATCGTTTACCTCATAGTATTCTCTGTCGCTCTCATCACTACTTGTATCTTTTTAAAGTGATTGTAGTATGTGCTCACGTCGTTTTTATCGACGAGACATCATCTTTTTTTACTTTAGTTAAATTTGTCCACAACATCCCTGCATAAACGATGCCAGATTCATTTCGATTGGTTAAAGTTTCGACTTGTTGGCTTGATTGTTGGTAATTTCACTATACAAAATAATATTAACTATTAAATAGACCACGACCGATAAAATAGAATGTAAGTAATAAATTATTACGTTTCGTGCCTTTAAGAGGACGCCACACCGGTATCTACTGTCCTCGGACATAGAAAATTCGCGTTCATTAGGACACATTTCATATTTTCATGCCATTAGTTTTAATATTAAAGTAAATTCATCTATGGCAAACTTAGAAGTTAGAAGATTATCTGTGTTCTAGCGTTGATGTTGATTCGATATTTTAATTTCTAAGTCAGATATAATCATTTTTGAATCGTGATATTTACCATACTCGTATCCAGTGATGTATTTAGGGGAGTGCTAAAGAAGGCGATCGCCCCAGGCGTCATTTTTTAGGGGTGACATCAGATTTTTACTTACCCATCTTCTGTTAATGAACAATAAGATAAATTTGCTAATATTTTTTTTTTTTTTATCATATTTAATATTCTAAGATTGTAACACCTTACACCACAGCTATAGAGTATAAACAAAATTTATAGATAATAGAGCTAACTATATAATATTATCTTTAACTGTGTCTGAGCCACGATCAAAGATATACAGGTTGGAAATCGAGCTGTAATAAAGTGAAGCACAAACCTTCTGAAAAAGTCAGCTGTTCCAATTAATCACTAGCGCCCGTTAATTCCCAATGTTAAAAATTATTACTTGTTATTATCATAAAACAGTATTAAACAATTTCATTATATACGATAAAAAGAAAATGTATTAATATTTACATAATTTAAAAATGTACGAACATGAAACAACTTATGACTATTTTTTGGTGGCTGTGTGTTTGAAAATGTATTTCAGGTATGACTGATGAAATGTAACAGTGAGAGCTGCAGTAACAATGATCGGTGTGTATGTATTCTACACTCTAGACAAATATAAATTATTACATACAATGTTAATATCTATATTTTTATATTATATTGATACATTAAAATAATTCAAAACAAAACCTTTCTCTTTTTTAACAAATTTAATCAATTGTTTTTGGAATCATTTATATTGTTGACGCAATAAGTAGCTTCTGTCTCCAATAGAGTATACAATTATTTATTCAATTGATTTCAATGGGGTGACTAAAATACTGTATAATATGAAAATATATGTATTATATAAACAATTCTATGTGTTTGTTATAAAGTTGAACGTGTTGTTGGAATAACACCTACACGCAATTATGGTCTTCTCAAACAAATCTATGAAAAACAGTTATTACTGTAATAACAGTTTTTACTAGTTATTATCGCAATCGTATAGATAATTAAATAATGTAAGTATATTTTTAACTGTGGTAATTAGTTGTCACTAATTCTTTATAATAAATATTAAATATGCAAGCTGTAACAGAAAGAGTTGAAAAATGAAATAACTTTTGTCAAATCAATATTTTATTAATTTTATAAATTATTTATAGACACTCGCATTATACCATACATACGATATTCTTTATATTTATTTGTCAGGTCTTTAAACAGTTTTAAACTCGTTATATAAATTTAATAATAGAAAATATCATGGATATTAAAATGCTTATGGTAAATAAATATAATTTAACCATTACTTAATGAGTATTAATTTATTCCAGAGCCCAAGACCTACTTGGTAATAATATATTCCGGTTTAAAATGCTTTTCATGAACCTTGGAATTATTTTTTAAGTTTACACCCAATGGTGTTTTCCATAATTGCAACTCATGTTTGGGTACACCAAAAGTACTGAAACTATCCGTCTTAGTACAATGCGGAACACAACAATTCTTGTTCATTTCAAAAATAAAAAAAAACGCATATTCAAAAACGACTATTTTTTGTAGCAAAATATAAACTAGACGAAATAGGAAATTTCAATAACATAATTATCACGTGTATAATGTATCTTGAAAACAATATTATACTTATGTACTATAATATATAAATAAAGATTGTAATTAATATTAATAATTATATAACAGTATTAATAATTTGTGAATATTATTCATCATAAAAGGCATGTTGACTAATATTGCACAAGATAATTAATATATATTATATATATATATTAAATACACATATATAATCGTTAGCGATTAGTTGGAACAGTTGATTTTTTTCAGAGGATTTCGGTTTCAAGATTTGGAATTGTTTACATCGGTCGATTCTTAATCTGTATATTTTTAATTGTGCTTATAACCAACGATAAACTATAACGATATAAACATTTTTCTGAGCGAATTCCGGTAACACGTGTTTTGAAAGGCCGTATTATTTACAATTTTCTTCAAAATTCAATTTTAAAACTTATAAAATAATAAAAAAAAAAATAATAAATTAAACTAATTTTTTTTTTTTGACAATTAAGTACGACTTATAATGAACTTATATATCAAATTTTTAATCTTTTTTGATCAATATTTCAAATCTCTACGAATATTTTAAACTTAAAAAAAAAAATAATTAAAAATAATAATCGAATTATTTTCTTAAATTTTCCAGTTCTTTCTACGTATTTTTCGGTTTTGCTCAATTATTAAAAAAAACTACGAAGAAAATAAAAAAAATGACTTTTTTAGTCACCAACTAGATTAAAAATTCAACAAAAAGATCTTTTGACGTTTTTTTATTGGATCAATATTTCTAGTAAAAATTATAATCCGTACAAATTTAAAATAATGAAATCGTTGTGTCATAATTTGAAATAGTCGCATATTTCGCTTTTTCTTAATTATTATAAAAAATAATTTAAATATCGAAAAATGATTTTCTGTTAGTGGCTATGAATTAAAAGGAACAAAATCGAGCTCTTGTCTTTTTTGTATTGGAGTAATAATTTTGGTAGAAATTATAAGTTGAATATATTGAAATAATTAAACCGAGACGCTACGTTGCCGTAAATATTATTTTTTGGTTCGTTTCAATTGTTAAAAAAAGTAATTTAGATATCAAAAAACAACGTACTCCATCAGTAGCAAAATATTAATAGAAAAAAAATCGTTCACTTGTTATTTTTCGATTGAAGTAATATTTTTGTTAGAAAACTTAAATATAACACAATGAAAATAATTAAATGGTACGCCATAAATATTTGCCGTTTTAACTATAATTTTCTTTTGGAAGTTTCTCAATTATTTCAAAAACCCATCAGAAAATTAAAAATTAACTCCCAAATACATCAACTAGAGAAAATTACCTTTTAGAAAAGTTGCTATAGTTTATACTTCGGAGCAACTTTCCTGGTAGAAAAGTTGTTCAGAGTCAGAATAAAAAACACAAATCATAGTAAAACCAATAGATCCCTCGCAAAACTTCGAATTTAAAAAAAAAGAGCTGATACTACTGGGGATGGGAGTGGCCACTGTTGTAGGTGAGAAATTGGGAAGGTGGGATATATAAGATTATTTAATTTATATCTGTAAGCAACGATAAACCATTGCTTGACGAAAGAAGATTCCGAGCACAGTTCGGTAATACATAATTTGAAGTGCCATAATATTTTTTGCGATTTTCGTTTAAATTTAATTTCAAAACGCTTTAAAAAAAAAAGTATTTAAATATTATATGATATGTAATATTTTAAATTCTGAGTACAGCAAAGAAGCTTTTTTTTAAGGTACTTTAGGGAGGTCATTTTTCGATTTTCTCAGGAGTTTGCCAGGCAAATATGGAAAACCGGGATAAAACACGGGAAAACCGGGAAAAACGTAGGAAAATTGGGAAAATTGGTACGACATTAAACAAATATAATTAAAGAAAATATATTTAGCCTATTTAATTATTTTACTATAAAATGACATACATATTGTTGACAAAGGATCACTATTAACTGAACTCTGCTCAGAATCGTTTTTTCGTAAGCAATAGTTTATCGTTGCTTACAGGTATACATTAAATTATCTATAACAGTGGATGTACCTACCCGTCCCTATTATCCTAGGACGTCTTTTTTTATATTTTGGTTTGTACATGGTTTGGTATGTACTATTTAATATTTATATCACTATACAATTGTTTGTCGTATATACAAACAAAAATGTTTGTTTTGGAATATTATTTTGTTTTTCAAAGCTCGGGAAATATAAACACAAGGTTATAAATATAGGTTGGTAACAAAATATTTTATAAATTTACAGTATAATGTTCTGCGTGCAATATTGCGGTAAAATAATAACAATATTATTACAATATACTATTTTAGAATATATTTTTATACAGTGAATATTTTTAAATTTATATTTGCTTTCATATACCCACATAATGTTGTACAGTTGACAGTCATGATGTTGTAAGATGAAATAATTTTTGTGTTTTAAAATGTTATGCCCTGTATTTTAATGATTAATAATGTTGTAGGTATAACAAACCATACCAAATTTTAAATATTATACACAACGCAATGAAAAAAATCAAAAAATTTATCTCTGAAGCCAAAATGAAACATAATAATTTAAAAAAGCTGTTATAGGATAATGGGACAGCCACTATGAAAGTAGTTGGGAAATTGGGAAGGTAGGATATAGAAGAGAATTTAATGTCTATCTATAAGCAAAGAACCATTGCTAACGAAAAAACTATTATAAGCGGAATCTAGTTGATAGTGATGCTTTGTTAACAATACACATGTCATATTATGATAAAATAATTAAACAAGCATTTTATATTTTCTTTAGTAATATTTGTTTAATATTGATTCGTTTTACCCGGGTTTTTCATATTCGTTTTTTCATAATCGAAAAATGACCTTTTTAAAGTACCTTCCCTGTCAGATTTCTTTCAGAAAATGGTATACACTTAAAAATCGGATTAAGATCTTTGGTCGAAAATTCGTTCACAGAAAAAAAAAAAAAACATCTTTATAAAACCAATAAACTCAGAATCTAAAACGAGAAAATCGGTACAATATCAAATAAATATTATTAAAGAAAATACGTAATGCATATTATGTAATTATTTTATTGTAATATGACATATATGGTATATTGTTGACAAGCATCACTATTAACTGAACTCCGCTCTGAATCGTATTTCTGTTAGAAATGCTTTATCGTTGCTTAAAGATATGCATTAAATTTCCACTCTATTACCTTACACAACTTTTGCCTACACAGCTGATTATTATTAACTAGATCTATCGGAAACAAAATTTAATGACCACAGCACCATCAAAAAAATAATTATTTATTATTATTTACAATTTATATATTATTAAATACGATTTTTTCTTTTTTGTTAAAGATTTAAATATTGTTATTCCAGAATTCAGCACAATATCTACAGTGTAATTTATTATTCTATTGTGTCTAATATACCAGTCCAATTATATGTTATTCTTTATGTATTCGCCAGTACCAGCACGTAAATGCATATTTTTTATTATAATTATTTGTAATCATGTATTAAGGCATTTTGTTTCATAAATAAACATACCTTTAAATACTTAATACCATGTGTGTTAAATTACTAAAAGAAATGTAGTAGATTTTTGTTATATTTAGTGTTCACTTTTTAGCTATACGTTTTGCAACCTTTACGTTTAGTTTATAAACCAATCCTCTCACCAAAAGTATGTAGTATTCAATCATCTATTTTAAGAATAAAATAATTATATTTGTATTCTTAACGTAGTTAAAATTACAAGATATATTGTATGCTTATAGATTGTGGTTTTAGCAATAACATAAAAAAATTACTCAAAATATATATACCTAACCGTAATACCTAAATATTTATTCAAGTAAAATTGTAACTATATTATAATAACATTTACCATATTTAACATATAATGTTTCACGGTTAACGAAGTTCACGTTTGGGAATTTTATTTTTCATCCAACTAACTTTTTTTTTCACATTAGTGTTAATTTAAAATTATTGAAAATGTTTACTCAATACAAATTATAATTATGGAATATGTTATTTATTTAATTGTCAATTATTTATAATAGTTTATTTTAAGATATTAAAAGTAGGTACCGTAACATTCCATTATGTGAATTACATAAATGGACAATGAGTTGAAAACATTAAGGATCGCTGATTACTAAAAGAACAGGCAAAACCATCCCCGTATTTGTAATTACTAATTTGTAAGCAATGTAGGTATCGGTGCAAAAGAATTTGGCCAGTGCATTTTTAAATTTAATTTGACCCTCGAAAATGTCTGTGGATACCTATACCCATGATTGTAAAATATACACTTTTACGTAGCTACTTAATATATTCGAATAGAAATATAATTAAATTGCATTTATAATGTGTTCAAACATTTTAGGATTTAATTACACGGTTGAAACAAAAAAGTAAACTACTGCATTACCCTGGAAGGATATTACAATATTTACATGAACGGGCAGCTAGTATTACATAATATTATTATAATTTGCAGTATTGCGTTAACGGTCAACGTTTGTATAAAATATTACAGTATTAATATTAAATTTTATTTTTTAAAATAATTATTGTGTCATTTAATATTAAAATAATTATGACTCACCACAAACAAAATTCTGTCTAGGTTTTAGGTTTGAGCATTAGTCTAACTATGACCCACTATCACTAACAATTTTAACTTGAAAATATTTATTCGCAACCCTCAACCACCACCGCAACCACAACTTCATATTTTAAGATTTATGATTAAAACCGAAACCTCACTACATTTGTTTTGAAATACAAAACAAAAACGAAACCAAAAAAAAGCAATAAACGTTATAATACTTGATTTAAAACGGGAACCAATTCAGTGTTACCCATGTAAGCGAAAACCTTGTAGCTGGTTTAAGGACACCGGCATAATTTATATTTTATCTTGACTTACTAGGGCCGGATCTAGGGGGAGGAGAAGGCGGGGATTAAATTCCGGGCGGATAGTTTTCCAGGGTAGATGTTTTCAAGATTTCATAATCTCTGATCAAATTGTAAATGGAATTTAAAATATGTCATAAGTATAAAATAATATTTAAAAAAAAATGTATTTTTGACATTACTTATGATTTCGAATAATGGCTACATAATAATAATATGTTTTTTATTTTTAACCATAATAGCATCGATTTAATATGCACTGATAGGTACGCAACTTATAGGTATACATCAAATTATCTATAACAGTGGCTGCACCCGTCTTCATTTTTTAATATTGCTATTGAATTAAACATGATGGTCAATGGTAATTTGGCAATTGGATACAGGTTTTTCATATGTCGGCTTTGGAAATCACTATTACAGACGACAGTGTGATAGGTATACGAATACGAATATCCTTCCAATTTTATTCAGACTTAGGAAGTTAGGACTGACAATTAAGTGGTTCAAATGTATTTGTTTGTTTTTATGTTTTTGTAAAAAAAGTAATTTAATTTTTAATTTAATAGGTACAGTCACTATTATACTATTAAATTATATAAAATATAAATTTTAATTAAATATATAGTTAAATTTGATGTGGCTTATTGCGGATGCATAAACACTTCACATAGGTAATCATAATACGGTATTTTTGTTTAAATATTTTTCTAACTTTTGCTAGTCGTTAAGTTTATCGAAAAATCAATACACATTGATTAATGGTCTAATTTAATTTTAAATAAAATACTATGCGATTGTTTTCAATACGTCCGGGGAGTTTTATTTTTAAAATTTTGAATTTAAAAAAAAAAATAACAACATTTAAAATTATTATTATTATTATTTATAGTTTATTTATTTGTCAATAAACAAACATTTGAACATATTTGTTTAAAATGTAAAAGGTATATTAGACACGCGTTTATAAATAATTCATTTGTTTTTTTTACTTGTTAGAATAATATTTTTAAATTCTTTTGTAATAACTAAAAACGAACATATTATGGTAAATAACATAACTAGCAAATGTTTATATAATTATGGTTTTTGCATCTACGGCATACTTTAGGTATACTGGTGAATTATTTTAGCTAGTGAAGTGGAGACACGAGACGAGCACAGACATAATATAATATTTGGTTCGCGTTTTAATTAATAATATAAACGGTATTTTACCATCATTGATATTACACATTATTTGAATAATTATTTACTATCAATATTTTCACTTGTATACATGCGTGCTTGTATATCCGATTTTCTGCAGCCCACAAGTGTGGATTAAATCATCATAAAATCATCCTGCAGGTGAAAGTCATAATATGTATTATTATATCTATTTAGTTCTACGATTATTTATCTTTAATAATATTAGTTTCAACGGGTAATCATATAATATACAAAGTGACTAATCTAAGCAACTCATTATCTGGAAGATTTAATATTTTTTTATTTTTTTAGAAATTATGTTAAATAAGCATTTCTAAAACGTTCTGTACATTTTTATTATTTTTTGTTAATTTGTCCAATTTTTTGGCAATGAGTATCTTATCGAAGATTCTTCACCCTGTAGATCAGTTACCAGTGGTGGTTTTGTCTTAAAGGTATGCCAGTATGCAAAAGAGAAAAAAAAGACCCTCTTTACCTTTTAGTTTTAAATAATGATGTAATATTTATATAAAATATAGGTACAATAATGTACATAATACCTATATTCAAATTTAAAATAAGTATCACTATCCTAAAATAATAAAATATTATGTACATCAATAGCATTAAATTTTATTGAAACTTAAATTACATATAAAATAAAAGTTGAGTAAAATTGTATATTTTGATATACCTAATAAAAAATTATAATAACGACATCAGGTTGAACACCTTAAAGACGTAAAGTAGTGAAAAATCTTTTTACTTTTTGTAAATTATAGTATATAATATTATAAATAAAATCGTATTTACCTGTATAATTTTGACTTCTTTGAAACCGATAGTAATAATGTCCATCACTCTATTTAAAGGCTTGTGGTATTTGCACACATCACACACGTGTCTGACTTGCTACTATCTGTTGCTCACTATATTTATGATAATATAATCACTAGGTAATAAATAAGTCTTGAAACATGAATTATTATTTAAACAAGTATCAAAACTCATAAAATCAGGACCGGATATTAACATTTTAACACCTAGGGAAAATGAAAAAATTACGCCCATTTCAGGGAAATGACCAGTTAGTATTTTTTTCACGAGAAATCAAGCACACTTACACAATAGTGTTGCCAATTATTTAGAAAACTACTAGTTATATACAGTTATATATAGTACCTATTGTTAATTTTGTTTTTACTAAATACATTAGTGCTTTATCAGTACATATTAAATCAATGCTATTACGGTTAAAAATAAAATAACATGTAGCCATTATTCAAAACCATAAGAAATATCAAAAATAAATATCATTTAAAATATTATTTTGTTCTTATGACATATTTTAAATTCCATTTTCAATTTAATCAGTTTATGAAATCTTGAAAAAATACGTCCTGGAAAATTATACTCCTCAGGGATAAATTCCCGTCTTCCCTCCCCCTAGATCTGGTCCTACATAAAATTATAATATTTTAAAATCCAAACAATAAGCCTTATGGCTTAGGTTTATACACTTGCGGTTTGATTAATCCTTCTATTGATATAAGTGAATAAATTTCGTAAAATTTAACAACTGTTATAATCAGCTGCAACAAAAATATACGGATTATAAGATAAATAATATTACTATCGCATATTTTTTATTTTTAAAGTTCAGAGAAAAACAACAAACGGACATACTTCTCACGATGGGAGAGCCACTGTTGTAGGTGAGAAGTTGGTAAGGTAGAGGGGAAATTTAATTTATATCTGTACGCCGCGTTTAACCATTGTTAACGAAAAATGATTCTGAGCGGAATTCGGTTATACGTGTTTTGAAAGGTCGTAATATTTACGATTTAAAAATAATACATTTCATATATTTTCCAATTTTTTCCCTGTTCTTTCCCATTTGTTATGAAAACCCCTGAGAAAATCAAAATTTAACCATTTTAAAATACCACCTTAGTCAAATATGCTTTCAGAAAAAGTACTACATTTGAAAATAGGAGCAAAATTTCTGGTAGAATAGTTGTTCGCAGAAAAAAAAAATAACCTTGTAAAACTAATACATTCTTAGCTCCGATTAGAATTTAAAACAGAATTTAATTATCCTTATTATTTTAGGAGATATTGCAATTATTATGTCTTCGTGAGTTACCCTGTGTGACTAATTACTATATAAGAAACAACATACTTAATTATAATCTTTCAAGTTTCAGAACAAACTTTTGTTAGTTTTCGAAGAAAATGACCATTTCTTTATGGATAAAACTGGAACTTGACCGTTTTCAAGTTATAGCTTTAATTTAAAATGCTTATAACATTATCAAATAGATTAAAAACAGTTGCATAAATATGATATTTGAAAATTAAACTTTAAATAGTAATATTACTATCGAATGATTTCATATTTTAATAATATCACTAGACATGTGAAGTCGAGTTGATCAATAGAATTCTGGATATAGGAATAAAGAATAATATAATTTCTATTATAATATGTTCCATACAAATTTTGAAATGGTCTGCTACATATTGTTTTATGATATCATTATATATTTTAATAAGAATTTATAAGTAGCTAGGTACTTGCGATGAATATTTATTTGCTTACTTACGCCGTGAAAATGCATAATAATATATATTATAATATAATATTATTACTACCTACCTATATGCAAAATTATTCTAATAATTCAACGAAGGTTAAACTATGTTGACGTTGTCTATGTTAAAATATATTAAAATAATGTTTCCGTGGAATTTAATCTAATATCAAACTGAGCTAATTAATCTCTAGATATATTATATCAGCCACCATGATACTTGATAATTTTCAATTACCTAATATTAGGTAGGTACGTTTGTTTAAGTGGTTATAATATTACCTATTTTATTATAATTATTAATGTGTTGTTTCTGTCTGGCGTTAGCACGATATAGTAAAATTACATTTCTTAGAACTTAAATTGTGGCGTTTGGATTAAAATTGAAGTTTAATCAAAAATAACAAAGTTTCAATAAGAATTAAAAAATGCAATACCTAACATGGCTAACATTAACGTCACATCTTTTAATTTTGCCATTTATGTTTAAACTTTAGTTTCAACATAAACTCTACAATATACGACCTATATAATTACAAGTATAAGAAAAAAAGCGTTGCAGACAGATAGACGAATTAAACAGGCACATTATTTTCGGAACCGAACACTTGACAAAATTAATAAAAAAATATGTATCAAAAGAAATTTTATAAGAAACGAAGCCTATTGAAAAAATAAATCAAATGTCTGTAGGTGTGCATTTTTATTATATAAAACTTAAACATTTATGTTATCGTTTTTTTTAGCATTACGAGCCATGCTAACTTAGCAACCAAAATTAATTCTTTCCATTGACATTTAAAATTATGTAATCCTGATTCACATTCCACTTGAATTTCTTTTTTTAACACTGCCTGTCCTTCCATTTTCTTCTCAACTTTTCCCCAAATTTTTTTCCTATTACCATGGTCCATGTCCAACATTATTTTCATGAGACTTCCATCATCCACCATACGTGGCCGGTTCTTATTCTAGATTTGTCTTCTGATTAACTGGATCACATTCTTTCTTTTGCGAGTATAAATCCGGTTAGACTATCTGTGAGTCAGTTCTAAAATGTCTGATAACTAAGTTTTGTTCGACATTATTGAATGTAGGGGCCCATATATTTCCCAGAGTACCAGGGTCGTAAAAACATGGGGTAGGAGGTTTACCCCGCCTTCGTGCAACATGGAAAGTATCCAAATATATATATACAAACATTTAAAATATTATTTACCAATATATTTTAGAGTTTTTTTTTATTTCAAATGTGTTAATGATAATATAAATATTAAAAAGTAAATAGTGATCACGATAGAATATCTATTAATCCGTGATAGCAATTGACACAATGAATATTATCTAATTATTAAAATAACTATAAATTGATGTTAAATCGTTAACCATAATTAATAATATAAGAATCTATGGTCTATGGTAATTGGTAATAATAGTAAGGTCTTTCATATTCCGTCTATGACAGACGACAATGTGATAGGTAGTAACAGATTTTTGTGATAAAATAAGAATTTTGTAAAATAGGCCTAATATTGCAATATGTATTAAATAGAACATTGTATAGAATGTCCTGAAATTGAGTACCATTCCAGTCAAATTTCTTTTCAGAAAAATTGCTATACTTGAAAACTGGAAAAAGCATTTTGGCAGAAAAGTTGTTCACGGTTAAACAAAAAAAATAAACCTCATTATTTAGTGTTAACTCCCTCCCCCCTATTAAACTCTTGTTTACGGCACTGCTAAGTACTTTCTTCCTGAATAGTCCAATAGTTTTTATTCATTGTTTCACAAAACAAACATTTAAATTAGGTATCTAAATATTATTACAAAACAATTGTTCCCCCGAATTAGAAAAAAAAACCGTGAAGATATGTTTTAATGTCATTTAAATATTTATAACGACCGTCTATACTGAAATTATCACTGTCGGATTGCTAGTGATATTAATTTTGAATATTTCGATTATAATCACTTTTGTTTTTTAATCTAATCGAGTGGTCTTCACCTTGATTCGACAAAGATCAACGAACGTTTTATATTATACGAGAATGAGGTGTATATCCTATTAGAAAATTCCAAAATATTCGAAAACCAGTTTTTGTATGAAATAATGACGTCCGTCGCTGCATCTTTAGCCATCATAATAATAATAATACATTATAATACAACGCATTCGAAAAAAAAAAATAATCATAATAAATACTTGCACCACTCGAGGTCATACTTGTACGTTTTTTTCCAATCAAATTTTATTGGATTTTCTGTACAAGACGCGACGTTACAAACATAATATTATGTATTACCATAGACGGTTTTAATAATTTCACAATGTTGTAGACGTGACTTTTGAATGGTCCTTATTATTATTAAATTGCCAAAGTTTAGAAAAACTAAATTAATAATTTATGCGGCCAGTGGCGTAATAATCGTCTGTGGATCTACTACGTCATCCTACTATGTGCAGTGTACACGGATCGGTAACTATGCATATTGCATGTAGGTTCCTCCTAACTCGAGGAACGCAGAAGTGTAAATTTATATTTTCGAAACGTTTTTTATTTAATTTGGTGTAGGTAGGTACTCCAATAATATTTTATTACCAAACGATACAATTCCGGCGCTGTTTATTATGTAAAGTGATACGCAAAATATATTCTTATAATCCATAGCGGGTCCTAAATACATTTTGATGGTTATACATTTAGTATTAACGAATCATAAAAAATCTATAATTAATTTGCTTCGCATCTTCCGCGTTGCAGTTTGCGAAATTTATACTCGAACAACGGAATTCCGGGAACGGCAGTGTAATGCATTGGTTTTAATGTAAACATGTTCACGTTAACAATACGTATGCGATTAATTAAATTATTTATTATATCATACAAGTTACTATTACAAAATTATGAAGACGATGACATTTGTTTGGACTTATACCTATACCAGCAGCAATACCGATTGGTTTCCGTGTAGGATAAGAAAGAATATTAGCACGACAGAAACCATAAATAAATTGTGGGTTTGAATTTTAATTTATGAAAACTGGTGTTTATAACCAAAAGAAAAGTCCACAGTTTTGGTTAACCGTCACATAATATAGAGGGTTTGTTTGAAATAGAACCGACTTAATTTTAATTTTTACATCTCTGCGTTAATATCGTTAAAATCAAATTTTCCTACAATAAGTCTAATTCCATTCGAGAAATACCAAGGAAGCATTTTTTGTAGAATTTTGGATCTAGTTCGTGCATGCCTTTCAAAACATGTACGAGTATAATCGAATTTCATTTATAATCGTTTTTCGTTAGAAATTATTTATTGTTGCTTACAGATATAAATTAAATAATTGAATGTATCTACCTTTTACAGTTTTCCACCTGCCATAGATACTTATATAGATATTAGTTAAAAATATTACGGGCTTTTTTTTTTTTTTTGGTGAACAACTTTCCTACCAGCAATTTTGCTCATATTTACAATAATAGCACTTTTTCTGAAAGGAAATCGAATTGGGGAGGTAGTTACTTTAGACAGATCACTTTCGATTTTCTCAAGAGTTTTCCCAGCAAATTGGAAAATCCTGAGAAAACCGGGAAAATAAACGAAATGTAGATATTAGTTGAAAAAAATATTACAGCCCTTTTTTATTTTGTGAACAATAATTTTACCAGCAAAAAAAAAAAAAAAAAAAATTGGCACGGGCAATGCCGGGCGCGGAACAGCTAGTATAAATAATACATTTTAATATTAGTTGTTGTTTGAAAATCAAAAGTGTGTAATGGTTTTACTCCCTAAATTAAGGGTCACAAAAAATACCGGTAATAAATCTTATTCTCGCTAATTTTTGACACTACTATCGGCAATGGTAAGGTCAAATCAGTTCAAACTCGGGAATTAGAGTTGTTTTATAGACGGACTGAATTGATTAAATTTTGGTTGAATTATAATATGAATCTTGTTGCGAAAGGAGACTGTTTGTTGAGTTTTGCACTGAGGGAAAATTTGACTCGTGACGAGCTCTGCTGCTCACGGGTATATTGATTATTCTCAAAGTGTATCTACATTTAAAGTATTTTTAATATACGTTTTAGTTGAAAAAATGATAAACTTGTCATAAAATTGATTTAATATTCATTTATGTGTAGTAAAAATGTAATTATTTGCTTATAGAACATAAGTGTTCGAATGACCGTGAATCGAATTATATATGATCGGGAATGTTATTTTTAAAATTTTAGTTCTTCAACTTTAACACGTTTCGAAGGTTTTGCAAACGAATAGACGAGATTCTAACATGTCATTTTGGTCGGACTTAATAATAATCGCGGATGAAGTACTTCGATTCGCGAACGAGAAATTGTTTCGTCAGAAACGATTTAACAGATCGTGATAAGTTGAGTAAGTATTTGTAAATACTTGTTTATATTTATATTCATAGTTAATGTTTACTTAATTTATTATTTGCATTGGTAAAATTAGAATCATATCTAAGTTAATAGTGGCTCAATTCAGGAGGGGGAACGTTATAATCCCCCCCCCTCGAAATTAGACATTTTCTTATACGAATTGAGCGTATATACGTGTAGTTGCATAATTTGTACATTGCAATTACAGAAATTTCCTCGTAATTTTGAATATATTTAGAAGTTTACTATTGCAAAAACCTGCTCAGAAATTTGGTTGAAATCCATAAGTTTTCATAATTTGAGTATAGCATATATTATGTACATATGGACGGAACCGGGACATTATGCCGAGTGAAAATAATATCCTGAAAAAAATTTAAAAAAAATCCTATGATTGATCTTGACATTATCTGGATTTATGAATTTAATGACCTGTTCAGCATTTTCAAACGATGATGAAGAGATATAAATTTCGGTATAATAGTACGCATTTGTCCCGAGTCACGGGTGCAAATTCATTTTATTAGTCGTAATATCGTGTGTGTGTGTGTGCAAAACGGATTTTTAACATTTTCTACTAAAGTTTTTTAAGGTCAGAGTTCAGAGCCGCTGTACGCGGTGAAATTTAGGGTGTTTATATAAAACTGCAGTTTTTACAGTAAAATATAATATAACATATGTAATATTTACTTTGGTGTAAATTAACGTTGTGGGGTGCGTTCGAACAACGGAAATTCGGAAAAATATTCATATATTTCCGTATCACGCGTACCGTACAGTTCATTACTTAATTAACGTATGTTATACAGGCTAATTGTTTTATTACATGTACCAGCGGTTATATTAGATCTCATTTACAATGTTTTTAAAATCATAATACCTTTAATTCCGTATACCACATTAACGCATATTGACTTTTGATTAAAAAATCCGCGATTAATCGTCGCGTGGTTCGCGATAAGAAAATCGCGGCGAAGTGGCAATGATAAGAGGGAACTGCTTCAAATTTGATTAAATCCAGTGGGGGATATAGAATTAATTTTTTTTGGGAGGGGCGGTTTAACATTTTTCATATTAAATTTGAACAATGAACACTAAATATAAAATACAGATAAGATTATAATCAAGTATCAATATTATCAACTAATATAATATTTGATCTAACCGTAAGGACCGGGGCCCTCTCGGCCCCCCTTGAATCCGCCACTGATTAAATCCTTATCCATTAATTTCTCCCGAGTGTATAATAGCGTTTATGATTTCGGGACTGTACATAGAAAATAAGCTATTTATATTGATCATTTCATGGAGTCACTATATTAAATAAATACTTTATCAGGTCCATCATCCTGGCACTTGCACATTGGAGTTTTAAAACCAAACCAACGCCATTATTTAGTAAGAAATTTGTAATAATTTGTAACCTGTGTTTCAGAATTTGTAACCCCTCCCACACTCGAGAAAAACACTTTTTTATTTTCCGGGTGTTGGAACCACGGTCGTCCTGGCACCCGCATCGTTTTTTGGATTGATTTAGATACTTAATTTAGTATCTGAAGCCGTGGCTAAATGTAACTGAATACTATCAGGCGTTAGTCGTCGTTTGGTAGTTTGTTAAGGACAAAAACGACATAAAATATTAGTATACGCAGTGTCTTTGAGGTCTATTTACACACAGCAGTGACGTTACAGTACCGTGACAGTGTCTTAACCGTTCTGGGATTTCACCGGCCGTGATATTTAAAACGGTCAGTGTTTCATCCGTCATTCGCGTCGCGTCGTTTCACACGACCTTCACTTATACTCAATATCTAATGTACTCGTACTCGCCGTCATTGTAGCAAAGATGGCTATGGTTTCGGAAAGTTAATTATTAATGATTACTTTGGTTTTGGATGAATAATAAGAAAAAGACGATTATGGGTACATCCGGCATGGAAGAATAGATCAACAGAAGAGGAATGTTCCACTTTGTATAAAAAAAAAATAGACGATGGAACGAAGTTTTTTGAATATTTTAGAATGTCTGAAAATGCATTCAATAAATGTAGTGTCCGTGTATTTATGTGACAAATCATATAATACGGTATATTTCCGCACAAATTCAATAAGTTTCTCTTAAACTAAGGTTACAAATTACTATAAATTCCTTACTGAAAAATGGCGTTGGTTTGGTTTCAATCGGACAAGTTTAAGACGATGCGGGTGTCAGTATGACGTCGTTCCAGCACCCGAAAAATAAAAAAGTGTTGTTCTCGGGTTTGGGAGGGGTTATAAATTATAACAAATTCCTTATCAAATAATGGCGTTGGTTTGGTTTTAAAATTCCAAAGTGCGGGTGCCAGATGACGGACCTCACTTTATCATAAGAGTCAACACGCCGTCTGGTGGAATAACGCGGTGTCCAAATGATCAACGTTGTCACGTGGTTTTTCTCGGACTAGCTTTTTAGATTTACGCTTAGGGCACTAATTTTGTTGGAGCTATAACAGGTTTGGACCAATATAATTGTTTTATTTCGGATATTGATAGTTGTCAGAAAATCTGCAAGAGGCTATACAGTATTTCACAGTTGCAAACTGTTCACTTTCAAAATATTATAATACCATAATTATTTTGTAATACGATTTTTGTACATTATCGACTTTTATACGTCGAAATGTGACCTACCGATGTGATTTTTCCCATTTCCTCCTCTTTTCTTTATTTTCACCAGGTGTGTTTTTTCAACGACTAAAAAAGCTTTAGGTTTTAATTAACTACGAGTTTATTGGACGTGGTTAGGTTAGGTTAGGTTACGCGGCGATTTTTTTTTTTCAAAGTCTTAGCATTGCCGCAAAATCGCTGTGGCTACAATTCCTTAATAATCTGTCAACTAGGTAGACCTTGTTTCATTTTAAATTAATTAGTAATCATTTTATCGTTCGTATTTTTTAGACCGATAAGAACAATTTTATTGAAAGGGTAGCAATAAATGGCCCATTTTAAATTATTATTATTATACACCTGCGCGGCCACCGAAAACCAAAAACCCACCTTACTAACCCACACGTCTCGAGCGAGTGGACCAGCAACAGCTACGATAGTATAATAATACGAAAAATAATGACAATTCAACAATCGTCCGGAGACGACGCAACGGCCCGGTTGCGTCTTTCGGCCTTGGTCGCGTGAATCGAAAAGCTTTTTTTTTTCTTCTTCTACATTTGTTTGTTGTCTGTCAATATTGATAGAATACAGGTACACAGTATATACACACATAATGCGTGTACGAGTGGGTACTTGGGAAGAGTGTGCGTGGGGACCTCCACGAGGAAATAATAATACTGTGTTTGCTCTCTCGTGATTGCTGGGTATTACATAAAAAAAAAAAAAAAAAAAAAAAAAAAAAATAATAATAATAACAATATTATTTTAATACCTCGTCACAGCTACATAGGATTTTACCACTTGAATCCGGTAATCGTCGTGGTGGCGTATATATATTACGTACAACCGTTTGTAATTATAATATATGATTATTGTTCACGAGTGTTCCGCGATGTATTGTATTTTTGCATACTATAACATAAACACTCCCGCTATACATTATAATGCCCGTATAATATTGTAATATATCGCGCTGACAATAAATACTATTGTATGGCGTATTGGAGATTAAAATATTATTCGGGGGTATAGTACAATTTAATACGACGTTGTCCATGTCGGTTGTCTGGTGCAGTCTGCGTAATATAATAACGAGTGCCCATCATGCTATGGGATTTCCGGTCGAAATGCTCGCCGGAGCGTTGTGGCCAGTGGCGTTATTTCGATATCTAGTAGACTGCGGCAAACCCGCGGAATTCGCTGATTGGCGATTGGAAAGTTATTGCCGAAAAAAAAAAAAAAATGACATATTTTTACAATCGCTCGCTTATTGCCCTTTGCATTCAACAAGTATTGTAGATATTTTTACTTTTAAAGAAACTGATATCAACACTTATTTTTGAGGTGTTTATATTTTATGTTTTTACTTTTTTAAGTTAAATAAATCGTTCAATTTTTGGTCGGAAAAAAAGAAAATCGACAATTTGATCACGCATTACTTATCCGTGAGGGCGTGCAAACAAAAGGTATAAGAACAATTTTTCGACATTTTGGAAATTTACCCAGACTCAAAAGCATGCAGACAATCCGCCAAATGCATCTAACACATTTTCAAGAAGGCCTTGGGCCGTAGTCGCAATTTAAATTTTTGACTCTTGGAATATTTTTCGTGTGATATGACCAGTAAAATGTTTGTTTGAGTAAAAAACGTTAGGTTAGATGTTAAGGTCAAATTTTAAAATTTTCAGTTGGCAGTGGTTGATTATCGGGGGAAATTATATTTAGTTTTCATTTATATTTTTGTTTATACTGTTAAAATGTTTTGGTATTTTAAGCGCACCGGAATACAGTTGTTCGAGTTATATTATATTAGTATCGAATTCTATGTTTGAAACAAAAAAAAAAAACAAATGAAATAAAATCGGAATATTCGGACGATAATATTGCTAGAGACGTATACAAAGCGTCGGTCGTGAAAATAGAATATATAAGCGTCCGCAAGAATCAGAAACAGCGATGACTTGAGGAATACGAGAATATCGTGCGTTGAAATTGCCCCGCGTCTACATAATATAATAAGAGACGCTGAACTATACCATTTGAACGGAGAATGTGTTCGGTAACAGGTTTTAAAATAAAAAAAAAAAAGAAAGGGAAAGGAGAGAGAGAAAACCTATTTGCGTGCCTTCTATAATCGTGTGTATTGGGTAATATTTCGTGAAGGTCAACTCGTAATGTAAAACGGAATTTACTGATGCATCTCCGGTGCACCGGTTTTTCATATCCGAAAAGGGCCATTAGCATTATGCGTCAACAACACGCGCGAGACTATATAATAAAGAAGTTCGGTTTGGTCGAATATATTTATATATTTTTTTTTTTTGGTATCGAAACTGGTATGTTATTATCCGGGCTTAAATTTTAGTCCAAAAAAAAAAAAGAAAAAGTAGTTATAATAATATAATATGAGTACCATCTGAAAGCTAGCCCGTATACTATTATTGTTTCCTCCGCCCGACTAACTGCAGGAGAAATATTTTTATTATAATTATATATACCTACGATATTTAACGAGAAAAAATAAAACATACGCCACATTATGAAGTTATACGAACGTACTTGGGGAATAATAACTAATCGAATGTTAATATCAATTATGTTATCACTTTTCCTAACTCTTCTTCTAATTTGGCTATTGCCTTTTTTAAACTAAGATTAATAATTGATTTATTGTAACATTATGGTTTTTAATTCTCGTGTACAAGTACATCAAACGCCCGAGTTGTAATGAAAACTACAAACGAATCAATAATATTGAATGTTAGATACTTGTACCTACCTGTACTATATTTTGATATTGATACGTACAATTATTGAAACAAAACAGTACGCTGGACACAATTATTGCTTAAGGCAAAATCCACTTTTACTGATCTTAATAACAGAACCCGAATGGAAAGATACTGAATTGGATGTTTTTAGGATCTAAAAAAAAGATAAAAATATTCAAACGGAGGATCAGATTGAAAATTATGAGCAGCTGATTGGGAGAACTAGCGGTCGAGAACCTCAAGAAGAAGATAGAAAATTATAAAATCCTTAAGTTTAAAGTGATATTTTTTGATAGATACTATCATGATTAATATCATTGAAATGCACTTGGGAAATGGAACCCTAAATATTAGTATTAATCATTTAGTTTTCAGAAGATTGAGCTTGGTGTCATAGTGAAGCTATTTCGCATTTAATCTATCGATAATATTATAAATAAATACGATACATACTTTTGGTTTCCTATACGGTTTACAGGTTCAATATTTAATATTTAAACATCCTGTTTACAATAAACACATGTATGTTAGGTAAGCCATAAAAAAAAAAAATGTGATATAATTGATAATTGTTTGTGATATGAGCAAATAGTAATGCAAAACACTAGTCATTTGATTTAATACTTATAAACGATTAACGAGTGTTAATACATCGAGTGTTACATTATGATGCTTCCCCTTTGTATGATTTCCTTGAGTGTATATTTGTGTACAAATAACATACCTACTGTATAGTAAAATACAGTCGAATCTCATCAATCTGGACTAATTGGGGCTATAGATTGTCCGAATTAACGAAAGTCCGGATTAGACAAAATAACCAAAAACCGTGTATTTTTTTTTCATTTAAAATTGTACCGGTTTCAACAATTAAAACACACTGTGTATGTATTAAAAATTGAAGTATATGAATTATAATATAGGTAATTCATAAATAATCTCGATAACATGCATTCATGGGAAATTCGTAGATTTCATTTTCATTTTTATTTTGATCTGCGGCACAAACTGCATATAGTTTTCGTTCTTAAACGGTTGTCCGTAGTAGGCGCAGTCCAGTTTTATGGGGTCCGGATTAACGAGGTTCTATTGTATTAGTAAATTTCCGCGTATTTATACAAAACTATGAGGTTTTAATTAATCGTTTGGATACAATTTCAAAAGTTTTAAACGTTTCTTTAGGATTAGCTAGCAAATATTTTAAGTCTAAAACGTTTGAACGTGGAATAAACGATGCCACTGCCCTGTACCATTTTATCAGTTTTTAGAAGAAATCAGAGTGAATAATAATATGAGAAACATCATACTTACGTATAATGTAATATTACGATGTAACGATACTACGTATAATATGATAGAAGCCGAACAAAGGAAAACGTTTTGGCGGCAAAGAGCCTGAATAAGCTCACGCGAATTTGAAACACAGGAAACATTATCGCTATCTAAGAAAAAAAAAAAAAATGAATCCTAAAATGTAGATGTTTAATTTTCGTCGTCTATGTACGGGTACTCACACTTGAACTTTGGACATTGAATAAGAAAACCGTATACATTTTTTTTTATCGACTTTTGAGTTTCCTATAAGTGATACCACAACTGACACGGACAAAACAAATCGAATTCAACATGGTTGTCCCCGGTAACCTACATAAACATAAATATTAATTTAGTTTTTACGGTCACGGGCAACGTATTGTGATGGGGCGGCTCTGCTAGTATTTTTTTTTAGTAAAGTAACAATATTATTATTGTGCAATACGCTTAATAAGTATTTATGTAATGTGTGAAAAATCGATTTTTTTTTTTAATGTTTTTTAATTTTTTTTTAATAGCTAGATTATAGTTGTATTATTAAATTCGGAAGAATTCGTTATTTAACGCTGCCCGTATGTTAATTTTGTTATATATGTTGAAAGAACAAGTGGTTGGTTCTATAATTTCAGTAAAATTATGTGACTAGTTGTGCAGCATGCAAGTGTAACTGGTTATAACTTCTTTAAATCTGAACTTGAATTGTGCATACGATTTCCGAATACCGTTTCGTGAGTCGATTTACGAGTGATAAATCGTTTTAAAATTATTTTACATGCATATCAATCGTAATTTATTTGGATTTTTTTAACTTTATTTGATGCAATGTTTGAAAACATAATTAACTATTATATGATTTATTATTGATTTGTATAACAAAAAAACAATTCGAAAAAAACGACGGCGGTTAGGTACTCCAGTTTTTCCGACTTTTTTCTTGATTTTTTCCCATTATTAGGAAACATATGAGATGTTTAAAGAATACCATTCACAACGCAATGACTATGATAGATCCGATATGCTATAAGAAAGCTCCTATTTGTAGTTTTTGATTGGACCGAGTCTTCTGTTCGTAAAACTAGTTTACAGACGGGAGAAATACACAGTGAATACGAATTCAAATTATTTATAGAGGTTATTGGTTTTGTGAATACCAGTACTCTAATTGGGGAGGAGAAGGAGAGGTCAGGTGAACAGAGCTCTTCTACTATTATTTTGTTTTAATATAATCATTTCTATTGGGACGGTATGTCTGCTTTTGCAAATAATGATATTTTAAAAAAAAACACGTATTATCATCTCGGATACATTCAATATTGAAAACATTTGCTTACAATGTAATATTATAGTACCTACTAAATTCTAAAATAGTCAGTATAATACACTTCTCGTTCAGTTTGAAATAATTACCATTATTCTATTTTCTACATTGCACTTTGCCATGTGTAATAATAATAAAGTAAGTAATTTAACCAAAATCTAAACATCGTATTTTCATTTTTACGAAAAAAAAAAAAAAAAAAATAACAATTTAATAAAAATAAATGTCAACATATTTTGATACAAACAAATGGTAGTATAATACATAAAATAAATCATTATGAAAACAAAAACGTAGTCTGCAGGGGTATCATTGGACGCGGTTTTTTTTTTCTTTTTTAGATGATTAATTATTGGAACTATGTTGGAAAAGTGACGAAAGGTGGCTCCCCCACCGGTTAAGTTGAGTTTCATAAAATTTCAATGGATGCACAATTTTTCATTAAATCAAATTGTTTCTCTTTTTTTTTTATTTTTCCAATTCGAACACTGGTGGATACTGTCGGCTGAAGTTACGGTATTTAAACAATTTTCTAAAATATCGAAAGATACTTATTTATTATTAAACATTGAGTAAAAGCCGCACCGTCTTTTTTTTTTATTTGAAAATTGATATTTGACTTGCGTCATAAACGACGTGAAATATAAGTAAATACGTGCATATAGAAATATACGGTCACGAGAATTCGTGAATTGCAGTACGTATGTTTACATATAAAATTAGGTCCTAGGTGTTTGCCTACACTTAAATACCATTTCTTCGTCAAACACAAGACGTCGCATATTATTATCAGTGTCGGCGGTGGTGGGGCGGCGATATATCCGCGCGGACTCTGCTGGATCGCCGAAAAATACAATGAAAAATTATTATAGTCGGCGCAGAAGACGGCGAGAAGGCAACTGGCACAGTCCTCGAATAGGATTGTACTTCACGTGTTATATTATTTTTGGGTAAGTAATAGTCATTTTTATATTCTGCGACGTTTTCGGTGTTTTGTGACGCATATAATATTATAAAAGTTTAGAAGCTCTCGCAGAGTGATAAAAATAACGTAATATAGGTAAAGTCAGTGTTAATGATGGGATTATATTTTTTTTAAATAAATTTATAAGACTTTCGAAACGTTTTAAAAAGTGCAGACTAAATGCATTTCTAATTAAATAATATAATACGAATATTTTTTTAACTTCCTTGTAATTTTCTTAATAATGGTAAAAGGATGAAATAGTTGAGAAACCAGGAATTTTCATTACATTTTATTCAATATTGATTTTTGTTTTAAACGATTGGGTTTTAGATTTTAAGCGAAGTAAGGAATGTGTTAGTTTTATAATGATGTTTATTATTGTTATTTTTTTATTTATATGGGGAAATTTACTAAAATAATGTTTTTGTTATTTTTAATTTTGTTTTTTTGTTGTAATTAGACTTGAAATTTAAACAGAGATCTCATATTTGCCTTTTTTGGTAAAAATTTCAAAACATTTGAGCCATTTTTAAGCTATTTATAGACATTTTAATTTTGCGAGTTTTTGACATGATATTTATTCCGTAGTTATTTTGTGGTTACAATTATTAGACCAAATAGAAATGCCTGAACATTTAATAGGGCGTTCATTATAAGTTATACTTAGTAGGTAAGAAGAAAAAGTTGAGTTTAGTATTTTTTTTTTTATAAGAACTTTAATATCAAATTTTGACGAAAATCATAAATATTACGGTCTTTTAAAACATATGTAACCGAACTCCGCTCAAAATCATTTTTCATTAGCAATAATTAATCTTAGCATAAAAAAAATGCATTAAAGTCCCCTCTTCATCCTACCTTCTCAACTTCTCACCTACAACAGTGGCCCACCCATCGTGTGAAATATGTCCGTCTTTTTTAACTGTAGTTCAATAAGAAAGCACTTAACATTTTCACTGAAAACTCGTTTATGAACTTGTTTAGACTAATTATTTTAAATTTACGTGTCCCTTTTCACGTGCTTGATTATTTGAGTAATATAGGTATACTCTAGATCTTCTTTTTTCTATGCATGCTTCAAGATCTCTTTAGATTAATGTTTAAGCTTTTAAGTCTTTTAGAGAATGTCCTATCATAGGTATTAATTGGCATATTATCTAAATTATGTATAGAGAGTCTTATAATATTCGTTTCAACAAAATTGCATTTAAAAAAGTCTATGTTATAATTATACCCAACAAAAACAAATATATCATTATTTTGGTTCTTGTCTATATTTGAGAAGTTTTATCCTCCAATAACATAATTGAATTGACTCAGAAGATCATGCCAGGTATTAGTAGAATTATATAGATTTTTAGATTCTGAGTGAAACGAAGATAGTTTTACAAAGATGTTTATTTTTTTTTTATCTGTGCGCAACTTTTCTACCAAAAGTCTTGCTCCGATTTTTAAGTATAGCACCTTTTTTGAAAGAAAATCGGTGTGGTGAAATATTCTATGGAGGTAATTTTTTGGTTTTTTAAAGAATTTTCTCTTCAAATTTGGAAAACCGAAAAAAACTAGAGGAAAAACAGGAAAATATAAGAAATGTAGGTATTAGTTAAAATTTATTACGGCCTTCTTTTTACCTGTGAACAACTCTTCTATCAGCAATTTTGATTAGATTTATAATGAGAGCAATTTTTCTGAAAGGAAATTCGACTGGAAGGTACTTTAGAGAGGTCGTTTTTCGATTTTATCAGGAGTTTTCCTGAAGAAAACCGGGGAAAACTTGGAAAAACATGGAAAAACCAGGAAAACGTAGGAAAACTCGGAAAATTGGTACAATATTAAATAAATATATAAAGAAAATTTGTAAAGCCTATTTAATTATTTTACTATAATATGGCATATATATTGTTGAACAAGGATCACTATTAACTGAACTTTGCTCAAAATCGTTTTTTCCTTAGCAATGGTTTATTGTTGCTTACAGGTATACATTAAATTACCTAGTGGATGCACTCGTCTCCATTATCCTAGGACGTCTTTTTTACCATTTAGATCATTTTCTAAAAAGACAGTTAGTTCATTAAAATTAGAGTTCACATTCCTAATATTACAATACAGTATATTTATAAACTAAATATTTATATTGTTATTAATATGCAAAACATTTCGTAAAATATTTAAAATAGTTTGCTTTGTAACTAAAGCATTAAGGCATCTATTAATATTTAAAAAGTTGTCCATTTATAACTGTGAAAGAAAAATGAACAAATAAAAACAACAAGCATTTCCTTATAGTGAGTAGGTATCATCATCTAATCTAAGGAATTACTAATGTATTTTTGTAAGCAGTTTAAATAAATAAGTTAAAAAAATTTCAAATATAGGTTATAATTTACCCTAATTTCTAAATTAGGGTAAATTATAAAGAGTACTCGTCATTTAGTTTAAATGCTTTGGTATTTTAATTTTTTTTTACAACTTAACCTAATCGAACAAACCTATAGGTAAACACTTATCTTACTTTTTTTTTAAGGGGCTGATTTTCCAAATTTTCTCTGATTTCATAAAACTCAAAAATTATTTTATACTTTTAAATGGCCATCTTAATGCTTAACTTTTCCCACTAATCTTTTGTCCATTGTCTAGAGGGAAAGTCGCTTTTACGGACGAATTTTACTTTACGGGAACCTATTGAGATAACTCATTACAAATGTAATATTTGTCTTGTACTTGTTTTGTAACATTTATTATGCATTTACTGATAAATAACATTTTCTTGCGCACATTGAACTCCGATGTTTTGTTTGATGAAACTTTAAATTAGTTCTTTTTGACAAAAGACATATTATAAGGTTTAAGATTAGATCATTTAAAACGGAGCACAATGAAAATATGGGAGAAAATTTTCTTGGCATTTTAAAAAAAAATAAATAAAATAATAGTATTAATAATAATCGTCAAAATCAGACAATTTTATGAGGCATGAGAGGTATTACGTTTTTGAACCAAAAAACGCTCTGGCTCCGAGTTCCTTAGTTAATTAACTTTGTAATCTTGCATAGGTAATACGTCTTAAAAATAAATTGATTTCTTAATTTTTTTTTACTAAATTTTTTATAACACTATAGACTATAGAAAAATGATATAAAAAAAAAAACGAGGTTGGCAATATATTAATGTATTATTCCTATTCCCGTGAAAGTCATAAAAACAGTTGTGTCCCTTCCCTCTTTTAAATGGATATTAGATCGGCACAAAAGTATTATCATATAAAGGCGACCATTTAAATATTTGAAACATTTTGAAAAATCGGCACCGGATTCCCTGATAACATAATAAAGATATCAACTGATATAGTCAAACTTACAGTAGGTAACATAAACTATTCTTCTGGTATTTATAAAGATAAAAATATTAAAAAAAAAAAAAAAAAAACGAACGATTTTGTCTTCTAAATAGGACAATGTGCAAATACTTGCCCGATAAACAATGTCAAAAACGGAAAATGTTTTCGATATTTCGTTTTTATAATTATAAAAATATTTATGCACGTGACAACCGAATTTATAAAATTAATGTCGATAACGCTGTAACCGTACATTGTTACTATACAGTAACGAGTAACTGTTCTCTTTTAATTTTATAATAATACAGTTTTTTGATTTTCTCGTTTGTCGTGCCTCTATATTATAAAATATAATTATAAAAACAGGTGCGTTTCGTTCGGTATGCTTGCGATAATAATATAATTGCTACGGTGCTGAGTCGATGTAAAATGGACAAAATAACATTATTATTATTATTTTACCGCCATCTAAATATTGTGAAATCGGCATGTTCGCGAATTATGATAAAATATAATATTGAAATGTCGTCGTTGCAATATGCAATATTATTGTAATATTATATTCGTCGTCGACCGTTCTGACGGTTTTCTAGTTATTGTTTTTTTTTTTCGACGGTCGGTACTCTACACCACCGTCGTTTGACAAATTATACATTATTTCTCAAAAATGATTTTTAGTATAACACCCACCTCCGGTCCCTCTCCTCTTTCTCTCATCATACGCTACTGAAATCGATAAATGAGGTGTACAGTTTTAAAGGATATACGTTCACGAATCGTTAATATACAATAATTATTGCCCATTGTATTAGGCACTCCGTTTTTGGCATCCGTTAGTTTTCATAACATATTGTTCATACTTTAAAAATACGAAATATTCGCTCGTGGACCCACTAAATATAAAATATTGGTGGTATATTTAAGAGTAGAAGATCAGGAAGATACGAGTACATCTCTTTCTTGACCCTTGTTTTTTATTATTTCTTATTAATTAATACGAATTCTTATTTTTAGATTCTGAGTGGAGCGAAAAATGTATTGGTTTTACAATGATGTTTATTTTTTTTTTTTAGTGAACAATTTTGCTCCAATTTTCAATTATAGCACTTTTTCTGAAAGAAAATGTGGCAGAACTGGTACTATAAGAAGGTCATTTTATGATTTTCTAATTAGTTTTCGCTATAAATGGTAAAAACCGAGGAAAAACACGGAAAAACGTATGAAGAACGGGAAATGGGTACAATATTAAACAAATATTACTAAAAAAAATATATGATGCATATTATGTAATTATTTTACCATAATATGACATATATACTGATGACAAAGCAACAATATCAACCAAATTCCATTCAGAATCATTTTTCGTGAACAATGGTTCATCGTTGTTTACATATATACATTCAATTTCCCCTCTACTATACCTTTCCAACTTCTCACCTACAGCAGTGGCCCACCCACGTGTGAAGTAGGTCCGTCTTTTTACAGCTTTGGTACACGTTATACAATATAACATAATGTATGACCCAATGCTTGGAAATTTAATATCTCCTTCCTTGGCAAATCCTACAAACACCACTGTAAAATATTATAAATGACGCGATTGGGATTCATTTTCATAATATGGGAACGTTATGGGAGGTTATGCATTTTAAACAAATTTTCTCGACAGATATGTATTGCGGGGGTGGGAGAGGTTACGAGTCATATATCTATTAGTAAATGAACAAAGAGCTGGTGAAGTGTATCGACCCATAGTTTATGTCTGAAATCACAATCGAAATTGTGCAACTACGTCGCGTCATATAGCGCTAGATTTGTAGAAAAAAAAAATCGTACAATTCCCAAATCTCACCTAATTTTACGTCATTGAATTTATTGTTAACGTTAAAACATCCAAAGATTTCAAAACGTTCTGAAGATCAACTTATAATAAAAATAGAAACCCTCGGTGTAAGGAACATTTAATTTTGTATTGCAACCATTTACAACGTAATTACACCCTGTAGGTTAAAGGGATGGCCATTAAACATTTTCGAAAATCGTAGGCGTTCTAAATGGCCTTTTTACATTTACAAATTTCAATTGTTGATAAAATCGATATTATGAAGGGGTGTAGGGTGTATCTTCTTCAATTAGTATTGATCGTTTTTTTCCATCCATATCCTACCATCCTACTCTAGTACAATAAATGAAGGAGGCACGGATTCTGTGCCCCATCCCTTTGTTTACGGACACTGTTTAATGTGTAATTTGTAGACCTTCCCCATTGAGAAATCCTGGTTATTTCAGTGCACAATGAAATTTCGACTTTTGACTTATACGACTTAATGTAGATATTTTTATTTGTATATTTTCGTGGGCGGCTAAGAGAAATGAAGAAAAACTGTCGCTTATTATTCGGATTAAATCAACTGACGATGTTTTACAAACATTGAAATGGATTATATGCAATAATATCGGGGAAACAATACATTCGTAACATACAAGGCAATTTGTCGCGTCCCACTTTTTTTCGCGTACGTATTCGAATTTCGTATAGTGTTACGCGTCGTTCCGATTGTTTTTCGCAAAACCCGTCGGCCACGCTCATTATCGAGATAAATTTCACATGGTTAACAATATAATAATGTTCGATTTCTATAATATCATACCGAACGACCGACCGACCGACGGCGACGTCGCCGAAACCTTTTCAACCGGACACCGGAGCGCTAGAATAAAAAAAAAAAAATCGCTCGAGTTTCTTTTAATGCAGTTACGTCAATGACGCGGGCCACCGTTATCATTATAATATAAAATATAGTTTGTGGTATATATATATATATATATATATTATTATCGTATACGACCGTCACACGTTAATGTGATTATATCAGACTAATGTCGTATAGAAGAGTGTTTCATAACAAACGATATTGTACGTGTTATATTGTCTACAGTCTGTTGTTGTTTTTTTTTTTTTTATACAGTTTTTCTTTTGTAGCAGTGCGTTTTACGCAATATATTATCCTCCCGCCGCGTTTCGTGGTCGGGACAATCCAATTGGCTCCCGCATACAGGTAGTCAATATTTCACCCTTAAAGTGTACGGTCGAATTGGTTCTCAAAAATTCGCTGTTAGATTGGTTTCATACACCTTTCTTTTTTACAAATATATTGGTTACCAAAATGTTATTAATTATCTATTTGTAAGTTTAGTACGAAAATCGGTTTCCACGACCACGCGTACGTGCATTATTAGCATATCCACATCGTTATAATTCGTTTCCGATGAATTTTAAAAAATATTGAATTTTTATTGATTAATTTCCCCTCTTCGCTTTGCATTGTTTCGACCGAGTGCATTTTATACACTCAACAGCGCATTTACTAAAATATGACTGCCGTAGTCGTCGAATATCAATAACAAAACAAATCTTGTTTAGATAACGTATAGAGAATAGAAACCATCAATTATCAATAACGTAGTTTTATAGTAGATTACGGCGATCAGTATGATAAGACTCGATAGACAATGATAATATAATATAATATAAAATAGTATAGACGGAATTATAGCACCGGACTACTGAGTGTACAGTGCGAATGATGTGAAACAGTGGAACCGACGACATCGAAAGCTGACAAAAAAGCACCTTTTTTTTTTATCGTATTCGTATAATGTAATCGGTAGAGAAGTTCATGCTTCAATTGTAACCAGTGAATATATTAGTAAGTGGAGTTGTATATTTGATGGATATAAATCGCCGTAGTGATTTACCCGAGAGAATGGAGGTGACAGGCCAATAAACAAGGAATTAAATGCATTTAGCTTAAAAAGAGTAATAACTCATAAAAAAAAAAAAAATACTAATAAAGAGGCATACAATAAACGCATTTTAAATTTCTTAACAGCACTGAAATACAGTATTAAAAATCGAATTGACACGTATATAGAGAGAGCAAAAGCGGTACGACTGTGCGAGGAATATAAAAATAATAATTCAAATAAATATAAATATATATAATAATTATAAGTATAAATAATTTTATACATGTTATGTGAGCATACCATGTATTCCCCCAAAATTGCACATCGTACCCAAAAAGATACGGATTTTCCGTTCAGTGGTTTTTAGATTCTGAGTAAAACGAAAAAGCTTATGGTTTTACAAAGATGTTTATTGTTTTTTTATTCTGTGGACAACTTTTCCACCAGCAATTTTGCTCCAGCTTATAATGATAGTAATTTTTCTAAAAGAAAATTTCACCGAAAAGGTACTTTAGAAAGGCCATTTTTTGATTTTCTCCGGAGTTTTCTCAGTAAACTTGAAAAACTGGGAAAAACATGGGAAAACCGGGGAAATCGGTACAACATTAAACAAATATTATTTAAGAAAAAAAATAGAGCCTATTTAATTACTTTAATATTATATGGCATATAAACTGTTGACAAAGCATCATTATCAATTGAACTCCGCTCAGAATCGTTTTTTCATAAACAATGATTAATTGTTGTGTACAGATATAAAATAAATTCCCGTTTGTATCCAACCTTCCCAACATCCCACCTATACCAGTGGCTGCATCCGTCTCCATTATCTTACAATTTTGTTTTAAACATTTCTCTAAAACTACCCAATAATTTTTCGAAACAAAACCTTTCAAAACCGATATTTATACTGGATGATACGCCGCTGGTTAGAGGAATTTTAAAATTTTGAACACAAGCGGAAGTCCAGTGACATTTTTAAGCGGGTTTTTTAATTTTAATTTCCATATAGGTTCTTACGCTTGAATTTCACACTTGTTTTTTTCATTTTTGTCGATTACAGAATTGTTTTTCGTTTTTCGTTTTATTATTCATTATTTAGTTTAAACTATATCTATACACGATATACACCATATATTTCTATAATAATAATAATGATTGGTGTTGTTAATTTTTGATTTTTTCAGTCAGGCCCGTAACCATGGTTCAGACGGGCGCTGAGACGACGACCGTGACGGAGGCCGACATGTCGTGGCAAGAAATGGAGCAGATGAACGAAACAGTTAAGAAACAAGAGGGACGTAGCAATGATGACAAGGAACCCTCCCGATTGCCCGAAAGCAAACAAGAAATAATATGGACTAACGTCATTATCATTGCGATTCTCCACATCTTGGCCGTTAGAGGATTATTGTTTTTACCCTATGCGAAATACCAAACCATAATTTTCGGTGAGTTTATAGGTACTTATAATGGCTGGTATTCGGTCTGCTTTGGCGGTCGGTCGAATAACGAAAAATCATCAAATAAAAAGAAACTAGGTCGAGTATATTATAGAGATGATAAAATCACCTAAAAATAAAAATAAAGAAAACAACATTTTTTGTCGTCTTTGTCAAAGATTGAATAATAAGGAAACATTGGGACACTATATTTTGCTTAATATGCATGGGTAAATATGCTCTAAACATTATATTTTATACGGTTACGGCTCAGTACAACACTGTTGTTTATGCGTAATATTCGTAGTAGGTAGGTAGGTAAATAGGTTGTATTTTATGTCTGAACCTAAAACGTGATGTATTTGTAAGTAAGTTTTATGAAAATCGAAAACTAGGTCAGTCGCAGATCCAAAACAAATACTTGAGGAAGTGGGGAGACCATGATGCTCAGGGGTGAAATGAAAAATATGTACGGCTTACGAAATATACAAAAGTCTATTATTAATTAATATTAGAGTCGTAACTATAGACTATCGTCTTAGAATATTTAGAATTTAGATATTGTGCATAATTGTGTACACCAGTAGGTATACTGATTTACTCGTAACAATATTATAAAAGAAAAAAAAAATATGATGATTATTAATTGTCTTGATATGTTCAATGTAAAAATAGAAACTTTAGATAGGAAAATAAAAAACACGCATTCGTTAGTTTTAGAATAATTAATGTTAAGAATTTAAAATTGGTTTCTGAGGAGAGTCCATACGACCCCCACCATCCTGCTCCTTAGACCCACTACCAAACTAGGTATAATGTATATAAAATATTATAAAATACAAATATAGGAATAATAGCTTAACGTCACAGTTTACGTATTAGTTTCATTTAGTTTTTTTCCAGTTCATAACATTCGTTCGACTCAGTTATATGATCAACAATAATTTGTTAACGTGCTCAGATGAGTCGATTTTCTTCATGGATTTACAATAAAAATACTGTGTACATTTTGGATATGCCCCGGTTTTCTCAATAGTTTTTGTCTTCTGAAAATCGAGTTGAAAGACGTCCGAGAATGTTGAGAATAAAACCAAACCATGCATCATAGAAACAAGACAATGTTAATAGCCTTTTATTTTTTATCTTTTAGTGCACTGTACGATAACAGGTCTTTTGAACGAAAAGTAATTTATCATGTAACTTCCATTTAAAAATAAATAGTCAGTAAACATTAATGGCTTATATTCCTTGAGAGGCGGCTCTCCCAAACGATAATAAACCTACAAAGATACGGGATTTCTACCTTGTGCATAATCTATCTACATAGTGTAGGTACTTGTCGGATTTTATGAGTCCGTTGGAAATATTATTATTGAATAATAAACCACCATGTCAATGTCGATAGATGTAGACGATTTCCAAGTGTATACGTATCCCGAAAAGTATAATGTACAACACGTTGTTGCATTTATACTTAAGCGTGAATTCGGATCGCTTTGTCTGCTGTGTGTATATTATATAGATCTGTTTTGAAATCGCTCTATTCAAATTCGGAAACAGCTAATTAATTATCAAATGAAATCGTTCAGGGTCGTTGAGTGCTCTGAACGGACTTCACGCGTGCGTCTATGATAGATACTGTTATTTTTCTGCGCTGTACTTGGACTTTTATTAAGCGCATAGGTAAACTCATATTATGGTATTGCGTTATGTAAATTTCTGTATGAAGTACTCGTACACGTTGTACAAATAATAAATGAATAACCTTGGCCAAAAATTCGTTTCATATACGCTACTCGGGGTACGTTTGTGTAGAAACTCATGTTGTTTTTTTTTTTTTAATTTTAAAGAATTCGACAGAAAAAAAAAACAACACCCGTGATAACGGTAAAGCTCTGTCAGTAGAGAAGAATTCGGAGGAATTCCCCTCCGCTTAATTTGTGACTATTATAAAAATATTCTTTGTAAAACAATAATAAAATAATAAAATAACAGAGTACCATAATAATAAAACACTATAATAATTCCAAGAAAAAAAAAAAAAAGTGAAATTTTAGCATAAAAAGACAGATATACTTTGCACGGTGCGTGGGCCACTATTGTGGGTGAGTTGGGAATGTAAGATATAGAGGAGAATTTAATGTATATCTGTCCGCAACGATTGAACATTGCTAACGAAAAATGATTCTGAGCAGATATTAGTAATACATGTTTTAAAATCCCGTAATATTTACGATTTTTGTCAAAATTTGATATTAACAAATTCGTATAAAAAAAATTCTATATTTCAAATTTTTTTTTTTGCCACAAGTAATGTGCCATATGTAATTTTGCCATAAGTTATTTATAATGAATCTCTTGTTAAATTTTCAAGCATTTCTGTTTGGTCAATCAATTTTATCCACAGATAACCTACCAAGTACAAATTATGTAAAACCTCACAAAATTAAATTGTCTATAAATAGCTCAAAAATGGCTAAAATGTTTTGAAATTTTTAATACGTCTAAAAAAGCAAATACAAGTGTTTTGTTCAAATTTCAAGTCCTAACAAATACTTTAAACTGAATAAAAAAAAAAAAACAAATTGAAAATAACACATTTCGTAAATTTTTATTCTACGTTTTTCCGATTGTTCTCATTTATTACGAAAACCCCTTAAAAAATGACTGCCTAAAATAACCAGTCAAATAAAATTTCTTTCAGAAAGAATGCTACATTTTAAAATTAGAGCAAGATTTCTGGTAGCAAAGTTATTCACAGATAAAATTAAAATAATAATAAACTTAATTTTTATACCAATTTATTATTTGCTCCGTTCACAGGCACGTAGATAAGGGCAGGCTAGAGTATGCCTGGATCATCCTAAAATGTGCCCGACCTTAAGTCAGTCCATCCAAAATATTCAGTATTTTCAATATTCAAATTATCATATTATGTATTTAATTTATATCACCAAATATCATCCTACATGACTTGCATAATATAGTGATATACATTGATTATTGATACGTGATTAGTACCTAGTACCCGTTGTCAACTCATCAGCAGTATTATATTATGCTGTATTATTTATTATTCGGTAGATGGCGTAATCCTCAAAAAATAAACCTTGGAAATAAACCCCTAAGGTACGAGTACAAAAGTATTATTAGTTTATATATTTGTAGTTAAAATGTGCTTATTATTACCTTTTTTCAGTATAAAAAATATCGAGGGGGTCTTCCAAATATTGGCCTACCTTGTGAACATTTTCTAGCTACGTGCTTGTCTGGCCAGAATCTTAAATTCTAGGAATAGCGTTCAAAAGTTAACTATGACACATCCTTAATACTAACGCCACTTACATGCAAAATATTAGCTCCCTAGCTTAATTTTGGAAAAGTGGATGTGCATGGATGTTCAAAGATAAAATAATATCTCCCTTCTGAAAAAACATGGTGCAATTCATATTTAAATTTAACCCAACTATTATTACTTTAATCCGCCTATAAAAACCTTTTATTCCCGTGTTTGAGCTCTTTCGGTCCAGACGGTCGGCGCTGTTAGGCATTTTTAATTGCCATTTTTAATATTATAATAAATTGGCTTATCAAACTTAAAGGTTAGAACATTGTCTGTATTAGAGAGTTGATTTTTTACCGATATTTTAATTTTAAATTAAGATACAAAGTCTTTAAAATGTTAATACTTCACATGTTCATATCTTACTAAAAAATTTAAATACCGAGAAAAAACCAAGGTCCAAACACAGTTCTAATCTTTAAGTTAAACATAAGATTAACTTCATTTTAATTTAAAAATATCAACTCAAAATCGGTTTATATTGGATGAAAAGTTGACATTATCTAATGTTCAACAGGCCTTAACATATACTTTAAACAGACACGATACAGTAAAATATTACATAATAACAGGGAAAATTCAATAAAAAAAATTCCGTTCGTGTTTTTTTACAATACTATGTTTGCCATTTATTATACTATATTAAACTTGAATATTATCAGATCATAAATTGTCCGTTATTAATACTCGTTCATATTATTGTGTGTATTTTTTAAACACGTCATAGGAGTGAATACATTCTTATCTGTTATGACAATATTCGACTCGATTTAAATATTGTCACGCGTTTATGCTTTATCTAAATTGTAGTATTTATGGCGTTATTAGCGATTTAACAAATTTGGATAAAGAAAAAAGAACATAAATTGTGTACAGGGTGATTCACTATGCGTGCTCATAGGGGTGCACCAAATTTTTGTGGCTAAATGTTGCATTTGTAAAAATTCTGATTTTTGAAATATTTAAGTTTTATATTATCACTTAATGATCATCCGGGATATATATTATAAACATTTTATAATTTTCCTTGGTTTATTTATTTCCATAAATTTATAATTTCACTTCTTATAAAATGTTCGTTAATTGAACGAAATAACGATATATTTATATAGAAAAATGATTAAATAGATATCTATTAACTAATAATAAGCAACCTCGGTGCAATAACCCCGCAATTTTAAAATATTCATGACAAACTTTTTATGTTTTCGGATTTAATTTGATAGTTGCTTCGAAATTTGTTCAGGAATATCTATATCCGATTGTTTATTTTNCCTAATGGATTTATCTGATAGATCGCACTAAAATATTCTAAAACAAGACAATTTGAATTGTCTGAGAACACTGTTCCACTGACATTTATTATACGTATATATCTATAACATATTTGGTATGTGAATGGCTATTAATTATATGCATCGGACTTTTTACCATGGAGTAAAGAGAGGAGTGGGGGAAGGAAGAATTTCTACTTCTAAACACTATTAAAAATCGTTATCATTAAAGGAATTGGGATCGGGAAATGCAAGAAATATTGAAAACAAAATTTAGTTTACAAAATACCCTACGCCATTTTGTGCCGCTTTAAGCCTGAATTGCACTTGAATATAGACAAAGGTTTACTTAAAAATTAACCTCAAAAAAGTGCAATTTTCTAAATAAATTGATTTATCTGGATGTTGCACCAAGGGCTTGAATGAATACAGTAACTTCTAATCCGTCACAACGATTACGAATAATTAAAATATATACACAGGTATTTGAAAATATAATAAAACGCGAAAAATGCTCGAAGTTAACACGGGAAAAAATATTCGAGTTATTCGTGCTCTTGCCTTACCAACTGATATAATTGTTTCTATTTTTTAAATATTATCACTGTCAACTTAACAATTTATTAAAATATGTTTAGTCCACGAGCATATTTTCACAACTGTTTATTTGTATAACTACGGTTATAAATGACGGAAGTAAAAAAATNAGTTGGCGGTATTGGAGGGTTTGGAGTTACGGGCGGTGCGCATAGATATTACACGCATAGATCATTCAAAGCGAAATTGCCATTACAAATTATACTTTTGGCGTGTTACACGGTATCGGGACAGGTACGGTACATCGGATGGATTTCGATTGAAAATAATACGATGACAATATATTAATACATCTACGCATTTAGAACAGCATACCGGACTGGGTTAGAGATCACCGGGTCCATCACAAATTCAGCGAGACAGACGCCGATCCGCACAACGCCAACAGAGGATTTTTCTTCGCGCACGTCGGCTGGCTGATGCAACGCAAACATCCGGAGGTATACAAACGCGGCAGGACCGTCGACATGTCCGACATTAACAATGATCCTTTGGTACAATTTCACACAAAGTTAGTTCAGTTATGTACACGCGTATTGAAATCTGTAATGTTTAGGAGGTAGTTCAAACTAGAAGATTTTGGCCGTGAATATAGATAATCGGAGAATGATTTGTGAGGCGGGATGGTCCTAGAGGCCGAATAAACCCTGGGATAATGATAATAATATTACCTGAATGTTGGCAAATAATACTTATAAGACGCATCGTGTGTTTTTTCTATGTAGATACTTTACTCTGCTAAAGTTACTGTTGTGTTTCATTTTGCCGATAATGGTACCGGTGTTCTTGTGGAACGAATCTTGGAATATAGCCGTGTTCGGAATGGCAATAGTTCGGTACGTGCTAAATTTGAATTTCACGTGGTCTGTAAACAGCGTCGCTCATATTTGGGGCAACAAACCATACGACACGTGAGTGTATAAACTATAAGTAATTAATTTAATGTATTACATACGAAGGTTTTGATTTTTTTTTTTTTTGTGTGTGTGTTTTTCAGACGTATTCAGCCCGTGCAAAACTCTTTCGTGTCTATAGTGGCCTTGGGGGAAGGGTGGCACAATTATCACCACGTTTTCCCGTATGACTACAGAGCGGCCGAAATCGGCGGATATTTGCTGAACATGACAACCATGTGGCTCGACTTTTTCGGCTATATAGGCTGGGCGTACGATTTCAAATCGCCGTCCAAACAGNAGGGTGGCACAATTATCACCACGTTTTCCCGTATGACTACAGAGCGGCCGAAATCGGTGGATATTTGCTTAACATGACAACCATGTGTCTCGACTTTTTCGGCTGTATAGGCTGGGCGTACGATTTCAAATCGCCGTCCAAACAGCTCGTTCAACAAGTGGCTCTAAATCACGGTGACAGCAGTTGGCACGAGGTGTCGGACGCAATTTTAAGGGATTATAAGACTTCATGAACTCGTCGTTGTACATAATATGTATACTCTATAATCTATATGGCTCTAAAACATGTTGTACACGGATATTAATGTTTTGCAGTTTTATATAGTTATTGTCAGCATAGGACGATATTTTTGAAATATTTGTTAACTATATCACATACATACCGTTTTTATTTATTTCATCTCGTACTGTAAATTCGTTGTGGTACTTATTTTTTTATCGCTCCGCTGCCACTGTGACAATTGAAAACGTTCTTCTGGAATATATTGTCAAAGAGACCCTGTCGGACAGGACATAAATAAATTCAATTTTCCGAAAGTAATTGTTAATTTAATTAACTTCTTAAACGTTTTAATATTTATGTTTATGTATACAACTTTATAAACGTATAGATCTGTTTAAAACACTTCGCAACCATGGTAGTCAGTATAGTAGTATGCAGGTATACAAGGAAATCACAGGATAAAAATTTGACGATAGGTGGTTTACAAGTAGCGAGGCGATGACAAATAAATACCTAGGTGTACAATAGGCATACTTACTGTATATACGTTAATTTTTAAATAAATATATCTTATTTTTAAACACTTCTGTAAAATCTGAAAACAAAAGAACATAATGTAACATCATTTCCAATGTATCATAAGTGCAAATTAAATATTGTGTTGTTTTTTTTTTAATGTTTTCATTTTCTTTGATGCTGTATGTTTTCAAATATTTCTGTTATTATTTATTGTATACACTATTTTATTACATAGCAGTAAATACAAATCGAGTTGATTTGAAGTTAATTTGTTTAAGTTGACTTTAACACTCTTGTCGTAGATCTATATTTTAGCGATACTTAATATTAAATTTTTTTTACAGTATCTGCAAAAATAACTACAATATACTTTTTTATTAAATACCGAATGATATTTTTGTATTATTTATTTAGATTCGTTTTTAATATCAATATTAAATAATGTTTTTGATATAAAACGTCGTGTTTTACGAGAGCGTGTTATTATTATTATTGACGATTAAAGTTATTGACAAATGTTTACATAGATTTCTATGGTGGTCTAAAGATTTTATCATTGAGTCGGGTAAGGATAATTTGTTTAGAACTACACAAATATAATATAATATTTAGATTGATATTTTTTTCTAAACGTGCCTATCCTATTTCTATATTTTCAAATTATAATTTTTGTAATGATTAATTACAGTGAACGATGATATTTTCGCATAATTTTTACAGATTTTGACGTATTCTAATCGAAATTTGAAAGAAAATTTTCTGAGTTTTTCTACTTTAAAAACTAAAGCTAATAGTATACTACTATATTATGAAATCGATGCTAATGCATAGCCTTTTATATCGATTGTTTTATAGGAGTCGTATATAGGCAATTTCTTGTTGTTTATTGTTCAGTATTATATCTAAGCATTATATTCAATAATAAGCGTTAACGTTTCTAATTTAAATTACAATAAATGTTAATATTTAGAATAATTATTACATTTTCATATTGTTAAACATACGTGTATAATTTGCCTGTCATTAAAAATTTAAAGATTTAAATATTCAGGGACTCGAGATTTTTTAGCTATAGGCGATATACTATTATTAAAGGTATATGATATTATTATATTTTTATTCATTGCCCATATCCATCTAAAAATTTAAAATCAATAAATCCGGCTTCATGCACTGGAAATATGATTATCCGTGGTGTGCCTTAACCCACTGGTATCTAAACGAAATTTAGAAAAGACAAATGATATTATCAGTTTATTTAAAAAACTTGGCCTATAGCCCAAGCTGTTTTTGATATCCTGAAACGGTTTTTTGTAAACAATTTTGTTAATTTCACCATTACACATAAATATGTATGATGGTGACTGCGATATTTCTATAACATTTTTTTTTATTTTGTATACAATAAAAACTATAGGTAATTATGTTTTATATATACAAGTATATAACATATAATATTTTATTTTATTTATCCTTATTAATCATACAATGTTATTCTTAAAGTATGACTGACTTTTCCATCGAATCTTCACTTCCCTGGGTTTACCTATCTGAAGCACTCTTTTTTTGCTCACTTAAAATCCTTACTACCTATAATCTTCCAAACTAATACAGCAGTTGCAGATACCATAGTCTGTATTTGGTCAATACACATCTCCTTAAACCTCGTAGTTGTACGTTATGTTGTTGGCGGACGTTTTCGAGAACGTCAGAGATATTTGTAGAAACCTCGACCCCACTACACGGCACGCGGATTCAGCTTCGACTGTATGCTGAAATATACAAAGATAAATCTACTGTCAGCCTACTGTCGGCTTACGATACGCTGCTGATGTTTGTGAAAAGTAAATAATTTTACATTGTTTTACATAAAAATTATATATTAATCGAACAATGTTATCTTTTCAGGAATACGTGGTGGATTAGTGCAAGCTAGTACGCGTTATGGGAAGGCAAACATTTTTACGGTGGACGACTACAACACGACAAAAGATGATTCATCGATTATATATCAGGATTGTAAGTATACATATTATTTTAAAATATATCAATCACATACTTATAATTTGTTGTATTTTTCTGTCTATATTAGTGAACAATTTGTACGGGTGAGCGATGTTGCAGTACATGCTTCACGGTTGCTTCCGGTAGGTAGAGCTTACACTAGTCAGACCCGAAGATTACACCGAGGAGACGACACTTCGCCCATAGGACGGGTATACGAGGTGGAAATAGAGTATCCAGAATATCTACATGTAGAACATAACGACCTTCCTTTCCTTCCAAATAACGGAGTGCCACCCGGTTCCAAGGTGAAGAAACTTATGGCTACGTTGGATGAGAAGACAAATTATATTATTCACTACAGAAATTCGAAACAAGCGATGGCAAACGGTCTTATCGTGAAAAAGGTAAAAATATATTTTTTTTTCAAATTATTTATTACATATTTTTATTATTTATGTTACAGGTACACACAGTATTGGAGTTTCGGCAATCGCCATGGCTGGTTAAATATATTGATTTAAACACCAAGATGAGGGAGAAAGCGACTAATAAATTTGAGAAGGACTTTTACAAATTGATGAACAATGCAGTATTTTTTTAAGTTATTACTATTATTATTAGAACTTGTATGTTATTATATTATTATGATTTTCTAGGTAAGACGATAGAATCTATGAGACGAAGGATTGATGTTCAACTGGTATCGAGTGAGAAGAGAGTGCTGAAATTGATAAACAAAACAACGTTTAAACACTGTACGACATACAACAAAAATGTATGTGCAGTGACACTAGAGAACAAAATAATACATTTCTGCAAACCTATCTATATTGGATTTGCTGTGTTGAACATATCCAAGACCAAAATGGACGACTATCATTATAATGTTATGTGGAAGCATTTCAAAGATACCATCAACTTGATGTACACCGATACAGGTAAATTATTATTATTATTTTTTTCTTATACGTATTATATTGTTTTTCAGATTCGTTGGTATACCATATTGTGACAATGGACTTTTATGCTGACTTACTAACGAGACCAGTGCTTTTGGAGTGCATGGACACCGCCAACCTACCTAGAGGCCACCCGTGCTACGTCGCAGCGAGGGAGAAGTTACCGGGTTTGCTCTCTGACGAGTCGGACGGAAGAACAATTACAGTTTTGTGCGTTGCGAGCAAAAGCGTTTGCGCATAAGATAGATGGAGTGGAGAAAATCAAGACGAAAGGGATCCGGGGTAATGTGGTGGAAAACGACATAACTTTTGATCACCATAAGAAGTGTCTGTTCGGGAACGATAATTTAATCACATACAAGGAGAATGTATCGATTCGCTCGTTCCATCACCAACTAAAGACCATCTCAACAAATAAACTCACCTTCAACAACAATGATGATAAGAGGATAATTATGAGAAACAAGATACACACAATGAAATATGGACATCATCAATTACAGCGAATAAAAATGTATATACCTACTAAAAATTGTAATATAAAAATGTAAATTTTATATACATGCATGGAAATTGTATATCTATGTAAATTAAAATTTTTTATCCTATACTGCCGAGAGATTAGATAAAAACGCAATTATTAAAAAAAAAAAAACATGTTTTATTTTCATTCAAGGTTTTAAAATAAAAAGGTTTTAAAAGTCTAAACATTGTTTATATAATTTATAAAGTAGCATAGAATGATAGCAAAAATATTAGGTAAATTTCAAGTATTAATAACTTAATATTATTATGATTAAATATATATAATATGTATATATATATATATACATATTCCAAATTATACATCATACCTGTCTGTGGAATGGGTTCAAATTCTAGTCTTAATTTTTTTTCTAATTCTTCCCATTCCAATTTGTCAAAGGGGTAGAGTAAATTGCCGTAAAAAGTTAGAACAATGTCCTCCAAAAAGAGTGTAATAAAATGAGTTTTATCGGTGTCTCACCAACCGTTTACAAAAACCGCCCTTTTATAATTTTTTAAGAATGAGTCTTTATTATTGGATTTGGTTCCCGAGAACTTGCCTGGTTCGAAATTTGTTAATTTTCCTTAAAGATTCTGGTGTAATTAAATTGTTGTTTGTAGGTATTTTTATAAGAAACTATCCAGTTATTATTATTATTTTTGATTTTTTAAATATCTAAATAGTTTTGTTCTTAAATCCGTAAGCCATTACATTATCCTAAAGTTTTATATTTTTCATTAATTATATAAAATCTTAAAAATAATGTTTTACTTTTATGGACTTGATTGTCTCTTAGGTTTTATACATTTTTTTCTAAGTAAAGAGACAATTATTTCTTTTCTATAATATAATTGTATCTCTAAAATATGTCTTGATTCTTTAGTTTAATACATTTCAAATAAGATTTTGGGTCAGATTTAATTTATATTTGATAATTTATGTAAATTGTATGTATATACGTATTCTCTCTATTTTATTCTTTATATATTACAAATTATTTAAATTATATAATTATCGTTGATATCATGAAATAACCGACCATTGTTTTTATAATAATAACCATCATCCTTTCGATTCTCTTATTCTTTGTGGTTTTTTTTTTTTTTCAAATTGAATTTGTGAAGATTAAAATCTATGTATAACATATTTGATTTGTCTAATTTATTGTATTTCATAATTTATTTAAATTTATGTGTATATTGTAAATGATAGGCGCTTACGTAATTTATAAAGTATCTTAATTGTTATATTTAATGATTCGTCACAATTCTCGGCAAGTAAAGCTGAGCTTGAAAGTTGGGGGCCTATTTGTAGTAATACAGAAAAAAAGTGCTTGACGAAAAAGGATTCCAAGCGTAGTTCGCTAATATATAATTTGAAGTGCGTAATTTTTTTTAGGCTTTTCGTTTAAACTTTCTTTCAAAACGCTTATTAAAAAATCTAGAGTCTAAAATGATTTTTAAAATTTTACCACGCTTAGATAAGTCCAATATAAGTATTATTATTAAGTTTCAAGTCTCTACGTGTATTTATAACCGAATAACCATGGAAAAAATTTGCGGAAATTAAAATTCCTTAAAACCCTAAAGTTGCTCGAAAGTTTTGGCAATTTGAATGTAAGAAAGTAAATCAATTGCCGTTTTTATTTCCACATAATACTAAAACGTTAATTTTTATTTTTCTGGTGAAAACGACCGTGTTTTTATAAAACAATGAATGAAAATATAGTCTACGCGTCACAAAGGTTAGTTGTAGAGGTTATAAATAATATTAATGTAAATATTTAGTATTGTATAATTAAATGATATTAGGCTATCTATTAAAAAAGTGTTTACTAAGTTGGTATATCGATTACGTCAGATGCAATTTTAACATTATAATTATAAATTCACAATTACTATTCACTATGCACATAAAATGACCGGATAAGACGAAGCGTACGTCATTCGCCCCACTGAAAAGCGTTTGTTTACAATAGCCGTTTTACTTAATATTCTAGTTCCTTGCGGCGTTGTTCTAGTAACCATTTGATCTTTTGTTGAGGTACGAAGTGACGAGTGTTATAAATAACGGGTTTAATCTGACACTAGGTAATATTTTATAATAATATCGAAAATGTGTCTCAAGTACACCAATGCCTCATGTAAAAATAATTTTTCTTGCTGATTTGTATTACCACGGTAACAGGGATGAAAAATAATATTGATTAATTATAATTAGAAATTAGCCGGAAAATATCATGTGATCATCAAAATTGGTTCATTTTTATACCTACTTCTTTATATTTCATTCTTTGTAGGTATTTCTACGTGATTATCCTATAATTTCAAATATATTTGTCTTTTATTTCTATACTTAGTGTCTTAAGTCTACTACTATCCCCTTAACAACGACTCTCTTTATATTTTCCCCCGTTTAAACCTCTTTTAACTCCTCTTATTCCCCCCCCTTTTTTATTTTNCAAGTGGCTTTTTGTATAACTACAAGTGGCTCAAAAGGTTTGGCGATTTAAATGTAAGAAAGTAAATCTTTAAATGTAAGAAAGTAAATCAAAACGGCAAAAATAAAGGTGAATTATGTTTTTGCAATTAAATTATTTTTTTGGTGAAAACGTCCGTGTTTTTATAAAACAATGAATTGGTGAAATTGTAACTTTTCCTAAGTTGTTTCCCACTTAAGTGTTATTATTTGAAAATAGCGTCGAAAATCAAAAAACGTTTAATATACAATCTAGTAACTGAAGCTTTCAGAAAAGTTTGCTACANTTAAAAATCGGAGCCAGTTTACTAGAATAAAACGTGTCCACAGACTAGAACAAAGAAAAAAAAGAAATAATTTTTTCTTTTTAGATTCAAAGTGGAGCGAAGAAGCTTATAGTTTTACAAAGTTACCTCACCGGAGGACTTGATAAGATTTTTACGTGTAGCAACCTTTCTAAAAGGAAATCAGTGTGGGGAGGTAACTACCTTAGAGAGGTTTCGGTTTTCTCAAGAGTTTTCTTTTCAAATGTTAAAAACCGAAATAAAACGGAAATCGTACGAATTATATTTGTAAAATAGTAATTTCGTTGCGTGCAGATGGAAATACAATTGTATAAATATTGTTATGATTAAAAATATTGGCTTTGTTGATATTATTAAAAGTAAAGTTAAAAGAGTCTGTANCCTTTCTAAAAGGAAATCAGTGTGGGGAGTTACCTTAGAGAGGTTTCGGTTTTCTCAAGAGTTTTCTTATCAAATGTTAAAAACCGAAATAAAACGGAAATCGTACGAATTATATTTGTAAAATATTACGATTGTTTTTTCCTACTTAAAATTGCTTCGACTTTTAATTATAGCAATATAATCGGGAAAATCGGTACCACATTAAAGAAATATTAAATACAAATTCACGATCAAAACTAGTCTACGCGTCACAAAGGTTAGTTGTAGAGGTTATAAATAATATTAGCTATGTATTAGACTATCTATGAAAAAAGTATTTACTAAGTTATTATATCGATTACGTCAGATGAATTTTTAACATTATAATTATAAATTCATAATTACTATTCACTATGCTCATAAACCGGATATAAAGAAACGTACATAATTCACCCCACTGAAAAACGTTTATCCACAACAGGTGGAGGTCATGTTTCGATTTTCTCAAAAGTTTTCATAATCAATGTAGAATACCGAAGAAAAACGGAAAAATGTACGAATTATATTTGTAAAATATTACGATTGTTTTTTTCTGTGTGAAACTTTCCTACTTAAAATTTTACTCCAACTTTTAATTAAAGCAATATTTCTGAAACGAAATTTCAATAGGGAGGTACTTTAGAGAGATCGGTTTTCGATTTTCTCAGGAGTTTTCTCAACAAATGTGAAAAATCGAAAAACAAACGGAGGATAATCGTGAAAAACGTAGGGAAATCGGTACCACATTAAAGAAATATTATTAAAGAAAATGTATAGAATCCACTTAATTATTTTACTAATTTAAATCCATACAAAACATTAATTTTTTTCGGCGACTAATTTGAAGTCACGATCGATTTTTCGTGATCAATTAACCAGATACCATACAGCATTGGTACGTAATCAATTTATTTGGATTTTAATTCTGGACTTTAGGCATGTGCATTTTTTTATATTATAATTCACACCAATTTGAATAACTACAGCTTTCATTATTATTTATACATTTTTGATTATTATCGGATACAAACATAAAATGTACAAATACCTATTTCACAGTCATGTTCATTTCCCCGGTGCCCCCAATTTAAAAATATAACATTTTTCATGATCCGATCGTTGTCATCCCGTTATAATTAGATAATAGAACAAAAATGACCGATAGATTGGAATAATCTTTAGAATAAAGATAGTATTTTTATACATTTTTTTAACAAACATTTTGCTGTTTAAAACTAGTATATAGGTTACGTCATTAATTTTTAAACAGTTTTTAAAGTTTGTTAAAATTAAAATTTAGTTATTACTATGCAGTGTTACAGCGGTTGCCCATTTTGATTTTTTTTTTTTTTTTCAAAAAATAATGTGTTGTTACAAATATCAATAAACAGAATGATATTATTATCAGACCATAGATACACACACCGATACGCATAACATTTATAATGAATAGTGAATATAAATAAAATTGAATATTTATTCATATTGATATAATAATAATAATAATTATTTTTTATGCACTCGTTATACCTGTGTAGTAATAATTTTTCAATAGTTTGCCAAACAATGTTTAGTACTTATGTTATGCATAATATCTTTATTCAGTTATAATATCTACAACGAATCGTTGTGATGTTTTAACCGTTATCTTGGTTTGTTTATACGTGATTTATTTTTTAATTAATTTTTCATTTGAAACATAATTTTAAAAATTAATAGTTATATTATTTATATTATGGTATGTATTATTCGAATCGATTGTGCATGGATGACCAAGCGGTTGCGGATGTATCGCACAATAATAATTAATTAATAACTAGAGATCCAAATAACAATTAATATATCGTCGGCTTCTTGCCAAAATTCATCAACGGTGATTTGACCGGTTTTTTGTACCACTGTCTAGAGTAATAAATAACTCTTTTCGATTGACATGAAGCATTCAAAGTGAAATTCCAACTTGAAATTGCTTGTTTTTAATAATTTCATATTTAACTACTGGTTAATTTACGAAATCGATAAAGCCAAAACTTTTTATTGGTCTAAGGAGTATTTGCATAAAATTAAATAAAAAAAGTTAAAAAACAATAATTCTATTATGTCGATTAGCGAATAATTGGTAATTTTTTAAAACTTTGAACTCATTTTCTGAACAATAATCTTTTTGCTATTAGTGAGTTTTGTCAAGAAACTGACATGTACTTTGTACTTGGTGAGTTATTACTTTATTTATTTGATTGCTAAGTAGATCTTGAATTTACACCAATACTCTATATCTTTTTGGGTTTTTAAATACAGTGAAATATTTGCGAAAAAAAAGAACTGTATTTATTAAACTTGGGGTTCTTAACCTTCTGTAGAACACGGACCCCCGATGAAAGATTTTAATGAGTAAATATATCTGATAGGTATGCTTATATAGCCAATCAAGAATAATCATTTACGCGTTCACTCAAACGAAAATAATTTATATCAGATAAAAAATAATCTTACTTCATCTACCAATTCAAATAGACGAGAGAGCACTTTACCTCGAGATAACCAATGAATTTCAGAGTGCAACAGAAGTCGATAATCTTCACTGTCCATGTTATTGCAAAGCTGTTTGCACAACTGTACTTGTTGATTTTTTTTTACATTCCGCCGAATGTGGACTACCCTTTTTATCAAATATTTGTTTTCATTCAGTTTTAACATTGCAAAAACTAAACAAAAAGAGTTGATATTGAGGATGGGTGCGGCCATTATTGTAAATGGGTTGTGGGGAAGATGGGATACATAAGGTTTTTTTATTTATACCTGTAAACAATGATAAACCATTGCTGACGAAAGACGATCCTAAGCGCAGTTCGGAAACACAAAAACTAAAAAAAGTCATCCGATGATTTTGCTGCATGTAAGTAAGTCCAATAAGAGTATTATTACCATGTTTCAAGTTTCTACGTGTATTTATAACCAAATTAAAACGGAAAAAATTTCCGAAAATTAAAATTCCTTAAAAACCCAAAAGTGGCTCAAAAGTTTTGGCGATTTAAATGTAAGAAAGTAAATCAAAACGGCAAAAATAAAGGTGTATTATGATTTTGCAATTAAATTATTTTTCTGGTGAAAACGTCCGTGTGTTTATAATACAATGAATTGATGAAATTGTAACTTTTCCTAAGTTGTTTCCCACTTAAGTGTTATTGTTTGAAAATAGCGTCGAAAATCAAAAAACGTTTAATATACAATCTAGTAACTGAAGCTTTCAGAAAAGTTTGCTACACTTAAAAATCGGAGCCAGTTTACTAGAATAAAACGTGTCCACAGACTAGAACAAAGAAAAAAAAGAAATAATTTTTTCTTTTTAGATTCAAAGTGGAGCGAAGAAGCTTATAGTTTTACAAAGTTACCTCACCGGAGGACTTGATAAGATTTTTACGTGTAGCAACCTTTCTAAAAGGAAATCAGTGTGGGGAGTTACCTTAGAGAGGTTTCGGTTTTCTCAAGAGTTTTCTTATCAAATGTTAAAAACCGAAATAAAACGGAAATCGTACGAATTATATTTGTANAACTGAAGTGAAAATTATACGGCAAGAAATAGACAGGATGAAAGACATAACACAGAAACAGAAGCAAGATACTGACGAGGAAGTATTATCCCGGGTGCCCGACAACAAACAGAAAATAAAATGGGTATACGTCGTATACTTCACACTCGTTCATATTCTGGCTATTATAGGTCTATATAATTTCTGCAACGCAAAATACCAAACGATTATTTTCTGTAAGTATCAGAAAATCATAAAATAATCAATTTTTTATTATATATGAAATAAACGATGTAACTAGAATATTTGACAAATGTAATAACTTTTAGATTCTTAGTGGATGGAGGAATGTGTTAGTTTTACAATGATATATATTTTTTTATTGTGGATAACTGTTCTAACAGCAATTTTATTCTGATTTAAAATGATGGCATTGTTTTCTGAAGGAGAAACTTTCTCTGGTGGTACTTTAGGGAGTTCATTTTTTGATTTTCACCATGAGTTTTCTTAATTTATGTAAAAATCTGGGAAAAACTACGAGAAAACCGAGAAAAAGAAACGGGGAAGATAGGCACAATATTTAACAAATTTTTATTAAAGAAAATTCACTATTTTGCCATAATATGACTTATATATATTGTTGACAGTCCAGCACTATCAACTGAATCCCGCTCAAAATCGTATTTTTTTTAGCAATGATTTATCATTGCGTACATACATTAAATTTTCCCTCTACTACCTTTTCAACTCCTCATCTATAGTAGTGTCTGCACCCGTCATCTCTATCCTACGATAGCTTTTAATGCTATAATTTTGTATATTTTATATTTTATTTTACTTTGTTCAACTAAAATAAAAATGTTGTTCTTTGATAATGGGGACGGGTGTAGCAAGGCTCTTCTTTCCATTGGATACTTTGGGTACGTTACAGGACCCTCGCGATCGATGGGGCCCCCAATTCTTGTCAGATCCCTAACCGATAACCGAAATTTATTTGATTAAAACCCTGTGCCCCCCTCCAGTTTGAATACCTTTTTATTGCATGTATTATCTACATTGTACACATTTGTTTGATTTTACACAAATCTTAAAACTCATTTTACGGTTTTTAATGTAGGTAGAAACAAATTGTAGATAGCAGATACTAGGCACACCAATATTTTTAAATAATATCGAGTACCTATACGAGTTCAAAGTTTAATTTGTTATTGATCTAAATATAATTTCCCTTTCCTGTTGCCATAATCATAGTTTCAATATAAAAATATTGTATTTTTGGCGGGTTACACCAAGACACGAGGTTTATGATGAGGTAAAAAGAAACGTTTATTTACAACATAAAGACATAATACAAGTGATCACCAGTTGACGGCTTTTGACGGAGGAAAAGGCGAGCACGCAACAATTAAAACAACATTAGTTAAGAAAAACAATTATACATAATAATTATTCGGAGTCGGAAAACAATTTTTCGCGAACGGCGTCGGTGCGAAGAGAGCGAGCGGAGCGGTCGTGACGTCGAGTCGAGCGGAGCTGTGGACGATGACCTTAAAGATGATATTAAAGAAAATATATAGAGTCTACTAAATTATTTTACTAGTTTATGTCTAATTGAATTCCTTACAAAGCAACAATTTTTTTCGGCGAATAATTTGCAGCCACGATCATTTAACGAGATACCTCACAGTATTGATACATAATCAATTTGGATTTAAATTCTGGAGTTTAAGCACGTGCATTTTTTCATATTACAATTTACACCTATTTAAATAACTACAGATTTTATTATTCTATACATTTTTAATTATTATCGGATACAAACTTAAAGTGTACAAATACCTATTTTACAGTCATGCACATTTCCCAAAAATAATATTTTTGCCATTAGCGAGTTTTGTCAAGAAACTGACCTGTACTTTGTATTTAGTGAGTTATGACTTTGTTTATTTGATTGCTAAGTAGATCTTGAATTTACACCAATTCTCTATATCTGTTTGGGTTTTTAAATATTATGAAATATTGGCAAAAAATAAAGAACTGTATTAATTAAACTATAAATTACTAAATAATAAATTGTACACTACTCGTTAATATATATTAACAATTCCAGTTACACCTAGAACATACTAGAACGAAATATAGTACTTTATTATAATTATTTGTTTATAGCTTTCGTTGTTGGAGGTATTGGAGGATTTGGAGTTACCGGTGGTGCACACAGATATTATTCTCATAAATCATTCAAAGCCAATCTGCCATTACAAATTATACTTTTATTGTGTTACTCAGTATCGGGACAGGTACGGTATATACGAGCTGTCACGGCTCTAATATTAAAATAATCCACTGAAAATTCGAGTGCCGGGTGGTTTTGTTTTTATATCGGTATTGATTTCGAGTAGTTATTTTTAAAAATATATTCTAAAAGTTCAGTGTCGATAAATATATATATATGTATATAAAAAATTAAAAAAAATAGTAAATTTACTTCAGACATCCCTGCTGTGTGTAAGATATGCTTAAAAAAAAAAAAATTATCTTGACAGTCGGTATACTGTGTGGTTATTCTTATTAGATACTGACGACGTAAATAGTCGCAATATTAGGTTATTGGATCTAAGAATCCCATAGATATTTTTGGACGTGACCATTTAGTCATAGCTGTGTGGACAGGATCTTTTTGGTGTGAAAAGTTTTGACGCAGCTGTTTGGATGTGAATAAAAATAAATACTTTTATGTACGAATTTATATTATTAACAATTTTGAACAGTTAATCTGTTAATTTTATTTAAAATATCGACTGTAAGAGTTATAATACAAATTAAGAATGTTTACAAAATTTGAATTTGTTGAAAATAATTATAAGTATTAGATTTGATTCCTAAATAATTTTAATAATTAATTTATGGAAATGCACTGTAAATATACAACATTAATATTCAGTATTGTTTTTCTCATTTGTTTGAAAACAGGACATTGTTTATTTGGTGTCCTTAGAATGTAAAAATTACAATAATCGTAAAAACAATATAGACTGAGCATTTAAAATAAAATTAAATAAACTATCTGTTCAAAATTACGTACATAAATTCGTTTAAGTACTTCCGAAATATCTGCCGCCCAAACGTCTCGTGCCATAACAGTCCCGTCAAAATATCCCAATTCCCAGCTTATGAAAACACACATCACAGTAAAATCAATACATCGTTCCCTCGCTACGTTTCGAATTAAAAATCTTAAGAAAGTCGGCATATTGAGTGGTTGTTGTTATTTCCCATAATGTAGGTAGTCACATATCAGATTATGGGGATCTAGAAATTCTATAGGACATTTGGACATAACAATTTGTGTGTGGCTGTTTAGACGGAACCCTTTTGTCTTGAGAAGTATCAGTACAACCGTTTTGGACGTAGAGACATTTTAACGTGAATATAAATAAATAAACACTTTTATATACGAATTTATATAAACAACGTTGAACAGTATAATTATTTGATTTTATAAATTACTAAAACAAACTGAAAATCTCAACAAAATTTGCATGTATAAAAAATTATTATGCTAAATTAATAATTAAATTTATTATTATGATAATCAATTTAGAAAAATGCCCTTTAAAAACGACATAAAAATCCGTGTTACTTATGTCACTTTTGTGCGTCTGAATGTCATTTATTTCGATCAAAATAATCGTTTGTTTTCGTAGTTATGTTAATAAAATTAAACATTTTAATAAAATCAAACAGATTAATTGTTTAACTTTATTTCTATATATTTGTTTAAGTACGTCTTAAATGGCTTCACCTAAAACGTCTCGTATTAAAACAGTCATGCCAAAATTTTCACGCTCCCATTACCCAGTTTATGATGATTTGTACCTAATTACGTCAGTCAGTTTTTAATCGGGAAAATATTGGGCATATAGACAAAACAAAATATTAATTCAACAATTTAAAAGAATTTTGTCCCAAATATATTAACAATATTACTACTGTTATACACTATCCGCTTTGTTCAAATCAAAAGTAAACTAAATAAACTTAAATAAACTATAGAATCGGTTCAAAGAAAAATGTGCCAGATTATACGAATGGAAAATATAAATATTCAGATGTGTTTTGGATGTTTAGCATAGTTTAGTGACCTGGGTTCGAGACCACCGGATGCATCACAAGTTCAGTGAGACAGATGCTGATCCGCACAATGCAAACAGAGGTTTTTTCTATGCGCACATTGGCTGGCTAATGCAACACCATCATCCTGAGTATTATAAACGTAGCAGTAACATCGATGTGTCGGACATTATTAACGACCCTTTGGTACAATTCCACGCAAAGTAAACAATTACGACCAACATGCAAGGTGGAAAATAATTTATAGACGCGTTTCGTTCTTATTTCTCAGATACTTTTTTTTGGCAAAGATACTGATATGTTTTGTCCTACCGATAATTATACCGGTGTACGCGTGGAACGAAAGTTGGAAGATATCTTTATTGGTACCGGGGATTTTACGATACGTGTGCAATTTGAATTTCACTTTTTCTGTAAACAGTATAGCTCACTTTTGGGGACATAAGCCGTACAATAAGTAAGTATCCATATCTATACGTAAAGACGGACTGGACGTATTCCCTTTAGCAAGGATTTTAAAACCCACATTCCTGATCGTTTTTAACTAAAAAATTGAAATCCTTATAAAAAGGATTTATAAGCTCGGAAATCTAAATCCAATCTCTAAAATGTAAGCAACAGACTATGTGATATGATACAAAGTAGCATTAATAAATGATTTAGACAAGGGCGTAACACTGGAAAATAATTTCCGGGGGAGGGGGGGATTTCGAACTAAAATATGTGTGATGTTCTAATTGTATTATAACATTGTATAGGTAATTTATAAGCAATATACTATGAATAAATTTTGGATGGAGTTTGAAACCCCAAAACCTCCTTCCGGTTACTGTCTTTGATAAAGATTTTAATTTATAGATATTTAGTAGAATAATAAACTAATAACATGAGTCAATCAATAGTATCAATTAATAATACAATTATATCTTGCTAAACTCTGCTTAAACTTAATACCTATAGATGTCTTGGCAGTTTTGATTTTAGTTTTTTGTTTTTCGTGCCACAGAAGCATTCAGCCTGTACAAAACTTGATCGTATCCATACTGGCCATGGGGGAAGGATGGCACAACTATCACCACGTTTTCCCGATGGATTACAGAACATCCGAACTTGGTGGTTATTTGTTTAACTTGACAACGATGTGGCTGGACTTTTTCGCTCGTATAGGCTGGGCGTATGATCTCAAGACACCATCCGAGCAGCTTGTCCGACGGGTGGCCATCAATCACGGCGACGGTAGTTGGCATGATGCATCAGATAAAATAATACTAGGGAAATAAAATGCTTCGTAACTCTGGCCACGCAATGAATTTCCGCTTTTATACATAATTTGCCATTATTGGTTTCCAAAATCGATTGTTCCCCTCGTGTATGTGTTTATTGTATATAAATGTTGATTTCGCATCATTTTCTAAAATGCGCTCTTAGTTTTGGCCATTCACATTAAGCCTGTATTTATTTGTTTTGAAGTTTTTTTTTAAAAATTTCACTTATTTAGTATTTAGGTTAGTTTCATAATTTTTTATAATAGATTAAACGAGGATTTTAACGACCTACTCGTGTAATATTTAAACGAAATGTATTTACTGTTTATTTCAATAATAAAACAAAAGTAATTATCAATTAATAATTAATGTGTTTTAGTAATAATAATACTATGGTGGTGGAGCATTAACCACAGTAGCTCCTAGATCGATAAGTTAACTGAAAATGTCGTGTAAATCATAGTCAATACGGAAGACAGTAAAAAAAGTAATGAAACTGTCTACTATAATAATCTTATATGTACGTATATATAAGTTCTCTGGTCACAGTGTTTGTTATTTATTTCCTCTGAAACGACTCAAACGATTTTCATGAAATTTTTTGTATATATTTGGTAGGTCTAAGAATATGCCGTAAAGTATTTTTCACCCTCCTACTCTACCCATTATTTTTTAACCGCGATTTTAGTATTTTCACTATATTATTTTATTCACGTATATTAGTATATATACGAGCAACACCAAATAATTTAGCTTATGATATAATAAATACAATTTTTCTTGTTGGTTTGTATTACCACGGTAACAGGGATGAAAAATAATATTGATTAATTATAATTAGAAGTTAGCCGGAAAATATCATGTGATCATCAAAATTAGTTCATTTTTATACCTACTTCTTTATATTTCATTCTTTGTAGGTATTTCTACGTGATTATCCTATTATTTCAAATATATTTATCTTCTATTTCTATACTTAGTGTCTTAAGTCTACTACTATCCCCATAACCACGACTCTCTTTATATTTTCCCCCGTTTAAACCTCTTTTAACTCCTCTTATTCCCCCCCCCCTTTTTTATTTTTCCTATTTTTTTGTATAACTACAAGTGGCTCAAAATTTTTGGCGATTTAAATGTAAGAAAGTAAATCAAAACGGCAAAAATAAAGGTGAATTATGTTTTTGCAATTAAATTATTTTTTTGGTGAAAACGTCCGTGTTTTTATANCAGTGAAATATTTGCGAAAAAAAAGAACTGTATTTATTAAACTTGGGGTTCTTAACCTTCTGTAGAACACGGACCCCCGATGAAAGATTTTAATGAGTAAATATATCTGATAGGTATGCTTATATAGCCAATCAAGAATAATCATTTACGCGTTCACTCAAACGAAAATAATTTATATCAGATAAAAAATAATCTTACTTCATCTACCAATTCAAATAGACGAGAGAGCACTTTACCTCGAGATAACCAATGAATTTCAGAGTGCAACAGAAGTCGATAATCTTCACTGTCCATGTTATTGCAAAGCTGTTTGCACAACTGTACTTGTTGATTTTTTTTTACATTCCGCCGAATGTGGACTACCACTTTTATCAACTATTTGTAAAATGTACGAATTATATTTGTATAATAGTAATTTCGTTGCGTGCAGATGTGCACTGAACTACCTTTAATAGTGGATGCATCTATTTCCAATATTCTAGGTCTTTTTTTTAAATGTAATTTAATCAATTCTATTCCTAAAGACTTATAATTTTAACGGAAATTTTATTAAAAGTTTTATAACTTCATAATCAAACAATGATAACAGTCTACTCGTCAAAAAGGTTTGATGTAGAGGTTATAAAAAATATTAATATAAATATTTAGTATTGTATATTAGCTATGTATTAGGCTATCTATGAAAAAAGTATTTACTAAGTTATTATATCGATTACGTCGGACGAATTTTTAACATTATAATTATAAATTCATAATTACTATTCACTACGCTCATAAAATGACCGGATAAGAA